GAATATCAAACACAGAATGCTTTGATTTCCCGTTCTTTTTGAGTTTTGGGATCAGGAAAAAGGGTCCTGGACTAAAGAAGGGGACAAGCCAGACTAACCCAAAACCAACGCCAAGGCACCCCAGTGAGGAAGAACGTGGGCACGGAAAAAAAAAAAAAAAGAAAAAAAAAGAAAAAAAGGGCCCTGACAAACCGACGGTAAGCTGTGGCGTAATCTCCCAGTGCTGGGCCTTACGAATCATGGCACAGACTAGGCCACGCGGGCAGCGCCCGGGCGGGACTCGTCTCGCTGCTGTCTGGATAAGCCCAGTATCGAGCTGTAGAATCGCTAGATCGGGGGCGGGTAGTCCCAGCATGCGAGTGGATATACGTAGACTGCGTACGTATGCTCCCCTCCGTCCCCGTCCCCTGTCAAATCATCGCTCGGCTCGGGACACCCCCCCCTCCTCCACCTCTCTCTCTCCCTCTCCCCAAAACAGGGCTGCGTCTTGGTATGCACTCAATCTCCCAGGGCCACAGATCAGAGGGAGGGGAGAAGGAAAGGATGGGACTCGAAGCTTGGCGCGTCGGCAGTCTCGCCTCAATTTCACCAGTTGCTGTCGCGGGCCTCGTACAACGATACGATCGAGCAGATTGGTGGGGGGTGGGCAGCATATTGGAGTCCAGCTGACGAGGCATGTTGGATGGCGCTATTTTCGACGCGAAATGCAATTCTGTGGGATCTCACAAATTAGTCGTGCGAGGTCTTGTAAACCAAATTCCCGGCGGCATGGTCCTGGATCCTCCGGGCGCTATTCAATACGTCGTGAGAATGATGGGTCCGGAGTAGTCCAGGTTTAGATCTCCTGGCATGGTGCTCTCCGACTAGACTCTCGCGGATTGCGTGGGCATGGGTCCGGCCTTCAGAGCTATCGTTCTGATGTCGCCGTCAAGTTGGCAGGGCGCTCATACGTCGCTCATACGTCGCCGTCTTACGTACGCCGAGCGGAGCGTCCCAGCGCGAATAGGTTTTCCTCTTCCGAGTCGTTATTATTTTCTGTTCGCTTTCGGGGCGGGGCGGCTCTTCGGGGACGCGTACGAGTACGAGGGTTGCACGGGCCAGCGTAACACTTCCTTTCGAAGCCCTAACTGGAGGCGATCCAAGGCTTATCACTAGACTACGGGCTCTTATCCCGTAGCCAAGCACTCGACCCCCAGGGACTGGGGAGTTTCTCTGTCTCTCTCCACTACCCGCTGTGTTATCTTCTTTCGAGCGGCTGTGCCTCTGGCACTTATTTTTGTTAATTTAGATGCTTGGAGATGCCTCTGTAGCCTTCCTATCCATGTCAAACACTCTGTACTCCGGACTGCAGGTGCCCTGCGTGCCTGAGTCGGACATTAAAATATCGGCGGGGAATACTCTTTTGAGCAGATGCCGTGTAGATCGGGAACGCAAGAGCGCGTCGGCCGGGGGGAGGGGGGGGGGGGGAGGGAGGGTTAAAGTTCACTCGACAAGAGGCAAATCGCGAGCGACAGAGAAGAATTCAAGACTACGGTAGAGACAGCAGACAAGCCCACACCATTGATTGATCGATTGATTGATTATCGTATGGGCCGTTCCCTTCTGAGCTCCATGCTGTATTGGGTCGGATTTTCCGAGTTCCCTGATTGACAGTCTCCACCGACGGTCGTCGAAGTACGCTGTACGGATACTCTTGGCAGAGCATTGATTTCGGTGCAGATAGAGGGATGTGCAAGTCACTTTACATGCGATCTGGGCCAGGGCCCTGCAGGAGAATTACAGGACCTGACAGCAGGGGATGATCTTTGTCGTCCCTATCTAGAGTAGCTTGGGTCCATCGAGGGACGGCGCTACGAACGAGAAAGGCCCTATCGTCTGGCGCGACGGCGAAAAGAAAGATGAAAAAGAAAGAAAAAAAGCCAAAAAAGGCCCAGGCCACCGACTAACGTGTCGGACCCGGCGGTGAGTTCCCAATGGGGTTAAATAGCCAACATAACATCATCACTTACGTATGTCCCCAGACTCGGCCCTTACGCCCCGACAACCTCCCCGGCCCACGTCCTGATCGGAGCAACGAAGCTGATTGTGGCTCATGCTGGCTGATTTACGGTAGGTTGACCTAGATTGGGTCAGTGTACGGCGTACGGAGTATCTGCCGTGTACGCTGTATTCTAGGTTTGGCTGGCAAAATCATTGTCCGGCCGAGCGGGTTCTCGCACGCCGATTATCGTTCTCAGGGTCCATGGAACCGCGTTAAAAAAGAGAAAAAAAAAAAGGTCGGTCAAATCTGCCCCATCCCTGGCCTGGTTTACCCGTACTTCTGCCGATATCGAAGCTCAGTTGATCGATCTTTTTTTTTCTTTTTGAATCGGGTTTGTTCGTGGATGGTTTTTTTTTTTTGCCCCCTCTCACTTTCGGTTGGCTCTGATTTGGCATTGGAATCTTGAGTGGAGCCCCGTAGGCCAACCGGAGCCCTAGTTAGGCTAGTTGCTTTGGCAATAACCAAGACGGAGTCGGAGTGCCTGGCGAACGCTGTGCGATAGCGACACTAAGGGAGGCCGAACCAAGGAGAGAGCCAGATCTCATGGGCAAGGGGAGGGAGAGGAAATGACGCCGACAGGACCAGACCAGGCCAGACGCGAGACACAGAGAGTGAGAGAGCAACGCCACAGTGCATGCGGGAAAAGGTTTGGTGCGATAGAATGGTCCCAAGCCGCCATTGCGTCGACTGGGAATCATGATCGTGGTCCACCATGATCGGAACCAGGAACCAGAATGACTAGAATGACCTGAACAACACAAGAACAGACGAACCGGATTGGTAACTGTCAGATTATCGACCCCCTCGCACCTCGTCCAGCCTCCAATCAATCGGCCGTAGAGGGCTCAGCTCATTTCGACAACTGGAAACGCAATAATCCCCATTACGATTTTACGATACCGACAGCGCGCCAGAGTAGATCTTTGCTGACGAGTCCATCCCCGCCAGGGTCGTGCTGGAGCGGGCCGGAAAGAACGGAGCCTAACAGAACGGGTCTGCACAGAAACGGCCATAGTTTTCCAGGGGTGGGTTAGGGGTCCCTGGGGCGCTATGAGGGACGCGCCAGAGCTCCCCAGGAGCCAGTGGATTGGTGGGGGCCGCCAGGGTGGATTCTGGGTGCGCAAGCCTACGACGAGGCCACGGACAGGGCTGGTTGTACAGTCCATTGTTCGGCCATCCGCCTCGTCGCGCGGAGACGTCTCTGTCCGAGCGATTCGGGGGCCGTGGTGGATCAGACCGTCATCGCATGATCGGGATCCCTCGGATCTAGTACACCGAAGGGGGCGTAGGAGAAGGAGGCAAAAAGGCAAGAGAGAGAGTGTGTGTGTCTGAGGAAGAGGAGGGTGTTCAGAGGTCATCTGGGGGGATGCCTTCATGAAGGAGGAGTCATATCACAACGGATAGCAAACAATAGGGAAGAGAGGCGATAGTCGAGGCATAGCTGGGACAGCTTGTATCGCATGTCTAGCATGTCTCGCATGTTTAGCATGTCTAGCAGGTATCGCATGTATAGAGTTGGGGCCCAGACGGTCACATACGGTTTGGTCTTGGTAATTCGGGATAAAATAAAAAATGGGTTCCCGATCCGCCCTGGCCCACTCTAACGGCTAGTGCAGAGCGTCTGCGGTATCGCCAGTATCGTTAGTATCGTCGTCGTCCTCAGCTTCTGGGGAGGCTTGCCAGACCCTGGAAGCTTGGCCTGTTCTATTTAGTATGGGAGGAGTTCCTGATGGGCTCCTCCCCCTTCCCTTCTGAACTTCCCATCCCGTATACCTCTTCCTCCTTCCCTTCTCTGGACTGAGATCAACTTCGACGCCCTCGGCTCCTTCGACTCCTTCGACTGCTTCGACTGCTTCGACTGCTTCGACTGCTTCGACTTCCTCAGGCTCCCCCTCAGCCCTCCATCTCTCCAGCTCCCCAACTCTCCAACTCTTCATACGTCCCCCCCTCCTCCCCCACCGCTGATCTTCGACCGGTCGTGAGCCCCGTATCCTCTTATCGCATATCGGGCGTGCTCTCGACAACTGTGGTGACGCTTCCTAGCATTGGAGACGTCGTCGGCGTATTGCACTCACTTCTTACCCTTCTCTCGCTGTAACACCGCCGTGCCACCTTTGCTGGTTGAGCATCGCTGGTTCGACTCGTGCTCGGGCAGACGAGGTATTTTGTGGCTCGGCCTGGAGATTTGATCTCCACAAGTATCACAAATCTACCTAACCCCCTCTCCTCGCCCTCAATTCTCAACCCCTATCCCCTCCCTTAGGCCAGTTTGCAACTGCCGTTGAGCATTTGGGTTTCGCAGACCAAATCTTGAGGCGGCAAAGACCATTCGCCTGGAACGAGTAGGGCTCGTCAGAGGATCTTGGTCGAGACCGTGCGAAGAGCAAAAAAAAAAGGCTCGTTTGCCACTCTACGAGACAGCATATAACAGACCAGCTCAACACCTTTGGTCATCTTAATCATCACCATTGGCAAGGTTTACAAGCCGGGTTTCCAACGGTTTCACGGTTTCATTACACCTGCGGCAAACCCTCGCCAAGTCATTATCGACCGTCGTCAATCTTGGATTCACTTCAACAAGACACGAGGCACGGGTTCGCGTCAGCGGGCTTCCCTATCAGGTCTGCAGAACGGTGGCAACTTAGGCTCTAATGTTGTCGACGTGTTACACGACGCAGAGCACAAACATCTTTCGAGAACCGCTGGTATGTTTGCTGTGCCCCCAGAGCAGATTGGTCGATGGCCTCGCCTCAGCCATTCTGCTCTTTGCCCCCATCCCATCCCACCCCCACGCCCTCTTATTTGCTTTTTGTCTCCGTGAAAAACGTCATTCCTCGAATTCGCTTCTGTTCGACCTCGGTAGCCACCGGCCTAGTCGGTAGTCAAATCTAACATGGTTTCTTATTCGCTTCAGTATAACTTTCCACTTCCGGTGGCTGCACATCGGGGTGCAGAGGAAATGTCTGGCGGCAGGAGGGGCCTAGTATCAATTCTGAACAATGACGACCATCCGTCGTTTGCGGTCCGATCAAATCCACGATTGAGTCGGCATAGCACCTCGCCACCTTTATTACCACCACTGCAGCAGCATCCGCAACATTCGGGCCAACTTCCCCCGCCCGTCAGCGATCCCCAGTTCGCCCGCCCGCATGCTTCATCCGAGTCGCCCACAGCATCACCTCGAGACACGCGGCATCTATTTCACCAGGTGCCGGAGGCTCTGCAGCCCACCTCGCCTGGTTCTTCGGACGGATCCGCCTATGATTACCTTTCCAGTCAAGCTTCCTCTACGAATTATCACCCATATGCTCGGCAGCCCCCGCGGCCAGATCCTTACCGTTACCCTTCACGCGGACCGGCACCGCCGCGGACACCACCAGAAATTCATGCCAGCGTATCAGATGCCAAGTCTTCGACTCACTCGCAGACGGGAGGCACGCGAGGCACCGGCCGGAAGAATAAGTATCCCTGCCCGTACGCAGCAAGCCATGGCTGTTCCGCAACGTTCACCACCTCCGGCCACGCCGCTCGTCACGGCAAGAAGCACACTGGGGAGAAGAGCGTGCACTGCCCCATCTGCAACAAGGCCTTCACGCGGAAGGACAACATGAAACAGCACATCCGCACCCATCGCACGCACTCAGACGAGATGCGGGCGACTTCAGAGCCCGATGGGGAGAGCCGATGGGCCACAGCTCGACCGGACTCAGGATATGCACCTGTCGCACACAGTCGCACAGTGAGCCAGTCCACTGATGCAAGCACGGCGATGCTCCCGCCAAACAACGGATCTCATCTGCCGTCATAAACGTGCGGCGAGGAGTCTTTCGTTTTTCAGGCCCACAAATCCCAAGATATAGGAGAAGAACGAAAGAAAAGAAGAGATCGAGAGGCAGAGAGCTTCGGGAGACAGTCGAGATAACCTTGACTATACCATATGTCTCCCATATCCCTCTTACCTATACATATACAACCTCCATCTCTCTCCCGCATGAAGCTTCTGCTCGCTCATTCTGTCTCTCTCTTTCCTCGCGCGCGTGCGCGCTCTTTGTCTCCTGCGCTTCGTCTCTGATACCCCCTTTTTGCGCTTTGTATACAGACCATCACCGCCGTTGTGGATTCGGCGTGCCACTCTGATCACTGCTGCGCAGTGACCCTCGTGTTGAATACGATCATGCAGCGCGTTGTTTATTCAAGTGATTGTCCATTTATCTGCAGCCAGCCACTCAAAAAAAGTCATCTACATTTTATGCCATGATTCCCATGGCCTCACCCTCCGGAACGGAAGATTCGACGAGAGGTCGAGGCCCAGCATTTGTCCTAGTTAATTTTGTTTTCCTTTTTTGTATTCATTTCTCCAACTTGTCTTCTCTCTCCCACTTTTTTTCCCCTCTTCGTCTGATTTGCGTGTGATCTGCGTTTCATTTGTTTCACGTTGTATACTCCCCATGTATCATTGTCTGTGTTGTCCGATAGGGTTTCACATGTTGCCGGCCGGGGAGGCCTGTGTCGAGCACCAATACTGCGATGTACTTTTATATAGTACTCTTTGCCAGGATTCATCTGGAAATCGAAATGACAGGATGTGTGCCACTTTGTCTGGCACACCCGAGCCATCTGAGATCAAAATCCGTGCGTGTGCAACTGACGAATGTAGCTCCCGGGAAATCTCCGGAAAGCGCGGGCCCCACCGAGCCCGGACCCATGGAACCTGTTGTTGACATCGACAGTGTTTGATAACGTATTTATTTCACTATTAGTGCCTGAGACCACCACCCATCTTCCTCAGCTAGACCAATGTGAAAATATTACCACTATCGAGTATATCGCTATTGATGGATAGTAGATAGAGCCCTCCTTTATCTTCGAAGGGTATAGGGTTTTTATAGAATCTTAGTTCAATAGAATAGGTCCACCACTAAGAACTACTATTATAATATCATTTAGGCTCAGCGCGCTCAGAAGGTCGCTGATCATGTTGAATGCACTACCAGCAACGGTTCTTGCTGTATGAGCTCGGCAACTGTTAGGTCTTCCTGTATCTTCAGGTTACGTCGGCGTAGTCCTCGATTCTCGTATACTAGAACCACACCGCTATGTATCGCTAATTGACATCCTTGCTTGATTGATTAAGCGCTGGCTTGGTAGAACTTTCTGGAGATCGTGAGCGTCTTTGCAGCAGTGCCTTGATTAAGGAAGCTTGCTGGGGGCCTTAGTATTCGGGGCAATAGATAAAGTATGGATAGTGTTAGGGTGCTACTTGCAGGGTAGCGACCTGTTGGTCAGGTAAGGAAAATTAATATAATAATATTAAATCATTATAGAATCGAAAAAGAATAGTCAAGGTGTATATCTTTAGTAACTGAATCTTGTAGAGATTCAGTTCGAAAAAAGGGGGGATTCTCCTTCTATCACCTTCATGCTAGCGAAGCTTGATTTAATCATGTCTATTTCGAACGCTTCCTGGCGTCCTAGAACGCAGAGTTTTAGAAAAGAAAGCTCGTTGATATATTTGTAGTTGATATATTTGTAGCCTAAAAGGGGTTGCGATTCAATTAAGCGATAGTCTAAGCGATGAATTTTGGTAACAGGAAGCCTGGTCAATGGGAGTTGTAAAAGGTGAGGTCCATTCTTATGAGGGAATTAATGATAAGCTAATGGTGATGATATCATCACGTGGTAACAAATTTAGTAAAATACCTAATATCAAGAGAGTGTAGATGTGATGAGTATGGCAGTGTACAAATCGTTATAATATCGTTTTGCTCTAGAGTTATCAAATTGTCCTGTTAGATGGCTGCCGTAACGATAAAATATTAATAATTAATATTGGCCTTAAATACCTGTAGATGTTACTGGAATAAAGAGCTCTCTGGCTATTGAATAATTGCCAAATTAATCGGTTGTCTAAATGTTTAGTAATATTTCGAATCGCTAAATAACTAACTCATCATATAGAGGATTATTAAACTAGCTTGTGATATAGACCTTGCCTTGAATGTTATATACAGTGGAAGCGAGAATCTAATTACCGATATAGACTAGGTTGCTATTACCGACTACTCCCGATTTCCTGGTGGTGGAAGTGATTTCCGGCTGTAGTACCTCTACATGTAACTACCCTAGAGGTCGATATCAAGCCGATTATAAAGCCGGCTTCGTTAAAGTTATAGACATCGTTGGTAAGGATATTCTAGTCAGTAATCACTATTACAACTAGTCAAAACTACTCGCCTAGGCTTGTTAGGTCTTCATTTCAGGTACCTTAATATTCGTAACTTTTCGAGAATCGTGCACGAAGCGCTGATCGACGTTCGATATAACATGTAGCCAAGTTGATAACCAAGAGTAGGTAGTATAAGAGGAGGGAAGATATCACCATCCGTCATTAGTAGGAGATATGCGATATCTGCAATCGCCAGAGGCGAAGGGGAAGCACGGCCTAAATTTAGTGATAGATTCCACTTGCAAAGCGAATCATTTCCATCTTCTGTCAGTTTCAAACGCAGTGCATGTGTATCCTGGCAAGTTAGCATTCCATCGATTCGCTACCGAAGTTTAATACGTGGCACGGTGTGAATTGTTGCTGCTTGGTGAAGGGGGCTCGTTGATCGGTTCTGGATAGCTCTGATAGCTATTAGGATTCGATCTTCCCTATCTAGTAATTTTGGCCATTTTTCAGCTTTTTGGTGGCATGGTGTGATGAAAGGTAGAAGTATGTTACGCGTGGGAAGCGCCCTTTTGATGGGTTGGGCCTCTCAGTTGTAAAATGCATTATTGGTCATAAGAGAGGCACCTGTTAGCCTAGGGCGCTTGGCGCGAAGAGACGACCGGTTACTGGAATATCTTGATCAATTGTGGATGCAGGTGTGGAGAAGGAGGGAGAAGGAGGGAGGGGCTGAAGCGCATCGCTCGCATCGTCAGTCAGATCGCCAACCGGCCCCATGTCACGGTGCATTCGGGCACGACAGGCTTTGGTGGCTCGTCCAAAGCCAGAGAAGGTTGGGCGAGGCCATGATGACAGCGTCGACGTCTACAACATGATGTTCGGAGGTTGGAACCAGCCAAGGGCAGGACGGATTAAAGATGCAAACGCTGATTCGGTCGTGCAGAACCGAGTCACAACAACGTCATTGGCGCCAACGCGGGCGATGGGGGACCGTGATATGTGCAACCTGCAGATGTTAACAGACTTGGCTATATGACGGGCGCCTGTCGCCGTATATTCTTGTCAGCTCAGCCATAGCACCGCCACCGCCGCCCAAGCCTCTCTTTCTCTGCGTGCTGTCATCGGTCATCCTGGTCGAAGGGTGGAGGGTGGAGGGTGAAGGGTTGAAGGGTGGTAAAAGGGCGCCCACTATTCCAACCAACACCAGCTCGGCGTCACGCCACCTGCCCCGCTCGCCCCCGGCCCTTTTCTTGTTGCCTCGATCTCTTTCTCTTCCCTTTTCCTCGACAGCCTTGTCCCAGTGAACGGTAGAAAGCTCACATCCTCCCGCCTCATTGTTCTGTTGATTGCTTCCCTTTCCTTCCCCTCCCCCTATGGGCGTCTGTGAAGATGGCCTACTACGATGATCGCCGCTACGATAGTTATGATAAGCCCCGCGACCGTGGTCGCCCATCCGGCGGCTATTCCGCAGATTACCCCGATGACCATCCGCGCACTCACTATGCTCGGCACGAGCGCGCAACGTACCGTGGTAGCGATGGCTCCATCGAAGAAATCCAGCGGGACTTCCCGCCAGGAGGTGAATATTTCTATGAACGCGGCTACAACTCACGGCGTACCCGGCAACCCGCCTATGAGACTGTGCGCCGGGCGTCCTCGGTCAGCGGCTACGACCCGTACTACGACGACAGATCGCATCGTTCTCGACGCTCCAGACACTACTATGATGACCGCCGTAAGTGAACCCCGGGGTGTATGCAATACCGCCCACTATCAGCGCCGTCCTGCACGCTCGGCACTGTAGCACTGTGTTTCCGATGGTCTCCTTGATACTAACCCGAGATTTAAGGTCCCCACCGCTCCAGGTACTCTTCTGACGGTTCCAGAAGCCCGTCGCCGCGGCGCCACTCGCGCCGTAAGTCGCTGGGAGAAACCGCCCTCGGTGCCCTAGGCCTCGGTGCATTGGCATCCAAACATGATGACCAGTCAGATCGTTCCCGCCATGATCGGGGCCGCTCGCAGTCCCGGCGCCGCGGCCGGTCTTACTCATCTTCGCGATCTCGTAGCCGCAGCCGTGACCGCAACCGCGACCGCTCGAAGCGGGAGCGTAGCGAGCAGCGGATCGCCCAAGCTGCGAAGGCTGGCCTGACGGCAGCGGTACTGACCGCTTGGCGCGAGCGCAAGGGAGAAGGTGAGTGGACGGGCGCAAGGGGCAAGCGGGTCTTAACGGCGGCCATCACGGCTGCGGGTGCAGATGGGCTTGTAGACAAAGACCCCAACAAGCACGCCGGTCGCAATGTCATGGGCTCCGCGCTCGCTGGTCTGGCGGCTAATCACTTCCTGAACGGCCCAAGCAAAAAGAGCGACGGCCAGTCTGGTGGCAGTGGCTTCAAAGACCTTGCAGCGAGCGGCGCTCTGGCGGCTGCGGGTAAAGAGATCTATGACCGATTCTCGCGGTCTCGATCCCGGCCTCGTGGCCGAGACGAGGACCGTGCCGGCAGTGACGACGAGCGCCACGGTTCCAGCAAGCGTAGCAAGAGCGTCTCCGACTACATCGGTAAAGGTATGGCAGCCCTGGGGCTCCACGAGAACTCTGAGCACGAACGAGACCGAAGCCGAGGCCGAGACGACCGTAGCCACAGCCGCAGCCGGCATGATCGTTATGACCGAGACGGACGTCGCCGACGGGACCGCGATTCCCGCCATGACGGATATTCTGACTCTGACTCCGACACGGAATACCGCAGCAGAGATCGCAGGCGAGGTAGAAGTTCGAGAGATGTAGGTCGATATCGTTCCATGAACGACACCAGAACATCCCTCCCCTATACACCGGCCAGCACCCCGCGCGGTGGCGGCGAGAGAGGCGTCGCATCCACCAGACAGGGCTCAAGGTCTAGCTCCGAGAGTGATTCTGACTTGGGCGACAGTTCTGATGAAAAGAAACAACGGAAGAAAATGAAGCGGGACATGCTGCTCACCGGCGGTCTCGCCGCCGTAACCACCATCCACGCCGCGCACACGGTGCACGGCGGTATCACGGGCCGTAAGAAACGCATGCAGCAACTCAGGAATAATGAGATCACCCCCGAGGAGGCCCGCCGCGCCCGCCGCAAATCCAACCTTCGTGATCTGATGAGTATCGGTCTCGCTGGCATCGGCATGAAGGCCGCGTACAGGGAGTGGAACGAAGTCAACTCCAAGCGAAAGGAATCCGCCACGTATCGAGAGCAATGTGCTCAGCGCGCCATCCGTCGCGAGCGACGTCGGGCCCAGAGCCAGGGTGCTTTGCCGTCTCGGCGTCGGTGGCCCGATGAGATCGAATACCCGCCTTCAGTCCACGAGTCAACTCATACCCAGACTCATGCCCACGGCTTCACGTACCACGACGGGAACCCGTATGGAGCTACTATCGGGCAGCGTCCAGCAATCTCTTATTAGCACCTTCATTTTCCTTCTTTCTTTTGCATCTTTGCGGGTTGCGCGAAGACCTCCATCTACAATTGCTTTTTGGGCCTTGCTGTTTCCTTTTCTATTTTTGTGCTCGATCTTTAGTTCTTCTGATGATTATATGATCCCCCGAAGAAGGTATTCCCAGATGATTTCCTCCCCTTTACCTCATTCTTCAGCTTTTTGATTTTATTTCGTGTCTTTGCTCGTTCGTTTCCTGATCCCTTTGTTCTATGGCTATTTGCTTCTTTCTGCTGGTTAGACGGGTTGTCAATGCGCTTCAAAAGGTTTCACAGCTTTACAGCTTTACACACTTCCGGCCTTTTGTATGCTGGTTTTTTTTTTCCTTTCAGGGTTACGCAGCGGGGATTTTCTCATCGAGCATATGTTTCCTTTTTCCATGTGGACCCCCTCCACCGAGAGAGGGGAGAGGCCCGATGTATAATGAATAATGAATCATGAACTTCATTTTTTGAATAAGCACTCTGATGATAATCCCAGCCACCCTATTGTTCAATAGCCCCAAAGGTCCTCCGGCACCGGCCAATATACCGCTGGCCCATGCAGTACAGCGCCTTTTCTCTGCAACCTTGCGAGTCTCGGCAGCCGTGTAGTGCCGGCCTGACTAAGCGTGGGTCCACTGGACCCCGCCAGTGCAAAAAGGCGGTGGTGGGGCCAGAGACTTTTCCCCTCCTCAAGATTGCCTACTTCCCTCCTTTTCTTTCCCTCTCACTTTTCCCTTTATCCTCTCCCCATTCCCTCCTGGTGAGCTCTTTCTCCTTCAACTTTCTCTTTTCTCCAGAACTTCCTTTCTAATTGCAGACTTTCTTCAGTTATACCCACCATCATTCATAATGGCTGCCCCCGCTCAGAAGTTCAAGGTCGCTGACATCGTATGTTGCCCCTCAATGCCTCCTGTTCTTTGAACCTTACGTGGCCATTTATTGACCTGGTTGTCTTGACTATTTAGTCCCTGGCTGCCTTCGGTCGCCGGGAGATCGAGCTCTCCGAGGTTGAGATGCCCGGTCTCATGGCCATCCGTGAGAAGTACGGTGCTGACCAGCCCCTCGCCGGTGCTCGTATTGCCGGTTGCTTGCACATGAGTATGCTACCCCCCTCACTTCTCAATGCCACATTGAAACTCCATCTGACTTTGCTCCATAGCCATCCAGACTGCCGTCCTCATTGAGACCCTCGTTGCTCTTGGTGCCGAGGTCACCTGGACTTCCTGCAACATTTTCTCTACCCAGGACCACGCCGCCGCTGCCATCGCCGCCGCCGGTGTCCCCGTCTTCGCCTGGAAGGGTGAGACTGAGGAGGAGTACGAGTGGTGCTTGGAGCAGCAGCTCTTTGCTTTCAAGGATGACAAGAAGCTCAACCTCATCCTTGACGATGGTGGTGACCTGACCTCCCTCGTCCACCGCAAGTTCCCCGACATGCTCAAGGACTGCTACGGTGTCTCCGAGGAGACCACCACCGGTGTCCACCACCTCTACCGCATGCTCAAGGAAGGCCAGCTCAAGGTCCCCGCCATCAACGTCAACGACTGCGTTACCAAGTCCAAGTTCGACAACCTCTACGGCTGCCGTGAGTCCCTCATTGACGGTATCAAGCGTGCCACCGATGTCATGATCGCCGGTAAGATCGCTGTCGTTGCTGGTTACGGTGATGTCGGCAAGGGTTGTGCCCAGGCTCTCCACTCCATGGGTGCCCGTGTCCTCGTCACTGAGGTCGACCCCATCAACGCTCTCCAGGCTGCCGTCCAGGGCTACCAGGTCGTCACCATGGAGGAGGCCGCTCCCCTTGGTCAGATCTTCGTCACCACCACTGGCTGCCGTGACATCCTTGTCGGCCGTCACTTCGAGGCTATGCGCAACGACGCCATTGTCTGCAACATTGGTCATTTCGACATTGAGATTGACGTTGCCTGGCTCAAGGCCAACGCCCAGTCTGTCCAGAACATCAAGCCCCAGGTCGACCGTTACCTCCTGAACGGCAAGCACATCATCCTGCTCGCTGAGGGCCGTCTGGTCAACCTCGGCTGTGCCACCGGCCACTCCTCCTTCGTCATGTCCTGCTCCTTCTCCAACCAGGTCCTGGCCCAGATTGCCCTGTTCAAGGCTGAGGATGCTGCTTTCGGTGCCAAGTACCCCGAGTTCGGCCAGGGTGGCAAGAAGGACGTCGGTGTCTTCGTTCTGCCCAAGGCTCTCGATGAGCAGGTTGCCCGCTGCCACTTGGACCACGTCAACGCCAAGCTGACCGAGCTCACCCCCGTCCAGGCCGATTACCTCGGCCTCGATGTTGCTGGCCCCTACAAGAGCGAGATGTAAGATTTTCCTTGCCTTGCCTTTCCTTTCCTTTTGTCTCCATATACTGACTCCATATCTCTACAGCTACCGCTACTAAGCGTCTCGTCTCGTCTTTTGTTTTCAATTTCCAATTGCGTCCGATATTCAATAGCTTCTTGAGATATAGACTTTCAACATGATTCGACGATGTTACGATTGGCATTCCGGGTTCTCCATCAACTTAGAACTCAAAAGTGGTTGTCCTTCAACGGCATAAAAAGTGGTCTCCACACAGGGGGTGTGTGCTTGTTGTGCTTTTGTTTCACTGGCGTGGGTGACCCTAGGGATATTGGGTCTTGCATTCAACACTGCGTACGGATGGGGAATTTTGTTTTTTCCTCGTGATTTCTCTGTTTCTATTCTACCTTACTCTTGATACCTCTAAAATGGTCTCGTGCTGGGCTCACCGTCTGTCGCTCTTGTTTGCGAGAGCGCGCTGGTTGTCCAGCTACTAGTACACAGAACATAATATATGCTGAGCGCTGATTCTGCTCAAAATTGTCAGGCTTCTTGTATTTTCAATTTTGAAGTGCGCGCCTTGATGCAGTTCGTAGGCATTGCTTACATTGCTTACATTGCTTACCAGCGCTGGATTGTGGTGTACGATGATGTCTCTTCCCTTGTCGTTAGCTATACAATGGGTTTCACTTCGATACGGCACGGTTGAGAGGAATTGTCCGTCTTGTTTTCTCTTATTTATCTTTTTCTTCCCTCAATCAATGGGCCCAGGAAGAGTTCGAAGGCTAATAATAAGAGTCGGCTGAAATAGGAGCAGTCTGAGGATTCCGAGGCGATATTGATTCTTGGTGCTTTACAACTGCTCCTATACACCTACAGGCATTGTTTGTGTGGTCTATATTATATCCTAGACATTTAACTCTAGTTTATCACTATTTCTTCCTCTGATAAATATTTTCATAACAAGTTTTTGTTCCGCCTATGAGAAGTATTTATTGGAGCACAAAAGATCGAATAAAATGGATTTTCATTTAAATTGGCGATATATACATAGTCCAATTCACCAAAACTACCCCGGAAGATGTAATTGAGTGAGAGCCTTTTTTTGATAAGGAGAGTCGACATATATACTACCTTCAGATTCCATCAATCCATGTATATTTTCCCCAAAAATGACACCCAAAGAAGTCGGGGGACGGAGAGAGGGGAAACATTTAGGCCTGAGCGGCAAAGCCAAGCTGAGGGCCACTAGCATCAAATACAACATACTGGCTCTTCAGGAAGATATCGCCGAAGATGGAGAAGCCGATGCCAGAGTTAGACTGCAGGCCACCCAGGCACGATCCATCGCCTGAGTCGCCGTAGTTCATCAGGGAACCCGGGACAGTCGCAGTGTAGCTGCCAATGGTGACGCTGAAGTCGGGAAGGTCGGTCGAACAGTCAAATACGTAGCCGCCGGCGTTGCTGTCCTCTTTCGCTCCGCTGACCTGGTCGTAGTAAGCAGACACGATGGAGTCATCCAGAAGCAGAAGAGTGGTGCCGGTGTCCGCAATGCCGGAGAAGCCACCGCCGGACGCAGTGCCCGCGCTGTACCCATCCACGTCGAAGCTCCAGAAGCCTTGCGAGTCGTCGACGCTGGTATATGTGATCTCACCGGTGTACTTGGACGAGTCGGTGAAGCCGAAGTCATACACGCCAGGCTCGCCGTGCTTTAGGGCCACGGCGAAGAGCGGCTGGTCGAGCGAGCTCTTGACCGAGTCGAAGAAAGTGGTCTGCGCTCGGGGCTCGACGGTATTGATGCTGCTAAATGCCAGGCCCAACAGCCCATCGTTGTTGGTATCCTGCTGGAACTCGGAGCTGATCTTCTTTGCGGCTTCAACGGCTTGCTTGCTCGCTGTCACGCCTCCGACGGTGACGGTGTCGGTGTAGACGTTGCCGCTGGCGCTGCTTCCATCACCATAGCTGATGCTCCAGCTATACCCGGAAAGCAAGGTGCCGCTTTTACTGGGATTGTAGACAGAGTGTCCTGATTGCTCCGAGGAGGGAAGCTCTGTGGAGAAAACCCAACTATATTATATGTTAGTTTGGGACATTCTTGCGCCGAACATGAAGAAAACTCACAGATCAGCGGAGCCAGTATCAAAGTCCAAGTTCAAGGTTGTTCCGCCGATTGAAACGGGGGTGAGGTATTCCTCATCGTTGGCCTCGGGGGTGGTAGTAGCAACACCACTGGCGGCCGCAGCAGCCTGAACATGCGATGGCACAGCAGCGCCATATTTGGACAGGGCACGGCCGTAGGCTGCGGCAAAGTTTGTAGTCTTAGTAGCTTGACGAGCGACCTGGTTGACCGAGAATTTGCTGCTTGGCTTGTTTGCTGGCGCCGCAGCGGCCAACGCGGCCAGACCGGCGAGGGTCAGTGTGAATTTGCTAATCACAACCATATCGAAAGCTTTGAAGACCTCAATCTGTCTAAATGAGAAGAAGATGAGATTGCTGGATGAAGAGCAAGACTGGAAGAAGGCTGGCGATGAAAGGGCCTTTATACACTTTCTGTTCTCTGACCTTCAAACATCTTTGACCAGCTGAGACAATAGGCGCATACGAGATATGGTGAATATCGCATCATTCGGGAAACTGAGAACTAGATGTTGCCCTTCAGGGGAATCTTTTCGCCGATCTATGAGTCCCCGGGGACTAGATTGCCCAAACAGGGCTTGAAGACGACCTTCTGCAAGACTAGATATTAGTTCGGCAGAGTCGTATTGGATGTCAAGCCAGTCACCTCTCAGATAGACTAGATCAGACGACCTCTAGGGATGCATGGCTACATCTCTAGGAACTAAAAGCTCCTGAGGTGCCATGGAAAGACGGCTTTAGCCCGGGTCTTTGCCGAATTGGGGAGTATTTTGAGCCCTTTCGGAGTTGGCAGGCCGGCGAGGTCCGAGTTGAACGACTTGCGCCATAGTGTTCTAGTGGAGACAGTTCGAAATCAAGCTTCGGTGATATTCTCACGTTATCTAGTTGTGATTTGTACTGCGCCAATGACAGGGTAGGAGACGTCCAAGGATGGCAATTAAGGTAACATCGTGCCTTTAAGACTGGCGAGTTAGGGCGCCCCACTCGAAAGACAAGGCGGCCAGATCGTTGGCACTCCCACATTTTCAGCCATCTAAGATTAAGTGTTCTGCACATAAGACACTTGTCGAAGATGGCTGTGAGCTAGAGTCGCTCGTGTTGGGAATATCATATCCGATCAAAGTGTCTCCCCCTTCTCGTCCTGATTATAACCGTCCGGTGCCATGCCGATACTTAGGGATGCCCGGATCATTCCAAAGAGAACCGTTATTCCGGGCACTGAGTTGATGAAAGGTCACATAGTTCTGGGAAACTAACCGAGTACCGACGGACGTCCGCATTTCGATACGACCCTCGTCATTCAAACACTAGATTGCCCTTGACGGGTTCGCGGGGGATGTTTACCCGGAGCGGGGGCGCCCCTTATCGGCGCAGCCTTTCCAGGAGCCGGGGTCTGATCCTTACGACCCAGGGCGGTTTCTTGCCCAGGCTTCCTCGGTACTATCGGTTCTTTGTTCCTTGGTATGTATGCAGCGATTGAATGTGATCATGCTCGTCTAACAAGGCCTGGGGAAGAAGAGACTCGTACGTCTTACAGAACGCCTCCCGTCGGACTACCATAGGGGATCCGCCTAGGAGGCGCCGGAGAACGACCCAAATTCAAGGCGTCCTGAATAGGTGGCTGGACGATAATGGAACGTGTATGCAGGGTCTGTGGGTCCGTGGACCCTGGAATTTCCACGCATGTTGTTTGGTCAATGCTAGGAGCCTAACACTACATCATCCTGATAACGCTGCAATTTACTAGAAGATAATTTCAGGGGGAGAATTGCCTGGAAGATGAGTCAACAGAATAAGCAATCTACCCAGATGCCCAGAAAGCTTGGACAGGAAGCCAAGATCGGCTCTTGATTCGTTTCCTCCGTGTGGTCTTGTTTGCATGGCATTGCAACGTTATCACTCCCATTTCTAGCTAGCCAATAACACCCAATTGGTTATTTAAGCCTTGAATGCGCGTCTAGCGACTGTTAATCTGAGCATCACTGATGGATCTGCTCATGAATCATGAGATTAGTTAAGCCGAAAATCTCCCTATTTTCGTATTAGACCAGATCTCTATGCAGCGAATAGGCCTTGAGCTCGAGCTGGCTGAGGTCAATTATTTCAATTTTAGGGGAATGTACTATCTACGTAGAAGCTTCAAAGCAGCACTGCTTCGGCCGATGTTATCTACCTGTCAACTGCTATATTCGAGGCGGGATTCCCCTTCCACCCTCGCTGACTGTTCTTCGGTCCCTGTTGTATAATTACGCCCTGACCCCCGAATGTATTGGAGATCTCATGAATGAAGGATCCACCTACAGCAACTCTCTTCCCAGTGTGTTCGGTTAAGGTGATCAGATGGTACTCCGATCAACATGATGATTCAGTACAGTATTCCAGTTAAGTGAGTTGGAAGGAGATAAACGCATTAAACAAAGCCTGTGTTCGTTGACGGACAGGACAGCTTGTTAAATTTAGACCAAGTTATCTCAGATAATAAGAGGCTTTATGGGAGAGGAGGAGGTTTTTGGATATGCGTAAGCCCGCTTAATATCTGCTACACAGTTAGGCTAAACACCCTAGGCAGAGATGAACATGTCTGCAAAACAAGTCCGGCCTCTAGCCAGTAAAACAAGTTATATATTAAAAGTAGGGTTTGTAGTAAAAGAAAAGATGTCTGATTGTCTGTTTGATGAGTGAGAAAATCTTATGTCACATCAAGTCTTCGCAACCCGGCAAGTCAAACTGCCCATAGTTGGCTCCTCGCTGCACTGGTCAACCGCTCTTGGGTCATAGATCAAGATCTCGGGAGGACCGTAAAGTATCACCGGCAGCTCAATTCTTAAAAAAAAACCAATTCGCAAATACCTTTAGAGACCGGAAATAAGCTTCTACCGGTAGGATGTGCAGATCATTCCTGTATATGATCGTATCGTAATCTAGAATCAGCTGTTTTTGAACAATTCTAGAGCCTCATCAGGCGCTATCATACGCGTTGGGACTTTATGAGAGAGTTGCCATACATGGATTCCACGGATCATCTTAGATGGCACTCTAAATATTGGATTTACGATGATCTGCAACCTGAAAAATGTCAAGTACCGGTGGTTTTGTCATTTTAGAAACATAGATGATCCACCTCCAATCTATTCATTCATATATATAATGTTCGTGATGGTGCAAAGTCCTAATATTATGGTGATCATTTTACTTTATAGTCTGGTCACAACTCGAGTCTCAGAAAGAAAGTAGAGCAGAAATCGAAAGCAGCATCAATGATTCTTTTCGACAAAGGACATCTTCGCCATGTTATTCCCTCGCGTCAATCAGTGGAAGAAGACTTGGGAATGGCAGACCTGTATGTGTCATCATTCGTGAAAGCGTGGAGCTTTTACTATCATATATATGCCTTAGATGCTCTTCCTGGATCATAGATTTTGCTGTGGGACCTCTCCGATATATCAGGCAACCAGGCCCGCAAATGGTGGGCCCGTGGCTAACCGAAGTAAGCTGGAACACCAATGAGACGGCGAAATGTCGGAGATTCCTCCACAAGGACCCTCAGATTTTTCAATTTCGATGGAATAAACTGGATACAAATATTTATCTGTGATCGTTCTTATCATGAGAATGACTATTTGCAATGACACACTATATTGAATCTCTATACACAACTTCTTGTAGCCCAGTGCAGGGACGGACCTCACCCGAGGACCCGTCGATCTCGGATTGGTTTAAAGTTAGTGACTAATGGAAATTAGGCTCTTAAACTTTCCTCAAAAATTTCATACCTTAAAATTGACCATGGAAGATTGCAGAGAAAAGGAGGTCTAGATGAAAACGGCTACGAGAGGCTATTGTGGGCAAATCACGAAGAGGGGCTAAATTCTTATCAAGTCTGAGAATCAAGTCGTCGTCGGTGATGACGTTCTTGTTCTGGCATGCTGCCCTCATTTAGCGGATAATCCAGGCTAATAAATACATGGAAATGAACATAGATTTACTGTTCTTTCTTATAATCCATGAATCAAACGACGCGATCAATAGTTTATCGGGCCAATATCCCCGCGTTGAAACTCGTGGGCAGGCTTTGCGACCACCATGGGACCACTTTTGTCTCACTCTGCGAGCAAGTCGGGGATAGGATTTTACAAATTAGAGTAAAGCTCCTGGTGTTGTGGATCATAGATCAGCCCTTTGTATGGATTGAGCCCCATTTTGTTCGGGTAGCTTCGGAGGCTTTCCATTATGTGCGTCCTATGACGCGGCTGGAGTGGATTTAACAATCTTCCCACGCCCTGTTTTTATACCCCAATACCCCGATTCCCCAGTCGCACTACTGTGTCCGCCTCGCCCTGGGCCAACTCACCCGTTAATAGAGTCTCCCTTGACAAAGCCCATCACTCTACAACATTCACCATGGGCGCTTCTCCGAAACCTCTCGAGGATCCCACAATTGATAAAACGACAGAGTCTGGTGGAGACATCTTAGGTGAAATGAGCGCCAGAGAACAGAATCTCATCGACCATGGCATGAAGAAATTCTCTCGTCTGGGATGGAAGCGACTTGCAGTTGTTCTCATCGTTGAGGCTATCGCTTTGGGCAGTTTATCTATTCCGTCGACTTTTGCAACCCTCGGTTTGGTGGCTGGCGTGATATGTACAGTGGGATTCGGTCTTATTGCTATCTACACCAGTTACGTGATCGGACAGGTCAAAGTCTCTTTTCCAGAGGTGTCTAATTATGCCGACGCTGGTCGGTTGATGGGGGGTCGCGTTGGTTATGAAATTGTTAGCGCGATGTTGTTCCTTCTGCTTACTTTTCTTACTGCATCCCACTGTCTGACCGGGACAATCGCTTTCCAAGTAATCACAGAGAGCAAAATCTGCGGCGTGATATTTGGTTTGGTCTCCGGTATTATTCTATTGGCCTTGGCCGTTCCACCCAGCTTCACCGAAATGGCGATCCTTGGTTATATCGATTTTGCTTCCATTGTCTTGGCTATCGGCATCACGATCGTGGCCGCTGGCGTGGAAACAAAAGGAGGAGCGAATGTTGCTTGGTCAGCGTGGCCGCCAGAAGGCACAACATTTACTGATGCCTTCATTGCTGTTACCAATATCATTTTCGCCTACAGCTTCGCTCTTTGTCAATTCTCCTTCATGGACGAGATGCATACTCCAACGGATTATGTCAAGTCTATCTGGGTTTTGGGAATCACAGAAATTTTTATCTACACGATCACGGGAGCCTTAGTATACGTGTTCATTGGCCCTAGTGTTGAAAGTCCGGCTATCCTATCCATCGATACCACTGTCAGCCGGGTCGCGTTTGGCGTCGCCCTCCCCGTTATTTTCATCAGTGGGTCCATCAATACCGTTGTTGCTGGGCGATTGGTTCATGGAAGAATCTTCAAGAACTCGACTATTCGTTATATTAATAGCGCAGCAGGATGGATAACTTGGCTAGCAGTTATCACTGCAGTCACTATCCTGGCGTTTGTGATTGCAGAGGTTATTCCCTTCTTCTCGGACCTTTTGTCTATTATTTCTGCGCTTTTTGTCTCTGGATTCACTTTCTACTTCCCTGCACTGATGTGGTTCCTCTTGGTCCGAAAGGGTGACTGGAAGTCTCCGCGGAATTTGGCCCTCGGCGCTGTCAACTTTGCTATTTTGATCATTGGCCTGGTTATTTTGGTTGCTGGTACTTACGCCAGTGTTCAAGATATTGTGAGTCCTTGTTCTCGTTTGAGCCATACGATACTGGCTTGCTACTCTGAGAAATACTAACCTTCCTAGATTGATAACTACCGAGATGGAACTGTCGGAAGTGCATTCTCATGTGCATTCAGAGGTTGAGCCTGTGATGTTCCCACAGAACTTATTAAATCTAAAGAGATAAACTTCAGGTCAGGAATGTGAAAGTGTTTCAATACCTAATAGTTGCTCGAGACTTCATTGACGTGATATGAAAATAATTGAACAAATTAAAATAGGGAAATGTGTATATCTTGAATAATACCTGGGCTACTCTTAGCCTGCTCTTTCCATTGTAGTGCGCACCGCTTGCCGCTTTTTGATCACTGAGTAGAATTGAGTATATTTATTAGCTGTCTCACCCCATAAGTGAGCATTCCGCAATCACCTGATTTCACTCACTGAGCGTGATCAATGCCCCCGGTGATTTCATTCCCGCGCCAACCGAGTATTCTGATTTGGTCATTGATCTTGGTCATTTTAGTTAACTAAGTAATTGACTGACTAATTGTGGGCCACAGCTTCGCTCAACGCAAGCCACACACTTGTGCCTGCTGACATGTACGGGTATGTCCTAAGGGTTCGTCTCAGTACTCTGAACCATGGAGAATCGATGGCAAACTGCAGAAAGAGTTGGACGACTGGACTCAAAATGAGCTTAAGCTTTCCTTCAGGGGTAGTCTACCTCTCTAAGTACATATATACAGAAGGTTTTGATCACTAATCTAAAGTGTCATCGAATAATCCCTAAAGCAGTGCAGTAAATAGACTTTTCCTGGTCAAAAGATTCCTTAAAAGTATCAATATTTATATTTTTAGTTCGTTCATCCTTGAGAGTTAATGTTGATGTGCAAGCCCGGGATTTATACCTGCGCATTTCACCCTCTCCGACACCATTTTGAGCTTCACTGACTGAGGATGTGCAGGTTTCTGCCAAAATACACCAATTAACCATCAAGATCATGAGCTGGTTACTGTTATTTCGGATAGAGCAGCAGCTTCAATCGCCAAGTTCATCAGCATATCGTACTATCTCTGTATCCATTCCATCTGCCTTCTTGTTGAAAGATACCTCATACCGACGTCAATCGATCCCATTGAGATTTAACCGTTTATATTCGAGCTTTTATTTTCTCCTATGAATTTTCGTGTGTCAGTCGAGTATCCAGCGCAATTGGTCATCACCACCGTTGTATGATAAGTAGGTGTTGTCATGATCCGAAAGTCAGTGGAAAAGTAGCCAGTGTTTGGATATCATCTCAACACATCATTGGTTTCGGGATTATGTAATATGAGACTCTCTTTCCCTCTTGACTATTCCAAAGCTATGAACTATAGCTCCCGTGGCGAAGGCAGATCTGATGCAGACCAAGCAAAGGCAGGCAGCCCTCGACATCCCGGTGCCTGTGGGAGAGCAGAGTGTTTTCATTGGCATTTATCTGGTCTAGATTTGGTCTGGTCTTTGCACGGGCAACCAATAGGACCGAAACAGGATCCAACCATGTTCGATGGCGTCCAACTGGTCCTGCACATCCAACTAGTTGGCGTACTAACCGAGCCAGGTACCCTGGTCTTCGACTTGAACTTGTCGTGGGGGCGGATTTTCGCCATAATTCTGCGTGTTGCGTGCTGCTTCCAGAATTCTGGTATCCGTTTGGCTCGAGCCTCGATCCGTGCGAGCATGAGGAGAACCAGGCGGTTATTTTTTCATGCTTCACTCCCATGAGCACCGCAATGATATCTTGCAAGAGCTGGAGAAACCCAATCGACTTGATCACAAGGCCCAGCCCTCTGGTGGGGGCTCTAAGCCTCCGCAAGTCCACTCGACGTGTAAAGTGGGGGTGTTCGACTCCATGCATAATGAACCAAATAACGTCTAGAAACTTTGGCCTTCCTCTTCCGTTCTAGTATTCGTTTTTGTCACAGAGTAGAGCTGAGCACGCTCGACCGACTTCAGTTGGCCAGTGATCATTATGTAATCAAATTGACCAGCGCTCCGAGCCTGATCTGAGTATCCTGATTTGCACAGAAAATCGCCATTCTACTCTGTGTAACCCGAGAATAAGCGATGTAAATTAGCGAGTCCAATAAAACGCGACACGCTAGCTCGGTTCCCGTGCAATATTTCCCCCAAACCCGTACAAGAATAATTTGAACTACGATGCTGATGATTTGTGGCTGTAGCTAGCCAATCTCAGTACTCAAAATACTTTGATGTCCTTCTTCAACACTGCCGAGGAACGTGCTTGAAATTCGCGAACCCCTTTTTCTGTACGGATTCGAACCCCTTTCTGCAATATTGTAGCCTTAATGTCATCTCACTATCTGTTTTTCTTAAAGTAGTGATTGATCGTTATACTTAGCAAGATAACGATGAATTAAAATAACTTGGAATTCATCCTGTCTGTTAAGCGAATGTACGTGACTTTTAAGGAGGCGAAGGGTGTCAACAGCCCTGAAAAATACCTCATCTGCCGCCGAGTCATCAGTCATCCTTGTTAATTCATTCAAAGAAAGCTGAAGATTTGGCTCTGTTACGATACCCAGGGTATACCGAATCTCTGGAACAACTAATCGATTACACTTCTCGGGCTTCGGCTCCTTGCAAAAAGAGGCGGTTCTTCTCTACGGAACACTACCACAGTTCCAGAGACAGACTAAAGCAGACCAAGAAGCTCTGAAGTGATTGGTATATCATGTTTCTAAAATTGGTCTTGGTGAAAGATGAGACCATCCATAGATTATTGAGTGATGACTGAGTCATGAAGAGAGGTGACAATGCGAATAAGTACGAGGTCATTCGACAACGATCAATTCTACAGCAAGTCTGCAATCTACATGTCTCTTTTCAGGAATCTCAGTCTTTCATTATCATTTTGAATAGCTTGTAGTGAATACAGAGACTCATTAAGGTGCTTCGAAACGAATTCAGGAAATCAAATTGTATTCTTTTCGAGATGTATGGAGAGGAAAACCAATTGACTACGGTACAACTCGAAAATCGGAAAAATCAGGAACGTTCTCATGAGACGGTGGAAGCCGCTACGAGCTTGGCTGACGCCTCTTTGAGCTGCTTCTCAAGTTTTACCTTGTTCGCGGGATCAGCGGTAGTGATAGCCTCTTTTAATTCCTTGATCTTTTCAGTAAGGTCTTTCCGAGACTTCTCAGCCGTCTTCTTGACGGTAGTCCCGCCGGACTGCATCAAGACTTTAGTCAACATCACGAAAAAGTTAAGTCATTTAGAATGAACCTTCCTACCTTCGGTGTCTGGCCGGTCACCCAAGCGCCCAGTTTAGTAAGCTTTAGCTGTCCAGACATTTTCGTTGATGGTCTCAGAGGAGTTATTCCGTCAGGTGGTATGAAAAAGTCTCAAAGGTATTATTTTGAACACGTTTTCTCAATTGTGATGGAAGAGCTGTCGAGGATATTGACGGGTGTTTATATAGGCATTGTGCTGGGTGCAATTGAATATGAAACATCATGATTCTTCAAAAATAGCAAATGCGCCTGTACATCCAGTGGATGGAGGCAATACAATGCCAGTACTAAGTCGGGTAGATGTCCCAACTGTCGGCGAGTCTCCCATACTTGGAAGCACCGCAAATTCCAGGAATTTCTGGTCCGATGTTAGCTCTCCCAAGACAATGATAGGCGATCTTGACATCGCTTTGTTCAACCACAGCAGGTCGAGCTAGTGCATGACGATGATACTACTAAAATAGAATCCAACGCTACAATCCCTGTACTCTACGTTGGATTCCTCCTTTACGAAGTCTTTCCGAGCTACATTGATTTGTGGTGACGCAGTCGTCTAATACGGGCTCTTATAATGTGCACCGTGAGGATGACGATGGCAAAATACCCATAGTCGTGTCTCATAGCCTTGAAGAGGAGAACGAAGGAATCAGGAGCATGAGGCTCAATCTTTTCCCACTATGAGATTCCTCTGGCGACTATTACCTGGGGAGACATCCATTCCAACCCTCGATGGGTCCTTTACTAGGAATCCTAGAATAGTCTGTGGGCCCGGTATGCATCCGCCATAGAAATTTTTGTATGAGGGTTGGCTATAACAAAAAAGAAAATAAATAAATGATCCGTATCAGGGACATTGGTGCTTGGAATTTTATGCAAAGGCGGCAGCAACGGAGGAGACGCCTTTTTCGGTTACGTCGACTAGAGGGCGTTTCGCGTCGACCCCCGGGTCAACTCAGCATTCTGATCATGATTGGTTTAATCGTCTCAAAGTGTCGGCAGATCCACCAAAATATTCAACCATGCATAAATCAACGCTTTATGATGAGGTACAAAGCGTCGCCGCTAACAATCAATAACCATCAACCAACGGCGCCTGGCCAATAGCTGAAAATCGCCAACACCAACACTCAATGCTTTCGGAGTTATATCTCAATTTTTTGGGCCATGTGAGGTAGGCATCGAGACTACCCTAGTACTGATCACTATCTATACAGCTTCAACTCCCAACAACAATCCGGGACTGTGGCAGGGATGTGTTGGAGCTCCAACTTGCGTGGGTAGCACGACGCCACACGCGCCAAAGACTCAATATCTACTTAATATAGTCATCTTTTACTGCTTATCTAGATGGCCCGTCTCGCCTCTTGTCAAGAAAGACACTTTTGCGTGCTACTATATCCGGGGACCTAGGCTGTCAACGCGGTAGTCGTTACAGAATAAATGGCCCTCTCGACTATACTAATTTGGGGTAGCTAGAGATACTATATTGACAGTGATTGGACGCCACGTGCTAGGAGGTGACTAAGCGCCGATGGATCACCAAACCCTGATGGATCACTAAGCAATTCCGCGTGATCATCGAGTCTAAGCCCGTGCTGACATATACCCACGGAGCCTGAGGCTGAGCACCCGCACAAAAGCGGCGGCCGCCACGAGAGGAAAGCCCCACCCGCTAAACATTAAGAGGTCGGTATATGGAGGTGCATTCCCATTCATCTCCGGGTGGACAAATGCGGGCCGTCGATTGAGCGGGTCCAGGGTTGTCGCCAAGAAGCTATGTTCTTAGTTGCAGCTTTACCGGCGTGGGAACTTGTCGCAGTCAAAGCCCAACTCAGCCCCAAATGAAATGGATCGGCGCCAGTCCCGACCCTCAAGTCGCAGGAGAGCAGGGGAGTCGAGAGCGTGAGAGAGAGAAAAGAGGGCGAAGCGCGGTTGCTGCTGGTTATCTTTGACCATGCACGGCGGCGCGCTAGCCAGGCCAGCAAAGTGAGGTCGCTGTTTGGGCGAGTCTCAAAGCTTGCATAGCTTCATTTCAAGCGCCTTATCCTTTCTTCCTCATCTCTCCGCTCTCCCGTGGTGGACTCCTTTCGTCATGGCCCAGTCGCGGGAGTCGCAACACGCATTGCTGCCCGCAGAGGAGGATTTGGTTACCGTCCATCCCCAGCATTCATGGGGTCCTCTTGGTCGCGCATTGTCGTCCGAAGACACCGCCTATTATTCAACTCTCGGTGAGCCGGGGAGCTTCTCTGAAGAAGTGCTTCGAGAGGTCGGCTTGGGCATCACCAACTCTGCCGAGGAGACATATCCTCCCCGAAAAAGGCTTGACTCGCGATCGAGCATCGAGAGCCAAACCACGACGACCCCGGGATATCTGAAAACACCGCAAGGAACCCCCGCCATTTCCGTGCCCCCGGGGAACTGTCCCAGTCGATCCACCGTCCTTCAAAGGCGATTCTCCTGGGTTCCAATCACGATCTTCATACTGGCCTTCTATGCCACTGTTTTCTCGGGCATCTATCTGGCCGTAGCATTCTGGAAGCCGAGATGGACAACAGTAAGTGCCGATGGCCCAGTGGCGCCCTCAACCGCCAACTTGCTGTCCGCTTTCTTTGCGAAGACCATCGAGTTGGCCTATGTCACAATCTGCGTTGCATTCCTGGGCCAAGTACTCAGTCGACGGGCGATGGTGAAGGATTCGCGTGGCATCAGCATTTCGGATATGAGTATGAGGGCCTGGATCATGCAACCTGGCTCAATGATCGTTCACTGGGAGACTCTACGACACTCTGCACTCACCTTTCTAGGACTGATCGCGTTGATTGCCACCCTTGTGGCCATGCTATATACCACAGCTGCAGAAGCACTGGGTATGTTCATCTTTGACCCGCCGAGATTCATGGGCTCAATTACCTCCAAAGAACCAACTAACATATCTTTCATCAGTCTCGCCAAAGCTTTCAATGGGTCCATGGGAAGATAAGACGCTATTTGGCAAGGTGTTTGCCAGCTTTGGCAACATCGATTATCTATCCTTGAACTGCCAGACTCCAATCACCGAAGCCATGGATCCCCTTGCTCGCAATGACACCTGTCTTCAGTTGGAGCATGTCGGTCAGGCGTATCATAACTACCAACAATGGCTCTCGAAATGGAGCAGTGTTATCGCCAGTGGGAACGAGACGTCTGAACAACTCGGCAAGCGTCCAAAGCCACTGGGCTCTCTATGGGACAACACCACGATCACAGGAAGCTGGATCGAAATCAAAGACATGGAAGAACTCTCTTCAAAGTACGGACGAATGGTGAACAACATCACCATGGCCATGCCTCATGGGGGGATTCCAATCGCCGCCATGGATGCGCAAAACGAGATACGGCAACCGCAAGAGGCCTCGGGTGAGGGTAAATACAGCATTGAGGCATCGGTGCCCTCTCCCACTGTCAATGTGCTTTGTGTGGGCATGAATAAAACCGAGCTTGCGCCAATGATCTACTCCGAATGGCCGAACAGCCATTTCAATGCCACCTCATACAGCGTTTCTCCGCCGGATGATATCCCCCGTATCCCCTCTTGGCTCAACAAGACAGTCGTCGACGATCTCTTTGGGTTTGGCGAGAAGTTCGGCCAACGGCCTCCAGTATTTGGCACATTACCCGGGGAGAACAACACAATCCTGAACACAACAGGAGTATGGCCTACCAACGCCATCTATCTTCTCGGCAACACCAGCGTCTCCAATCCTCCGTACGTGGTGTGCGCGATTCGCGCCAAGCTAACTGGCGTCTGCTCAACCCGCTATGACGCCGCCTCAAGCGGCGCCTTCCTGAGCACAAACTGCGAGGACGATTCCAACCCACTACAGTTCAACCACAGAGACAAAGGCTTCATCGAAGGCGTATGGGAAGCAGACTGGAAAAACGTCGCCTCCGAGTGGGCCAGCTCGCTCAGTCTTGGCTCCGGCATCACAAATTCGCAAGCCGCCAACGAGCGCCTTCTGATGCAGATGATGCCCGCCTACAACGCAACCTCGCGCGCCTACTACCTCAACCCGGACCTGCCTTCCGTCGGCGAAGCCCTCGCCGTCATGGCTGGCAGCACGCTGATCATGTCCTCTCAGAACTCGCCCTTCGTGCAGGGCTGGAACTACACGGTCCCCGATGATATCCTCCCGGAACCCGTATACCAGACCTTTGCGGCCGCACTGCAAGCTGTCAGCTATGCCTCCGGCGGCACCGAGCGCTGGCAGAATGTCTTCTACGTGATCCTGCTCTTCTGCTTCCTAACGTCCGCCGTGTGTTTGGGCTTCGTGATCGTCGAGGCCCGCGGCCACCAGGTCACTGACTTCACTGAGCCGCAGAACCTGTTCGCACTGGCTGTCAACAGTCCCCCGTCATCGCGGCTAGACGGCGCTTGTGGCGGCGGACCGGTGGGCCGCCAGCTCAAAGAGAGGTGGTACATTGGTATGGAGGAGGCGGACGCGCACTATTACATTCGGGCGAAACTAGACGGCACGAGCCCGTATAATCATGCCCAGTCGACGGCGTACCAAGGTGTGGGGCAGATGGACATGGAATATTACAATGGGAAGCCGCTCAGTCCGGCGGTTGATGAGTTCCGGCGCGTCTCAAAGAGGGGGTCGATGTTGTCAAGGTTCTACTGATGGTTTAATTTGTGCGTGTGCTTTCGAATTTGCTAGCGTTTCTTTGTTTTAGATGATATCCACGATCTTCCATTTGCCATTTTCTTCTTCCAGGCCTTATACTCTGGCCGGTGTATCGGCTTTCCTCGGCATTGTGGGCGAGGTAAGCGACGATATTCAATAATCTGCACCAAAAAACAAGCTATGCCCATCTGGAACAATCAACCGAGGTTACATTAGGAGAGCAAGGGTCTCCTCCTTTGATCTAAAAATGGAGCGTGGTGCTCAAACCTGGTCTTGCTGTAACATAGTACATACCGGATAACATTTGGCAACTCTTAGCGCTCTCTCGCGCTAACCCTCATGCCCAAAACTACTATATGGGTAAGGCTTGATTCTGCTAGCAATCCAGGATACTATGTGGGGGCCAAGGCAGACTGCGTGAGACCAGAACCGGCATAGGTCACCTATGCCTGCCCAGATCACTTGACGAACTTTGAGCAAAGATTCATATTCTCTGAAAATCTTTCTGTTCGACGACTTGAGTGGACAGATAATCATTGAAGTATTGTCAGTTATTATTACGGATAAGTTTCAACCTGAGAAAAAAACCGCGTGCTGCGTGTTTGGAGCTTAACGTACTATATCTTGTTGTCAACTACACAAATCAAGACGAAAATAGAATCAGAATCAGCAGGTTATTTCAACGAGTCAACGCTGTCCGAATTATATCATCTGCTAGTAGGAACGTCGGGAGACAGGATATACCCGGGCATCACACAGTGAGGCATACCAAGAGCCGTTCCACAATAATGTGCACCTTTTTGAAATCGAGAGTGCACGTAGATCTTGACCGAACTCTCAATCATTTCCGTCCAACAAGGGACCTGCGCCATCTGACATACGTATCACCGGCCCGAAAGAGGTTGACGTCAAGGTCGGTATAGAACATAGTCATTCGCCCACAAGCCAGGTCGAGGATGTTATGGCGTTGACAAGAGAATAACTTTCTTCCCACGGAGAATTTCATCTTCTTCAGAAAGCATTTATGGTGGAGTATTCTCGTTTAGCAGTTGGGGGACTCTCCGTGACTGCAACCAACCCTGCCCCCATCGGCCGAGTACCTTATAGAGTAATTAAAACGGATAATAAAAGAACACTCGTTATCCCGATCATGTATTTGATTCCCCCCGTTTAATTTTCCATTGCTACTTGGAGCTAGCATGTCGGTATTTCATACAGTCTAATACAAGGACATAACACCAAACAAGGGCTGTAGTGAGTACTTCATGATCTCATGGCGCTACAGCTTTTCCCTTCAGCACCCTTTGCACGTCCAGGTAAGGTCTATACCAGCATATGAAACAGCTTGTCACGAATGCAGTGGGCATCTAGGTACCCGGATAGATTTGAGTATGTACAACAGCTGGAGTAGGTCGCAGACAGAACCCAATAGAACCAAAAAGTCAAGGCCGGCACCAGCACCAAGCACAGCAGGAAGTATGAGAAGCCCCATGAAAGAATGCAGAGAAAAAAAAATGAGAGTGAGCCAAGATGTACTATCAACAGAAAACAGAGAGGCACCGCTAGAGAATCGCTCGCACTCAGTAACAGGAAGTAGATCGCAGAAGGAAGGGATTTGTGTTGGAAAGAAAATGCAAGGGGTTGCAAAGGTAGATAGAATGCAGCGAGGGAGCGGCCACAGGGCCGTGTGAGATGTAACACCGGACCACGGAATTTTTTTTAATCAAAGACACCGGTCGCCGTGGACGCCATGCAAGGAAGGAAGAAGAAAGGATTGAGTGGTTGAGACAGAAGGATAAAGTGGACGTAGCAGTTGGAGAAAGTGACAGGCAAAGAGCGAATGGATCGGTGATTTATTCAGCTGGCACACAGTTGGGACGCTCGCTACCGATCAGCATGGAGATTTAACCAGCTCATATCTGAGTTGACATTACCCCGGTGCTGAATGGGTATCTCATCAATGTCATCAGGTATTACGACACTCGAGCGTCGACCGTTCGACTGTCGGGCCGCGGCGGCTTGCGCGTTAACGCCAGGCAGGTCGTTAGTGCTGGTATTGTAGAAACTTGTGGTGTAGTTACTGCTAGTGGGACGGCCAAGCCAACTGGATTGGTGTGCACGGGCCCAATTCGTATCATGGGGATCATCGTCCGAGGCGACACTAATGGAGTCTGCGCTCGAGATGCGGGCTGACTGGCTCTCAGGGATGAAGAGGTTGCGCCCTGTGGACGCATTTTCGGTAGTTGGGCTACCGCTGTGAACGCGGCCGAGGGGCTTGGGCTGGTCGAGGAAGCCGAAGTTTAACGGTGTTAAGTTAGTCATGGGCCAGGCACTGCCGCGGTAATCGGACTTGGTGTAAACGGAGCTGACGGTCGAGCGATCGGACTGCATTCCAGCAAGATTCGTCGCGTTGTTGTCTTCGAAGTATTTACCCCATCCTTCATCGGTGGTCCGATCACCGGGTTTGTTACCTGGCTCTGAAGGTGCAATGCTATCGCGGTAGGCGTCTTCAGAATACATGCTCGAGGGCGCGAGACCGCTGGACGGAATAGTGGAGAGTGGACTGCTTTTACCAGGAGTCGCAGACAGACCATATCCATATTTCGCCGGAGGAGGCTTGAGAGACTTCTCTCCAGCATATTTACCGGATATGATAGCCAGTGAATCAGCCGACATTGTGGCGACTGGGACAGGGCTTTTGGCCATCGGGTATGCTCCATCAGCCAGGGATTCTATGCCCTGGTCTTGGAAACTGAGACGGTCTTTGTCAATGCCCCGAGACTTTCCGTTTTGTTCCCTGTGTTGTCTTCCCCGCTTAAGCAACCAAAGAATCAACAGCAAAATCAAGGCCACGCCGCAAACACTGCCGAGGGTGGCACCGATTATCACATTGGTGTCAGTATGAGAACCACTGGCGGCGGCAGCGCCAGTAGATGTCGGAGTGGATGAAGCCGATGTCGAAGCGGAAGTGGTAGCTGCAGATGTCGGCGTTGTGGTAGTTGAAGACGTTGTGGTTGGTTTCAAAATAGCCTGCTGACTCTTCCCCTGGAACAATAGCGTGGAATTGACCCAGGAGTTGGAGGTCTGGTTGAATATGGCCAGGGAATCATTGCTTTTCCCACTGGAGAGCACAACCAGGCCATTTCCACCTTGTGCTAGAGCATAGTTCGACCACTTGTTCGATGATGCAAAGGTGCTATTATAGGTTGGATAGCTACTGGAGCTACGCTTCTTGGAGGAAGAAGCACCGACAGTAGAAGCGGGACTTTCTTCATTTCCATCGGAGTCAACTAGTTCGTAGCTTGTCACGGTGTTCGGAGAGACGTCCATGTCGAATAGCTCGAAAATCTTGTTGCTGCCGTCAGAATTGGATAGCAAGGCGCCGTGAGAGGATGAAGAGACAGCCGTCGGCAGGGTTGCAGCAGATGTTGTCCAGCCCGGTCCGTCGCGAAAAAAGTAGACACCGTAGTTGGTATCGGAGCCGCCAATCATGGCCACTGTAGATGTATTCCAGGTCAGAAGCACAGGGGAGCTCAGCGCTGGAGCTCCCTGGTCGAGTTGCGATTCCATGCCGTATGGTGATACTGTCGAAATGAGAAACGATTCTGAAGAGGCACCTGTACTACCATCCTGATGGCCGGCATACACAATGATGGAGGAATTTGTTTCAAGATAACCGGCGCCATGACCCACTCGGCTTGTCATCGAGGTTGCCGCTGACCCAAGTGTCGCCCATGTCTGACCACTGAAGGAGTAGCGCTGGAGACCTGGGTAATTTGAGTCGGAATCGGTGGCGGTCCCGCCGACCACATACAGAGCTTCGTCATCGTTGTTCCCTTCCATTCCGCCAATCACACATGTGGCATTGGAAACAGCAACCCCCGATTTCAGTGAATGCCACGTGCCATTGACTTCAAGAGGAATGTAAGCGAATCCATTGGCAGAGAATACGTAAAGCGTATTGCTATGGATCGCAGAACAATGACCCTCTAGTTTAAAGGGGGGCTCGGGGACCGTCATGGCGATAATGAGCAAAGCGATCCAGTGCGAGCCGGAACAGGCGAGGGGCAAAAAGCTTGAGTGCAGAAAAAAAAAAAAAGATGATACCAGACCAACAAGGGAAAGTGGATGGCCAGCCGTCGACGGGATCAGGCGAAGTGAGAAATCAAACCAATTGATAGAGAATGAAGGGTGACTGCCAGAGTACTATCTCATCTCGGCCCGTGGGAGGCTAGCAACGAGAGAACAGCATTCGGGATGGAACTGATATCGAGGGCCGTGTGTAGATATGGCACTTGGAATGTACGCGGACCGTTCGGTTCCGAAGCTGTCAGCTCCCGTCCAAGGAATGTGGAGTTGCAAGATTTGAAGGAATCGCGAGACGTCTAGTTCCGGTGATTGGAGTTCTCGGTGTGTGGGCGAGCGATGGAAATGCGGTTGGAGCTTCTGTTGTAGGTTCAAGTTGTTCGTGGATCCAGATGGGAAGTCGTGGGATTTGAATAGAACTATGTCGACGGGTTGACAAGAAAAGATCGTACGATAAAATGCACACAGCTGCGAGGGTCAAAGCCTGAAAAAGAATGGGTGGCAGAGAATGGGCGAGCGACAGATCGCGCGAAGAAGGCTGCGAATGGCTCGGAGTCAGTCAGCCTGTTCTCAGCCAACGAGTTCGAGTTTGGGGGCTGAGCTGGAAGAGTGAAGAAGTCCGAGACCACGGATCAGGAAAGTAAACACACCGAAGGAACGAGTGCACAGCACACCAAATGGCCAACAAAGCCGTAAACAACAGAAAGCAACGCAAAGCAAAGCGTGGCAACAGCGAGCAGAGCAGAACAGGAAAGGGAGAGTGAGACAGACGTCCAAGTCTCCAAGTCACGAGGTTCCACTCGTCCCAAACCCCCTAAACGGAGGTTAGCGAGGACGCCATCCCCTTTTTGCAGCCAGGAACATTTCGTCATTGGATCAGCGGGCGCTTTTCTTGCTTTTCGAACCGATGGATTCTACGTTTAGCTCGGTCTATTTCCCTTCGGTGGCCCAGTCCCGGTCTTGAGGGGGAGCTATTACAGTGGAAGGGCTCCTATGCCCATCAAGTCTTCGATCTGAGGATGGCAATTGCCCCTGCATCGTTGCTGGCAGTGGGGCCGACTTCGATCCAGGAACCAACTGCAGCCCAACTCGGCAAGTCGGCGCAGCTTCAGCCCCCTCTTTCTCCGTTCTCCAGTCAAAGCAGCACTGGAGGGGGCAAGAGACAAGAGGGCAGAGTCACCGTCACAATCACAATCAAAGGCCGCCAAGGGCTGTCGAGTAAGGGGCCGAGGCTTGCAGAAACTGTCCTTCAACTTCCTCTCACCCCGTTACTCCAGATGCCTCTGCGCCTTTATGACGCCGATGACGATGTTGGCGGGATTATCCTCATTATCCGTGTCGATGATGGTTTGTTATGTTGACCATCAACCAAACACTATCGAACTTTGCCGAACCTTGTCCCCCCTTTTTCGGGCCTTCTCCAGTCTCTTCAAACATACTAAACGCTGTGATCCCTGGTTTGAACCGCGGTGGACCGCCCGCACAACCAAGGAAATCCCACAGATTCCACGGCAGTGGTTGGCTCGTGCGCCGATCGCCGTGTGTTCGGTCTGCAGTGTTTCTGTGGAACGAGGACGTGAGATGTGATGGGCAGCAGTCCCAGGGCCGTATCCAACCAGCGTCCACTGGAAGGGCTATCAGGAGGCTGTCGCGGTTTAAAAAAGAAACCCATGGACTCTCGATACCCTCCTTTGTCCCTCAGCATCTCGTATTGCATGGCCTCCTCTTCGGCACACACAACCCGCTTTTGAACCCCGGTGGCTAGACTCGTAGAAGATTCATCGAAGCCCCCATGTTCCACCTTTCGCCCCAACTACCTTTAGGGCCTCCACTTGGGGCCGGATCGGGCGTGTTTGGGGCCTCGTGGACAACCGGTAGGCGAAGGGAATTCATTTAGAGCCCGGCTATCATTGGCGCGGATGCAACATATCAGGCCATTGATTTGGGTTCGAGATCCAGATTCGATGCCTCTTCGGCATCCTCCGTGCAGACCGTTGAGAGGGATAGATTGAATATATATTGCGGTGGAGCCAGGTGATGGTGACGGTCGAACACGACGGGCCACTATACCTCTGAACACGAATCACGAACGGTAGTAGAAACTAACCCTCAAGGCTATCCCACGCCATTTCTCGGTCGGGCCTTCTTCCACGGCGGTTTAGCTCGAGGAAAAGGCCTGCAGGTACGCAAGAGGCCAACCATGCAGCTCCTCTCCGGCTCAGAGGTGCCTCGCCACCCGCCTACGCGAGTGCGAGCTACTGCCGCTTTCGACGCACCTCCGGCTGGCATCCTCGACTGTCCAGTCCACAGTGCCCAACTTCCTCCATTTTGCGTCACACACAGCCCTTTCTGTGATCTCTCCCTTTTGTGGGACGGTGAGCAGCGGGTAATCTGGCGATCTATCAGGTATTGCCCCTATTGCCCTGTGGTGGTCAACATGTAAAGTTTCTACTGTGCTGCCCGAGGGCAAATCACCTCGCGCAGCCTGATTTTCCAACACAAGACTCGGAGATTACGAGTTTTATTTTTAGCACCCAAGAAGATTCGGAGATTCGCGCGGTAACCCGCTGGTATTGACGACCTATCGGGCGCGGGGAATTACAACAGTGGTATAGATAGGTAAATCGGCAATACAGAGAAACCGAGGGAGAACAGGGCAATAGTACAGGTATATTCTTTTTCGGGATATCCGTCGCTTGCTCGCGCAGATCTCGGCCGCTGGATCGCCTGGTTTTGAGATGGCGCTGGATGGAATACATGAAAAGATCATGAAGAGGGCCCACATCATACGATCCACAAACCCCAGCATCCCCCACTTGCTCAGGCCTGCGACTTTTTCCAAGCATGCGCCTTCTGGAGCAGCCGCGACAGGTTGGCGGCTGATTGGTCGTCGGCCGGGAACACGTAGTCCATATATTCTTCGTATCGGTCGTCCTCCAGCTTGCGTCGCTTCTTGACCCGCCGCGGCATCTGTTTCTCGATCTTCTCGATATCGTCCGGCGAGCCGTGCGTGTTCTCGAATGACCGCCAGGCATTGAGGAGTTCCACACGCTGAAGGAGAAGTTAGCTATTATGTAAAACAATAGGGAGATTCATATCAAAGCAAGAACGGCATACCTCTTCCTTGAGTTCCTTGTCCTTGAATACCTTGTGAGCACGGTCGAACACAGCCCGCGCACGGCGTTTGGCATCTTCGCTGATCGGTCGGGCTTCTTCGTCCTCTTCCTCCTCTTCCTCCTCGGGAACGTTGATCTCGAACCGAGCATAATTGATCCAGACCTTGACATGGTCGGTCTTCTGGAGTAAGCGTTCATACAGCGCCCGGACCCGGTCATACTCGCCTTCGTCCTCCTCAAAGTCGATATAAGATTTCCAGACCAGTTCGGGCATGTCAAGTGTCGGCTGGTCGATGCCAAGCTCATACAACGCTCGTGCACGATCCAAATCATCCAATCCGCGCTCCAGCTCAGCATACTGGATCCAGGATTGGCTGTTGGACGGATTCCATTCGATCTGCTTCTCGTACAGGGTCCGGCACCGCAGGAACTCGAATAGCTGGCGCTCGAGGTCAATATAACCACGGAAGAGCTTGTCTTTCGGGCACATGCCAATCGCCTGGCCTAGAGTCTTGCGGGCAGCCTGCAGTTCCATTTGTCGGACCTCAAACTGCGCTTTCATGAGCCATACCTTCGCAAAGGTGAACTTTTTGTGTGGAATGAGTTTGACGCATTCTTGGTAGATCTGGCGCGCACGATCCACATCTTTAGCTTCCATCTCTTCCCACACTGCATAGAAAATCCAGAGGTAGATGTAACGGCGCCAATGTCTCTTTTCTTGCGACGGAGGAATCTGTGCAATGGCTCGCTCGTAAATATCCCGAACCTTCTCCGCATCGCCAGCTGTTTCTTCGAGCCGCGCAAAATCAAACCAGATATCGTAATTGCGAGGATTCTCCTTCAGCTGCTCTTCGTATTGCACCCGGCGCTTAGACAAGATCACGTCTTCAACACCTTCTCGATCACCGAACTGCTTTTCAAAAGTAGTATAAGCCTTGTGAAGGGTCATCGACTTCGACCGCGGGAGTCGGTCCAAGGCGTATTTGTAGATTGCTCGCGAACGCTCGTATTCCTTCAACTTGGCCTCGAACTTGGCGTATGCCACGAAGAGCTTCTCGTCCATGAAGTTCTCTCCCAATGTCTCGATCGCAATGCCATACACCTCGCGCACCAGGTCACTTGTTCCGTATTCCTCCTCAAACCGCGCCCATTTAATCCAGTTCTTCGGCTCGGGGTGCACAATGGTGAAACGCTGGAAGATTGCGCGCGCTCTTTCGAACTCGTTATACCGCTTCTCCAGCTTGATGTATGCACCCCACGCACCCTCCTCGGGCTCCCATGACATCCACCGCTCGAAAACCTGACGGGTTCCGGGGATGTTACCCAGTGTCTCTTCCATGTAGACATACTTATACCATAGTTTGTCGACGCGAGGCAGGATGGTCACGGCGCGATCCAGGAGGTTGCGGGCGTGGTTGATATTCCGCGTCTTCATTTCAGCTTCGATGTAGCGAATCCATAGAACCACTGAGGTTGAGTCGACGTCTAGCGCACGCTCGAAAATCGACCGCGCACGGCGGAATTCTTTCTGTTCCAATTCCCAGGCTGCATAGCGCATCCAGTTGTTCATGTTAATGCGATTGCGCCGCACATAGTCCTCAAACTCCTTGCGCTTCCGACCCTGGTACTCGTGCAATTCCTCGAGGTCAGCAAAACGCTGGGTCGGCGCCTGCAGGCCGGGTTCTTGCCGGTCAACAGCTTCGCGAAGCAGTTGCTCGGCGGAGATCTGAATCGGCGCCGCGGCCTTGTTCTTGACCCGTGGAGGGCCTCGAGATGCCTCCATCTTGAGGAGTTGTGTGTTCGTCGACGTTGAACGCTCGTGTATGGAAGAAGAAAGTCGGAGGTATCAACCGCGGTCTCGTTTCGCAGCCCAGTCAGTTCGGGTGGTGAGGTGGCCTTTAAGAAATGAAAACTTTTAGAAGCGACACAATCCCCTCAATACTCCTGAGCACAAAAAGGAGTCCCCGGGTGTCAATCCCAAGCTGAAATGAGAGAAGATTAAGTTACTTCCGCTATTGTCGTGAATCCCCGATGAAATCGACTGACCTGCGCTTATGGTCGAATCCGCCACCCGCAACCAACAGAGCTCGCGCATGACTCAGCATAGCTATTTCGTCCGCGAAGTGCATCTAGGATATTTTCCACTATAACAGCCCCGGTGGCGCGTTCTGGGAAACCTATCTTTATCTGCGCTTGCACCTTCTGAAGCAACCTTAACTTCCCATCTTCACGCCATTATGTCCGCAGCTGACGACCTTCTGCGTGACTTTGAGGAAGATGAAGATTTCCAAGATGAGGACGAGCAGCTCGAGCAGCAAGAAGAATTCGAGGAAGAGCAAGCCCCCAAAGACGCCAAACAACCTTCCAACGAATTTGATCTCTCTATCGAGACTGCTGAGGAACTGACTCGACTACACAAAGTCCTACGCGACCACTATTCCGTCCGGTTCCCCGAACTCGAGATCCTCGTCACGAGTCCGATCAAGTATGCCAAAACCGTTGCCATACTGCAGAATGGCCCCTTTGACGACATCAAGGCCCTTTCCTCCTCCGAAGACAACATGGTGGGAGAATCGCTCAAGTCTATTCTGGGCGGACCGTCGCTTATGACAGTTGCGCTTGAAGGAACAACAACTCGTGGGCGGCAAATGACCGATTCCGAACTCAAGTTGATCTTGGATACATGCGAAAGGATTCTCAAGCTCGACCGTGAGCGCACAGCTCTCACGGAAAGCATCCGGTCTCGCGTGAATCAGATCGCCCCAAATCTGGCTACGCTTATTGGTTCTCACACCGCAGCTCAGTTCCTCAACCAGACTGGTGGCCTACTGGAATTGTCCAAGATCCCCGCTTGCAATCTGGGCGCACAGGGATCAAGGCGGCAAGAAGGGCTGGGGTTTGCTACAAACACTGGAATCAAGTCACAGGGCTTTTTGTACGACTCCCCGCTGATCCAAGAGGTGCCAAATGACCTGAAGAAGCAAGCCATCCGGATCGTCTCTGCGAAGATGGTCCTTGCGGCTCGTGCAGACGTTTCGAATTACCAGAAAGATGGTTCGCTGGGAGAGGACCTGAAAGAGCAGTGCTACAAACGGCTGGAAAAATTAACCGAGCCTGCTCCAAACTCAGGAGTAAAAGCACTTCCTGCCCCCGACGATAAGCCATCCAGGAAACGAGGTGGTAGACGGGCACGAAAGGCGAAGGAGGCTGTTGCTATGACGGAACTGCGAAAGGCGCAGAATCGAGTTGCATTCGGCAAGGAGGAAGCAGAAGTTGGCTACGGTACTGGTTCTGGCACTGTTGGGCTGGGTATGTTGGGTCAGCAGGACGACGGACGCATTCGAGCCACTCAAATCGACCAGCGGACTCGCGCGAAGTTGAGCAAAAACAACAAGGGCTGGGGAGCCGCCACTCCTGCCAGTGGTACTGCATCCTCGTTGCGCGGCTTTGGCCAGGGTGCTGGCGGTACTGCCAGCGTTCTTCAGTCCAAGGGCTTGCGGACGTCGGGTGTTGGGTCGCTATCGGCGACTGCTGGTACGGCTAGTACTATCGCCTTTACACCGGTCCAGGGCCTGGAACTGGTTGATCCTAAGGTGCAAGCCGAACTGAACCGCAAGCGCAAAGCCGAGGAAGATCGCTGGTTCAAGTCTGGAACATTCACCAACGTTGGCAGCCAGGCAAGCTCTGGTCCGCCGGCAAAGGATAGTGATGGGTTCAAAGTGCCGGCTCTTCCGGCCAAGAAGAAGGTCGATACTGGGGTCGGCAAGATGGGCCCACCATCGAAGCCATGAACATTCTCGCTTTCAGTTGTCGTGACGATTCTTCCCTTGTGGGGTTGAGTATTGGGGGTTTTTTCTTGTTTTCATTTCTGGCGGGCGGGCGTTCAGGAGCAAGACGATTCAAAGGACGATCAATGGGGCCTGTTGTGCTCCTCACGTGATACCATTTTTCTGTATAGTAGATCGGCCTCAACCAATCAAACCAAGCATCACATTAGACCAGGGCGACTCGAGATCCAATATTTCTTGAGAACTTTGATTTATAGATTAATGATTGGAACCTCCATGGGAACTTCTCTACGAAGTGGTCCGATAAGGACATTGCATTCGGCTGGTTCCCCGGGCTAATACATATTTCCCGCCGTTGACCAATTAGGGTTCCGGGTTGACACGCGGAAAATATCAAATATCGTCAATGTTTCATAAAGTGCGGTTGGACCGTTTCATTGGCATAAATTCAAGGTTCCCGAAAGTTCGGGGTGTGAGTATACCCCGAATGACGGTCAGGTACCGATTAGAAGAAAATTTTATGTTGACCCAAACTTTCGGCCGTGGCGAGGCTCGTTATGGCGTGCTCCAGCGGTCCCTTTTGCTCACCAGTTCTCTTTCGCAATCTCGTGGAATGTGGTACAAAAAGAGAGACCGTGGTAGCGGTGAAGTGATGGATGGCTGTATTTATATCCAGAGAATTCCGTTGGTTCATTAACTTCTTCCTGTTCATGATTCTCTGCACCTTGCGTTTACTTTCCACGTTTAGCGTTATATGCTCAACATTACATCTTCTTTATCGCCTCTTTTGCATAAACCAGCTATTACAGTAAAATAGTGACATTGGAGATTGTCTTTTTACTACATTGAAGCACGAACATCATTTTTTGTCGACAATTGGGTGGCAAACGAGCTTCTCAACATGACCGTGGATGTAGCCGCTCCGGCCCTAATCAGCACAATCACTACAGTCGAATCTGTCAACAAGCAAAAAAAGACACAACAGAACGAACAAAAGCAGCGGATAATTAAACGGCTGTTACCTCACGATTTAATTTCCTCGGACTTCGACGAGCTCAAGTTCAACGCTGCAGCGTCAATCCAGCTCCAATGGCAAGGCAAAGAGCAGAAATTCCATTCATCCACACCTACGGATTCCCATCTCATTGCCTCGCCATACAACAACACTCCCCATCTCTTGGATTTAGAGACACTCGACACGCAGAGTCGACTTTTTGCTCTGGCTTTGTCCTTTTTCAAGCCTGTTCGTGATGACTACGCCACAGCCGAGTACCTTGATTCATTCAATTGGGCCGAAGTCCTCGATCTTCTCAAAAATTTTGCAGCCGCCGAGGGTCACACATGGACGACGCAGTCTTTTTACGTGGTTGCCTTCCGGTCCAGACTTCAACCAGGTGTGGACCAAGATCACCTGCATGCGCTCGATGCATATTCGCACCAAGAGGCCGTTGCAAGTGGCGGTCTGCTGAAATATTGGTTTGGTACGAAGAACGGCGAGAGGCAGAATCTGGCAACCTGTAAGTGCAAGATTTTGCGGGAGCCAAACTTTTCTTTATTCTGCTTATCTGACCGTTCTGTAGGTGTGTGGCGCGGCCGAGAAGATGCTCAGCTCGGTGGCCGAGGGCCATGGCACGCCAAGGCACGGGCTGCTGCCAGGGAATTATATGAATCGATTGTTTTCACGACCATGGAGCTGGTTATCGAGGATAACGTTGATTCATGGATGCTGAGAGACTGGCAAGAAGGCCATGCATCACAGTAGCAAGGGTCTTGGCTCGCACTCATAAATTCTAGATCGAGTAGAGCTTCCAGTGTTTTTTTTTAAAGAAGAACACTTGGGACCAATCATAGATACCCGAGTTATACGCTCAGAACTTCCTCGCAAGATTCACAAGTTGATAGAAACCTCGTTTTGCAACTCTGTTTTTCTTAACCCATAGTTAATAGTCTCGATCAATTAGCTAGGCATCTTTATTGACATTGATTGTATTAAATTAAGCGTTTGGTTGAGACATTCATGATTTCAAATCTACGTGTCCGTAGTCAAAGTACTTGATTGAAATGAATCAATATCACAGGTGAACTGCCTGCATACCATTATAGGTCTTCTGTGATGTCATCTTCTCAATTTCTCTTCTCCATATAAGGCAGGCATGCATCATAGATCATCCGAAATCCTTCATACTTTATATTTCTTAGAAACACACTTTCCTCCACCATTCTCGCACTCTGAAGGGCCCCCGCAATGAAGAAATCAGTGTAACTCGGCCGAGACCCAAGGATGAATGGGCCATCGGTTTTGTTCTTCTGCATCAGCTCACTAATAGCACGTAATTTATCGTCTAAGGCGTTCCATCTCCGGTCCTCATTTTCTAGGTCAAGCAAGTCCTCGAGTGGACGCCCAAGTGAGGATTCGCGGGTACGCCGGAAGTATTCTTGTGCGCGTGGAGATAGGATAAGGATCTCGCGTGGCATAACCGAGGCACCGAAAGTCGTGCCAAGTAGAGCACGCGTCCGAGTCTCTATTTCGCGTCCCAATTCTGATGTCAAAGGTACTGACGGGTCTGGGTAAGCTGACTCGATGAATTCCGCGATGGGCCCTGAGTCCATAATGTTTGTATTGGTTGGCACATGTTGAATAGCAGGAACTGTGTATTTTATTTTGGATCCTGAAGGAGATTCATTCGGTACCATCCCACTGGGTTTCGAGTCAGATTGTTTGACTAAGACAAAGGACTTGAATATAGGAAGCTGGGATATGAAAATAAGGATATAACGGGCCGAGTAAAATTTCGACGTCAAAGAGGAATGATCGCAACTTACAGTCCTTTGAGTGTTGGTTCAATGTCCGGAAACTCGAGAAATACCGTTCTGTAAGGGATATTCTTGTAATTAAGCATGAGACGGATCCTCCAGACTACAGGCGAGAAACAGGCATTCTTGGTACAGGCCAAGTCATACAATACAATTTGAGGCTCGGCTTGGCCGGTCATTTCGAGTCGATGGCTTGTTCAATAGCTGAGTATTAGGGTAAAGTAGATCCCGAGAGTATCGGAGATCGTGACACCTCAATCACAGGAGACTCTGGGGTTGAAATAGGGCTGAAAAGATTTGAACGGAAATGCTAACGATTTGAGAGGGTTCATTTCTTATGAATCATAAGCTATTTTTAACCTCGTGTTCAAGCCTCTCCTGGCATCCTGTGGTCAAAAATATTGCCGTTATCGGGATTAATCCGATGCCGTTATCGGATCCATGGCTGATGTCTGAATGAAGCTCCCGGGTCGTAAATGGTGTCTATAAAAAGCCCAAGGCAAACACTTTCAAAAATCGCATTGATCTATATAAAATATTGAGTCACAAGTTCAAAATTCCGAGCAGAGGAAAAGCTCCATCTTTCCAACATCTTGCACCGATTCACTTCGGGTGAAATATATATCGACGCTGTCACTACCACAGACATGGAATTGCACAAATTGAATCTTTCAACGAGCAATAAGGGAGTAGAGGCCATAAGACTTCCATCGTATTAAGGCTTTCAGGTTCTGATTATCTCGGTGTGAAGTCTTCCAACAAACTATATACTTCCTTTACTGAACCTAGCTGCCTCTATTTCTTAATATCTAAGAAGTATAGATGAAAGCTTAATCCTACGTTCAAATGTAGAGCACCTATCTTCTTTGCTTTACTATCCCTTGCATTTACAAGACTTCCCAGGAATCCGGCCCTCTGCTTATCCGAGGTCATTCTGAACTTCCGACGAACACTAGGTGACAAGCATCACTACCTACAAGAAATAATGCGATTTAAGTGACCTTCAGATCGTCCGAGCTAGGCCATATTTGAGCAAGATACAGTAAGGAATCTCCGACGAATAGTTTGCCCAGGGCATTTTCCCTCATGTTGCACGAAAGAAGTATTTGTCCCCGCGGTGGGTCGATTTTATACCACTCCACTTTCTCCACGGGAGGAGCAATGTTTCCCGCACTGTGCGGAAAAGATTACCCTTTTAGTTCGCGATCTTGATTTCTCGTAGCATCATGCAGTCATCAGGTGTCTTCTCAAGCTCACAGGCCCCACGATCAATGCCAAACATCCTCAATATGCGGGGCAGAGCTGACAATCATACTAATTTGGTTGGGTATTTCTCCAGACGAGTTCCTTTTACCCCACCATTCGGGGAGACTGTGAAATAATTTAAATCCATGCCATCTTCCCGCTGAACAATGCTCATTCTTTCAACTGATGCCTTTCCTTTGGTTTTTGAATCTTGTTGTTATCCTCATCTAGCTTCAAAATGGTCGCCATCATCGCCAACCATCTGGCTGTCAATGATGGCCCCTTGAACTCGGAGAATGCAGCGTTCTTGCGCCCGTCCGACCCAACTCTCCCTATCGAGGAGCTTCGCAAACGGTACGAACAAGATGGCTATCTGTTTCTAAAACAAGTTCTTCCGCGGAAAGATGTTTTCACTGCTCGCGAGGCCTATTTTTCCTCTCTCCAGTCCACTGGTGTTCTGAAGCCTGGCACCGAGCCCGTGGAGGGAATCTTTGACCCTGCCAAAACACACGAGGACTACCCAGGCATCGGCGCAGGTCATACTGGTGGCAATGGGCGACCCGGTGGAGATCGTGCTGCGCAGTTTGTTGATCTTGCCTTGGATGCCCATTACCAAGATTGGTATGCGGAGAAGTTTTGCAACCACCCAGCATTGTACGACTTTATAGCAAAGTTCTCCGACTGGGGCAAGGATACTCTCAGTTTACGCCGCACACTATTGAGAAACAACATTCCTGGCTCCAAGCCTATCGGTGTGCACTATGACCAGATTTTCCTGCGGTACGGCGATCCAACCAGCATCACCGCATGGGTACCAATGGGCGATATTAAGATAAATGGGGGTGGTTTAATCTATCTCGAAGACGGTATTTCCCCTCTCCTTCCCCCATGCCTGTCTCACTCGCTCGGCAACGGATACTAATTCAAAATGACAGGTGATAGCATTGGCGTGGAGATGGAAGAAGCATTCTTCGCAAAGGCAAAGCAGGCTGGCTTGACAGACGAGGAGGCTCGATCGGCTTTTAATTCCAATATGATGGCGACCGGACTTCTTTCAGAATTTCCGGCTGAATTTGCCCGGGATCATGGTCGGCACTGGCTGGTCTCGGCCTACGAAGCAGGCGATGTGGTTTTGCACAAGCCCCATATGGTATGTGTTTAGCGTCTGTGGCTGGAAATGTTACCAATATTGACTTGGTTTAGATCCATGCGTCCACTCTGAATAATGACCCAGATAATGTGATTCGTTTGGCAACAGATCTTCGCTTTTGCGATTCTTCAAAACCTTATGATAAGGTATAATCTCAATGATCCTGTATTGGTGCAGATTTATAGAAAGAAAGATGGCTAACTGATTTTTTTAGAGGTGGATGAATCATTACAGTTTTAATGACGGAGTTTAATGTTGCGACTAAAAAACTTGGCAAGTAGTGTCATTTTGTTTATATACATACCGGTGGACGGGATTCCCGGCTGGCGTGGTCCTCATAAACCCAGACAATTGAGGCCCTCCTGGACAGAGCGAATATATATGATGAAAATTGAGTCTCCAGAGCTTTGTAGATGAATTGTGATGTTGATGAAAATCGTCTCTTCAAGGAACGTAACGGGCCAGATAGGCGGCCCTGACTTGATCGTGTATCTCATCATTCCTGGTTTGTTTAGGGCAGCGACCTAGGGGAAGATTCGGCTTAGTATTTCTTGGCATTGTCATTATGATCTAGCAAGGGCTTGTCCTATTCGCGATTCGTCGACCCTGGAATGCCTCACTGTCACTCCTGGAGTCCGCAAACTGCACGGACATCCCTAGATCCAAACAGCCACCTATCAACACAACAATTCCAAGCCTCAATAGCTCCTAATTTTGGGAAATAATAAACGAGGTGAGGTTTAGAGTGTATAAATTGAGTGTTTGGAACATTTTAAGGTAGACAAACCAACCTGCGAGTCTGAAATCGACGTACCTGAGTATTAGCATTTTGCAGTGGCAGGTTCTCATTCCATAACGCAGGGCAAAAAATTCCAAGCGCAAAAAGGTAAGAGTATATGAATCATTTGTGGATCCTGATCGACCTCGTGGGGAAACATACATCTCTCGGGAAGCTGGCTACTTGACCTCATCATCACAGGCAATATCACTTTCCCAACCATCGCGACTCCGACCACAAGCAACTGATTCACCATGGCGTTGCCGTCAACCAACTCCTCCCTCAGCACAATTATTCTGCTTGCACTTTTGGCAGTATCATTTGTTTATGCGCAACCTATCCGCGAAACGAAGACAAACGACCAAGCTGAGCCCGCGCCTGCTGTCCAACCCCGCGACCCGGTACGCCCTTTACCAATTAACTGAATGCTACCAAATGGCAACAATCTAACGCTAAGCAGAGGCTCATTCCTGATACTGAACACTATCTTGCCAACGTTCTCGATCTTATTGGTGTTGACCCGATTCCATCGGATACCCCAACGCCCACCATCCCAACACCAAATGTCCAGGCTGAGCATGGCCAGCCAGAGAATCTCGAGGCAACCCCAGTTAGCTCTTCTGATAGTGTCACCTTCACAACAACCATCAAGTCAAACGACGGGAAGCCATTCGAGAATATTCAGATTGGATCAGGGTGGAGTGGTAAGAAGAAGCTCACGGCGTCGGATCTGCCCGTGATCTTCGATGCGGTAGCAAAAGAATTGGATCATAGATTCCGCGATATGGTGGATAGCTCGGATGAGGTTGGATTATTTAAGTGAAACAAATTGGCCCCGAAAACTTGAAGAGTTTGACCAAGACGCATTGAAATCGCCTAGGATGATGTGATGTACTATATAATGATTTCATATCTCAGCCAAATGTACTGTTGCAATTAAGCGAAACACAGTTTATTTTCGCAAAAACTAACGCACATCCCTGCGAGCGGTTGACCCATTCTAAGTGCATTCATTCATCTAGCATATTTACATATTATTGGACACTTTTGTATGGGACGGATAGCACCTAGGTTGTTTAAGTCGGCTACTAAGTCTTACAATTTGGCCATGCAATAGCTTGCACTCAAATCTATGATCCCATTCCTTTCACTTGCGATTGGGGAATAATTAAAAAACTGCAAGAAAAAATGATATTGTAAATGACAAAATAGTTTGTGCATAATTACTAAGGAGTGGTCAAAGCTATATAATACTTCTGCTGCACATATTGTCTCATTCTCGTTTCCACACGCCGCTTTATCTTCCATTCATTGTCTTGTTGTATGATGAATGATTTGATTCTAGGAAATATGAGCCGTATAATTGTTAAATTATCATGAATTCCTCTTCAGGGAAGCCTGATTAAATATGGCACGAGCCCTGGATCTGAGTCTGAGGAGGACCAACGTCGACTGTGTTGGGACCGGTAATTGAAGTCACAGAGTTGTCGATTCCACCAAAGGTGCAAGAGACGCCAGAGGCATCCACTTCAATGTGGGAAATACTCAGGGCATTGTCTAAAACGGTTAGCCTTTGCTACCTAAGTGCAAGGACGTATTTACGCCTGGTGGATAGACATACCGATCGTCCAGGTCGAGCCGTCAGTGGGGAACCACTGGGAAAACTTGGCATCGGCGGCTCCGATAAAGATGACCTCAACTTCATTTCCTCCATGTTGAGGCGGGGTATTCTGACCCGACAATGGGTGGCAGGTTCCAGAAATCTGAGTCTGAGGCGGACCGACATCGACAGTGGTAGCTCCGTTCACGGTCGTCACTGAGTGATCGACACCGTTGAAAGTGCAGCCGACACCATCTGTGGCAGATGAGATGTGCGAGATGCTCAGGACGTTGGCTAGAGGGATTAACTTTCAGTCTGTTACAGCTTGAGGTATTGAAATCACTTACAAATTGCAACAACAGAGCCGTCGGTGGGGAAGGCTTGGGTGAATTGAGCATCGGCGGCGCCGATAAAAGTAATATCAACAGTACCAGTACGCTTCAAAGGGCTTGCACTCGCAGCAGAAACGAGAGCAGCAGAGATAGCCAGAGTCTCCGAGAACTTCATTTTGTATAATAAAGAAGAAAGTTGAGATGATGATGTGAAGGCTGATAGTCAATGTTGTGGTGATTAGCTTGTCTGCTTGGATGGGAATTGTAATGGAAATCCGAGACCTTAAATATCTCGAGATATTCTATACCCTCAAAAATATTGCATTTATTGCGAGATAAATTTAGTAGTTTCGAACTGATCTTTGGTTGGCCTTGCATGGGTATCTGGATGGTGGTGACGTTGAGATCTCAAAGATACCACCAGTGAGACAGTCTTGGCGTCTCCATATTGTATGCCGTGGAGTGAATAGGCTGGATATAGAGGCTGAATTCCTCGTATTTCACCTCGAAATCCATAGTTCGGCAGTATACGGATCTTTCTTTCGGGAAAAGGGCCTGGGGGTGTTGATCCATGGTAGAAGCGGTACTAAATTTAGTCGACCAGTCAATTTGTCTGTCACGCGGGGGAAAGCCGACGAAATAGGCCAGATCATGGTGTTAAATGCCGAGAAGTTGTCTCAGATGGACCGCTTATTTCGCCGAGTACCATGTCTTCAGCCAGAGCAAGGATCATTGATGCGTGAGGCTCGTTTCTCGGCGAAACGAATCCAGGTGACCACAGCCCCGACGCTTAGGCGGTCGACCATCCCCCAATCTGTTGCCTCCCCCGCATAAAGATCTAAATCAGCGATTGTCATAATTAGGCGACCATGCTGAGCCCTATACCAAGGCTGAGCGACCCGTATATTCACTGCTTGATGCGCTGGCTCGAGAGAAGAGATGGGCGGCTGAGTAACTTTACATTGATCCTCAGGCCCTCTCATCCAACTGGAGTCAGAAATAGCCAAATAGTATGTGTAAGAGAAATTTAGGCAAGCTACGGAAGATATCAGATGCAGAAATTCCGAGATGTATCATCAATTGATTGCTCATTATCTAGCTGTATCATCATGTATTATTGGAAGGTCCGATGAGCATACTACGTCGCGCAAGTCTCCGGATGTATGCCCTTCTCCACTCTGCCCATATACGACATCAAGAGGGAGTTTCTGTAGATCGAGAGCTAAAGTTTCTCACCAGAGGTTTAAGTCGGTAATATCTACGGAGACCATATTTCCTTAACTTCGGATTAATGCTCACTGAGAATGCTCACTGAGACTTGGGTCAGCTAGACAAGGAATTAATAAAGTTTTTGCTGGGGACGGATGCTTACAGTTGCCACCCAGCCTCGCGAGTGATACCACGGAATGCAACTTCTATCTCTCCAGTTAAGTCAGCAGGTAGTCTTCAGCCGAAGACTCCGAGACAATCAAGCTCTTCACTTGGATGAAGAGAGTTTTCTTTTCTTCTAACTCTTTTGGAGCGTGGTAGTGAGTTGTTAAGCTAGCAGATAACGCAAGGGAGCGACTACATCCAAAACCACTAAAATAGTAATCAATATTTAGCAACATTGATGACTACAGGAATAGATGGGGGTGGTCCTATGATGGTACAAATGAGCGACGACTATCACTGCATTAATCGGGCTGAAGTTAATCGTGGACAAATAGCATTTTAATACCAAGCCCTATTACTTGAGACTGATGCACTAGTGCACCCACCAGATCAGCCTGGGCGTTTAAGTACCACTTTATATATTGGATTGATCGATCATCTTCTTAGTCACTAGGTGAACTGGACTCTCGCCCTCTTACAATTTTCGACAACATTGTTCCTTCATTAGATCGCACCAATACTATCTCAACAATCCTCGACAATAACGACGTCATATTGATCAAGATAACCTTCGAACCATCTAATAAAGCTCACTTAATCTTGGACGTTCTGCTCCCGCTGGCGAACCTCAAATGTCAAGCCTCGAACATGGGTAGGTAATCGACCTGGACGATGGATATACCAGCTAATTGCGTGACTGTCGCATAAAATAGGGTATTTAGCCTAAAGAAACTCCAAAATTTCATCATCAAATCGAATATGGGACTCAGAAAGGAAAATCCAAAGATAGACAAGTTCAGCCGAGAGGAAAAGATCACAGGAGTTGATCGGTTCAAGCAATCAACATGGATCTTCAGAAGAATGTTTCATTCCTTTTAAACCACCTTTTGGGGTCCATCACTAGGCTTATGGCTGATAGTTCCCAAATACCACCCGGGTTATTTCAACTTCTCGATAGTATGCTAGTCCAAGTATTCTAGTCCATGAAGGTTCAATAGAGCCAGCGAAGTTGAAACTGCAGCCGAATACCAGTTGTACGGCCAAGCACAATTCGAACAGACCCAGACGGTCATGTGGGATATTATAGAACAACATGATGCAGTTTTCTGAATTCTTTGCGCCAGTCTTCCCTGGTACCAGGGAATTGACTGAAATCATTGCAACCTTGCGGATCGCGTCGCACATTCAATTCTCGGTCAACGCCACCTTAAGTCCGAACTGACCGCATTTCTTCACCCCGTGTTAGACCCGGCACTGTTTGGCGTCCCGGAGACCGACGATCGATTCGCCGAATCTCCTCGTAGATCCATGACCATGAACACGTTTCCGAAATAGCGCTGAAAAGGGCACGATCGATGGAGATTTGAGCCGGAGTTAAGAAGCCGTGGGGCAGAGGCGGGACGAAAGCAGAACGAATATAAGAAGGCGGGTTCCGACGAGCGGATGCCTCATAGCTCTTCACATTCTGCCAACATTCTCTTTGACGACGTCTTCCTCAGTACCTCAATTTTCTTGAACATTTGATCGCAAAACAAACAACCTAGCAGCACCCGCCTCGTCACGCACAATGCCTTCTCTCGTCGGAAAAGAAGTCGGGCCCACCGGCTATGGTACTATGAGTAGGGTTTTCATCTCAAGTCCCGTCCAGGAAGAGTAAATGCTAACTACGGAGACAGGGATGACCTGGCAGGCCAACCCACCGGCCCAGGAAGTCTGCTTTGGGAGTCTGAACAAGACCCTCGAGCTGGGCGCCAACTTCTGGAACGGTGGCGAGCTCTACGGCACTCCGGATTACAACTCCATGCACCTGTTGAACAAGTATTTCACCAAGTTCCCTGAGAACGCAGAGAAAGTGGTTCTCAGCGTCAAAGGCGGCTTGAAGCCTGGCCAGCTAGTACCAGATGGGTCTGAGGAGAATATCCGCCGAAGCGTGGATGAATGTCTGCGTTTGCTGGATGGCAAGAAGAAGATTGATATCTTCGAGTGTGCGCGACAGGATCCGAAGTTCCCGGTAGAGCACACCGTGGAGGTCCTCGCACAGTATGTCAAGGAGGGCAAGATCGGAGGCATTGGATTAAGTGAAGTGGATGCCGAGACGATTCGGAAAGCGTAAGTTGATATGAAATTCTATATGGAGCACGGATATATCTGATAGCTAACTACGATTCTAGACACAAGGTGCACCCAATTGCCGCCGTTGAAGTTGAGATGTCACTCTGGTCGACAGATATCCTGGAGAATGATATCGCGAAGACATGTGCCGAGCTGAATATCCCTGTTGTGGCCTACTCGCCGCTGGGGCGCGGCGTCCTGGCCGGTGCAGTTACCTCGCTCCAAGACATTCCCGAGGGCGACTTCCGCCGGAGGATGTCCCGGTTTCAGGAGGAGAACTTCCAGCAGAACTTGAAGCTTATCAACGAAGTTAACAGCCTCGCTTCACGGAAGGGAATGGCTCCGTCTCAAATTGCCTTGGCCTGGATCCTCAGTCTCAGCGGCAAGCCCGGCATGCCCACTATCATCCCCATCCCCGGCGGCACCACCACGGACAAGGTAGTCCAGAATATGGTCGGAGTGAAATTGCTCACAGAAGACGAGCTAGCGGAAGTGGATGCAATCTTGAAGAAGCATACTGTTGCTGGGCCACGGTATTAAGAATCAAATCTAATAAAATCTTGAGAATTCTGTTAGCCGATGACTCGAGATTTCGTAACAGTAATGAATAATACACCATGGCATTAACATTTGGAATCAATTGTACAAGTCAGATCAAGTGTAGAAGAGTCAACATGCAATCTCACTATGCGTGGCCCGAGAGCGACACACGGAGATTGTCTGCATTGCAGAATTCTTCTTGTGGTTCATCATCGAAAGGAAACGGACACCGGAAATTAATAGGAAGAGACATACCATTATAGTATACTAGAAGCACTGGTTGGATTAATATTCTAAATATATTAGACACATCTTGAGTACAATTGCCCTGTGGTGACATTCGTACGGTGCTGAGGGGTGCTGAAGTGCAGAAAAAGAAAAAGTGAAAGTGAAACGAGAAAGCGAAAGCCGAGTCAAGCTCGGAGCATCAGCACGTGATCCGCGTCGCGGACGGCTCGCCCTGCGCGCCAGCAACTCGTCGTGGGCACACTTCACCCTCGGTGGCCTTCACAACACTCGCTTTTCAATTCAGTGAATTCACACACTTGCTATAATGGCTTCTCGAGAGTCCCCGGGGTCCCCTCTTTCGTCGATCGGCACCGCGGACGAGTCGGATCGCGAGTCCGTCAAGCAAGAGAGCCGCGCTCAGTCGCCCTCGGCCTCAAACCTGCCTCCATCAAAGCGGCGCCGTACCGGAGTAGCCTCCTGGGATCGTCATACTCCCCTTTCCTCCCTCCAGGATGAGATTCCTCCTCCGCCCTCACCCACAGCATCCATCTCCTCCGATACCTCTGGCGATGTGCCGAACTCGCCTAGCCTCATAGGCTTGCTTGGGAACAATCAGGATGATGATTACAGTGGTCAAACAGGCGATCAGGTCACCGTTTGCCGCTGGGATGGATGCTCTGTTGGAGATCTGGGGAATATGGATGGACTGGTGCAACATATCCACAATGATCACATCGGAAGCCGACAGAAGCGGTACTCGTGCGAGTGGACCGATTGTTCCCGCAAAGGCCAAACGCATGCCAGTGCATATGCATTGCGTGCGCACATGAGGAGCCATACTCGAGAGAAGCCTTTCTATTGCACTCTACCAGGTATGTCGCGCCAATAGCACGCCAGGCCTGCTCGCAGCCTTACCCTTAACATTCTATGCAATATTCTCTTGCTAACAAACACAAAGAGTGTGACCGCAACTTCACCCGCTCGGATGCCCTCACCAAACACATGCGCTCTGTGCACGAGACCGACACCTTGCGCTCATTGGAATCCAAGACTGGAGGAATCGCTAGTGTCACCGGAACCCCCGCCTCGAAACTACAGCGCATTCGCCTCAAGCTCTCCCACCCTGCCAAAGAGCCTGGCAGCGAGCCCGAGCAGACCAACGACCTCGTTTTATCTACCACTGGTACCGATGATGCCGAAGACCTCGCCATGCCCGAATTTGGACCCGAACTCGGTTTCGACGAGCATGAGCTTGCTATGAACCCGCGGGACCTGTATCGTCTCCTACGACGTCAGATTTTCTGGGCCGAAAAGGATGCCGCACAGCTCAAGGCAGAGTGGGACGAGATACGCCCAAAGCGTGAGCACTCTTGGCTTGAGAAAGAAGCCATTTTCGACGATCTTATCGATGGCGAGTTGCGACTTTTCAGCGCTATTGTTGGCGCCTCGGAGATCGGTGGGCCCGTGGCACAACCGCGAAACCTAGCAACAAACCTGGAAAAGCTCCAGCGCCACCAAGTACAGTTCAAAAAGCAACAAGATGAGCTGCTGGCGAAGTCTAATGATGCAGGGGAGACCGAGGCAGCCTAAATCGCGTACTTGAGCTTTACTATTTATGCTCTTCTTGATATCCCTCGACCCGATGGGTCTTTCTATAATTTCATTTTCTTGACTGTTCATGGCGTGGATGGTGTTGCAGTGACTCGGATCTATATTCCTTTTTTCTATTCCAAAATGGCGTGTGCAAAGGGGTTTGAATGAATACCTGTACGAATAGCTTTCTTTCTGTCGTATTTCTTTTCGGGAATCGTCTTTTTCCTTCAAATCAGGTTTTTGTTCATCAGGTTTATCGTCTCCCTGGTCCAGATACAATGACAATGTCAATAACAGCGATTACTTACTACTTCTTATTTTGTTTACGTCCACTACATATAGCGAGGGAATGAGAAGAGTTCATGATCCAAGCAGAGACCAGGTCGCCAAGTCTCCGCCGAGATCGATTTCATTCGTTCTGACAAAAAAAAAAAGCGAAGGGCATCACGAATAGTGCTCTCAATCAGCTCAATGATCTTGGTGAAGATATAGAAAAATCAATCGACGCCGTGGTAGCCACTCCATAGGATACATGTGCTGAGAAATAACAGACAAGAGAAGAAGAAGATAAAAATAAGCAGGCCGCAGCCAAACGGCAACATTGCCCTGCCAAAAAGAACCCCGAGGACCAACACGTCCAAAGATGCCAAAAAGAAGAAAAGAATCAAAATCAAGAACAGAAAAACAAGAATTAGATGAGGGCACATCCAGCTCATCCCGTTTCAACGACCTTCATGAGATGACGGTCGTGGTGTGGATCCAATGTGATCTGATTTGAGAGAGGGAAAGAAAATTGTTGAAACTCCGGGAAGACAGGAAAAGAAAGGCACCAAACACGCCATGCAAAATATCGTCTTGACATTCAATTGAGATTCAAGTCAAATCGGAGTTTCCTTTTTCTGTGGTGGTGGTGGTGGTGATTTTTGTTGCGCAAAACATTCGACGCCTTTCGCAATGCCATGTAACTCGTTGCATCCGTAGGTATTTGCAATGAAACGAAAAACATCAATTGACATTATATCTTGATGGTAGATGCTGACATCATTTTGAGAGGAACATAAGGCGCGGGTGAAGGAGGAAAAGTTGAAATGAATGGTTTTGCACGTCGAAAATATCTATCATCAAGGGCCGGGAGGACAGATGACCTCGGCCAGGAATGCTCAATATGTATGTCATAAACACATGTAAAAATTCCGAGTCGGGAGGAGCCGTTGATAAGCTTGTCGAACAAGGAAGAGAATCGCTTCTCGAGGGATCATGACCCATTTGAAGACTTCTTCTCCGTCTTGCTTGCTTCCATGACTTTTTCGAACATCTGTTGAAGCTTAGAACCACTTGCCTCCTTGTTGGGCCAGTAGTTAGCAGAAACATAATCCCTAATTAGGTCAATTAGTAAGTAACCAATGCCAAATGCCGAACGAGGATTGCGAAAGCTTACCAAAGGCGTCTTTCAAGGGAAGGCATCGACTGTTCGCCTTCCAAAGTGTTGCGAATAAATTCGCCAATCTTCACAATCGTGTTGCGGAGCTTGAGGGCGCGCTCATGCTTATTGGGATAGTTTTTAGCTGTGATCATGGAAACTTGCTTGAGGTTCGGGACGATGGGTCTGAAGAACATAAAGGCCATGTCTTCCTTATTCGAGCCGCCATTTTCGTGACCTTTCCTTCGGCGAAGCTCTTCATTGGTAGCATCCGAGAGACGGTGACGAGGACGCTCAGCATCATGACCAGACCGAGGGCGATCATGACTAGGGGTGTGATGGCGATCACCACCGTCACGGCTGCCATGTGTATGGGAGCGCTGCCGTGAGCGATCAACCTCACGCTGAGACTTGCGACCGGAGGGTGCAGGAGATGCAGAGACGCTGGTGCTACCAACACGTGAGTTACGCTTGTTGTTACGGTGATGGTTATCCACAGCACGTCTCGCGCTGACGTTGCTACCATTGCTGTGCTTGTTCCTCAGAACTGAGAGTAGATATTCTGCTCGACGGACGAGGTGAACCGCACCGGGAGACTTTGTGGATTTCTCATCCCCTTGCATTCGTTGGGTCTTGCGCTCTACTCGGTGCTCCTCAAGGAAAAACTTGTCACCAAGACCCAAATCAGTGTCATCACGAATCTGAGTCCAAGCGCCAAAGCCATGCCGAGCAATACCAACCAGAAGCATGCCATCTTCCCGAGCACCCCATGAGCAGCTATAATCAGCTAGTTTGGTAGCTTCTGGAAGACGGAAGTTCTTGAAGTCCGGGAGCGACGTAGTGACCTTTCGTACAAGACGCATGTCGGGTGGCCGGTCTATCATTGTCCATGCATTAAGCCGCTTGACCCCATGGTGATCAAACAAAACAGCTTTTTGCTCCTTTTTTGTAACATTTTTGCCCGAATTCTTGAGAGCCTCCATTTGAGTTGTGTTTTCGTGTACCAAAGCAGACGCCTTATCAGTCATCTCGCGAAGAGCTGCGTACACGGTGTCTCGATCGCGGTTTTGTAACCGAGAGTCCTCAAGAATAAGCTCCTCGCAGTCCGCCCAATCGCCGTAGCGCAAGAAAGCCCGAGAAAGAGCACGGTATTCTTTCTCCCCAAGGGGACGTTTGGGATCCAATGAGCTGTTGTCTTCCTCGCCATCATCAATAATGACTTGTGCTCTAGCATGGCGTTTTGCTTTGCGCTCCTCTCTGGTGTCTCGAGTGTCGTCAGTAGGAGCTTGGCGTTTCCGAGGCCTGTTCTGTTCGATGACGTCGGCCAGATATTTCTCATCGGCCTTGCGCTTCTCTTCCGCTTTGATTTCCTCGAGCTGTTCTGCGGGAATGATGTCATCCCAACTAAGATCATCGACCTTAATATCAACGTAGTTGAAGGCTTTCAAGAATTCTTCGCCACCATCAGCCTGAATCTGTTCTTCTTGTTCAGTGTGATGCAATTCAGCATTCGCGAGAACAGAGTCAATGTCCAGTTGCTCGAGCTTCTTCTGGTTGTCGGTTTGTTCAAACATCCTCTGGCCACGACGCTTCAGAATCCGCGAAATATCTTCTGTAGAATTGGGTTCGCCGATGGAGCGGGCCATTTTGTTCTGCATCTCAGAAGCCTCCTTATCTGTGACGCCCCGTTGAATAGTGATGAACTCCAGCATGAGTTTGTTGCGGGCTCTTTCAATAACTTCTTCCTCAATGGTGTCCTTAGAGACCAGGCGGTAGACACTGACAGGCCGAGTCTGCCCAATACGGTGGGCTCGAGCCATGGCCTGCAAATCAGCTTGAGGATTCCAGTCTGAATCGAAAAGGACTACTGTGTCAGCAGTCATCAAGTTGATTCCAAGACCACCAGCACGAGTGGACAGAAGAAAGGCGAAGTCGGTGCTGTCTGGGGCATTGTAGTGCTCAATGGCAAGGCGACGAGATGCCGAAGGGATAGTTCCATCCAACCGTTGATACTTGTAGCCGCGATATTCCATATACTCGCTCAGGATATTTAGCATACCAACCATTTGACAGAAGATCAATACTCGGTGGCCATCCTCTTTCATCTTCCGAAGAAGCTGATCCAGCAGCATCATTTTGCCACTACTCGTGATCATGGCTCGAAGAATATCTTCTCGCCGTGTGCTACCTTCCAAGATCCTGGCCTCTGCGTTAGGAAACATGAACGGATGATTACTTGCTTTCTTCAATTCCATCATGATGTTCAACAAGGACTGTTTCATTCCCCTTGCACCATCGTTGAGAGCAGCGTAGTTCTTTGTTAAAATATTCTTGTAGTATTCCAACTGGACATCTGAAAGTTCCACACGGATAATCTTTTCCGTCTTTGGAGGAAGATCAGACTCAACCTTGGACTTGGTTCGACGCAGCATGTACGGTTGAATGGCATCAGTCAACTGAGCGAGCTTCTCAGAAGCAAGCTCGGAGTTGAGATCCATATCAGCATCAACATGAATGAGACCAGGATTGAGGAAGTCCATGAGGGATGATAATTCCGCAAGATTGTTTTGGATAGGCGTGCCAGTGATAAGGAGGCGAGCCTGGCACTTCCATTCGCTCAGCTTGACGTAAAGCTGCGAATCACGGTTCTTGAGACGATGAGCCTCGTCAACTCCCATGAATTGCCACTTGAACTGGCCAAGGAAAGGGGAATCATTCATGGCATACTCGTAGGTCGTCAAAAGGACATGAAATTTAGGTCTTTTGGGATTGCCATCTACCATCAACTCATAGTCACGGAGTACAGAGCGCGCTTTTTCGCTGCCATTGTAAACAACGTAGTTTAAGTCCGGGGTCCAGTAGTCAAAAGTATCGGCCCAGGCTGGCATAGTGGATAAGGGAACAATGACGATGAAAGGGCCCTGTTGGCGACGAACATGACGCAGCCAGTTGATGAACGAGACGGTCTGTACAGTCTTGCCGAGACCCATTTCGTCTGCGAGGACGACATTGCGATCTTTGACCCAGTTGAACGCAAGGAAGTTGAGACCCTTAATTTGGAAATCTTTGAGCTCGCCATTCTGCAGAAAATCTGGTGACGTTTGAATACGCTCAAATGGCCTGCGCGTATCCGGATTTGTCTCCATCCGATCTGAGACTGGTACACGGGCAGATCGATCGATGAAACGATCGATTTCATGTTGTGCGATCTCGCTGATCAAGTCTTCCGATTCCCACGTGCATGAATCATAGAACAGCCGTTTCCACTTGACCAGATATTCGGTCGATAGATCTTCCCCTTCTCGGACGCCAATCACTCGTTCAACCTGTTTGTAGTCCTCGATCGCCTCAACGTCCCGCTCACGATCGAGGTTCCATTTTTCCAGATCTTCAGGGGCAGCGTCTGGGTCATGCAGCAGGCGAAGCTCCTCATTGAGTACTTTTCGAACATAGTTGTCTACACGGCGGGTACTCCGATAGTTGACAAGGGCCTCGTTTGGCTCCCAGGTGGCGTGATAATGCGATTTATCCTGCCATTTAATATAGAACTCAAAATGTGACCGGTCGACTCCGGCGTCATTAGGGTCAACTCCGTCCTTACGCCGATGATTGAGAACGACATCAACCGCAGGCCGAGTATCTTCCACATAGCTACCGGCCCAATAGTTCTCCGTGGCCTCATCTGGGTCCTCAGCGAAAATGTCGTCATCTTCATCTTCGTTGTAGTTGGAAACCTTGGCAGTGTTTCGGGTCGAGAAACGAACTTCAGTGAATGAAGGTTCGGCGCTTGCAGCTTGCTTCAGACGCCTTCGCCGCGCCTTGCTTGACTTGCCACCATATTCATCGCTATCACTTTCCGAAAAAGACGAGATAGTCCCAGACCGTGAGGTCTTAGAGGGTTGTTGGGACTGTTCCTTGCGCCGGCGCTTGGAGCGAGGCGCAACTGCATCGGATTCGGATTCAGACGAGTCGACGAGATGACGGGTTGTACGTGCGCGACCACTACGACGTAGGCCATAAAGATCAGGATTCTGGCGCATAAACTCAGTTTCATCCAGCGGCGATGATCTTCGTTTCATGCCTCGGTCTGGTTGCGGTGATGAAGAGTTTTCACGGCTTGACTGGTCTAGCCCATCACCGCTGTTCTCGGCAACGGCATCGTCATCCTCCTCATCTTCTTCTCCATCAGAAACCTGAGATTCGGCATCATAAGAGTCGTCTGCGGCATCGGGCTCGGGGGAGGACTCGGAGACGGGATGGGACTCGAAGGGTTCGGATGGGCTGCGCTCGCTTTTGGTGACCAGGTCGACCTCCGCTCGAGGATCAGCGGTGGCTAGTGAATGCGAGTAGCCATTCTGCATTGTTGAGGTAGAAGGAGGTTCTTGACCTGATGGGATCACCATGCTAGATGCTATGACCGGAGGGGCAGTCAGCATTGGAGCTCAATTCGTCGTGTCCGGCACAGCAAATACGGCTAAGGGGGTAGAGCAATGGTACGCGATTCAAACCGCAGAGTAATTAAGCTTAATGTCCATGAAATAGGGTAGAATAACAGGTCTGATGAAGATCGATGTTTTCTGATGACGGGTGGGATGAACGCGGGCAGGCGTGCAGATGCAGCCACGGGGAGATTGACCTCAGGCAGTTCGCTCAAGAAGCCCATCCCCTCAGAGACCATATCCTGCAAGACCACATCTTCCTCGACCAGAACAAGAAAAGAGAGAATCCAAAGTTCTGGCGGTGGGTCGAAGCACGCGGAGAACGCGGGCAAAGCGCTTGAGCGACACGGTTGTCGCTTGGGCAAGGAGAGAAAGAAAATCACTTACACTCCATAGCGTGGTGACCCCGCAAAAGGGGAGACTAGGGTATCAATGTGAGAAATGAATGGTGGGCAGAGAAGGTGATGACGCAGTCGGGGCGAGGCAAGAAGAGACGATTGAGGGAGAAGAGTTGGGGGAGGTTTGATTCGGTTTGGTTTGGTTTGCAGACCGATCGGCTTGACGGCCTCGCCCTTCAGGCAGAGAGCCACTACCAATTGTGGACTAGCGTAGCTCGCTTCTCGAACAACTGGCAATCACGTGGTGATGGTCCGGACCACCAGCGGAAGAACTCCTTCGCCGTTTGCCGCCCGCATCAACTCTTCTTCCGCCACCGCTTCCATCCACCAATCAGCGGCCCATGAAATAATGCATCCGCCCGCGCCGGGCGGTCACTGGGCGGGAGACGCCTCAGGCAGCGCAGCCCACAATAGGGAAAGAAAGAAAGCCGTTCAATTCTGCCCCCCTTCGACGTTGCGATTGTCCAACTCTCACCCCGTGTTCTCGAGTCTGCGCAGACCCTTGGTGCTTTCCTGCACCCGATTTCTCTCGCTGCGCCGGTGTACCTCTCAGCCGACTCGCCGTTCTTGCAAGCGACAAGCCCCACCATCAAAAATCTTGTTAGCCGCTGGGATACCTGATCGTGGTTCTTGAAGACCAAACCCGCCACCATGTCTGACAAGCTTACCCGGTATGTTTTACGACTGTTCCTCGCACAGCCTTGCATTTTCCTAACGGTTCTTTTCTGTCCAGTATTGCCATTGTCAACAGTGACAAGGTTTGTCCTTTCAATACCCCGCTAACCGCGTTCTTCGCGCCCCGTTTCACCTCGATCATGACCGGCTCACATTTTACTTTTCGATATACAGTGCAAACCGAAGGTATGGGGTCTTGCAGGACATCGATATTGATTTGCCGAGACTGATTCGATGTTTTACAGAAATGTCGCCAGGAGTGCAAGAAGTCTTGCCCCGTCGTCCGCACGGGTAAGCTCTGCATTGAAGTTGCCTCCGACTCGAAAATCGCCTTTATCTCCGAAAGCCTGTGTATCGGTTGTGGTATCTGCCCCAAGAAGTGTCCTTTTGGCGCCATCAACATCATCAACTTGCCCACCAACTTGGAGTCCCAGGTCACCCACCGCTACTCCGCCAACAGCTTCAAGCTCCACCGTCTTCCCATGCCCCGCCCCGGCCAGGTGCTTGGTCTCGTTGGAACAAACGGTATCGGTAAAAGTACCGCACTGAAGATCCTGAGTGGCAAGTTGAAGCCTAACCTGGGCCGCTACGACAACCCCCCGACTGGGAGGAGATTCTCAAGTATTTCCGTGGTTCGGAGCTGCAGAGTATGTGCCACGACTTTCACAAGAAACGGATGGGAAAACGGCTGACACAAAATAGACTACTTTACCAAGGTTCTGGAGGACAATTTGAAGGCTGTCGTGAAGCCTCAGTATGTCGATCAGATTCCTCGCGCTGTCAAGGGTCCTGTCAAGCAGGTTGAGGAGCTCATCAAGGCCCGTGACCAGCTGGATAACATGGAGGAGATCATGAATGTTCTTGAGCTGAAGCAAGTTGCCACCCGTGATATTGACCACCTCTCTGGTGGTGAGCTGCAGCGTTTCGCCATTGGTCTGGTTTGTGTGCAGAAGGCCGATGTGTAAGTGCATTTCAATCTTCCCAATTGCCTCGCAGCTCACTTATTCAATTGCAGATACATGTTCGACGAGCCGTCATCTTATCTCGATGTCAAGCAGCGTCTGGCTGCCGCTCGTACCATTCGTGGCCTGCTTCGTCCTGACGACTACGTCATTGTCGTCGAGCACGATCTTTCGGTTCTCGACTATCTTTCTGACTTTATTTGTGTGCTCTATGGTCGTCCCGCTGTTTATGGTGTTGTTACTCTGCCTGCCTCTGTTCGCGAGGGTATCAACATTTTCTTGGACGGTCACATTCCCACTGAGAACTTGCGTTTCCGTGAAGAATCCCTCACCTTCCGCCTGACGGAGGCTGGTGATGATTTTATTGCCGACAAGGCCCGTGCTTTCGCATACCCGAAGATGGAAAAGACTCTTGGCAATTTCCATCTCAAGATTGAGCCTGGAAGATTTACTGACTCCGAGATTATCGTCATGATGGGTGAAAATGGAACTGGAAAGACCACATTCTGTAAGATGCTGGCCGGTGCCGAGAAGCCCGATCATGGCGCTTCCGTTCCCAAGATGAACATCAGCATGAAGCCTCAGAAGATTACTCCCAAGTTCCAGGGTACCGTGCGTCAGCTTTTCTTCAAGCGTATCAAGGCTGCTTTCCTCTCCCCGCAGTTCCAGACTGATGTCTACAAGCCGCTCAAGCTTGACGACTTCATTGATCAGGAAGTTCAGAATCTGTCTGGTGGTGAATTGCAGCGTGTTGCCATTGTCCTGGCACTGGGTATTCCCGCCGATATTTACCTGATTGATGAGCCTAGTGCTTACCTGGACTCTGAGCAACGTATCGTGGCTGCTCGTGTCATCAAGCGTTTCATCATGCACAGCAAGAAGACTGCTTTCATTGTCGAGCACGATTTCATCATGGCTACCTATCTTGCGGACCGTGTCATTGTCTTTGACGGTCAGCCGTCCGTGGATGCTCGTGCCAACACCCCGGAGTCTCTGGTTACTGGATGCAACAAGTTCCTGCGCAGTTTGGATGTCACTTTCCGTCGTGACCCCAACAGCTACCGCCCCCGTATCAACAAGTACCAGAGTCAGATGGACCAGGAGCAGAAGTTGGCCGGCAACTACGTAAGTATTTCAAATTTCCTGAATCAACTCCAGTTAAACTCGCTAACCGTATGACTAGTACTTCTTGGAAGAGGAGGCTTGAAGAGGGCATTGTTCATGAGCATCATCGCCGCTATCGCAACCGCGATGGCCGCGATTCTCAGCGGCGGCGCAAGCGGCGTCGTGGCGACCGAGGATTCGGGTTTTTAATGACGTTTCCGGGTGTTTGCAGAACATTGGTTGCTCGGGGGAGACCGCCTCTCTCCTCAACCAGGGCTTCAGCTATACATGGTTTTCTGGAAGATGATGATGGTGATGACGACGATGATGGTTGACTGGATATCGAGGAAGGCTCTGGCTATGATGCAGTAACATCATTCACTTGTCTTTTTTCCAGCCTACATGACTTCTTCGACGTCTTGAGATTACCAAGTATCCCTTGGCACCTCATCATCTACCTTACAACCCATGTATCAAAGCTTGCCCCGGTTTTACTCGACAGCCTACGTTCACGATTCCCTATAGGTGGACGCAAACACCTGTTGTCAGATCTTTCACTGAACTCCTTTTTTTTGAAGAAAATTCAGTTGGGAGGTTTTTGATTGGCATGATTACAGTACTGGAGTTCTTTTCTTTTATTATGGGTTCAGGATCCGGTTTCTAAAAGCTTTTCCATGACTTGACGATCGGCATAGAGGTGGATTTCTTCTTAGGACTGGCCGAAGTAGTCATTGGGTGACGTGACGGTCATTGTTGAATAGCTAGGGTTTCTTGCATATGGTCGAACATTTATCGATGGTTCGAAGCCATTTTTCTTGCACATTTACTATTTCCTTCTTGAACTCCTTCATTTTCGTGTTTCTGTAGAATAAAAACATGGTAATTTCTGAGATGCTTGTGCAAGCCCCCAGCCTATGCGCATAAGAACTGTTTCATCATATTGAAAAGCGGTAAAAAGCTATCGTTTTCTTAAATATACGTGTGTACATAGTATATATAGTGTATCCTAGCCACCGTCTGCGTCTCAGGGTGCAACACTCTCAAAATGGGCTAACGTAAACATTTGCTCCTCTTGAATTTTCAAGATCTCCCTGGTAACACAACAAAATGACTTTTCCTCGACGCAAAATAGATTGTAAACAGTGCCACCAAAATATAGTTCATTTTCCCTGGCATTGTGCTTCCTCTAAATCGAATAAACGGCTTTATGGAGCCTTAAATCATGGAATATAAAGTTAATTTTCTGCTCTTAATACGGCAATTCAGATAATTAATACTCCACTTAGTAGGTATCCGTCACCTTACTGAAACTTTCCAGGGCCAAAAGTGCGCAATATAGGGTCTGGATTTGCTGCGAGATCGGTTTGCCATCATGATTAAGCTGCAGCACTTGCTTGAAAACACGGATGACATCACATCTTCTTTCTAACGTGACCGGTCCATATTCGGATAGTATGGCGGGGTGTCCTTTGCCTGAGACAATGAACCAGTGTAAAGATGTTCCCTGAGTTTCGCCATCCAGGATGAGAAGGTTCTGCTGGAAAGTGACAGCCAAATCCAGAGCACGATCAAGAAAGATGGTTCCATATGTCCAGAGGGAAAGGGCTGCGAAATAAAGGCATGTGGTGCAAAAGTTTGTCAAAGATCCAGCCGGCATAGATTTTGCAACACGCAGTATTTGGCCAGCATGCCAACATGCCTGGCGGAAATTTGAAGTGCCAACATTATCTGCGATAGTACGTCGGGCCTCAATCGCCTTCTCTTGACCATCCTTACCAGCGAATGCCTCCAAAATGTCAAGTGGCACGTACAGAGACAGTGAAATGGTTTGGTGAACCAAAGACACAAGCGGACTGCTTGAAACCAGGGACTCGACAACTGCAACGCCAAATGTTTCGAGAACCTTTTGCAACTCCCTCTGCCAGGACTGGAAAAGAAGATTACCCCAAGAGCCGCATTGTCCATTACGAGTATGGTTACAATCAGCGACAATGGTATAAATTCCATGGACAGAAATTAAGGCGGCTAATTGATAGTCTCCGATATCAGGGAATTGTCCCAGTGCTGATAGATCTCTCAAGACGTCTGCAAGAGATGGTATCTTTCTGCAAGATTGGTAGCTTCCTTCAGTGTAAATTTCCTTCCATTCTTTGGCCGTTCTTGCTTCCCAAAGCCTCCGATCGCAGGGGAAAGGTAATGTTAACTCCGCATGAGATATCAGTGGGTTAGTAGAAAGAAGAATGGCCGCTTGTATATCGTGAAGGAACATATGATAGACAAGTCTAGAAAAGTGTCTCAGTAAGATGGCTGTTGCTTGCTCGAAATTTACTCACCTTTTATATGATTCCAATTCTACCCATTGATGCCAGAAAATTTCAAGCTCTTTTTCGTCCGCTGTATTTGGGGGCACAATATCGGCGTACTCTTGGTCCCTGAAGCGGAATGTCCGGCGTAACATCTTTCATATTTGGTTAAAAAAAGTCAACCACAATGCGTCTTTTTGTACATACTGTCACAAGAGGTTGCTCTAAACTTTCAGCGATTTCCATTCGCCGTTTATCTCCACTCCACAATCCAACCTGCAATACCAATGCATATGCCTGCTGCGAGCGCAAATTTCGTGTCAGACTATTGTCGTTTTCAATCTGTGAATGTTATTATTGATCTCAAACACATGTTGCGGATAATATAGTCTTACATTTTGGGTTAGGTGGATTCTCGCAATTTCAAGCAAGGCATAACCGAGACGTTTGAGTGCATCATTGGACGATAAAACAGCCCCTGCAGCAGCCAGAGCGATAATGAGCTCAGGGCGCTGTTGTTTCAAATCTATCGTAGGCTCGTGTATCCACGCATCAAGCTCTTTTCTTTGCTGGTTGAGAAATTTCTGTATTAGTCTATCCAACAACTTAGCACTTGGAAAACAGTCCAGAATCCGATCAAAATTCCGCTGTCGACAAAGTGTCGCTACAACCGCAAATGCCGAGTCTCGACATGACGCAGAGAGACGTTCAAATGTAATAGGAGTGGAAGACGGCCTATCTAAATGTTCTGGAATCGACAAATATCGCTGGTCCATATAGGCATTATCCTCGGCGCGTGGCGTCCAGTGGGCAAGAGGAGAATTGTGTAACGCTTCTGTTTCGGATATAACGGATGATTCTAGTTCTTTTGGTGAAGAATGATGTTCTGAAGCAGTCTTTGGCCGATTAAAGCTTGTACTGCTATTTAGTGAATCCAAAAATTCAAGATCGGCTTTGGTCAAGTTGAAATCGAAACTTGAATCTGGTCCTAAGCTTTCCTGGGGTTGACTCTGCTAAGTAACATAAGGGATTTAGTCAAGGCTCAAATGGAAGTAAAGCACTTATAAATACCATTGAAGGGAGCCAGTCAAAGTCTGAAAGCCGACTCTCCTGAAGTGAATCCTCACAGAAATTACAGTTTTCATTTGCATCGTCTGTAGTGGGTTTGGATGCTGCAGAAGTGATATCAGATTGTTTGCCATTTTCAGACTCTTGTGTTTCTATTGAATTTGGAGACCCTTTGTTTTCTGTCCTAAGTTAGTGAAGCTTGAGCGGATCGGTCATAGGTATGTACCTTGCCTTTGAATTTTAGTGGTAGTGAAGATTCTCCATCTTGCTCCGATTCACATTTCAGGCCTCGTTTAACACATCGACTACAAGGCTTCTCATTATCACATTTGAGTTTTGATGCAGCGCAGCTCTTGCATGCTCGTAAAACCCTTGGCTGTAGGTGTGCATCTTGTTCTGCATCTAAATGGGAGCGACGATGACAATGTTTATGGCTCCGAGAATGTCGCCGCAGAAGATCCCTTCCGAAAATGTGAGGTCCTGAACTGGAACTATGATATGATATACCTACATTCGCGCAAACCTCCGATGGCATCTTTCACAAACAAACGGCCTTTCAGAAGTATCTGAGACATATTAGCAGAAGTATCTCGGAAAACATCCGGACGAAATAGAGACCCAGGCTACGCAAGCAACCAAACTTCGACTACTGAACAAGGAGCACTCCACTTACGAGATCGAATATGTCGAATGAGGTGGTCAGCGCGCGTATAATTTCTCTTGCAATGGCCACATTGGTAGAGACCATTTCCACCGCGGACTGGTTTCTGGCCTATATCACTCATGCTGGCGTACGGAACAACTTCAGATTGTTCGCTGTCACTCGTATTTGGCTAGGAGCAGACTTTATTATAATCAAAGGGTGTAATATCATCAAGCGAGGTTGGATAAGCGATTGAGACTCCGTAGACCGCGATGTGAATGTTGGAGACCGTGCCTCGGGATGTGGGCATCTCGCCCACATCCCGAGGCACGGGCTCTCATCAAGAATCCCATCCCCGCATTCTTATTTAGATCAACTCAAGTGAAAATTTATCCATGATGGTGGTTTATTCAAGCTGGGCAACCTTAAGACTGTAGTACTCACATTCTGCGCCACGGATATTAAACATGCTTTGATGTTGAAGTCTACAGTGCTATCTAGCACAATAAGCAAGCAAAGAAGATCTTGATATATGGCAAGAAAACAAATATGCTTCGCATTGGGTATGAACTTGATCCAAATGAGAGAAAACCCAACATAACAAGGGTAACTATCAGCTCTGGACAGCGAGCACGAACTTTTTATGCCCTTTCAGTGCCCTTTAAATTATCCCCGCGAATTAGATCCTCAACACGCACCCGATGCCACGCATTAACCAGATTACCCCGAAAATTCCAGGTTGGGCCATGTGTATCAGGCTGAACGTTGTATGCTTCGTCAACGGCCTTAACAACCACAAAGCTTCCCGCTGGCGGCCGTGGACATCGATATTTCCATAAAGACCAGCTCCATGTCTTATGGCCATGTTGCTTGTGAGGTTCAATTTGAGCTTGCTCCCAGGTTTGACCATTGTCGACACTGACATCGACACGGATGATACGCCGACCACCTCCAGAGAAGGCATAACCTTCAACAACAATTGACTCGGGGTCATTTTGAATTGCAGTGATTGCCGATTGGACGGGGGTCTCTTGTATTGCGGGAGCTCTATCCCAGTCAACTTTCTCACGCAGTTCATTCGGACCAAAACATTTATAGTCTCGCTGTTGCCATTGCGACGGACTTTCTTCGTCCGAGAGAGTGATTCGATTGACCCATTTGACGTTCCTTGCACCCGTAAATCCTGGCACGATAACTCGAACAGGGTATCCGTGATCAGGAGGTAGTGCCTCGTTATTCATCTCACAGGCAAGAATCACGTCTCCACGAGGGTCAATGGCTTTATCTAGAGGTATCGATGTGCCATACGAATCCTCGCTCAAAAACTGGGCATGGCGCAACTCTTCTGGGAGTCTATTCAAGTCAAGGCCCGCATCCCTGAGGACATCACGGAGAAGTGGACCACGCCATTCAGCGTTACTGATAGCTCCGACATCCCATTTTAGGCCACTTGCCTCCCGATGCGAGCCTTCAGACATGTGGGTCCGTCGATTGCCGGAGCACTGGACCACGGCCGTGATAGAGTATTGCGGAAATTTGGTTCTCAGGTCATTGAGTGTGTATGTTTTTGCGTCGGAGCCATCCCCGATATCAATGGTCATCTGCCATGATGTCTCATCGATATGAGGGACCCAGAAGTGGTGCCGAATATAAAAGAATGGTGTCTTCGTGATGAACGACGAGAGAGCGGCTGGAGGCGTCTCCGCGTTGCACGGTCGCGGAGTTAAAACTACCAGACCCGGATCGCGCTTTGGATCGTCTCTAAAGGGGTCATCAATCGAGTCATGCGGCACTTGTCCATCAATCAAGTCCTGTGGATCCACATCCCCGATGCGGTACTGCTCCAAAATTTGGTAAACATCTTCCCTTTTGTGGATGGAGAATATATCCCAATAGGGCTCAATAGAGGAACCTGCTGCGCGAAGAATGATCTTTCCTCCAGGATGAGTAGGTATCCAGTCTGTAATGTCATAAACTCCAGTCCCTTTAATGATCCACGGTCGTTCAGCCTCTGCGCCATGTTGACGGATTTCGTCCAAGCGCCAGATATTCTTGCGCTCTTTCCTGACAATGAAATCAGCACCGAAAGGGGCGTCCGCCAACAACTCGGAATTAGAATTATGAAAAGCTACCACTGCGACAGAAGCAACCAATGTTATGGTTAGTCCTGCGATAGACCAGCTAGTTCTGGAGTTGTTGGGCGGGCTTGCTGGACTGTTGCTAGATTTAGTGCTATATGCCTTCCTGGGAGTAAAACCCGGGGCTCGGCAAGCTCTGATTGCCAGGCATGGATACAAGTCTTGCGAGAATTTCTTGCATGGCAGGGAATTTGATATGCACGGTATATTCCGGGAGGGAATGGCGAGCTCAAGACAACTTTGCCGAATTTGAAATATAGATCCCGTTAGACGCACTCGACCCCTGAGGTAATGAGCCGACTGCATGGTAAGTCCCCAAATTATTGACTTGAAGGCAATTTCCGTGGTGTAAATGAAGCCATTCACAGGCGCGTCATAACAAGGAGACCTGATGCTTGAGCGACTCTCGCATCATTGGAGAGAGAAAAGGCTCGAAAAGCGGAGGAAGTCTTCAATCTGCGGGGGGATCGAACCCATCCTCGTACCTATATAGATGGGACGCGAGACGCAATGCATACTCCCTCTCGGGCGACTCGGGAAGGCATTCGGACTGTCGCTTCGTGCAATCGCCGATTCAACTTCTTGTTGCTATTCCCCGATTCCCCGATTCTAGCCGTCTCGGGAGAAGGTCCAAGCGCCTCTGCTCACTTAGCTGAGCATCCTCTAACTATAGCAACATAGCAGCAGCCTGTAGATAGTGCCAACGGTACACTATGCTGCTCCTATAAATCTATATCTCATATTGGTCCCAGTAAATGATTGAGAGCAAAGTCAAGTCTATAAATTTGTCCCAGCTCGTAAACGGACACCTCATTCGCCCCTTTGGCCAGCCGAGCCGATTGCCCGAGGTTCAATCGGCGACTGACTCGACATCTTATTAGTTCAGAGGTGATACATGAGATCATCCTTGGAAAATAGAGCCCGATAAATCTTCAAGGTATTGGGTCAAAGGATACGATTTTGAACAGGGACGGATGAACAATGCGTGGCTTGAAGCTCCTCTCATCTGTTCTACGTATATAAAAGTTGGGGAAGCCGATACCCATGATATATACATATAGACGTATACTGTTACGTGCGACCCAATCTGCTTCCTCGCATATCCCATTATTGATTTTCCAGTTTTCTCATGATTGGTAGAACTACTTGAGAAGTAATGGGGTTATGGCCTAGCTCCTTCGTAGTTTTGCCGCCAAGTTGTATTCTCGATGCTGAACATACAATGAACTCAAATTTGGCACTTCGTAGACCTCGATGAAATATTATTGTGCTCGTCCAGTATACAGAAAATAGAAAAGGGCGGTTAGTTAAGGAAATGGTGGAGAGAAATCTCGTTCACATGGTAGCTTCAAAGAGGCCTGGCACCTGAGTCATACCCTTTATGCATCTAATCCTCTTCAATCTCACCCTCCTCGCTACCCGAGTGAATAGCTTTCTCATCCTTCTTCGCCTCTTCCTCAGGGATAGCAGAAGGCTCCCGTCCACCGCGTCGCGGACCCTTGCTACGGTCCCGTTCTCGGCTATCACGGCGGTGCCGCTTGGCAGAGCGACTGGCCACACTTTCAGTGTCACTGTCGCGTCTGCGTCGACGATCTGTGCTGCCCGTGCTGCGGCTGTCACCACCATAGTCGAGCTCATCACGGCCACCGCGTGGGTCACCGCGGGTACGGTATAGACGCTCACGCTCATCCTCGCGTCGATCAAAGTCTCTGGCGGGGCGGCGTTCATAGTCCCGATCCCGATCGCGCTCTCGCTCACGATAACGATCACGGTCGCGATCACGATCTTCGCGGCGATCACGAGATGGGGAGAGGCCGCTGACCTTGCGGTAAGACCGTTCACGGTCTGCCTGTGCCTTGCGCCTGTCTGCTTCATAGGCATCTGGCTCAGGCGAACGGCTCACACGGCTCCCACCTCGTCGTTCTCCACGGCTGCTGCGGTATTCACGATCCCCACGGTCATAGTCTCGACGACTTCGATCGCGATCGCGCAGCTCACGATCTTTGTCGTCTTCCTCTTTCTCTTTAAGACGGCGAATGACCTTCTCAAAGGCAGACTCACGAATCTCGTCCGATTCAACGGCCTTGTACTCTTCGTATTTTTCGAGACGAGCCTTGATATCCTCCCATGTGTCACTAACGCGGACAGGGGGCTCGAGGCGTTTAATGCGAGAGCGCAAAGCGTCAACAGCGCGGCGTTGATGACGATCAGCCGCATGCTTTTCCTCTTCATCTCGGCGAATTGCCTTGTCTTGGATGCGCTGGAAGATGAGGTTAAGGATGTCAGCGTCAATCTTGGAGGTTCGTCGGTCAGAGGCCACGATGGAATTGAACTCTTCGAAAGTAGTCTTGGAGGTAACCTCAAAGCGTTGGTCCTGGGAGAATTTCTTAGTACAGTCCAAGAGAGAAAGGAAATATCGGTAATCACACTCACATCGAGAACATCTAGTACATCGTTGCGAGGCCCGCGCAGGGTGCGCTCTTCTTCTTCGACGACATCCCAGAACAGATCAAGAGGAGTCGATCCAGCCTGTCCCAGAATCGCCTGATATCTAGGATCATTTTGAATCTCCGGGCGGATATTCATCCACTTTGTACCCGCTTTGATCTTGCCTTGAGACCGCAATTCCTTCAACAGTTCCATGAACTGCTCCCGGTTGCGACGTTCCTTTCTTGCTCTAACAGCTTTCTGCTCTTGGCGAGCATCGTTGAAAGCGCGCTCCAAAGACTTGATGTGATTTTCAAATGCGGTCAGAATATCGGATTTGCTCAGGGTCTTGAACTTATCGTCGCCCTGAACCTTGTCATTGGACTCAATAACTGCCTGGGCTTCCGACCACCGCGTATAAGGCTCAAGATTGAGCGAGTTAAGAATGCTAACCAGTTCATTCAAGGCAGCCTTCCGTGTCGCAGCATCTTCTTCAACGTGAGCTTTTTTGAGTTCAATCACGTACTCTTCAAATAGCTGGCGTCTTTCATTCTCATCGTTGGTAGCCCGGAATGTGGTCTCTCCCTCGATAATGGGACGGATGGTTTTCCAACGACTGTAATGCTTGATTTCAGGATGCCGTTTCAGCATAGTATTGAAATCTGCGCGGAGCTTAGCGAATCTTTCTTTCGCCCGATCCTTTTCCTGCATGCGAACCTCGATCGCATATTTCTCAAAAGCTGCCTTGCGGTCGCGCGGATCCCGGAGGGAACGATACTGCGAATCATTGATTGTCGCTCGCATGGTCTGTTCCCAGGTCCAATCAGGCTGCACATTGTGTCTCTTGAGCATCTTCATGAATGCGCTTTCCGCCTCTTCGAGTGAGCCGTACTCGGGTTCGGACTGAGTTGTCAATGCAGGCGCAGCGACCATTCCATTCGTCTCGTAGGATCCATATCCGCGGCGATCACGTTCGCCATATCCCCGGTCGAAGTCTTCGCGGTCGCGGTCGCGGTCACGGTCACGGTCACGGTCACGATCACGGTCACGGTCACGGTCACGGTCACGATCACGGTCGCGATCGCGCTGAGAGGGTTGTGAGAAGGAGCTGGAACCACCCGCTACGAAGGAGGGAGCACTGCAAGTTTATTAGAAGATATGAAAACGAGCGGAATGGGATGTAAACTTACGCAACTGGAGGGGCCGGTGCAGGTGGTGCTTGTGCAAGCGCATTCTTGTAAGCCTCCGGCATCTCCCACGTACTTTGTTTGCTTTCCGTATGATACCAGTACTTGCGCCCTCCATCTGTCGTGTATTCCTTCCATGGTTGGTTTGCAAGAGCGCGCTGAAGGAGGAGAAAATATGGTTAGCGACATCGGGTAATGGGGGACAGTTGGTGCAACAGACCTCGACGGGTGTCATCAACTCGGCCGGTTTGGCCCACTGCGTTGCCTTCGTCTGCACATTGTAATAGTAGACCCGCCCATCGGTATTCCGGGCCTCCTGCCACAAAGCGGGGGCTCCCGACGGACCATTCATTGGGTTCATGGTTGACACTGGACGACGAGAAGAGAAGATGTGAAAAAGAAAGGTCCGGGCGCGCGGATTAAGCTCGGATGTTTGTGTTGTTTGCACTCTAAGCTTATCGCCCGCTCGGCGTTGGTATCTCCTTATTGCGCGCAACACTCCGATTTACTTCCCTGGGAGCCTGTTGACAGTTGCATGCGACAAGAAGTTGTCGCAATGCCTGGCCTGGAGATTCCCGGTGAATTTCTGCGGCATGCTGTTCTAGACACAGTTGTGCCGCATGCCCCGGGGCTGGATATCGAAGGTGCCCTGACCTCGGCCCTGGAGGATGGTGCAGATGACCTTCCCTCAGTGCTTTCCTCAATCCCTCAGCGCGCTTTGCTCTTTTTTGGTATGTAACGGGACGTTAGATTGTACAATGTGTAGATCTCTTACTGACTCCATCCAGATGAATTCCTTCCCGTCCGTATCGTTCTGCGACTCTCGGACTGCACAGAAGCGATCCTCAAACATTATTTACCCCGTCTCGAAATCAGACTCGATGTCTATGCGGTAGACCCAGCAGAGTCGGTGGCAGAAAACCCGACGCCGACTCGCGAAGTGATATTTTCTGGTATTGTGGACACCGATGAGGAGCCATTGGTGATTTTCAATGAGTTTGAGGGTGAAGCCGGAACGGGGAACCACGTCTACCTCATTTGGAACTTGGATACATTCCTCCGTGAGTTCACTCGTATCCCCAGGAAATATATTGCGTCGCTGACGATATGAAGGACGCCCGCGAAATCGCATCCAGCATCCATCTCTTCTATTCATTGCGTCCGCCAGTCTCAGTCCTTCCGAAACCTGCCTACCCGAAGAGAATGAAGATGATTATCTACCCGCACTCGTCCCTGCGTCAACGAATATGCTCCAGGCTCTATCTGGAGATAAATCTCTCACCCAGAAAGAGCCATTTCTTCCTGCATCAAGATTGTTACGGGTGGTACCAACCACGTCCACTGAAGACCCAATATACAATATCCAACAACAACATGGTCATCCCTTCCGTGTGGTACCTGCTGCCAGTGCGCGGATTCGCTATTCTCGGTTGAGTTCTTACACTGGCCTCCCGACAACCATTGCGAGTCTTGATTTCGAAGTGACACCGTTTCTGAACAGTGAAGTCTCGTTCGACAAAGCAGAGCTACACCTATCCGACGGCACCATTGAGAGTATGTCAGATGTTCCGGGATTGTCACTTCCGCTGACCTGCCGACCTCGGGATGATGTGACTCTTGTCTACAAACTGACTCCAGACTATGGACCTGAGACAAATCCATCAACGACGGCCATGATTAGCACGCTCGACATCTCCCTCGGGGCTGTTATTCTCCTAGATGATACCTGCCAGCCCCGAATCTCGATGCAGTGGAAAACCAACGTCGATTTCTCCATGGCTCTCAATCCGACCTTCGGCAGCCCCAGCCCAGCGTTGCAGAGGACCAATCGTCCTTCGAGCCTCTCCGTTGGCCAATCTGGCCGACCGGGTACTGCTCCCAATATCCGGAGCTCTTTACGCGAGCGTGCTTATTCGATCACCGATGTGGGTGTCACCATCTCGTTCTCGGGACCGGTGCGCGTGCAGGTTGGATCGCCGTTCTCCTGGGACGTTTTCATTGTGAACCGCTCCAATATCCCTCGCAAGTTCGCGCTGATCGCGATTCCGCGGCGGAAACGTGTCGACCCACGAGGCCACATGGCCCGTCCCTCTTCATCTTCGATATCAAGCCGGAAGGAGGACCAAGTGGCCGAAGCTGTTACTGATGATAATATTGTGCATGCGATGCAAAAGAGCGTTGCGGGCCAGGATGCTGAGTTAATCAGCCTTAGCACCGATATCCGGGTCGGGTAAGTTTCTTCCTTATTATATTGACTCCTTCCGCGCGGGTCATTGACACCAACCTTTGCATAGTCCCCTTTTACCTGGAACATGCCATTCAACAGAATTGAAGCTTCTACCCTTGGCAACTGGTCCCCTTCATCTCGAAGCGGTGCGCCTTGTGGATGTGAACACGAACGAAACGACTGATATTCGAGATCTACCAGACATTCTGGCAGACGACCAACCTCGATCATCTTCATAAACTCTAAAAATGGCCGCGGGTACTGTATATTTTGAATGTGTATGAGCCTATCACAGAAATTCACCCAACCCTTATGACACATCAGTCTGTCACAGTAACAAAAATTGCGCAAAGAACCGTACTGTAGCTGCCTGGCGGGCCAAGCCCCCAGGTCCAATGCTGATAGGTCGAGCGATAACCGCGCGCGCGCAAGGCTGAGCGGACAAGTCGTCACCGCCCAATGTTGTGTTGCCCGTGACTTTCTGTTAGTCAGAAAATCATGGAGCGGAGTCGCATCATCCACTTCGATCCGGGGTAGAGACATCCTCCTCTTTGACTTGTAACCTGCTCCTTCCTCCCCTCTTCGTCTTATCGTCGTCCCAGGGGAAAAGCCAAGGACTTACCCAAAAAGGAGCCGGATACCGGTCCAACGCCTCCTGTCGCTCTGGTTCCCGTTCGATTTGCGTCATTCTGGCGCGCAGCCGCCCAAACTTCCCCGGCTGGAAATCTTGCCTTCGATCACCCAAATCTCCCATAAAGCGGTGCCACATCCACCCTTTGTCGCCATGATTACTTCCGTGAAGCGAAAAGTCCTGGATGGACTAAACAGACGATACATCTACGGTCGTGTGGTAAGTCGTCTCCTGGGCTTCTCGGTCGCCCCTTGGTACCGTCTTGCCCTATAGAGTGCTGATCGTGGTTGTTCTATGATTATCTAGCCACTCCTGCACACGATCATTTTTCTCGTTGAGATGGCCGTAGCAACTCGAATTGCGGCCAAGTTCAACACTTACTATGCAGAAAAGCCAGGTAAGCCGCCCACCCCGCCGGTTCCCGCGAGGATGTGCGACCAGTGACTAACCAGTTACGCAATGATAGTGCTCACCACAATGGTGACCAACGCCGTAAGCCTCTCCCTCTTGCTCTTGACAACACACATTCCGCTCTTTCTTGAATTTCCCGCGATTTCCCGCACATCAGAATGATTATTAACGACGGATGAATACTACAGGTGCTTGGTGGGGTCGCCGACACCGTTGCGCAGTTGATCACGGCGTTCAAGGCTCGCTCGGAACAAAGATCCCAGGAGAACCAGGATTTCATTTCAATTGAGATTCATGATTTGGATAAGGAGAAGCCGCCTGCGGTTGGGGAGCTGGGCTATACACAAGGCTCACTGCCACCCTTCGATTTTGAGCGATTGACACGGTTCATGGCATATGGTTTCTTTATGGCGCCGGTGCAGTTCCAGTGGTTCGGATTTCTGTCCAGGGCTTTTCCTCTTACGAAGAAGAACCCGAGTATACCGGCCCTGAAGCGTGTTGTTTTTGACCAGCTCATCTTTGCGCCCTTTGGTACGTCGTCGGCCGGTGGCTCTTGTTCTTGGGGATTCAGAGATCCGTGCTGACATGTTCAAATAGGTCTGGCCTGCTTCTTTACATACATGACGATTGCTGAGGGAGGAGGTAAACGCGCACTAACGCAGAAATTCCGAGATGTATACCTACCCACCCTGAAGGCCAACTTCGTGCTCTGGCCGGCGGTGCAAATCCTCAATTTTCGGGTCATCCCTATTCAGTTTCAGATAGTAAGTCGAGTCCGAGTAACGCCAGAGATTATCAACAATGCTAATTACTTCACCCCTAGCCATTCGTATCCTGCATTGGCATTGCGTGGACTGCGTACCTCTCACTGACGAACTCCTCGGAGGAGTCTTGATGACCTGCACCTACCACAGAAATGTCACGTTTAACGAACCCTTCTTCTGGTCTTACACCGCTTGCTTCATGATCTCTTCTTTCTGGCGTCCTGGTTTGTGTTGGTCTCCATTTCTGGCTTCGTGTACAGGGGATATGAATTGGTTTCGTTCTTTGTTTCCATGGGGATACCGGTTGCATTGGGAAAAATGGGTCTCGGGGTTTTCCCTCTCTCTTTCTATTCTTGCACATCGGGAAAGTCGATTCAGGGTACATTCTCAATTTTGCTTATTTCACTCGTCCACTTAATTTTATCTGGGCACTATTTGAAAGCTTCTTAGAAAATCGTGTTCTTCTGCTGTGACTATGCCTAGAGGCACTCTGCCGTGGCCAACACCGTAGCGGCTATGGACAATTCCAGCCTGGCCAATGAAACCCCCGAAACGCGTACCTTGCCTAGTAATCTCCCCAGAATTCCCCGACTCCGAGGCTATAGAGGACCCCAGAGTGCCCGGGCTGTTCCGCATCGACGGGAGCTCTGACATCAGTCCCGCATCAGCCCGATCTATTGTACCCGGAGCAGGTCGGAATACTTCTGGAGGGTGTAGAGACTAAGCTAGAGGTACTTGCACGAAAGTGAGGGCATCACTACTTTTCAAGTACCTCAGTGGAGTTCAACACATCCGTGGCAAGTACTATCCCCTGCGACCACGCTGGATGCGGCCGACCTCCTTCACCGGCCAGCCCCACCACGTCCCTCCAAACGTGCCCCTCCATCCTCTCGACTCGTCGCGACTCACCGTGGCCTGATTTAGATCTCTCTTCTCCCTGTTGCTTTTTCTTCCTTCACCTACTTCCCCCTCTGGCTCTCTTTCTTCGTTTCCGTTCGTCATTGAGGTACTTAACCCATCTCTATAACCTTGTAGCTTCAGGGAGCCCCCTCACTGACTTCACAGACTTCTGCCAACAATGTCGCTCTCCAACAAGCTGAACATCACCGATGTCGACCTTAAGGACAAGCGTGTCCTGATTCGGGTATGTAGCCCCTCTAAGTCTTTACTTCTGCCACTCAATGGCTCATCATTATCATCCCCTCAGGTCGACTTCAACGTCCCCCTCGACAACAACCTGAAGGTCACCAACCCGCAGCGCATTGTCGGTGCCCTGCCCACCATCAAGTATGCCATCGAGAAGGGCGCCAAGGCTATTGTCCTGATGTCCCACTTGGGTCGTCCCGACGGCAAGCCCAACCCCAAGTACAGCCTTAAGCCAGTTGTCCCTGAGCTCGAGAAGTTGCTGGGCAAGAGCGTTATCTTCACCGAGGACTGTGTCGGCCCTCAGGTTGAGGAGACCGTCAACAAGGCTACCGGTGGTCAGGTCGTGCTGCTGGAGAACCTGCGTTTCCACGCCGAGGAGGAGGGCTCCTCCAAGGACGCCGAGGGCAAGAAGGTCAAGGCCGACAAGGAGAAGGTTGCTGAGTTCCGCAAGGGTCTCACTGCCCTGGGTGATATCTATATCAGTAAGTTGTCACTCCGGTTCTCATCGGACTTATGTGCCATCTAATGCATAAGTACTAATGAGTGGTCTTTTTCTCATCTTCCAGACGATGCCTTCGGCACTGCTCACCGCGCTCACAGCTCCATGGTTGGCGTTGAGCTGCCCCAAAAGGCCGCCGGTTTCCTTGTCAAGAAGGAGCTGGAATACTTCGCTAAGGCTCTGGAGAACCCCCAACGTCCCTTCCTCGCCATCCTGGGTGGTGCTAAGGTCTCCGACAAGATCCAGCTGATCGATAACCTGCTGCCCAAGGTTAACAGCCTGATCATCACTGGTGGGATGGCGTTCACCTTCAAGAAGACCCTGGAGAACGTCAAGATCGGCAACTCTCTCTTCGACGAGGCCGGCAGCAAGATCGTCGGCGACATTGTCGAGAAGGCCAAGAAGTACAACGTCGAGATTGTCCTGCCCGTCGACTACGTCACCGCCGATAAATTCTCCGCCGAGGCTACCATCGGCGCCGCCACCGATGCTGAAGGTATCCCCGACGGCTACATGGGTCTGGATGTCGGTCCTGAGTCCGTCAAGAAGTACGAGGAGGTTATCGGCAAGGCCAAGACCATCCTGTGGAATGGACCTCCAGGTGTCTTCGAGCTGAAGCCCTTCGCCAACGCCACCGAGAAGACCCTCGATGCCGCTGTCAAGGCCGCCCAGTCTGGTTCCATCGTCATCATTGGCGGCGGTGACACCGCCACCGTCGCGGCTAAGTATGGCGTCGAGGACAAGCTCTCCCACGTCTCGACCGGCGGCGGTGCCTCGCTCGAGCTCTTGGAGGGCAAGGACCTTCCGGGTGTTGCTGCTCTGTCCAGTAAGTAAAAATGGCACATGGAGGAAGTTCCAGGTTACTCTCCTGTGTTTGTCCGGGACGAGAGACTTTTTAACGAAACTGTAATGTACACAGCCAAAAGCTGTTTATTCCCTTATAAATGACAAAATATTCCTTTCAAATCAAGCCTCCCCCGCTCTGTGCTCTATGCGCTCTATGCGCTCTTGGCGTTTCTATATGCTTAGTAGCTAAGTCTATTTGTGGTCAGATACGCGACCGAAACTGTGAGCGGCCAGGTCCTTCGGGTTTAGTTGCGAGGACCCTGGGGCAAGGGAGCGGGGGTTCCACAAGATATAGCAAGCATATAGAAGTTCAAAATGCCAGACGGGGACACAGTAAAAAAAAACTACAATACAAGCTCTACGCGTGAAACCAGTCTACCTGGAGACCAGAAGGAATAGTGAGATATCTGAAGGGGGGCATCATATGTATTATTCCAGCCGAGTTGCTCGGTTCCACAGAGCAGGCGCTTGTCCATGTCCGCAGCAATGTGTTTAAGGACACGAACCATAAATCCAATAAGATTGGCGGCGGACCCTTGTCCCCTCTAGAAAGACCGCCCGTTCCATCAGCCAAGTTCCTTTGGAAAAGACCCCGGGCCCAGGGCATATCACGGTGCGCGCTTCATCGTCTTCGTTCGTCTCAAATCCATCCAGTCAAGGGGGGGTATAGTTTTGTTTTGTGATGTGCGAGTTAGAGCGTTAAGAGAGCCAACACGTGGGCGTTCTATCAGAAACGAAACGCAAAAACGTAGAGGTATGATCCAGTTTGTCTTTTGCTCTTTAACCTCATCTCCGGTAAGCTTAAACGCCGTTGTTGTCTAGCCTACTGCGACGCCTGGACCTTCTTGAGCTCCTCCCTGCAAAGATAATGCTGTTAGTCTTACTAGTTCATGAAGGCCACCAGACAGAGTGTGGAAGCAAAAGAAAGAATAAAACAAAACAAGAGGACTTCCTCGGCGCAGCAGGGCATGACCGTCCTTTTGCGCACCAGATGAGGCAGCGGGTGGGGGATAAATTCAGGCCCAAACACAAAAATGACTCACTTCAGCTGCTGCGAAAAGTCTTCATCCTTGTCATTATCATCCCAGCTCTCCTCCCACAGGTGCTCGTTCCCGTCGTTGGCTGTTTGCTGGTCGGTCTCTTCCTGGGTCCAGTCTGGTGACGAGCATGGTTAGCGCAAGTGCGCGTGGCCGGGGGGCCTAGAGAGGGACCTGGCATCGCCTTTTACCTTCAACGGGGAAATCCTCGAATTCATCATCTTCCTCCAGCACTTGAGGCTTCTGTTGCTGCTGGGGCTGTTCCGAGGCGTCGGCTTTGGTCTGGGCTTGGGTAGAATTGGACATGGTGTGTGCGGGAGTTGGAGGATGTGGGTGTTGAGGGATATGAGGTGATGGCCAGGAGATTCTGGAGAAGAAGGCGAAAAGAATGGGAAGTAGAAGGGCCTTCCGCAGACAAGGTTTGCGGAGAGAGAAGGGGTTGGTGGTGCTGGTGGTGGATGATGTTGTTTGGATGGGGTTCGTGGTGGTCGAGCTTGGGTCGGTGCTCGGGCGCCTTAGTCAGAGCGATAGGCGATAACGATGATGTATACGGTGATCGACTGCTACTATAGAGAGGAAGGCCCGGTATTCTACCTATCTTTCAGTATTCTAGACACCATCTTGACTGGAAAATTATTAGAATGAGAGTAAAAGCTCAAAGGAGCTTAACATTCTCAAACCAATAAGAGTTAGACCTCGACAGCTCCAAAACGAGCTTGTGGGCACGCTGGTGTCCTACAAGTCTCCTGCGTGGGGCTGGGATCATAGGCCTGGCAAACGTGCGAAGCCTGTACAGACTATGACGTTGATTTCCGATACTCTTCGTAATACGAATTCGTTGCTCGTTGTCACATCTTAGCGGGATCATAGTTCCTGGAAGCGAAGTTGCCGAACAAGCGCATATTTCCCGTTATGCTTCGCCCCTCGGAGTCTCCGGCACGCCAAAGCCCCTCGCAAAGCCTCGCGCCCATGGATTTCAGAGCCATATTTCCTTGGCATTCTAACCTATATAGGCAATTCTGCCTGAATTTGAGGCCTGATATTCTTTTAGAGAAGGGTATCGTAGAAATGAAGGAGAGTTCCTGCGTGAGGCCTTCTCTTGTTAGGCAATCTGGGCGATTCCAAGGCTTCATGGCTTGGGTAAGCCCTGATTGTACGATAGGACTTCCTTATAACGATAGGTTGCTCGAGAAGGCATAGAACGGTCTATGCACAACACCAGCGGCGCCGTAAGCAACTCCCATGGACGATAGCTGGTTTAGTTCGGTCGGGCTTCTTTCGGCCCCTCTGCGGGGATCTTTGTCTTGCATTATCTCTGGGTTGGCCTTCTTCCTTCTTCATAACTCGACGCTCCAGATTCTCTGGACTTGGTCTTCGCCTAGTTGTGTGCCCTTTCAGCCTCACTTGATGTTCTTGGAAGTCCGTCGTGCTCCGCGCATGGGACCGTTGACATTCTTCCCGATCCGTCCTTGATCCCGCTTGCTGCGGCGGACGCTCTCAGAGCTCCGAAGATCCCGAAGAGCGAGAAAACAGTCGCCGTCCCGGTCTTCAATTTTCAAATCTTGTCGAGTTTCGCTCCGTCGGTGATCGATTCGGGATCATGTTGCGCGTTGGGTCCTGGCTGTACGGGAAAAAGCCCGCCAATGCCTCCACCCAATCGCTGGACTCGCTGTCCGAGTTGAAAGACTGTACGTGCGCTCCTCCCGGTCATTTTCTCTGATTCTCTTGGTGCCTGGGGGCCATGGCTGCACGGCTACGAATTCTTTGTGCTAACGGATGATCGCGCGGAGAAGTGGACGAAGCGATGAAAGGTATAAGCCCCGTTGGTCGCACTTGGGGAGGCTCCGACAGCTGACGATGAAACTTAGCGACGACCTTCATCCTTAATGACGACGTGGATGGCGCAGAGAATGGCCTGGCGAACGGCACTTCGACCTTTCATCTTGTGGGTGTGCAATCGGAACCTGACCGATGACGTAGCGCAAGAGGGACTTGTACTGACATTCCCGGGCAGTTGGGACGAGGCATGGTGGCTTTCATTCGGGCGACCTTGGGCTTTGAACAGGAGATTATGCGACAAGGTTCGTGTCTTTGACGTGGGAAAGCGACATTGTCCAGGCTAACACTTTCCAGCTTCCGAACGGCTCAACGAAGCGGAAACCTCAGCCACCAGCGAACAGCACCGGGCGCAACACAACGCCCATGCCCCAAATGTTTTTCATTCCGAGATCTATAGCGCTGGGTCCGAATTTGCGCTATGTCAGGCGATCTCACAACTCCTGGGTGCGGTCGTTGGAGTATTGAACGAGAGTCTGACAGAGAGCATCAAGGCCTTCTACCGCCTACGAAAGGCATACATTACATTAGATGCCATCTTGAAGATGGAACAAAAGTTCATGGAGCTGAGGGATCCCAGCCAGATCCTCCTGCCTACTGCTAGTGACCTCGCCAAAGCCAGTGTCAAGAGGGATTTTAAGTCCGAATCGGATGCATCCAGCGAGTTATCTGCCAGTCCCGTCCTAGCGGTGCCTGCTCGTGCAGTGTCGCCCGACACAAAGGATCTCACTCGATCACTATCAGGCCTGACAGTTACCCCGGACCCTGAACCCGCCTCCGGGACATCGACTCCCAGCGCAGTGAATAACATCAACCACGACCCGGACTCGGATGTCTTCAGCAACGAGATCGACGTGTTTGTCCATTCCGGGGCCAATTTCTGTTTCGGTATCTTACTGCTGCTTATCTCGATGGTGCCACCAGCTTTCGGTAAGCTCCTGTCCATCATCGGCTTTCATGGTGACAAGCAGCGAGGACTGCGTATGCTCTGGCAGGCCAGCAAGTTCCATAACTTGATCGGCGCTATGGCTGCTCTGGCACTGTTGGGATTCTATAATGGGTTCGTGCGGTATTGTGACATCATGCCTGACCCAACTCCTGGTGAGGATGATGTGGAGGGCTATCCGCAAGAAAGGCTGGATACTCTGTTGGCCGAGATGCGGTCCCGGTTCCCAGATAGCCAACTGTGGCTCTTGGAAGCTTCTCGCATGAAAGGGGCCAACAAAGATTTAGAGGGCGCACTGGAACTTCTTTCCGCCGACAAAAAGAGTCAACTGAAGCAGGTCGAAGCCCTCTGTATGTTTGAGAAGAGTTTGAATGCCCTCTTTCTCCACAAGTACGAGATTTGCGCGGAATCCTTTATCGCGGTAAGTCTCTATATGAAATTTGATTGGTATTGAAAGATATTAATAAAGTCAGTGTGTGGACCTCAACTCGTGGTCGCGCTCGCTCTACTACTATATCGCCGGGTCATGTCACGTTGTACTCTACCGCAAAACCATTCAAACTGACCCCAAGAAAGCCGAAGAGCATGCGACTAAAGCCGCAGAGTATATTCGAAAAGCCCCGCCTTTAGCTGGTAAGAAGCGTTTCATGGCCCGTCAACTGCCATTTGACGTGTTTGTGACCCGCAAAATTGCCAAATGGGAGGCTCGGGCTAAGGAATGGGGTGTTCCTCTAGCGGAGGCCATTGGAATCGACCCGATCGAGGAAATGATCTTCTTCTGGAACGGACATAGCCGTATGACTCACAGCCAGTTAGAGGAATCTTTAACTCACCTGGCGTGGTGCGAAAGTGATGCCAACAAGAATTGGTCCTCTGAAGCACCTGAGGAAAAAGCGATCTTGGAGCTTCTGAAGGCTGCCGTGCTGCGGTCTCTGCGCAAACACGAAGAGGCAAAGAACATCCTCCAGACTAAGGTGTTGGGCCACGACAAATCCGTGTTCAAGGGAGCCTTGAAGGACGATTGGGTTTTGCCAGCTGCCAACTTTGAGATGGCTGCCAATATCTGGATGGAACGGCCAACCTACCAGACTCTTCACGGGCTTGACTCGAATGTTGCCGCGCAACCAGAGATGCCCGAGCGCCCATCCTCCAACTCTAGCAAATCCAAAGAAGGAGAACAACCCATGGGAGAGAGACAGCAAGTGGCAGAGTGTAAGGTACACCTTGACCGTGCTGCCAAGTGGGAAAGCTACGAACTTGACACTCGTATTGGACTAAAAGTGACGGCTGCCCTTGAAGCCGTCCACAAATGGGAGAACATGCATCCGGTGGCGACCTAGGCAGATTTCACACGGGGCCTCCGCTGTTCATACTGGTCCCTACTGTGTTATAACATAGATCCATAGACTAAACCACGTTGTAGACGACAATGTTTTGGGGAGGCCTTTTATTTACTCTTTACGGAGAATTGAATTGGACGTTTGGGATCCTGCATATCATGTGACTTAGAATCCATCTTCCTTTCTTTTGCTTTCGACCAACGACGTCCACTATAAGCTTGTACTCCGTACAACCCCGAGTTAAGAATCTCCCCTCCTCCACTGCTTCCAGGTCTGCCATGGAAACCCACAATGCTTCGCTTTTTCGCCGTGATGCCAATTGGCCCCACGCGACCCATAGGGGAGTTAACGTTCTACTCGCCCCTCATGCGCTGATTGCCGGTGACCGGTACTTACGCAGCCTCGACAGTGCAAAGTGGCCTGGCCTCTGATACTTACACGATGAGCAAGTCAATACGAGAGATGTGATCAAAGTCCGCGACCGCGGACTCGCCCGCTCGGCGATGATGCCTTCTGGCCGAGCTCGGATTTACCTAAGAGGTCGAAATGCCCCACCCTCAAAGGACGAACGGTTACCGGGTATAACGGCCCCCTCGGCGTCGGACGTCCGACGACGAAGCTTGATCTGGGAACATTTAATCAATCGGTGCGCCTCCGATTCAAAAAAGCAGACAGACTTTGGCAATTTTAGCATCAGCCCAAGCTCTGTGTCGTCGCAAATCTCTGCTTTTGAAGAGGGGTATGACGTCTGGCTAGACCCACGGTTCTGTTCCTGTTCATACCCCATTGCGCGCCTCGCCTCTACTTCGGCGGACAATTTCTTTTCCCTCACATCGGAGATCTTATCGACCACTTTTTTCCTCGGCGATCGCGCGTCTGCGGTCGCATTTTATCTCGGGTTTCTCTCCCATTCTACATCTTTCCCTTAATTTTATTCTCTTGAACATCTCTGGCTCTATTGCGACGTGCATGTCGCGCACATGAAACCATGCCCGAACGTACCGAACACGAAGACCTCCACTCTACGACATCGTCAGACGATATCGAGTCGCACGATGAAGATCAAACCAACGATAATGGGGAGGGTCCTATGCGATTAGAAAAACAGAGCACCGCGGCTTCGGGCCTCTCGGTTTTCGAACACCGTGCGCAGTCGGTGGTGTCGCGCATTCGCAGTCGAGATCCCGGCCAGACGGCCGGCTTCACTCACCCGCTGTCACATACCAAGACCAGCCCCGACGTGATTGTTGAATTCGAAGGGCCGGATGATCCATATCGCCCTCTGAATTGGAGTTTCAGGAAGAAGGCTGTGACGACGGTATTGTATGGATTGACGACAATGGGTATGTTGGCCTCCCCGTCCACCTTACCATCAGTCAGTGCGGAGAACACGCAGAATTGCTAACAGATCCTGTCAACTTTAGGTGCGACATGGGCGAGTTCGATGTAAGACCAACTGCTCTCTCTGAGATGCGCTACTGATTACTAATTACTTTTTTTGGGACTATAGCTACTCAACAGGTCAAACACAGATCAGCGATGAATTTGGCGTGTCAGTGGAGGTTTCAACATTGGGTACTTCACTCCTTCTATTCGGTCTTGGACTGGGTCCTTTAGTATGGGCACCTCTATCGGAGGTCTTTGGTCGCAAACCTGCTGTTCTCGCGCCGTATTTCATCGCAGCTATCATGTCATTTGGCACCGCCACCGCCAAGGACCTACAAACAATCATGTTGACTCGATTTTTCGCGGGTTTTTTCGGCTCTGCCCCGGTGACAAATACGGGTGGTGTTCTCAGTGATATTTGGACCCCTGAACAGCGGGGTGCTGCGATTGTTGGATATGCCATGGCAGTGGTGGGCGGCCCTGTCCTGGGTCCCATTGTTGGCGGAGCCATTGTACAAAGCTACCTGCACTGGCGATGGACTGAATACGTGAGACCCTCTGCTTGAGTTGGCGGAAATTTCTTGAAACTAACAAAAGAGCCAGATTACCGGCATCATGATGATGTTCTTCCTTTTGCTTGATCTTATTTTCGTGGATGAAAGCTATCCACCTGTTCTATTAGTCTATAAGGCTCGCCGGCTACGTTTTGAAAGTGGCAACTGGGCTCTACACGCCCGACACGAAGAATGGGATGTCACATTTAAAGAGCTTGGCAACAAATACCTCGTGCGACCCTTTCAGCTCCTTACCACACCTATCTGTTTCCTTGTTGCCTTATACGCGTCCTTCGTATACGGTATTCTATACCTAAGTCTGGCAGCCTTCCCGATCGTTTTCCAAGAAATCCGCGGTTGGAACCAAGTTGTCGGCGCTCTACCTTTCCTTGCCTATCTCGTTGGTATCCTCATCGGAGCCGTAGCCAATCTCTCGAATCAACGCTTCTACATCAAGCGCTTCAAAGCTAACAACAACCGCGCCGTTCCAGAAGCCCGACTTCCACCCATGATGCTGGGCTCGATCATGTTTGCCGCCGGCATGTTCGTCTTTGGCTGGACAAGTCCCAAGCACATTCATTGGATCGGTCCCATAATGGGCGCTGTCATGATGGGCTTCGGCTTTTTTACGATCTTCCAAGCTGCACTGAACTACCTCATCGATACCTTCCAGAAAGTTTCCGCCAGCGCGGTCGCAGCGAATACCTTCCTCCGCTCAGTTTTCGCAGGATGCTTTCCGCTCTTCACCAGTGCCATGTTTCACAACCTCGGAGTGCCGTGGGCGGCCAGTATCCTGGGCTTTATCTCTATCGCCCTCATTCCTATTCCGTATCTATTTTACATATATGGAAGACGGATCCGTGCCCGCGGGAAATGGTCTCGCGGATCGCTCTAGGAGCTGCCTTCCTCGTCATTATCGTCTAGTTGTTACCTTTTCTTCTAAAGTTCTGTCGGTCGTCAATACCGCCTTTTGATTTACTCTCATATAGATCTTTTTTGCTTGTCTTTGACTCCGTCCCGTGATCATTGTTATTCGATCTTGCATCACAGAATACCCGATACCCTTTGGCTTTTCATTTTTTTTCTTTTTGGAATTAGTTGAGCTGTCAGTTGGATAGCAAATGCTGTATGTGACATTGATAACAAAAGCAACGAGCAAGGCTTTCTTGATTCAAGAATCGTTGAGTCTTATTCCAACATTCGAAGCAGATAGTGTAGCATTCTTTTACAGGTAAAGGGAGTTCGTTGTTTGTATAGACAAGTTTCATTGCATTATTATGAAATGACATGATGGGAGAGATGCATTGTGGAGGCAGGAAGTAGAGGGATGAAGAAATAAAAAAGAGAGAGTTCCCAAAATAGGAAATTTTTGATCGAAGATGCATTCATCCTCAATCCAGTATGAAGCCAAAATAGCGAAAACATAGGAAATAGATAAAATTTCAGTCCAAGGACAAAGTCCAAAGCCAAAAAATGAGACGCAAGGAAATATAGGAAGTGGGAAATTTTCAACGATAGTGGATAACTCCGTTCTGTTTTTGCCCAGGAGAGGCTTTTTCTTTTCTTTTTTTTTTTTTCTTTTGTTCGATTTGTAGATTCCTGACCCGTTTCAAGCACGGCTGGAAACCATGTTGTTTCTTCGAGTCAGCTTGCGGGCGAGTGTCATTGCTTTCTCCCATGTCTTCTTCTTCTCAACTGGGGTTTGCACTGAGATATCCGGAGAGACGGCGCCTGTGGCCGTGGCAAACTGAGGAGCAACATCTTCTTGTGGTCTGGCATTGTGCAAGGCAAGGACGGCCATCTGGCCCAAGAATGACGGGTGCTCGAGGAGATCCTCTAGGCGGACCTTGAGACCCTCTTGCTCGAGGAGCCAGGTAAGCTGGGCCATGTTGAAAATGTCACCACCGAGATCAAAGAACGATGAATCGAGCTGGAAGGCAGTCTTATTGGTGGGTTTGTCCCCTGTATCCGGGTCGATTGTTGTAGATGAGGCCCGGCATGGCAGAACCTGGTGCCACGAGCGCGATAGGATATCTGAATGGACAAGAAGCTCAGCTATCGATCGTGACTTGAGATGTGCGCTGAGGAAGTGCTCATCAGATGAACGAGGCAAGTCATCAATGGCTTGCGAGGGGAGAGATTGTAACATGCTTGGGGATGGTAGTGCAGTTGACGGGTTGGCGACAAGAGATTGTGCAATTTCGCACGCCATATCAAGAACCTTGGTTGCAAACGCGGGCAGAATTGGGCCTTTCTCGGAGTATCCCAATGTGATGTTCAGGTTGCGCTCGTCAGCAGGACGTGAGACCATGGTCAAATCTGCGAAGTTGTCATTGACACCTGCACCGCCCATGCGGTACTTGTTGCTGTCTAGCTCCAGGGATCCTTCGTAATCGACGTTCTGGTGGAAGACTGAGGTAGTGAAGTAAGTCCAGGCGGGCCAATCGCTGCAGTCTTTGATGATCTCACGGAAGCCAAGGGACTCGAAAGGCATGTTGGAGACTTGCTGATCTTGAAGGAAGCGGAAGAGATCCACGCCAGTCCATTTTTCGTCGAACTTCACACGCACAGGAACAATATTGACACAAGGTCCGACAGTGGTTTCGATACCAGGAACTGTAGCATTGCGGCCACTAATCGTAAGACCAAAGACAACATCAGACTGCGCAGAAAGCTTGGCAAGTGTAATGGCCCAGGCAGCCTGCATCACGGTTGCCACAGTGACGTTGCCAAGCGCAGTTGGTGGGATTTCGATCGTTTTGCTGATTTCAGTGAAAGCGCCGATGTTCTGGAACATGGTTGTGCCCTTTCTGCGGACAACCTGGGTCATCTGTGACCCTTTCAGCAACTTCGACCAATGGTTGTAGTGATCAGGTGTAATTGTGCCAGGGAGCTGGCGAAGATAGCTGGCGTACGAGGTGACTGGAGGTAGAGGACTACCTTCATAACCGAGCTTGATGGCGGACATGATTCTTGGTAGACAGACACCATCGTATTGCGTATGGGAAAGACGAATCATGATGCGGTGCTGATCACTTTCCTTCTTTTTGACAACGTAGAACTGGACGTACTGCTCACCCTCACGAGGGCCATACTCACGGTCTCGTTGCTGCAAGCTCATGGTGAAATCATCTAATCCACGATCTGTCTCGTAGACAAAGATGCTTGGGCGAATCTTGCGTAGGACAACCTGGAAGAATTGATCATGGAAGCAGACAAATACCGTACGCAGAATATCGAAAGCGTCGACAACCTTCAGGCAGCTTTCACGAAGGCGACGCAGGTCCAATGGACCATTTCCTTCCAAGAAGAAGTAGTTAAGCATCCATCGGGATTTAAATAGTGTTGCTGTCAAGGACATTGCCTGGAAGTCCGTGACCGGAAGAACATCAGCAATGCCACCTTTGAAGACGCCAATCTTTGGACAAATGCCACTCTGGACTGAAGCATCATCAACAGCCTTGGTAGGTCTCAAGACGGAAATGCTCTCAGATGACGGAGTCGGCGCCAAGATCGTTGGTTTGCTATCAGTGAAATCCTCTACCTCCTTATGAGCAGGCTTCAGGTCCACATCCAGCATCTGCTGGGTCACATTGGCGGCACGCACTGTCGCAAGCATATCTTCGAAAACCGGGTTATTGAAGACATCTGCAACAGTGAGAACCAATCCGTCCTCTCCTCGCTGCGCTGACCATCTTCATTGCTGTAATGCTATCACCACCTAACTTGAAGAAGCTGTCCTGGTGCCTCACCACGTTAGGTGAAAGACCGAGGGCAGTGCTCCAGAGGCTCCAAAGCCTTCTCTCCACATCAGCAGACATGCCCTCTGTGCTGGATCTAGATGTTGCTGAGCAAACACCCGAATCATCTGCGCCTCCCTGTATGCTCTCAATTGGATAAGGCGATCCAATCCCATGATCAGGGTGGCTATATCCAGACAACCTGTCTGGCTGCATATGTGGAACCATCAACTTTCCTTCTCTCAACATCTGATCGATAATTTCATGCACACGATTATCGATGATCTTCTGGATTGCGGCCCCATCTAGTGTTGCTGTGCCGAGGTCCATCTTTCCATTGAATGTCGATTGTGAACGGCTCGTTTCCATCTCTCGCTCATCATGAATGTTGCTATCGAAGCTTGCTGATGAAATGTTTGTATTTGGCGACTCGATGAATCCCGTGAAGACCTTTGCAATGGTGTCCACTAGTGCCTGGGCTTGTTCATCCGAAACAACATCGTTCCAGTATCGCAACAGGATTCCCTCTTTGCCGCGGGAGATGTCGACGTTGACAGTGACGGCATACTGTGGAAATTCATTAGTTATGATAACACATCAATATATAATTGTGAATTAGACCATACCTCACTAGGATCATGAGCGTGATGCAGATCAAAAGAGAGACCCTTGTCCTTCGTACCACTAGCAACAGTGTGGTTCTGTATCGACAATGTAGTGTTGAATAGAGATTGACCCTGCCAGCCAAGCTCATGCTGAATAGTGGCCAGAGAGCAGCTTTGGTGCGGAATACTTCGAATATAGTCGCCGTTAACGCGCTTGGAGATATCTACTAGATTCTGTCGAGCAGAAAACTTGACTCTGCAGCAGAGCATGTTGATGAAGATTCCAACCATATCCTGGATACCGTTGACTGGTGCATCCCTCCCAGCAGAGAGATATCCGAAGCAGACATCATCGGATCCGGTAAACTGCCGGAGAACAATTGCCCATGCTGAGAGTGTGAGGTTCGCGAGAGTAACAGACGTTTGTTCACAGAAACTGAGGAGCTCAGGGTACCGGTCGAAATTCATCAGAATACCCTTGAGCTCACGCTCAATGTTGAAGCCACCACTCGACGCAACGTGGCAAGGGCGAACATCGCCCAGGTACTCCTTCCAGTGACCAAGAGCCTTACCTTGGCTTTGAGTTCGAATATAACTGATATAATCGCTGAATTTAGGACCGGGGCCCTCAGGTAGTCGACGATCATAAGCCATGGCAAGATCACGAAGGAGAACATCAACACCACCACCGTCAATGATAGCGTGGTTAATCTCCAATTTGACCATGACACGCCCGCTATGTGTTTTGCAGATCGTCAGTTGATGAGACAATTTAGCGGGCCGCATCGCATTCAAATCTCGGAGAGAAATTGCGCTGAGCTTTTCCTCAACCTGGTTATCGGAGCATTCGATTCGCAAAACATTGTCAGAAAGCTTCTTCAGCACAAGCTGGTCAAAAGAGCCACCACTATAGCTGCTGTCAATGAAGACAGTGCGAAGAACAGGATGGCGATCGACAAGCATCTGCCATGAATGAGCAAGCCTTTCAGGATCAACTTTTCCAGTGCGGGCATCATTGATCTCAAAGATGGTGTGGAACATGTATGCACTAGGATCACGAAGCTGGCTTAGCAACAGCCCTTCCTGCATTGGAGAGCAGGGATAAATGGTTTCAACCTCGTTCTTGCTCGAGATTCCCAGTTTGCGGAAGGTGTTGTTTGTGAGGACCTGGAGGCTGTGATAGGTAATAGGCAAGAGAGGGTAATCACTCAGAGTCGGTTCAGGAGAAGTGTTCCGCAGAAGGCCCATCTCCTTCTCAAGAGTCTGTTTGCACTGCAAAATCCACCGGCGAATTTGCGGCTCTCGTGACATTTTCCTGCTATAGGCAAATGAAACATTGAGGCGTTCTTTGACAACGATGGCGGAAAGCTCGAATAGAGCAAACCGGACAGTCTCGGGACCCATGTCACCGGCAACAGCAAAATCGGAACTATCAAAGACACTTCCTTGGTGCCGGAAAAGAGAGTCAGCCCTTTCGAGCTGCTGGAGTTTGCCAAGATAATTGAACAAAATTTCCATGGGAACCTGGAAATCAGCTGCGTCGGTCTGATGGTCAGACATAAGAAGGCTCTTGGCAAAATGAGGCCGGCCATTGTCAATAATTTTGCGCCGAGTGTCCTTCACCCGCTTGATCGTATCAATGATTGATTCTGTATGCCATTAGCCATGCATGGAACGAACGATGTAACCAGAAGGACTTACTTTGCTCGCCTTCTATGAGCACCGGAGCCATAGCTGTAAACCAGCCTACTGTTCTTGATAGATCAATGCTGGCATCCCATGACTCCCGTCCATGACCTTCGTTGTAAATAGTTGGTATTGCCCGGTCGGTAAAGGTTTGACGGAAAGAGTGATAAATGGCTGAGACTAAAATGTCAACTGTATCGGTGCCGAATACCTCATGGCAGTCGTTCAGAAGGAACTTGGTTGTATCCTCGCTCAGAGAGAAGGATTCCATCTTCAGATCACCATAGAGGTTCGCAGTATCCTGCATTCCCCAGTAGTGCAAATTGGCAGGCTCTGGGGTAAATGGAAGAGTAAGACCAGCGTCGTGGATCTTGGCCCTCTCCAATTGCATTGCACACCAGCTCTGGAAAGAAAGAGCCTTTTCATCAGAAAGCGAGCCAGACACTACTAGCTCTTCCAGATCTTGAAGAATGATTCTCCAAGAAACCATATCAACACACAGGTGGTGCGCCACAAGGAAAAGAACCTGGCCGCCAGCGCGAAGATTGAAAAGATCAGCCACGAATATTGGACCATGCAGCGGGTCCAAAGAAGACTGGCTGTCCGCTATTTTGGGAACCATCGCGCGCGTGTCACTGACAGAGTGCACACGGAATCTGTAAGACTCCTCGACCTCCTGTTGAAAAACGTTAGCAAATTCGTAAGCCCTGAAGACTGGAAATATACATACTGCTGCAGCCTGTTGGCGCCAAATAGAGTTTTTGTCTTGGTAAAATCGAGCACGGAACATGGGGTGTTGACTAGTGACAGCATTGATCGCACGCCTGAGGACCTCGGCGTCCACGCGGCGTGAGATTCTGACGGTAATGCTCTGATTGAATCGCGCTGTACCCTTGAATTCAGTCGAAGATTGCATATACAACTTCTGAATAGGGGAAAGAGCGAAGCTCTCACCCGACTTCTCTTCGCGTTGAGAGGTGACTGGGGCCTTGGCGCTGGCAGTTTGAGCCAGCTCCTTCACGGACCGACTTTGCAAGATGTCATTGAGAGTCACAATCAGACCTTGCTTACGGGCTCTGGAAATGACTGCCATGCCAGTAATGCTGTCTCCGCCTGGATTAATTTGTTAATTTGACCAATCCTTGTAATTTGGACTGGTATTTGTTGAAAACTTACCCAAGCTGACGAAAGAGCGGTCATCGTTGACCTTCTGCAGCGAGATGTTCAATACCTGCGCAAAAATCTCGCGTATGATCTTCAAGGAGCCATCTTGCTCCTGCTTCGGTGTCTCCTCAGTCACACCACGTTTCATCCGATCATAATCCTGCATAATGCGCTCATAAGAGACTTCATCAATGCTTTCAACCCAGGCCGTGATCTTCTTGCGATCAAGCTTGCCAGAGACAAGCATTGGAAGTTTCTTGATCAGAGCCCAGGTTTGGGGTACCATGTATATTGGAAGCTGACTTTCCAGGTTTTTCTGCACCTGGCTGAGGGCAGACAGGCCCTGTCTATCAAATTCAGCTTGTTCCACAAGTTCACATGGTTTATCAGAGATCAGCTTGTTGTCCGCAGAAATATTGTTAATTGACATGACTGTGACCAGACGCTGCTTAAGAGGTCCATTCTTAGGCAGAATAACAACTGCGTGGCGAACAAGAGGATCCTCATACAGCCGGTGTTCGATCTCTCCGAGCTCCATACGCTGACCATGCAACTTGACTTGGTGATCCTTGCGACTGATGTACTCAATAGAGCCATCAGGGTTGTAGTAGCAGAGATCGCCGGTTTTGTAGATCCGTCTAGGCGATGGCAAAGCTGAATTGAAATCCTGGATCCAAGCAGGGTTTTCGACGAATGCTTCCGCATTTTTCTCCGGGTTCTTGAGGTATTCTCTAGCGAGGGCGGGACCCTCGAGAGCGAGTTCACCCACAGCACCCAGGGGAACAAGCCGATCATGGTTTTCAGCATCGACAATCCAGGTCAATGTGCTTGGAATACCGTAGCCAATACGTGCAGGGTCACGATTGATTGCGACTGCGGTATCAATGACAGCAAAGACACAAGTCTCAGTTGGGCCGTAACCATTCATCAGTTTCAACACGTTGGCCCACTTTGTAATGACCTCCTTTGACATCTTCTCACCGCCACAGACAAGAACTTCCAGAGACGGAACAGTTGATGGCTCGATAATGCTGGCGATAGAGGGCGTGAGGAATGTCCAAGTCACATTCAGGCGACGGATTGCACCAGCGACATCATTCAAACGTTCATCTTCACTGGGAACGCAAATGCAGCCACCAAGCATCAAAATAGCCAATGTCTCCATAATTGCCGCATCAAATGTGAGAGATGCAAACTGGAACACTCTGGACTTGGGTCCCATGAGAGTCATGGGCCCAAACGCCATGATACTGCTGACCACATTACGGTGCTCAACAACAATTCCTTTAGCACGCCCAGTAGACCCCGAAGTAAACAAAGTATAAGCCATATTTGACGGTTTTACCTGCGTACGGGGTCGGCCTGTAGAAGTGAGAGAACCATAGGCCTTGATCGTTTCTTTGCTTATCGGGATCACCGTCTTGACAACTCGCGTGTACCGGTTGGTGTAGTTTGGCGTGCAGAGTATCATATTGGCACCAACATCTTTGAGAATCTCTTCATGTCGCGAAACCGGATGGTGAGGATCAAGGGGAACATAGCCACCTCCAGCAATTAGAATACTGATTAGAGTCACCATAGCCCATGCGGACTTGTCCAAACACACAGGAACGAAGACTTCAGGGCCAACTCCGCGGGAAACAAGGTAGTTGGCAAATGATGAGGCAAGGTCCCAGAACTCCCTGTAGGTAAGTTCTCCATCCCAAGCACACACGGCCTGGGCATCAGGGGTCTCAAGGCACTTTTCACGGATGAAATCATGTACGCAACGCTCAATAGAGAGGGGAGTTCGCTGATTCCACCGGGCAATCTCAGCCTTATCCTCGGGACTGGCAACTTCCAGCTCCACGAGTTTGGCTGTACTGGTCTTTGGAACAGCTAGAAGCTGCTTCAGAACATTGGCAAATTGCTCCGCCAAACGCTTTGTTTGCCAACCATTAATTACCAACTCGTCATGGTGAACAGTGAAAGAGATGTTTGTCTTGGAAATGCCACACTCCAGCACCAGAGGATGAGTGAAGAAATCCTCGCTAGTCTCGCGCTTCTCATCAATCCAGATACTATTGTTCAATCCACTCTCCGTTGGCTGAATAACTAGTAAGTTCTGGAAGCCACATGCAGCCAAGGTATCATTGTTGAGGGATCGAATACGCTGCAGACCCGCATGGAGATGAGGAATCATGTCAGTGGTGCTCTGATGGATGTTCTGTAAGTACTGAAGGATGGGCATCTGGCTGTCAACTTGAACCCGCGTCGGCACAGTTGTAAGAACAGGACCAGCGATATCGCCAACACCGGGTAAGTCAATGTTCCGCCCAGACAACGTCTCACCGAAACAAACGTCTGCAGACGCAGTGTGAGTAGCAACCACGATGGACCAGGCAGCCCTCAGGAGAACTGGCAGCGTGAAATCGACACTGTTTGCAGGCCGTATAATCTCCATTCTATGGTACTGGGTGTTGCCAGCCCGCATGGCATCGGGGACAGAGTTCTTGTTTTGTGGGAAGGGGGTGGCGGAGAGGGATGTCAAATATGACTTCCAGAAGGCATCGGACTCTTCCATGTCTTTTTTGTTGATGTATTCAATGAAGAGGCCATAAGGGGCAGCATTTTGCCTGTTCGTTGAGCCAGTGTAATTCTCTTCAAGTTTGCGATAAACCAAAGGAATGCTCCAGCCATCATAAAGCGCGTGGTGGACAGACCACACAAAATAGCTTTCAGTTGACCCACGAGGTTGAACGATCGCATAACCAGTCAAAGGTGCACCATTGTGTTTTGGAAGCTCCAATGTATCACCTGGAAGCTCGTCAAACGATTGGGCATGAACCCAAGAGATAGGTGACTCCTTCAGGACAACCTGGGCAAAATTCATCGCTTCCGTGTGAACAATCCGAGTTCGAAGAATGTCGAGATCATCCACAGTCTTTTGCCAGGCATCTTTGAACCGGTTGAGGTCTGCACCAGCGGCAAGACGGAAAGCCGGCTGGGCGACATACGCACCGTTGTGCTTGACGGACATAGTCAGAAGACCTTCTTGCACTGCACTACACTGGTAAATGTCGGCAATAGAAGCTTTCAAGATCGCACAGTTATCGGTAACTTCTTCCAACAGGCTCTCAAAGTTGACGGAAGACGGAATCATCGAGAATGGCTTCAATTCAATTTGATTGCTGGCTGGAATGTCCAAAAGGTCTGAGCAACTCTTCGCCATATCAATCAATACTGGACTCTTGAAAATAGTTGCAACATTGAGGGAGATGCCCTGTCCCTGGGCGGCTCCAACGAGGTTCATAGCAGAGAAAGAGTCGCCACCCAGGGCAAAGAAGCTGTCTTCATTTGTGACTGATCCGGGTTCAAGATCAAGGGTCTTCTCCCATAGGGTCCGGAGTTTGGCATCAATACCATCGGTTGAAACCTCCTGTTTCTTGTTGCCAGTATTGAACGTGATATATGACTTCAAGGTCTCCTTAGACAAGGTTTCAACCATGGCACGGAGTCGGCGGCGATCAATCTTGGCAGATGATGTAAAGGGCAGGTTTCGTAGGGGGAAGAAAAGACGAGGCATCATGCTCTGTGGCAACAAATCGGGCAGAGAGCTCTTGAGTGTCTGAATGGCATCCATGTTTGAAACAGAGATGGGCAGAAGCAGAGGGTCAGCGCCAGGGATGGTAGGGGTAAATTGATCAGTACTCCCACCCTGGAAGGATTCTGTGTCGTGCACCGTGAAGAAGGTGGCGAGGCCTTTTGCAACGGTCTTTTCTTGAGGCACGACCACATCAACAGCAACTTGAGATCCCTCTGGGAGGCACCGCAGACACTGATGTTCAATCTCTTCAAGTTCAATACGCTGACCGTTGAACTTGATCTGAGTATCCTTGCGGGAAATAAATGCCAGGGTACCGTCACTGTTATATCGGACCAAGTCGCCCGTGCGATACATACGGTCTTTGCGCTTGAAGAGGCCTAGCATGCCGGTATGGTGACTCCAAAGAGGATCATCGACAAACGCCGCTTTGGTCTTTTCAGGATTACCGAGATACTCGCGCGCGATGTTGCTTCCCTCAAGGAGCATCTCTCCAACAGCACCAACCGGTAGAAGGCGATGATAATTGTTAGGATCAACAATCCACACGCGGCAGTTGGCAGCTGTGCCGATGGAAGTAGGATCATCATTCACGCGATTACCATCCCAGTCAACCTTCACACCGACGGTCGCAACCACAGTTGCTTCTGAAGGACCATAGGCGTTGATGACGAAACGATCATTCCACCGATCAATGTGATTTGCGGGCATCTTTTCACCGCCAGTAATGATGGTTTTGAGGGTTGGGACAGTCTTGGGCTCAAGGGTATTGACAATAGCAGGGGGAGAGGACATGTAGTTGGCTTCCATGCGGCGAATTGCACCTCCCAAGTTGTTCATACGCTCTTCCTCGCTTGGGACACAAACACAGCCACCGGTCATTAAGGTCATCATGATCTCCAACACACTGACATCAAAAGTGTAGTTAGAAAATTGGAGAGCGCGAGTATCGGCATTCATGTGCAAGGCATCGTTCATAGCGACTGCAGTGGTACTGAGAGCGACATGCTCAACAACAGTCGCCTTGGGCTTTCCAGTGGTACCAGATGTGAAGATAGCGTAGGCAGCATTTTGTGGCGTAGGCCGTGTGCCTGGCAAGGCAAGAGGAGACTCCGGAAGTTGAGAGATGGAATTCTGAGACACTGCAAATGCCTTCTTGCAGAGTTTGGACATCTTTGGTTGTAGAGAGGAAGAGCATAGAACCAGATCAGCTCCAATCTCGTTGATCAACATCTGCAGACGGGAGTCAGGGTGAGAGGGGTCGATCGAGACAAATGCACCTCCGGCCTTAAGAACGGCAAGTTGAGCGACCACGGCCCAGGCGGATTTTTCAAAGCTGAGAACAACGAAGACTTCAGGCTTGACCCCGGAGTTGGTCAAAAAGCGAGCTAGACGGCTGGCGGTAATCTCGAGCTGTCCATATGTGAAGTTCTTATCCCAGGAGCAGATAGCTTCTGCACGCGGGTGCAACAGGGCTTGCTGTTGAATAAGTTCATCGGCGCACTGCTCCACGCGCGGAGGCAGGCCAGCATTCCAATCACGAATTTGTCGGCAAGATCGCTGAGGGAAGAGGTCAAGATCTCCAATGGTGCGATCACGAGGACTCGAAGAGACGATATCGTTCAAGATGTGGTCAAAGGAATCAATGACATGAGTGATTTGGGTAGAAGTCAATGTGTCAGAAGAGTAGGTAAAATGGACCTCCGCAACTGAGCTGGATACAACGGCGGTTACTGCAACTTTGTAGTCCTTTGTCGCAGCCTCGTCGCCCGCATTTCCCTGAGGGAGGGATGACTCCGTGCGGTAGGTGAGAAGAGTGTTGAAAATGCTCGTATCATTGAAGCCCAGAGATTGCTTGAGAGCGGGTAAGTCAACAAACTTCTCACGACCCTTATCAGAATTAGCCTTTAACTGCTGTAATGTTTGCTCTAGTTCGTGGTCGTTGCCAAGGAGAAGGCGACAGATTGAAACAGAGTTATAATCTCGCTCAGCAACCGAATATCCGAAGCAAATATCATCATTACCGGTATAGCACCGTAGAACAATGCCCCAAGCAGCCTGAAACAGAGTCTCTACAGAGACACCCGACATCTTGCTGAATGCATGCAACTTCTGAGTTTGCTTGTTCAGGATCCGGGTTGACTGTCCATTCTCACTAGTCTCAAGAGAGATTGGAGGGAAATTGCACGGTTCAACATCGGCGAGATATTCTTTCCAGAAAGACATATTGGATTCGGAAATGGATTGCCGAGAGAGTCTGTTGCCACATTTGATTCCAGTCCAACTCTTGATATCGAAAGAATGGCGGATATTGCTAGGGAGTGAGTCGAGCTCATTTCTCAGGACTTTATAATTCAGTTTGCCAAATGGGGTAAGTGGTAGGGAAGACAGGGGAACATAAATACTCGGGACCTTGCTGGCTGGGAGATTCGCAGCCAAATGGGTGTGAAGTGAAGCAACTGTCGACTTCAATTCAGGCGCCGAGCTTGAGACAGCCTGCGCGGAGAAGGATGCAGTAGTTAGTTCCGATGAACCGACAAAGGCCACAACGCTTCGCGTGCTGTCGATATATCCGGACGGCAAAAAATCAACAGCAAGCTTCCTGGATCCGAGGAATGATTGCATGGCCTGCTGGACTAGGAGGCTATCAGAGCATGGCACAAATGGTTCGGATGTATTTTTCTTTCCACAGTAAACCAACGACCCATTGGAATTGTATCGAACAAGGTCGCCAGTTTTGAAGAACTTCTGTTTCTTCTGCGATCCGCAGAATATTGCTGCCCAAGTCGGATTTTCGAAATACCTCTCATCACCGGTAGACTGAGAATCTAAAGTTGCTTGAGCCAGGACGGGGCCATCAAGAACTAATTCACCGATAGCACCAACGGGAACAAGGGAGTTATGATTGACAGGATCAACAACCCAAGTAACACAAGAGACAGGATTTCCGATAGTCGCCTCTACGGTCTCATTCTCGATCTTGTGATGCAGAGACGCCGATGATGATTCTGCTGAACCATATAGAACATGAAGTTCGAGATCATCAGCCTTCCAGGCATCAAGGAGCCTCCTATACACAGGCTCCCCAACAAATGCAGCCGTCTCCAATGCAGGAACATCTTTGGGAGCTATGAAGCTAGCAATAGTTGGGGTCATACAAGCAACATTGGCATGGAGGACATTGATAGAGGAAGCCAAGTTGGTCGGATCAGCATCTGCAGGGATACAGAGACAGCCTCCGTTGAGAAAAGTCCCAATGGTTTCGAGCAAGAACAGATCAGATGTGTGATCTGCAAGCTGAAGAAGGCGAGAAGAATCACCGACTCCGATCGAGGAGGTGAAAGCCGAGGCGCGGGTCGTGATTGTCGCATGGTCGAGGACAATCGTGCGGGGAGTCCCGGACATGCCAGAGGTGAATGCCACATAACAAAGGTCCGACGGAGAGGCAGTCAATGTAAGCGGCTCATCATTCAAGTACTCCAGGAGAGACTCGGTGACTGGGACGACGTAGGGAATGGTCGGCTCCAGAATCTGGGCCTTTTCAGGGGATGCAAGGGCCACCTGGACAGAGTTCTCAATAACCCATTTCTCAATCAAGCCCATGGTCTGCGGGGTGTCGACGGGAATGCATCCGCCACCAGCCTTCATGACAGCTAGCATGGAGACAACATTCCAAACAGACTTCTCAAAGCAAGTTGGGATGAGGCTTCCCGGACTCACGCCAAACGTAACGAGGTAGCTGGCAAGACGCGACGAATATTGGTCTAGCTTTGAGTACGTCAAAGTACCATCCCATGCGGAGATGGCCAGAGCATCAGGATTCTGCGTAGCGATACGTCGAACGACATCGTGAGCACATCGCTGAATGGATGTAGGAGCCTTCATGTTCCAAGATCGGATGTCGGTCTTGCTCGACTCGCTAACAGAATCAAGCTGGCTGATCTTGCTGTCGGCACTGTTCAGAAGGCTTTCAAGACAGCGGACATAGGTGTTAGCTACATTGATAGCCTGGGCATCAGAAAGGTTTGTGGTCCAGTAGTTGAGTTCAATGTTAGCTGTTGTGTCCCTAGCTTCGATGTTGATATAAACCGGAAACTCAGCCGGATCATGGATTGCACCAACTTCAACACACTCGATCTCACTGCTGACCGCATCCTTCGCACTTGGAAGACGGCGATAAGACACGCCAGAGTTGAAGAGGTTGGCGTCAGAAAGCTTAAGGGCGTGCTGGATGTCAATGAGTGAAGTGTGTCGGTACGGAAGACTCTCCATGTAATCATTCTGGATCTGCTCCAGTACATCGCTCAACTGGGAATTCCCAGCAAACTTGATGCGACAGACCATCAGGTTGATGACAGGGCCAATGACCCATTGAACCCCATCGGCATTGACATCGCGGAGAGATGCCATATAGCTGAAGCTTACATCATCCGAGCCGGAGAAGAGACGCAGAGTGAGACCCCAGGCCGCGTTGAAAACATTGGATAAGGTAATACCTTTCTTCTCATACACACTCTGGAGTTGTGAAAGCGAATCGAAGTTGACAGGGATGGATCGCAGGCTCTTCTGAGGAGACTTGACGCCATCTGTCAGGACAGGGAAAAGGCAGGGCTTGGCATCTGAGAGATAGGATTGCCAGTAGTTGATACTCGCTTGTTGAGGAGCGTCTTCAAGGTACTTGATGTATTCCTTGAACAACGGCCGACGGCTTTCCTCGAGCCTTCCAACGTATGCCAGCTGCAGGTCCCGAAGAATGATAGAAATCGAGTTACCATCCATGGCAGCATGGCTGAGCTCGATGCGGCAGAAGAGTCTCCCCGACGGTGTCTGGCAAATGGTGAACCGGTAGGCAGGGGCGATCTCGCTATAGTCCTTGGGCTCTTGGGCATCAAATGTTGCGATGACATCGTCCTCGGCAGAGGATTGTAGGATGACAGGCTCGATGCAGTATTCCTTCAGAACAACTTGGCAGAAAGGATCACGAGGCGTTAAGTTTTCTGCGAAAATAGTGCGGAACATGGCATGATGAGACTGAATTTGCGTCCAAGATTCTACTAACCGATCTAGATTTGGCTTGGTAGACCCAGTACCACGGACCTCAAATGTGTCATGCACGGCGTAGTACGAGCTATCGCGAGATCGTCCGAGTAGAATGCCCTGCTGCATACGAGAGCAAGGGTAAATATCCTCGATCATGTTCGGCGATTGAACACCGATGGCGGGAAGTTTTTGTGAGAGCAAACGATCCAGACTTTCATATGTTAGCGACAACATGGGGAACGAGCTCAGAGTCAACCGCGGGGTCATGGTAGCGAGCTTCTCAGACAGCGAGAGCAGCTGCTGTTGGCAGTTAGCAACCCAACTATGGATCCGATTCTGATGCTGCATAAACTTGTTAAAAGAAAAGGTGAACCGGATCTTGTCAGCAACCACCATGGCAGAAATCTCGAACAAGCCGAATCGGGGGTAGCGCGTCCGAAGTCAGCGGCATCGCTACCCTGGCCAGCCTCCCCAGCCATTTGGTCCACAAGTTGGAAAAGGCCATCTTGTCTCTGAAGATCGCGGTGCTGCCCAACATAGTTGAAGGACATTTCGAACGGGTGCGGGTGACGGCCACTCTCTTTACCAGGCAGAGGGAGAACTCGGCTGGAAAAGTCCGCACGACCATTGTCAGAGACACGTCGTCGAAGGTCCTTGACTTGGACAAGGGTGTCAATCGGACTATCTGGTTTGTATGCATTCACGAAGATAGGCTGAAGAATAGTAAACCAGCCCACAGTGTGTGAAATATCAATTGATGCGTCCCAGACTTCCCTGCCATGTCCTTCATTATAGATTGTGGGAAGCGAGCGATCTGTAAAGGATTTACCGAAAGAGTGGAGCATGGAGGCCAGGAAAAGATCGATCGGCTCGGTATTGAGAGCTTGGTGACATTCAAACAGAATGGCATTCGTATGAGCGGCGTCGATCTCGAAGGAAGCGCAGTCGACGTCACCATACGTGGTTTTGCTATTCTTCAACCCCCAGTAACCAAAGTCCGGGGTAGGTAATTGATCGGTCGACACCTTTCCCTCGGTGATCAAGCCTTTGCAGTGATCCATTTGCAGTCGGCACCAGTTCTGGAAAGGCAGCGATCCATCCTGGCTCGCAGTCTGAGCGGGATTCATGATCAGATCTTCCAAATCCTCAAGAATGATCTTCCAAGAAACAATGTCAACTACCAAGTGGTGTGCAGTCATAGACAATACAGGAGACTGTCCCTTGACATTGAAGTAGTCAATAGCCAGCAGCGGTCCGGAAAAGCAGTTGATGGAGCCCTGGCTATCCCCAACCAACGGCTTCATCTCCTCAATGCTTTTCACATTGTGGGTACGCCATCTGTAAGACCCCTTCACATCACGAGTTATACGTTGCTTCGAGGCTGTAGCAAACCCAGAATCATCGAAGCGGGCACGGAGCATCGAGTGCCGAGAGACGAGTGTCTCAATCGCTTTGATCAGTGTACGTTCAGCAAGAGGCTTGCTGACGCGAGTAAGAATGCCCTGGTTGAAGTGACCTTGTCCCTCTTTTCGGACACCAAAATGCAGAATTTGAATAGGGGAAAGCTCGAACGGCTCGTCCACAGCTTCTTGGTACGTTGTCGCATGGTCGATCGGGCGAGCACGCGACGCCAGATCCCGGATCGATTTACTGCGCAAGATCTCCTGTACGGAAAGAGCAAAGCCGCGCTTCTTGCAAAGACCAACGCATGTCATCGCTGCGATGGAGTCGCCTCCCATGGCGAGGAAACTTTGGTCTAGACTGACGTGGTTCTGTGGGATATTGAGAACACGGCTGTAAACCGTAGCCAGAACCTCCTCTGTGTCGTTAGCTGGCTGAGACAGCTGTGATCTAGCGGGAGAATCCGTAATCGCATTTGCAAGATCCGGATCCGTCTCCATATTCCCAACCCAGGTAGCAATACCCTTGCGATCAAGCTTGCCGGACGGGAGTAATGGGAGAGCGTCGACACAGAGCCAAACAGAAGGAACCATATAAGTCGGCAAGCGAACCGACAGTCGTTCACGGAGGCCAGGTATGAGCTCTGCTTTCAATTCAGGGGAGATCAATCGCAAGGGCTCCACGTCCGCATCTGATTGTTCTGCCAGTAGCCCGGCGGACGAGATGACAGCAGCCAACCTGCCTTTGGAAAAGCCAGATTTGGGGAATAATACGGAGCAGTGCGTAACGTGAGAGTCCCTACTCAATTGATTCTCGATTTCACCCAGTTCGATTCGCTGGCCGTGAACCTTCACTTGGGTATCTTTGCGACCGATGTAATTGAGGGCACCCGTGTCGGAGTTGTACCTCACCAGATCGCCAGTCTTGTAGAATCGACGATTAGTGCCCCTTTCAGCCTCTAACTTGGTCCACGCAGGATCGTAAATGAACGATTCGTTGGTCTTCTCAGGGTTGTTGACATAGCAGCGAGCGAGCGTGGGACCCTCGATCAGAAGTTCACCGGGGCAGCCGACGGGCACGAGCTCGTCGTGGTTTTCAGGATTCACCAACCACGCGCGAACGCCGACTGGCAGGCCGATATCTTTGCAGTCGGTGCCAGGTGTGACGTCCGAGTTGAGCACGGATGCGACACTGGCCTCGGTAGGGCCGTATCCATTGACCAGTTTGATTCTGGACCAGGTCGCCAGCTGCGACTGCGACATTGCCTCGCCGGCCAGAACGAGACTCTTCAATCCGGGCACGCTATCTATTTCAATAAAGCCGATGAAGGACGGCGTGAAGCAAGCTTGGTCCACGCGCATCTCGTTGATCGCCGTCACAATGTCATTTAATCGCGCCTCCTCGCTGGGAATACACACACAGGCACCATGAATCAACGGGGTCAGAGACTCTGCCAGACTGGCATCGAAGGTATGGGCTGCAAACTGCAGACATCGCGACTCACGGAAAACGCGAAGCCCAGGGCCGTGGACTTGAGCACTGGATAAGAATGCGCGGTGCTCGAGCAAAGTGCCCTGCAAGGAAGAAAGTTAGCCCAGAACCAGCGCAACTATAACCGCAACACCCTGTCCAATCGCGGGTTTGTAGTGACGAACTACAATACATACCTTGGGTTCACCCGTCGACCCGGAGGTGAACAAAACATAAGCCGCATTCTGGCTGGTGACACCAGAAGCAAGGTCAACCCCGCTGGTGGGATCCGGAAAACGATCCAAAGTGTCGGCGCAAAGCGGAATTACAGTGTGGGCGATAGGGCGCAGGGTCTCGGCTCGGCTTGGGGAGCATAAGACGACGGGCGCCTTGACGGAGTCGATCAGCCGGTGTAAGCGCGAGCTAGGGTGCGTCGGGTCCAATGGGACGAAGGCACCCCCGGCCTTCATGACGCCCAACATGGCAACGATGTTCCATTTCTTGCAGCTGTCAGCGCACGCCTATCACATCACAGGGGGGGGGGGAAACATCGTCTATTCGAACCGGCCACCCGAGGAACTCACCGATTTATCAAAACACAGGGCCACGCGTACTTCCGGGCCAACACCCTGCATGCGCAGATGGCAGGCGAGCTTCGAGGCCAAGTGATCCAGCTCGGCGAACGTCAAGCTTCCATCCCATGCACAGACTGCTTCCCGGTCCGGACCACTCAGGGCCTGGTCGCGGATAGCATCGTGGATGCAGCGATCGTACAACTTGGGAGTGTGGTCATTCCACTTACGGATGCGCTCCCAGTCATTCTCCGAGAACAAATTAAGCTGGCTAATAGCGGTAGTCTCGGAGGCAAGAACCTTGGGCAGCATCTGCTCAAAGATATGGGCAACACTCTTCATATGCTCGCCCGACATGTCCCCATTCCGCCATTCAAGGAAGATGTTGATGTCCCGGCGCAACACCTTGACATGAAGACGGACTTGGCACTTCAACCAAGAAAAAAAGAAATTCAAGTTAGCATATGGGATCAAGATCGCGAATCGAGCCGCTTCAGCAGAAGCGGCTAAGGAATGGGACTGGCTAGGCCCTCTGCGGGAAGCCGAACGAACCTGGTCAGGCAGAGCTGTTGCCAAAATGGGTTTGGAGGCTGACGACGACTCCGGCGTCGCCTTGCGATATGTGCGCAGCATCAGGATGGTGTTGAATGGCAGATGATCGTCGGAAGCGCCCTCCAGGCTTCCAGTGCCATCGCTCTGCTGCGAAGCGAGTCCATCGGCGGCCCGTACTTTATCTACAATGGCACGGATGGAGTCGTTCTCGTCGATTGCCAGCCGAAAAGCCGACAGAGGGGCGGTGCTCGACTGCTGTACAGAGTGTCGAGAAGAAATAGAATCGCCGTCGATGTGGTGGTAACCGAAGCATATGTCTTCGGTGCGGAGATAATAATGCAGAACCAGCGCCCAGGTGGCCCGCATGACCGTGTCCAGGCGGCCTTCGTGCCATGCGGTTAATAATCTCGCATGTTGCGAAGCCGTCGGTTTCGTCTTCATCGAAACCGGGCGTTTGGGCCCATCCGTCGCGGTCGTGAAGCGAGGAAGGTAGCAATGGGAAGATTGAGCCATGATGCCGAACGCTGATGCAGAGAATTGAAGGGTCGTCGTGGTCGTCGGTATGGTGCAATTGCTGCTCGTAGTGCAAAAAATCGAGAGTCACTGTCGTCTATAGAGCGAAAGAATGCGCTGGGTATATGCTATGGCGTTCCCGGTTCAAACAAAAGAGGTACTGGAAGATCCGGACTTCTCTTTCTTGTTTATGTTTTTTCGGATGATTTCCTTTCCTGATCTCGTGGGGGGAAATAAGAAAAATTATTCGGAGCGCGAACGAAACCGAACGAGCGAAGTATAGCGAGCGGAGCAGGAAGTCGCTTGGAAAAGCCTCGAGGGAATTAGATTAGGATTGGATTGGGGGAATAAATTAGGTCAATCCAAGAGGCAGGAAAGGAATCATAACCACTCGCGGTCCCAAAGTCCGGATGGTCTCAGATATTTTAAAAAGCGTACGGGTTTACTTCTCCCAGCCCAACCAAATAAGTTACGCCATCGGTCATCGGGACTAGATGCTGCATGGCCATGCTCCAGCTCGTTCACAGCGCCCTGTGTCCGTATGTACGAGCGACACCGGGTATACAGTAATACGGGGCCTACCCAATGGCGCGGACAGCGCTGAGCAGCGACTGGCAATTTCAGGATGCCCCATGTATCTTCCTTGCATGGGTTCGGATCTAGATGATGAAGGGTTGGAGACGCCACGGCGCATCCGCCGAGTGGAGTCCTGTTCTGCTCCTGTTTTTCCCCCTGTGGAACCGAGTCAGACACTCCAAGGCCCAGAAGGGGGTCCGCGGGGGCAAATCCCTTTCTTTCAATACGCTTAGCTCCCTTTGGTCATTCGCTTTGGGTCTTTTGAGAGTTCTTTTTGTACAGGGTTGTTTTTTCCGGTTTTTTCTTTTTTTCTTGGTTTTTGTTTTGGCCTTTTTTTTTCCCGCTGCGAAATTTTGATTTTACCCGGGGCTCCCAATTCGGGACGCCATCGCTCACCATGCGGTCTTTGATCTATGCACCGACACCGGCCTCATGGTTCCTCAACGGACAAACCACTGTCTACACTCAGCAGGCCAAGAAGTGGTCTGAATTCTGGACATGCGGTTTGCAAATGACAAAACATTCCCACACAAAATCCTACATGTACTCTGGAGGATACTCAAATAATGGTACAGAAACGACGCAGGGACAGGCTCCATAAGATATGATATTAGGTGATATACGTATGTACCTACGTAAAAATATATATATCCACACTCTCAATACCTCTCTTCGGCGTTTCGTTGCCGATTGGACCTATCTACAGCTCAATAACTCTTCTTGCTGCCGTCACTCGTATTTGCCAAATCATTAATGCATCATAAGCTCGTCCAGTCAGATTCACCTGCACCGTCCTAGCAAGAATGTCAGATGTGGTCTTGAACGTGGGCTCGGTAAGGCCGGATGTCAGGCTCTTCGTCGCTGAGCTTCCAGTTGGACCCGGACCAACAGGTCACCATAAAACAAGCGCAACCTGCGCATAGTATCGCGTGAATATTTTCTATGAGACATTACATCTTCAGCTCATTCGTGACTCGGAAACAATGTGAATAATTCCCGCATTCTGATTCTATGCCCGCCGGTCAGGTGCTGATCCCCGGGGAACCCATGACGATGACAGCTCGAGCAGTGCATAGGGTTCAAGCTGGAGAATATTCCATGCGAAAGGAACCCCCGGCTGAATCTCGACATCTCGAACCCACATCAGCAGGGTCCTAATTGCCTCTGCATTGCATTCATTGGTCCACATCATGGCTTCACGAGATCTCGAGGCGATTCTCACCCTCGCCCAAGTTACACCGACTAGATGCCCGCGCCCAAGCGATGCACGCATGGCACATACTCCACCGGTTCAGGGTTCACTCAGCGCGCTGACTTCTGTTGCCGGCCGGGAGAAGCTGCGGCGACTGCAACCGCCGCATTGATGGCTCCAGATACGGTCTGTGCCGTGCACCGGGCATCAATCTCGGCATCCACAGCAGCAAGGTTCACCATAGGGGTCCGGCAGGTCAACCTGAGGATTTACCGCGCAGTTTTAGGCAGTTGACCGCACTCTCGTGAGCTCGGAAAGGGATTTTCCAAGAGATCTGAGGTCGATCTTGATCGCGACGGGACTGGGATGACTCCATTTTGTCTCGCATTCCAGTGCTCTTTGTCTAAGGATTCTACTCCGTACTGCAGTCTGCAAAACGCCGAATAGTCGGTGGGGAGAGTTGCACTCGCTTAGTTGAGTTTTTCTTTTCTTTTTTTTTTCAAAAATTGCGTTGTGTGTTAAATTGGCTACTACTTCTTTCCTCCACGATGACAGGTTCCTAGGATGGGCTATGCCTTCCACCAGAGGAGCTTGGACAATACCACCACCCGTTGCAAGGAGACATCGGGGAGCAAACAAAAGAAACAAGAAAAAAAAATAAACATAAAAATGAAAAAAATAAAAAAAAAAAAAAATAAGAAAAAAATAAAAGAGTCAAAATGACATTGGAACAAGACTCGGAAGTGGTAAGCAGCGAGTGAGCATCGTTGGACGGATGAACTGACGGCAGAGCCGGCAATCAATGTTATTGGTGCTGCGTGCCCAGAAATAGTGCTGTGGAGGTAACACGCCTCAGTGAAATCCACTCGAGGAAGTTATTGCGAGCCCTGCGAGCGAACTAGACAGGTACGAGGCCCATTGGCAGAACACGGTGAAGGTCGGAACTCAAGTAAATGCCCCATCACAGCCACTGGCGGCATGTGTTCCGCTTTAGGCATTCTGCAAGGGCTGAAAGGGGAGAATTGTGATCCGAGTTTCCCAACCGGGCTACCTTGAAGGGAAGGGTACGGGATTTGAGGGAGGGAGGGAGAGCTTGCTCGAACGGACCTCGAATGGACAATGGACACATCCAGCGGATGGCGGGTCGATCCGAGAGGGGCCACCCGCTATGATCGGCCTATCACACCAGTGGGCCATCTTGGGTGGGGAGAATCCGCCGTCCGTTACTCGTCACTTGGCCAGTTGGGACGGAGGCCTGGGGGGCAATGGGGGGGGAAATGGGGGCTTCCTGCCAACCTGGCTTGCTGCTAATTTCGGACGCTCAACGCGACCCTCGAGGTAATTGCTTTTTTCGTCGGCCCCTCTCATCCCTCCGATGCCCTATGTGATTACACATCAGAAAATCAGACAACGTAAACTGAGGTTCAGCGCCTGTTCACTTCGCCCGGTCACTTCTTAGGGCTTCCGGGATATGGGTCGCAACATATACCGAACACATCGATTTGCGAGCCGCACTAGGGAGAATAAACATCAATATAAGAAATATAAGATAGTCCTAATTGCATAATTGGAGCCCGGCCTATGTGTGGACGAACTCCCAGTAAGATCTCTATATATTTTCCCCCTTGTTCGGCCATCGCTTGCGGACTTCAGGATCGTTCCTTATTGCTCCTTCATGTAACATTTCCGGGGACTCGGCGATGGCGTGGTTCGGTAGGAGGAAATGCTGTACACCATCGAATATCTCCGTCCATGTGGGTGATATTTCTTTTTCCCTCTTTCTTTTTTTTTCCTTCTTCCTCTCTTAAAATCTCCGTTTTGGGGGGACCTTCCTTGGTGTGTGTTGCCTTTCGGTGGCGCATTTTCACTTCATCATTGGTGAATGCCCTGGCTGTCCTCGTTTTGTGCCGTGCGATCGCCAGAGAGCAAACACGCCCAACCGCGATGTTCCAGAACGTCCTCCAGCCATGGAAGGCGAAGGGTTCAAACCTCCACTGGGGCCGTGTCGAAACTGGTGGGGGGGGGGCGTCACACTAATAATGGACCCCCTCCCCCCCTTGTCCAGAGGGCCCTGCCGGCCATTTGTGTCAGCCCGGTGGCCCTGGTGCAACAGCCAACGAACGCCTAGACCAGCCTCGGACGGGAGTCAATCCTCAACCGCTGCCCTTTACGATACTAGCGTGCTGCATTGCTGAGGCTTGGAGGGAACGGAAACTAAGGGAACTAAAGGCAGCTAAGGCTAGCGCCGATGTCAGTGGTCGTTTCCCATTGCCCAGGAGCCACTCTCCGGGAGGCGTGGAGACGCCTCAGGGCGATCCTCTCCAATTCGGTCGCACTACCATCATTGGAGGAGTCGGAGGGGTCAGAAACAACAGGATTTACTGCGTTCCCGGTGACGACTACGTAGAGTCATGGATAGAAATTAGTGCCCACCATGGAGACTGGGGCCGTGTTTCGTGCACTAGTTCATGAACTAACGGTCCTACTACTTCCTTCTGATCTCCGCTTGCCGACAACAAGGCAGCCGGAAGGGCCAAAACCGGACCATCGATCTGACCATGACTTTGATGAGGATCGGCTGCCCGGAACGGCTTCATAGATCACCTCAGATCGATCCTCTCGGCCCTGATCGTCATTCGGGAAGAGCCAATGGCCGTGGACACCCCGAAGGCCGCTCAATGTGTTTCTTGCCCACCTCCAGCGCGGCTCGTCCGCTTCAGATCCACTTGAAAGATTGCCGGGGGCAGTGAATTTGGAATTTCTCCCTGCGTCTCCATACCTTGGATCCGCTGCTCTCTGGGGTAAAAAGTACGACGTCGTGGCTACTGTGCCCACTCGCCTCGCCACCCATCAACCACGCTGTCATTGGGAAAACAGGATCTTCCTAGTCAGCCTGCATGCATCTCGTTGGTCAGGTTGTTCAGCAGACGAGGTTGCGGTAGGTACCGCCCCCTCCCCCCCCCCGGCATGCAGAGGGCTGGCCCGTTCACGCTTCCACATCGTGGATAGTCTGGTCATGGCAGTCAACAATGAAATCGATGAGGTCTAACTTTCGCCCTCCGACGGTTTTCTCCGGTGGGCGTCGTGGGCGATTGGCTTCCAGACGCATTGCTCCACGGGTCGATCCACCCAGTAAAGCGACTTGGTGAAGTCAGTAAATCCACCAACACCAGATCTGTTGGTTAGAAATCGCCGCTAGTGAGCACGAACAAAAGCAAACCTGGCCATGACAGGTGGAGTTGGACCGTCGTGAGGACTCTGACAATAGCCGAGCAGGGATGGGAATGGAGAAGTGCTCATAGAGGAGACGACAGTTGAATTGTGCAGTGGATACCACGTCGTCGGGGATACATGAAAACAAGGAAATGGAAGAAAATCCGAGGCAATCCATTCCAAGGCAAAAAAAAAGAAAAGAAAATCTAGGCAAATGAAGCCGAACACACCCATACAGTAAAAGCGTGTTTATTTTCTTTGAACGAAAACGACAGCGCGTTACCAAAGAGCCGGAATCGGCAACATCTACTGCCTGTATGTTGTATGTGCCCAGGCTCTGAACGAGGTAATACTCGAAACGTATCCTCGTCCAATCCATCTATACACGGCCTGCAAACCATCCATCCAAGTGGACTTCCCAAGACCCAAAGGTCGTGTCTGTGAGTTAGTTACCCGAGGGCTGAGGCCCTCTTTCCAAATTCAGAGAGACGCCTGAACCTGAGACCTCTATTCCTATCTACACCGAGTCCCCGGTAGTACAGCTCACCCGTAGGTTTGGGCATCATTCTGTCTGACTTCGGCTTTTCTTCTATGCGGTCAAGGAGGGACCACAAAAAAAATAGATTTATTTTTCTTGCTGACGGCAATGTTTCAAATTTCAGGTGAGTGAGATCATCAACACGATCACTCAAGGATCCTTCTATACCCGAAGCTGGCACGCCCTCGCATGAAAGTAGGTTTTAATGGCTTTACGAGATGGGGGATGAGGGCAGAGCCTAGAAAGGAGGAGAGACGCGGGAAGATTTCACCGTATTGGATGCGCCAACGACATTGGCTCACAGATTCAATTTTTCATGTAAGGTTGCGTTGTCCAGGCGTTCGCCCTCGTGTGGTTCCGCTTGGCGCCCTGTAGAGGCTTTTTTTGACTCCAGGGGGCGAAGCTCTATTGAGGGCTCTGCATCCCCCCACATCCCCAAGGGGGAAAATCAAAATCAAAATGGATTAAATTTCTCCCATATGTACGTTAATATGATCCTCCCGCTTTACAGGAAAAATACATTCCCAATGCAATTGAGCCATTTTAGTAACGGAAAAGAGGCAAAAAAAAGGTTTAAACTAACTCCCCATGTCGACCATGACGCCGATAATACGCGGAAAATTAGAAAACTGTAGAAAATAGAAGCCACGCCATCGGTGGCACAGATGTCGGTTGAAAGGACCAGGTCTGGATAGGTTCTTGGGCCATCGTCAGTAACAGCCGTGTAAGAGGGTTGCATTGGGAGTCCACTCCATTGCAGGGACCCAGTAGCCAGGTTCGTAGGAGCTCAGGAGAGTACGTCTCCTGGATGCAGTAGAAAGCGACTCCTGCACAGAGGGATATGTACTAGCATCCGGGGCAACAGGCACCTGGACAGCACGCGTTTTGGATGGATCTGATCTAGATCAAAGACCCCCCGATTTCGCTCCCATGATCTCTCCTGAACACTCTTTCTGATCTAACACCTGTGGCGCTCGTTCTGACTACTCTCTCCCTCCCCATCCATCTTCTCTCGCTTGTGGATGGTCCTTGGAGAGTACAGTCATGGCCTCCTCGAGCTCCTCACGGCCGTCTTGCCGTGATTTGGACAACACAGTGCGCATTGGAACTGGTTCATGTCGTGGAGGATTTGACTTTTCGCTTTTATTTGAGGAGATTGTCCTCGAAATACTCCCTATTGTTTTAATCTTAATTCTGATTCCCGTGCGGATATGGCAACTCTCCCAGAAACGGCGCAAAGTCGTTAGCTCTTGGATTCTTCCCGTCAAAATGGTGAGTGATGCAGCTATGACTAAAACAAGAGCGATGCCGGTGCTTTGCAAACATCAATGGAATTTGGAGCGTGTGCTAATGGTCTGGTTTCGTTATTCTATATACAGGCTGCGTGGTTCCTCTTTTTCGGGCTTCAGATCGCCCAAACAATCCTCTGGGCACTTCCAGCTGCCGATCGAACGAAAGCTTCCATTGCAACCAATGCCGTTCTCGCCGTTGGTGCCCTGCTTCTCTGTGTACTTTCATATGCAGAGCACTCACGATCTGTCCGACCTTCGTTTATTTTAAACACCTACCTGCTCTGCAGCCTACTTTTCGACATCGCGCGGGTCAGGACCCTTTGGCTGCGCGCCGTGGATGGATTCAATGAAGTCATTGCAGTCGTGACGACGGTATCTCTGGGAAGCAAATTGCTTCTTCTGATCCTTGAGGCCGTGGAAAAGCGCAACATTCTGAAGACCGAATTCACTGGTTACCCCCCGAGGCCACTGCTGGTTTCTACAACCGATCGGTGTTCTTCTGGCTCAACCCGCTGTTCAAAAATGGCTTCCGCAATCTGCTATCTGTCGATGACTTATTTGTCTTGGATAAGGAGCTCAGCTCTGAGAGACTCCTCGCCTTGTTCGAGGAAAGATGGAGCAAGGGTAAATGGAATCCCCAGTACCCTCATTCTTGTTCTGACTGACTGACGGCACCCAGTGAAATCGAAATCGCCCAACACGTTGCAATTTGAATGTTTCAAGGCTACCAAACGGCCACTGCTTGCGGCAATTCCCGCCAGAGCCTGTGTTGTAGCGTTTAACTTCTGTCAACCACTACTCCTGACTCGATCGCTCTCATTTTTCAGTTCGCCGGTCAACAGCACCACCAACAATGTTGGCTATGGTCTTGTTGGAGCTTATGCACTTGTCTACATTGGTTTGGCGGTAGGTTCTCTGCATTTTTATATTCCACTGAACACTCATGGTTTCTGACGCCATATCAACTAGGTCGCAATGGGCCAGTATCAGCACATGACGTACCGTGGTATCACGATGGCGCGCGGGATCCTTGTCACCATGCTTTATAAGAAAGCTAGCTCTCTGAACCTGAACGATACCGACCCAGCCAACTCGCTGACTCTTATGAGTGCTGATGTGGAAAGAATTACCCAAGGCTGGCAAACTATGCACGAAATTTGGGCCAACTCTGCCGAAATCGCATTGGCGATCTATTTGTTGGAGCGACAGCTGGGGATTTCCTGTGTTGTTCCTGTCTGCGTTGCGATCGGTATGTCCAACAAGCCCTTTTTCTCAGCACTCCACTTGTGCTATATAACTGACACATGAGACTTGCAGTCGCTTTGGTTGGTTCACTGATTGGAATGTCTTTCGTGGTGACCAGACAGGCCGAATGGCTCAAGGCCATCGAGAAGCGTATCTCATCTACTTCCGGCATGCTGGGTGCGATCAAAGGAGTCAAGATGCTTGGCCTACAGAACTCATTCATGAGTTTTGTCCATGGACTGAGAATTGATGAGCTCAATATTTCGAAGAAGTTTCGAACCCTTTTAGTCTGGAATATGGCCTTCGCATGGTTAACCCGTATCTTCGCCCCGATCTTCACCTTTGGCGTGTTTGCGGGCATATCCGACTCTGCCTTGACTGTTTCCAAGGTGTATACCTCGCTCTCGCTATTTTCTCTCCTTTCGGATCCCCTATTGACGCTGGTCATGGCACTGATGTCGTTCTTTGGGTCGGTCGGGTCATTCGCCCGTATCCAAGAATTTCTGGACAAGGAAGATCATTCCGATCTACGACGTAACGTCCCTCAAATTCCCTCACTTGAAGATCTCGGCGAAGCCAAGCTTCTGTCCAAATCTGGTGATCTCGACATGACTTCCAGCAACTCTGCATCCGTGGAGTCTTTCAAGAAAGCCCCTATTTCGTCCCCTTCGACCAATGCCGCTGTAATCCAAAATGGAACTTTCTCCTGGGACACTGAGAAAGAGCCTATCCTGAAAGATATCAGTCTGACCATTCCCCGCGGCAGCTTCACCATGCTTATTGGACCTTCCGGCTGCGGCAAATCTACCTTGCTCAAAGCTCTTCTAGGAGAAATTCCCTGCGCCGATGGCAAGGTTGAGCTGACTTCTGGGAGTGTGGCATTCTGCGATCAAACCCCATGGCACATGAATGGTACTATCAAAGACAGCATTGTGGCCATGTCGGACTTCGATCCCAAGTGGTATTCCTCGGTCATCCAGGCATGTGCCCTTGAGGAAGACCTTGGACAGTTCCCCCGTGGTGACAGCAGTGTTATTGGAAGCAAAGGCATCGCTCTCAGCGGTGGTCAAAGCCAACGGATTGCTCTCGCGCGTGCCCTGTATGCGCGCCGGAAGATCATCATCCTGGACGATGCTCTCAGCGGGCTTGACGCCACCACCGAGAACCACATCTTTCACAGCCTGTTTGGAAGTCTCGGCCTCCTCCGAGAGATTGGTACTTCTATCATTGTCGCATCCTCATCGGTCAAACGTCTCCCCTTCACCGACCACATCGTTGTGCTAGACAAGACTGGTCGCATCTCCGAACAGGGCAGCTTCAGCGCATTGAATAAGACTGGTGGATACGTGTCCAGCTTTGGTCTCGGCGCCCCTGATTGGGACTACAAGCCGAAGCGATTCTCTGAGTCTCCTAGCTATACCACGATCGATTCGGTCGAGAAGGAGAAGGAGGCCGTAGTGGATGAGCCTGAGAAGCGTGACCCTGGTGGTGATTTCTCCATCTACTCTTACTATATCAACGCCATTGGATGGCTTCCCGCTCTGGTTTTCATTATCGCAATGGCTGGATTCGTCTTCTGCATTTCCTTTCCCTCAATTTGGTTGGAATGGTGGGCAGAGTACGATACTGCCCATCCCAAGCAGCGTCTCGGTTACTACCTCGGTATCTACGTGATGCTGGGCTGCATCGCCATGCTCGCCCTCATTGTAGGATGTTGGCAAATGATCATCACGATGGTCCCAAAGTCTGGTGAGAATTTCCACCGTAGCCTGCTGAGTACCGTCCTCAGCGCCCCCATGCTGTTTTTCTCAACGACGGACAGCGGTGCGATTCTGAACCGGTTCAGTCAAGATCTCCAGCTTATCGACATGGAGCTTCCTATTGCCGCCATCAACACTGTCGCTACAGCCTTCCTCTGTCTCGCTCAAATGGCGCTTATCGGAGTGGGCTCTACATATGCGGCGATCTCGTTCCCGCTCGTGCTTGGAATCTTGTTCCTCATTCAGAAGATGTACTTGCGCACTTCACGACAGCTTCGTTTCCTCGATCTTGAGGCCAAGGCACCTCTCTATTCCCACTTCACAGATTGTCTCCAAGGCCTCGTGACCCTGCGTGCCTTTGGATGGCAGCACGGTATGGAGCGCAAGAATATCGCGCTGCTTGATCACTCCCAGCGACCATTCTATTTCATGTTCGCAATCCAGCGCTGGTTGACTCTTTCTTTGGATTTCGTCGTCGCCGGCATTGCCATTTTGCTCATTGTTCTAGTGGTCATACTTCGTGGAACAAGTCTTGGAGCTGGCTCGGTTGGCGTCGCGCTTCTTAATGTGATTCAATTCAGCCAGAGCATCAAGCTTCTGGTGACTTTCTGGACCAACTTAGAAACCCACATCGGCTCAATTCTGCGTGTCAAGGAATTCACGCAAAATGTGCAATCCGAGGATCAACCTGGCGAAGATGGCGATATTCCGCCCAATTGGCCGTCGAATGGTGCAGTTTCCTTCCATTCAGTCTCCGCGGCATACCGGTATGCCTCTCCATCAAACTCCCAGATACGCATTTACACTTCTAACATCCAAGATACAGACCCTCCGAGCCGGTTCTCAATGATGTCTCTCTATCCGTCAAGGCCGGAGAGAAGGTGGGCATTTGCGGACGCACGGGAAGGTAAGCATTCATTACGTGTTTAGCCCTCTATCCCAGGCTAGTCTAACAGGAAATCCGCCAGCGGCAAAACTTCCATGATCATGAGTCTCTTCCGCATGATCGAGCTGACTAGCGGTATCATCACCGTGGATGGCGTTGATATCACCGGTCTTCCTCGGCGCGAAATTCGCGCACGCATCAATGGCGTCTCCCAAGACTCTCTCCTGTTCAAGGGCAGTGTCCGTCTCAATGCCGACCCAACCGGGTCCCACACCGACCAAGACATCCTCAATGCCCTCAAGAGTGTGCAGCTCCTCCCTGCAATCCAAGAAAAGGGGTCTCTTGACACAGACATTGACGAGATCCACTTGTCGCACGGCCAAAAGCAACTCTTCTGTCTTGCTCGCGCTATCCTTCGCCCTGGCAATATTCTCATCCTCGACGAGGCAACCAGCAAGTAAGTCCAATTGCATTAATCACTCGGCCTCCTGACGTTGTTCCCTCGCATCATTGCTCCACATTCCCCTGGTTTCTTTTTTATCGGCGGATTTTATCCTTTTTTTTTTTTTTTTTTTTCTTTTGCTATATCCGAGGCGATTTTCTCCTGATTGACGCGTGTCATGCCCCCTGCATATGCGGCCAGATCCGAGCGTGATGTGGCGTTCGGATCCATCGATCCCTGTCTTTTTCCCCTCGCACCCTAGCCACCCCTTACAGACTACCAAAAGGACAATTTGCTAATTGGAATCTCCAAAACAGCATCGACACGAAAACAGATGAAATCATGCAGCGCGTCATTCGCGAGAAATTCTGCAACCACACGATTATTGCGGTCGCCCACAAGCTGGACACCATTCTCGACTTTGACCGCATTGTGGTGCTGGACGCCGGCCAGGTCGTCGAGACCGGTGAGCCGTACGCGTTGCTTACAGAGCCCAAATCGCATTTCAGTCAATTATATGCGAGTGCGATGGCGTCAGAAGACTCTGACCAGTGAGCCTCGTGTTTTCCTCCTTTCTTGCTGGAGTTGTCCCTTTTTTCTTGTCATCGTAATGCACAGACTGCTTCATTGAGCCTTTGACCGCTGGCGAGTTCGCTTTGGCGCGCTAATCGACTTCCACTCCTTCACGGTACATAATCGATGTCAACATACAAATTCGGATTGCCAGGCGTTGTACTTTTGTCTCTTCTTCAACTTTTTTTCCTGTCTCTATGACCTTGACGTTTTTTCTTGACTCTCATTCAGTTCGGTTTCGATTGCTTCTCACTCTCGTTGATCCCTCATTTTTGTCTTGAAGAAGAGAGAGCCTGTGGCAGGTCTATTGAGATGGATTGTCTATAGTCTAGTTGCCTGAGCTCCCCGAGTTCTTTTATTGTTAATGACAATCAAGCAGTACGCTTGAACATCACCTGAATAGATCAATTCCAATCATGAATTCAAAGGTTCCCTGGCAAAAAGCTATCCCAAAGAATCTCCACTAAGTATGAATACCTGGTAAGATGTGCTATTATGGAGATTAGAAGAAGATGAAGAAGTGAGCTTAAGAGATTTACCTATCGATTGGTGGATAAAATTTCAAATAATACAAAGATTTGGCTATCTGGATATATCTGAAATATATATGTTGTAAACCCAGAATCTTGTATACGATCTGTGGAGTAGATTAGTATGCTGTGGAAGCTTTGATCGGTTACCAAGAATCACGTTTACTTGACTGGTCTCTCCCTCGGACTTTACATTCTCTACCTGATGGGATCATTACCGACGTGCGCGCTATTTTTTATTAATGACGGTGAATCCTTGCTTTTACCAGATGACTCTTATGAAGATTGGTAGGCAGGAGTTAGCTTTAAAGGTCAAAGCAGATCTGATATATATTTCAACAGAAAAGGCCGCGGCTGAGATTTGGCAAAAAAGGGCCAATCGGGTCACCAAATCAATCAGTCTTCGCCGACTTGGAAGCCGACTTGGAACATTACAATATGAGATAGACTTAAACCCGATGTAATCGATGACATGTACGAAAATATGCTCTGGGAATACGATAGCCTGAGGCTGTGCTATTGCGTAGATGTTGGTGACTGCCGCCTAATCATAGTCTGAGTGCTTACTGAGCGACAGGAGACAATTCAAACATCTGCCAAAACCGCTTCAAGTAGAGAAACCTGGCTTCGACACTCCCATATCTGTTTCAAAGCCAGCCCAGAAGCTTTGAGCAGGACCTTGAATTCTTCAGGGGTCCTTTCGATACCGTTGATACTTGCCATCATGGTGAGATCCCGGCTGTGACTGAAGCGTGTATGAAATCCGTAGTTTGCCGGAAGAGGAGTTGGGGCGGAGGTAAGGTCGGGATCCCCAGTGGTCGTGTTCATTACCTGTTCGCAGATCAACAGGCGAGAATGAGATGCCATGCTCTCCCGAATGCTCGAAAGAATATTCACGCAATACTCGTCAGACCAGTCATGACTAAATTAGATCATCAGCTCGTTGTGTCAACTTCGTCTCTGGGAAGACCATAACTCACAGCACGTATCGGAGGTAGTATACGTCGGCGGCCTCGACCGGATTCTTGTTGAAGAAGCTGTGCGCCATAAACTGCACTCGTCCGGCATGCAAAGCTGCGGGGTTTTCCTTCGGCCAAATGTGTTCCAGCCCCTGCTTGACTACCGGGGCTCGGTCCTGGACAACAAACCGAAGATCGGGGTAGACCTTGCTGAGTTGAAGGGGAAAGCCTCCAACACCACCCCCAACATCCACCACTAAAGCATTGCCAAGCGATGTCCATGGATAATCTGCCAACGATAGGAATGACCGATCAGAAAATTTCAACATCATAATGTCTAGGATGGAATCTCCTACCATAGACTTGGGCAGCCCCAAAGACCCGCCCACCGCCAATCATGGCGAGACCCATGATCTCCAACTCAGGTCTTGCTACTAATCCATCTTCGCCTATAGGCTGTGGCTCAAGTACAAGACTCGGGATTCCTGGGTAGTGACCCCCGGACTTCCTGAGCTGGTCTTGTTCCACTCTTTCCTCGATCCATTCCCACCGCGGCTTATCGGTCCCGATGGCATCTTGCCATGCAGTTTTCGCGACATCGTAGGATGGACCTGTTACGGGGTCCAAGAGAGTCTGTGGAAGGCGATCTGCTGCTGTGAAAGCCTCGCTGCCGACCAGTTGGACATATGCACGAAGAGGTTCGTTCGCGATCAACGAAGCAGAAATCCTATTGTTCGCAAAAGCATCGTCTCCCGTCTGGCGGAAGATTCCCATTGAACAAAGATATCTCAGGACACGCGCTGAACAGTAACTGTCAGCCTGGGGAAAGGACTCATCGTCTCTCTAATGGTATGGGCCACCCACATAACTTCCGATGCTCAATGCCGGCTTGCTCGCTGATTTTTGGGACTGAGAGCCCCCCTTGCTCGTCATACGCAGCAAGAATATCAGGAATACGACGCTCAGCTGCGATATACAGCGCACGCGATTCTTGAAACTGGGTCGCAGCTTCAAGAATTCTCACACTGGGCTCCGAAACCAGCTCGGTGATCTTGCCGACGGCCGCTGACAGAATCCTTTGGGCATTAAACAGCTCATGGCTCGGCAGGATCTGTACTGCCGTCGGACTGCCAGAGCGTCTGCTGTCCTTGAAGGCTTCCAGTTCTTGAGACCATTCCGCAACAACTGTCTTGACCGCCTTGGAAATCAGCTCGGCCGTCTGGATGAGCTCCACAGCGTCTGAAAGGGTTTTCGGCTGACGTTCCATCTTCATGCACGATAGAGGGCGGACACCTTAGTTAATTTCTTTTCAGGAGATAATTCTATTCTGATCTACACCACAGAATGATACGAGCTATAGGTTCTTTCTTGAGATTTAAAATAAAAATGTAATTAGCTGACCGACGGCGCCGTTACGACGATCAGAAAGCTATCCCGAGTCGCTGTCCGAACCCCGAGGATGCGTCGTCCGAAAGCCGACTTGGGTTGCAGTGAAATGAATAGGGGCCGTGGCGCTCGAAGTCCGACTAATACCGAAGCGAGCCCGCGAAGGCTTATGGACTTGATTTGATTCCAACAAGGAATCCAGCGATGTCTTAACTTATGGCGACCGATGTGATTCTTAGCCTGGGAAAATGGTAGTAGAAAATACGGAGTAGAAGCCCACGGGAAAAAAAAATCAAAATGTAAGATTCGTCTGTATTTCAAAAAGAATCGAGCAAAAGTGTATAATGAGATTTCTTATGAAGAAAATGTTGCATCATTCACGACAAACCACCTCTTCTCGCCCCTCCGGACTTCAAAGGCGACGCGTTCATCCTCGGCCAGCTTGACCAAAACTTCATTGATCAATGGCTCCAAGGCCATTTTGCGAACCTCCTCATCCAGATCCTCCCCATGCATCGCCGTCACCAACTCCCGAATAGTTACACTTCCCTTTCCTCGTCCCTTGTTCTGTTCTTCCTCTTTCATACGCTTTAATGTCCGCAAAATTCGAGCTTCCCGTCTCACTTTCTGGTCGAGCTCTGCCGATATCTTTGCAGGAAGATCTACAATCTTCTCACCATGAGCAGGGTAGCCCAGTTGGCATTTATATGAATTCATGAGTCGCAAAGAAGCCATCCAAGTACCAAGAAACTCCACCGCGCTCGTGCCATGTCCCAAAACATTGTCCCCGGTGAATATCGCATTCTCTTCCTCAAGGATGAAACACATGTGATCGTGTGAATGTCCAGGGGAATGCAACGCGCGAATGGTTGCGCCTTCCACCTGGAAAACTTGGCCATCCGTAATGGGCTGTTGACCCTTACCGGGTGTGTTTTTGAAGATCGATTCGGATAGATCAGGGTACAGACGAATCAAATCGGAGACACCACCAGTATGATCCCCATGCCAGTGAGTGAGGAGTACATGAGAGACTCTAATGGAAAATTCCGTCAATGTCGATACAATGTGGTCGGCCCATTCGGGAATCCCTTGGCCAGTGTCAATGAGTAACCTCTCACGACCTGTCCCGACAATATAGGTGTTCGTTCCCTGTAGGGTAAACTAGCAGCAATGTCAGTAAGAGCACACAATGTCGACGAAGCTTCCGTCATAATATAATAGTGGAGGGACTATACCTTTCCTACATTTTGACCTAGAACTCGAATAACTCGAGGGCTGATCTGATCGACATCTTTTAGCTTTGGCAAGTGGTCTTGTTGAGTGTCGAGATAATCTTCAAAGACGCTTATATTCAGCGCCTTGTTGATTTGACGGTAGCCTCCCCGCTTCATCCTTTCCCAAAATACGCGGCCCTAGGTGGGAAATGGCCGGGAAATTAGTATGGCAGATAGCAGATTCTTCTATCCAAGGATGAATCTTCCCCTGTTTTGGCTCGGTGTGCTTTATGACAGAAAGAGCTACTGTAATCCTACGGCGCTGACTTGGTGGGCTGTTCGGGACTTGCCAAGTCGCGCCTCCTGTAGGGATATTAATTATGCCGACGTCTTTTGACCCGAGCAGAAACATTCATTGGCTGGCTACCTCTATTGAGCAAATCACCGAGATAAACGGAGCTTAACTTTCTCTTGAATAAACCCTGTATCTGTTTGCGCCGAGCCACTTTGGCCCGAGCAAATTGAGTGATCTAAGCCAGCCTGTAGTCTTGCCACTGATATAAAGTATGTTTCTTTGAATCCGATCTCCCACCAGTAATATATTTCTCAGCTAGAACGGCTCCTCTTGAGTCTAGAGATTTCAACAATCCAGTCATCTGAAAGCTGGATCTTCCAATCACAGATATGGACTTCACTCCCTCGAGTAGTTCCCCAGATGAGTTCCGGAGGATGAAGCTCATATATTTCAGCAACGAATTTCCTCCGGATGATCTTCCAAGTCTTTGCCGCCAGCTACGTGCTCATAGTAAGGACATAAAACACCACATTTTGGCTCGATTTCTACATGAGGCGACTCTGGCGATCCGCGATGAAGTTCGTCAGTTGTCACCCGAACTGAGAGATTTGATTCCACCCTTTCAAACTGTCCTGGATTTTTCCGAATACCCAGACCTCCGCAAAGGGCCATTGGGCGGCTCAATAGACGGAGTTCTACTATGTGCAGTCGAGCTGGCCACCTTCATTGGGTATTTTCCCCTTATAATGGACCGACTGGTTCACAATTTAATCTTGGCTAATATCTATATTCCATCAGCTATTTCGAGAACTTCCCCGAGAGATTTGATTTTGATGCAGCGCACACATACCTCGCTGGATTGGGGATTGGGCTTCTCGCAACAGCAGCTGTCTCGTTATCGCCAACGCTAGCCGATGTTCCACATGCCGGCACAGAAGTTGTTCGCACTGCGTTTCGTCTGGGTGTTTTGGTTGATGACGTGTCGCAAAATCTGCAACCCCGTGAATTGACCAGCTCTGGTACACCTGACAGTTGGGCATATGTACTTCCAAATGCTTCACCGGATGATGTCCAGCAGGAGCTTGATGCGATCCACACCAAGGAGGTAAGTGAATTTGACTTTCCTGCCAATACGGAGATCCTAAGTTCAGAAACTAATAGATTTACCAGAAAACACCAAAGACGAGCCAAATATTTATCAGTGCCCTTAGCCAGAGTTCAGTGACTGTCAGTGGACCACCGTCAAGATTGAAAGCGCTCTTCCGGATGTCGGACTTTTTCCGGGACCGCAAATTTGTCCAACTGCCCGTCTTTGGAGGACTATGTCATGCGAAGCACATCTACAATGAAACCCACGTACAGAAAGTGGTGCATTCCACATCAATGCAGGCCTTGAGCAGCAAAATGATGCCTAGGATTCCTATCTTCTCGACAAGCAGCGGGGACACATTCCCGGCGAATACAGCCACAGAGTTGTTCGAGGGCATCATTTCCGAAATCCTCACCAAATCAATTCAATGGGATAATGTGATCCGAGGTGTAGTGGAGCAAATGAACCTACTATCTGCACCTGATTTCCAAGCACTAGTATTTCGAATGACCCTTCCGATACACGACCTGATGGCTGCTGTCAATGGCGAACTTCGAGGGTTGCAAGCGACAACGGAGGACCTTGTCCCATGGGTCTTAAACCAGGCCGGGGGCACGATTCCACGAGGTACCTCTCAATCCAAGATTGCAATTGTAGGCATGTCTTGTCGGCTACCCGGGGGTGCCACCGATACCGAAAAGTTCTGGGACATTCTTGAGAGCGGCCTAGACGTTTATCGAACCATCCCACCAGATCGGTTTGATGTTGAGACCCATTATGATCCGGCAGGGAAACGAGTCAACACAAGTTTCACTCCTTATGGCTGCTTTATCGATGATCCAGGTCTATTTGATGCACCATTTTTCAACATGTCCCCTCGTGAAGCACAACAGACCGATCCAATGCAAAGATTAGCATTGGTTACAGCATACGAGGCCTTGGAACGAGCAGGGTATGTTCCTAATCGTACTCCAGCCACGAACAAGCACCGCATTGGAACATTCTATGGCCAAGCCAGTGATGACTACCGTGAGGTGAACACGGCCCAAGATGTCGATACATACTTCATTACCGGTGGATGTCGCGCCTTTGGCCCGGGACGAATCAACTACTTCTTCAAATTCTGGGGACCAAGCTATAGTATTGATACCGCATGCTCCTCTAGTCTGGCCACTGTGGAGGTATGTAAACAAAGCTAACTTTTATGGATTAAGGCACTCTAAACTGACGATTATATAGACTGCCTGTGCATCACTTTGGAATGGTTCTACCGATACTGCTGTTGTTGGCGGAATGAACGTCTTAACAAATTCCGATGCCTTTGCTGGTTTGAGCCGTGGTCACTTTCTGTCCAAGATTCCTGGATCTTGCAAGACTTGGGATTGCGATGCAGATGGATACTGCCGTGCAGACGGAGTGGTCTCTCTGGTCATGAAACGGCTGGAGGATGCGGAGGCTGATAATGACAACATCCTCGGTGTTATTCTGGGAGCAGCCACAAATCATTCCGCCGAAGCTGTCTCTATTACTCATCCTCACGCCGGTGCTCAGTCTCACCTATTCCGCGAGGTCTTGCGTGGCGCGGGAGTTGATCCATTTGACGTGAGCTACGTGGAGCTGCATGGCACAGGCACCCAGGCTGGCGACTTCGAGGAGATCAAGTCAGTCACGGACGTGTTTGCTCCAGCCACAAAACGCCGCAGTTCAAAGCAGCCCTTACATATTGGTGCAGTTAAAGCAAACGTGGGTCATGGAGAGGCTGTAGCTGGTGTAACAGCCTTGCTGAAGGTTCTTCTCATGCTCCAAAAAGGTGCAATTCCCCCTCACGTTGGCATCAAGAACAGCATCAACCCGCAGATACCCAAGGACCTTGACAAGAGGAACTTGCACATTCCATACGAGAAGCAATTATGGAGCCGAGTACCAGATAAGAAACGGATTGCTGTTGTTAATAACTTCAGTGCGGCAGGTGGAAATACGTCTGTTCTCATTGAAGAGGGCCCGGTTCGGGAGGTCAATGGCATCGATCCACGATCATCGCACCTAGTGACGATCTCAGCAAAAAGCAAAGTCTCGTTGAAAGGAAACCTTCAGCGGTTTATCGGATATCTCGACGAAAACCTGGATATTTCACTATCTGATCTATCTTATACAACCTTAGCTCGGCGTCATCATCATAACCATCGTATGGCCGCCTCGGTCACCAATATGGAGCAGTTGAAGAAACAGCTGAGTTCTTGGATGGAATCCGTTGATTCGCATAAACCCGTCTCGCCGACCGGACCACCGCCCGTGGCATTCGCCTTTACCGGGCAAGGGGCCTCATACAAATCGATGAATCTTGAGCTCTTCCACGATTCCCCGTGTTTCCGGTCACAAATACTGCACTTAGATTCCCTGGCCCGAGCGCAGGGATTCCCATCTTTTGTTCCAGCTGTGGATGGGAGCTATCCTAGTGACCATTCCCATTCACCGACTGTGACTCAGCTTGCTCTGGTGGGCACTCAAATTGCACTTGCCAAGTATTGGGCTTCATTGGGGGTGAAGCCCGAAGTGGTGATCGGCCATAGTCTAGGAGAGTTTGCTGCATTGCACGTCGCTGGCGTGCTCTCAGCTAGTGATGCAATATTCTTGGTAGCTCAACGGGCGAGGTTGCTGGAGCAGAAATGTAAGATTGGTAGCCACATGATGCTGGCAGTTCGCGCTTCAGTCGAACAAATCGAAAAGAGTGCCGGCGACAAGTCATACGAAGTGGCCTGTATTAATGGACCGAAAGAAACCGTTCTGAGTGGGACTCGGGAGCAAATCCACGCGATGATGGAGCACTTGGAAGCCAGTGGCTATAAGTGTTCTGCTCTGGATGTTGCGTTCGCATTTCATTCTGCTCAGACGGATCCAGTTCTGGAAAGCTACGAGGAGATAGCGCAGAAAGGGGTGGTATTCCATCCTCCCAATTTGCCTATCATATCGCCCTTGCTTGGTAAAGTTATTTTTGACGACAAGACGGTAAATGCCACCTACATGCGTCGTGCCACACGTGAGACTGTGAATTTCCATGCTGCTCTGAACACGGCGCAGAGAATTTCCACTGTCGATGAAACAACAGTCTGGGTGGAAATTGGGCCGCATCCCGTCTGCATGGGATTTGTCAAATCCAGTCTCCCATCAACAGCCTTGACAACCCCTTCGTTGCGTCGAGGTGAGAATAATTGGATGACAATGACCCGTAGTCTCGGGGCTCTTCATTGCGCGGGGATTGATATCGACTGGAATGAATTCCATCGCCCGTTTGAAAAAGCACTGAGACTTCTGGATCTGCCGACGTACAGCTGGAATGAAAAGAATTACTGGATCCAATATAATGGAGACTGGGCTCTTACAAAGGGCAATACATTCTACGATGCCGAGAAGAAAACCCTTGCTCAAGCCGATGGTGTACCAACTGGTCCAAGAACTTCAACAGTTCAAAGGGTCATTGAGGAGTTTTTTAATGGATCTCAAGCAAAGGTTGTCATGCAATCCGACCTCATGCAACCAACCTTGCTCGCAGCGGCTTGGGGGCATAAAATGAATGATTGTGGCGTGGTCACGTCGGTAAGTCAACTCCTGGTCGCGTGAACAGGGTAATGTTTTCTTTTATTAACGGATCTTAGTCTATACATGCCGACATTGGATTTACTCTTGGAGAATATGTCTACAAAAAGTTGAAGCCAAATGGAAAGGTTCCAGCCATGAATATGGCGAACCTGGAAGTTTTGAAGGGACTGGTTGTGAACAAAAATACCAATCAGGCCCAGCTGTTCCAAGTCGCTGCCACCACGGCCAATATCGATTCGGGGGTTGTTGAACTCGAATGGCGCAATGTACAGTCTGATGGAAAGGCGGACGAACCATTTGCCAGCGCCAGAATCTATTACGATGATGCTTCCGAATGGCTTGCATCGTGGCGACCGACTCTACATCTAGTTGAGGGCCGTATTCAGGCCCTTGAAAGACTGGCGGAAGACGGTATTGCTAATCGACTTTCCCACCGCATGGCCTACAATCTCTTCGCGGCAAGTCTAGTTGATTATGCGGACAAATACAGGGGGATGCAGTCTGTTGTCATGCATGAACTGGAGGCCTTTGCCGATGTTCAACTGACAACCGAGAAAGGAGGAACCTGGACAATCCCGCCGCACTTTATCGACAGCGTCGCTCATCTGGCCGGGTTTGTCATGAATGTATCCGATGCCATCGACAATAAAGCCAACTTCTGCGTTACGCCTGGTTGGAACTCGATGCGATTTGCAGGCCCCTTGGTGGCAGGCGAAAAGTACCGTTCCTATGTCAAGATGATCCCCACAATTGAAGACAATAGTGTGTATCTCGGAGATGTGTATATCCTCCAGGATGGTATGATCAAGGGTATGGTTGGTGGGATCAAGTTCAGGCGATACCCGCGACTTCTATTGAACCGCTTTTTTTCCGCCGGAGATGGGAGCAATGAGAAAAAGGGTCATACTTCGGGATCCGCACCGCCACCCACAATTACCGCACCAACGGTGGCCCCAGTGGCGATCTCCGCAGTTGCTGTCCCTGTGCCCACTCTTCCAGCCACCGCAACTACCCTGGAACAAACCCAAGTGGAGGGGAAGACGGCTACGCTAGAAACGGATAGTACGGCAGCCAAAGCACTTGTGCTAGTGGCAAGCGAGGCCGGGATGGACGTGGCGGAGCTCCATAACGAAGCCAGCTTTGCCAATTTGGGAGTTGACAGCCTGATGAGTCTGGTTATTGCCGAAAAGTTTCGCGAAGAGCTTGGAGTAACCGTGACGGGGAGTCTGTTCTTGGAGTATCCTACAGTGGGGGATCTGCGGAACTGGCTTTTGGAGTACTATAGCTAGAACCCGGGAATATCTGACTTCATGTGATCTAATAGTGATGGAAATCCAAGATTGCATACCTTCCATTTTCATAATAGATATTGGTCCAATTACACAACCAGGGGGCTACCTGGTATCACAAAAAAAATCTAAAGATACGAGGTTACAATGCGTCAAGTTAAAAGTCCTTGCAGCAAACTTAGCCCAAGAGTCTACAGATACGGAAAATGGTTGGGTGGAGTCTATTTAACCTGCGCTTCTTCTTATGGGATTTATCTCCGCCGGGGGAGGAAAAAACAGCTTCTACACACCCACGCCAGACCTTTGTCTGATCCACATAATTGCCCTATTCCTGCACGATGAGTAGCACAGACCAGCTCGAAGGCTGTATTGCCGAGCTTACTTCTTCCGCAAGGAGTCTGCTTCTCTACGGCCGGAATGCGGGTATTGCTTCTTCTGGACCGCAGCTTCGTATTCCAGTCGATGCACCAGATACGGTTCATCAAGCTCGCCGAACGGTATTGGCCAATATTTTCAAGTTGACAACGTTGCTGGGGGATCCAGTGAGCTTGCTCCAGCAGATGGCGCTTCAGATCCAACTACTAGCCTGTCTCCAGTGGTTAAGCTGCTCCCAAGTGCTTATTTGCTTACCCCTCGAAGGAAGCTTCCCTGTGAAGGATCTAGCCCAGCTTTGTGGCGTTTCAGAGACCCAGTTATCTCGGGTCCTTCGTCTCACTGCAACGTCTGGATTCCTGCAGGAGCCACAACCCGGGCAGATCATGCATACACATCTGTCGAGCTCATTCGTGTCTCAGCGACGTTTCCGCGACGCTACCCTGTTTATCGCTGAATGCTGGACGCCCAGTGCTTTGCGGATGGCGTCAGTGACGCACCCCCAAGGCAATACCCCCCATGTCAGCTCTCCCGAGTGTGCATACAACCTTGCCTTTTCAACCCCGACTACATTCCGTACTGCATGCAGTTTAGCCCCCAAGTTACAGCGCCAATGGTCGGCGTACCTTCAGTTCACAGGATACTTCGATGATAACATCGTCGAGGTCCTCACTCGCCTAGACTGGGGCAATCTGGGTGAGTCTTGTATCGTCGAGGTAATGGCGCTCCTATGCGTTTCACGTCTTGAAAGCGTTGATCCTAATTTAATTCATGGCACTGTAGTCCCGTGCGGAATCCGCAAATCTCGCCCGGCTTTTGGCCAGAATCTATCCTGCGCTACGATTTATTGTTCAAGTTTCCGGGAATATTCTAGGGGGCTACGATGATGCCCATGAATCTTCTATGCCTCAGCCTACCAGCCCCCAGACTCTCCCCGCGGAAACTCACGACAGTCGAATTAGCGTGGAGACGTGCCCCTTTGGAGCGCCACAGCCCATTTTAGATGCAGCAGCTTACATTCTGCATCTGCCATCCCCACTCTCCCCTTATAGCGCGTCCATCCGATCCTTTATCATTAAAGAGCTTCAGTCCTACGTGGGCATCCTGTGCGCCAATCGCGCTGCCATCTTGATCCTGACAGCGCGTTTCCTTCCACCCCCGGGCAGTGTCAATCTGGATGTCGAAGCTATATCGCGAGTGCGCTCACTAACCTTATTTCAACTGGTGAACGAACGGGAGGCTGAGGTGGCTGATATTGAAGACTTGGTCAACAGCGTGGGGGATGGATTGGGTCGACTGGTGGTGGTTGATAAGCTTCGGACACGAAATAACCTTCCGGTGGGCTTAGCTGTGAAATACCAAGAGGAAAATGGTTCGAGCCTTTAGGCCATGAAGCGGGGGTGGGACCATCATCAGGAGTGTTTAGGCGACAGAAATTAGTTAGTCATACAGCGCTGGGGTGTTTATGTCTGGTTTGTCACCAAGAAAGGTCTGATCACGGAATAGCCTAGCTACATCTGAGTACAGGCTCGGGGCAGTGTCTTTCACGGCCGATGCGAGCCGAAAGATGACTGCATCCGAAGTACATTAGTGCATCTTACGTTCAAAGTCAATCTGATTCAACCTAGCTGACACACCTTTCACTTTGTACCTCCAAAATCGGCTTGCCACCATGCGAAGCTAGAGCACGACATCCTGGCAGATAAGCGCTATTTACGTTTTTCTATCGACTTAGGAAAGTAGGCTGGCAGAGATATCGGCCGGGGGTTCGGGGTTTTTGGTCGCTGGAAACCCTGATCCATAGGTCGTCACATACATGATTAGGTGAACAGCTATGATTGCCACAAGATCGTCCATTAGCCAGCAAGGACCACAGCGATTGGACGATAGATACGAAACTGTAAATTCCCGTGGCCCTCCATTCGTGCGTTGCCTCTGATTTGAAATATTGCATTCTGTGAAGTATGACAATGGCCACCCCTTCGGAGACCTTCCAGAGACCCACTTGCGTAGGCTAAACCGGCTTACCTGGCTAACGTGCGACGGATATTTGATGGAGCTGCTGGCAAACATAACCCCGCCTTTTACACCAGGTGGTACCGAAAGAAAGAGGAGTCCGAAACAGCCAATATTTCTCCGTTGACAAGGAAGCATGTGGTCCAAATCGAGTAAGGTGTCGACGTGTTTCGCTTTCGCATCAAGCTGATCGATGACTTTACCTCGTGAGTCTAGCGGCATTTGCAATTTGCCACCACATATTCCCTATTCTTTATTTCAGTTGCAACCCCCCCCTGTTTTACACCCTGGTCATGGATCCCCGAAGTCGGGACGATATCGAACCTGCTCCGAAGAGAAACTAGATATGCGGAAATCTGCGGAAGCAGGGCATACCCTGGTGACTCAGCTAGAACCTTCAATGGCCATTTCAATCGAAGCAACCTGCGACCTTGTCTGACAATATTTGCCGTGGGTCAAGTTTGTCTGATAGTATAGACATGTCTGCGCCGGCGTCGGGAGAGCGGCACAAGCTACGAGGTAGTTGCCATGCCTGCGCCTTATCCAAGGTAAAATGCTCCAAGGAGAAGCCGATATGTTCGCGTTGCACGAAAAGAGGAACGAGCTGCGAGTATCTCGTTACCAAACGTCCAGGTCGAAAACAGCAGGAAAATCGATCGAATCCAAAAGCACCGGTCAACACCACCAAGATCCAAGAGGCGGCACCCGACTCCACGATGGCTTCAACTTTCGCTCTCCCCGAGGACCAGCCATGGTCAGTACCAAGCAGCTCTCCCAGCTGTTCTGATGTCCTCTCGAGCCTCTTTGAGTCGGCTGATTCGTCCTTGTCGTCAGCCCTGACAGACTGGAGCACTGACTTCGATGACTACCTTGCAAATTTCTCAACGCCTGAACCAGCCACATTCGATGCCCTTAGCCCCGATCAGATCGGTTTCATCGGTCATACAGATAGTCACACTCCTACCACGTTACGTGGCAAGGATAGCCCGGTCTTGGTGCCCCCAGGGGACACCATCTCTCTATTTGGACGTCCAGTGTCCGCCTCACAGACATCTGCAGACCACCGTCCTCTGGATGCGAGTATCCCTGATCAGCACCATCAAAAATCGACATGCAATTGTCTCTCTAACGCTTTGAATTTGTTCAAAGAGCTTTCCAGCAGCGAACTGGTGCCCGGTGCTATATCGGGCAGGCGAACAGATGATGCGATTGGAAGTCATCTGCCATCAATTGGCACCACCATCAAGACCAACCAGCAAACTATGGATCTAATAAATACGACCCTTCAATGCAAATGTTCGGGGGATAGTTACGTTCTCATAATCGTGGTCCTTATCATCTTTAAGGTCCTGGAGAGGTACGCGACTGCCGCAACTGTCTCTAATCAGAGTCCTACCACGAATGATCCCAGTGATCTTTTCTCGCGTGTTTCAGAAACAGGGACTTGGATCCCTAGCCCGACAGATCAACGCGGTACGAGTGCAGCACCGGAACTGCGAATAACAGCTGCACAGCGCGTTCTTGGCGAGCTACATCGCGTCCAGCGGGCGTTGAACCAGCTGTCACCTGCACTAAGAACATCTAAAGCGAGACAAATGAGTTCTCTCGTTGACGCGCTCTGTATTCCCAGGAATCATAGTTTCTCTGTTTTTCCAAATATTGTCATGGACGAGTTAGAGCAGGAACTGCGCAAGCGTCTCGGCACTCTTTCATTGGAGATTATTAATGCGCTTCGATTAGAAGAATAGGCTAAGACAAGATGAAGTAACTAGATGAACAAGCAATGTACACACCACTACGCATTTCCTGTTGTTGGATCCAATGTTCAGCAATGAAACAAAGATGAAGTTCAATTTCCTGGGGCTCTGCATTGGAGAATTGTAGACAAAACAAAAACGACCGTCTTCCTATTAACTCATCACGAAACCGAGATCGTTTGATCTAACGCGCGACAGGAGGCATCACGGCGGCCAAGACCTTTTTCACTGGCTCACGAGCCGTCATCCGATCCAACCATGCCTTGAGATGAGGGAAGTTCTGTACATCGTAGCCGTCCTCGGGCTGGATGATCTTGGTCAAAGTGATCTGCCAACTGACCCAGGCGAGGTCAGCGAAGGAGCACTTGCCCCCAACCAACCATGGACCATCACCGCCGGCCGGCTGCTTCGCCAGATAGCCCTCCACCACACCAGATACGCGGTTCATCTCCTTAATGTACCGTTCCAGTGCGCTTGGGACGTGTTCCGGGTGGTACTTCTTAAACCAGCAGGCCTGTCCGTAGTATGGGCCCTGGCCCGAGGCCTGGAAGAAGAGCCACTGGCGAGCATGATAGGCATCGTTGCTGCCCTTTGGGAAGCTGATTTTGTGCTCGGTATCGTACTGCTCAATCAGGTACTCGACAATGGCGCCAGACTCCCACAGAGTGAGGTCAGTATTCGGGTCGTAGATTGCGGGCAGTCGTCCATTGGGGTTGACGGCGAGATATTCCGGGTCCTTGACCTGTGAGAGCTGAATCGGTACAAACTCGTGCGGCAGGCCCAGCTCCTCGATGATGATGGCCACACGGGGTGGATTAGGGCCACCCTGACCCCAGACCTTGATTGGTAAGAGATTGGATGACATGGTGGCGGCTGATGTTTATTTGCTTGATAGGGGGAAACCCGTTGTGTGGTTGGTGGGATAGTTCAAGAGAGGGTTGGGGGAACTCCATAAGCCGTTGGGCTAAGGACTACATTTAATACCATCGTTTCTTTGTTTGCGATATGAATGACGATATCGTGAATGCAGTCATTCGATGGGTGGGATTTCACATTACCAAGCTTTACCAATATCCAGGTCGGGGGTCGGGGGCCGTCGTGCCCGATGTCCGTACCCGGACCGGGGTCGGGGCAGGGTCGCGACCGGGGTTTCGACCGGGATCTTGACTCGTCCTCCCCTGTTTACGGTGGCCTGGACGAGTGGGAGAGCTCTGTCACTGGGATGCTTCGGTGTCTGCGGCTTCTGTACTCTGCCAGGTTCTAGCTCTGTATGTACATCCCCAGTGACCGTTCCTCCGGAGCCCTAATTGGCCGCCCTTCCCCCTCCTCCGCCGTGCAGGAAGGCAGGCATGATTGAGCTCCTTTCCTCCCCCGCTTCTCCACCTCCTCTCCTCCCCCTGGCCCCGCCAATAAATTACTAATTGTACCCTGGCTCACCTAGCTTACCCTGGTCCTGTGGAAGGCAGATATGGATGCAGAAAGGGCAAATAATGTCTCACAAACCCCATGAAAATACACATCGGAGCCCCCGGCGGGAAGTTCGCCGGTCCGTTAATGGAGACGACCCCGACATTCCGCATATCCCATTTGCCTTCTGGATCATCAGCGGCCTCAATCATGGCAGCAGCAAGGTCGGCGTAGGACAGGGGGCTTTTTTCCTCGGTAAGACTTAATGCGTGCCCCCGTTGAATATCCAATGCCAGACCTCCGGGCTTGATGAAGATCGTCGACACCCAGCCCTGTTGTGCGCGGAGGAATTCCTCGGTTTTGACCAGATCGTGGTAAACATGCGAGGCTGAGCGGAGGAGAATCCAACGGACAAGAGGGGGTGTTGCGCGGGACAATTGGTCGTCGAGTGTCGCGGACGAGAGCAGAACGAGCTTCGGCATCGTCGCACCCTCGGGCTGGGCCTTTAGCGTTTCGAGAGCTTGAATCACCCCGATGGCCGTGACCTGCGCCATGTCGCAGTGGGGAATGTTGTCATTGGTGGACACGACCAGGAAGACAGCCCGACAACCACGAAGGCATGCGGTCAGCAGGGGAATATCACGAATGTTGCCCTCAAAGATCTCCGCATGGTCGGGCTTGGTTGCTGCCAGTTCGGGCACCAGCCCCAGCAGTTTCTGCTTATTGCGGCAGTACGCATGGATTTTGGCCGATGGCGTTTGAAGGAGAATACGAATCAGTGCCGTGCCACAATTTCCCGTGGCCCCAATCACTGCGTAGGTGGTCATATTGAACGCTTCTTCCTCTGCCGAATGACTCTGGGTCGTCCAGAAAGGACCTTCATGATGAAGCTGTATTAACTATGCAGGGAGATCAACCCTGATCAAAATCCGATCCCGAAAATCGACTCAAATCGCCCGATCGTCGGTCGCTATCGGGGCAATCGGGTTATTACCATCTTTTTGCTTTTTTTTATTTGCCCCGATGGAAAATACCTGGAATTACCCCGGACACCCTATGCCCCGACATTCCCTCAGATGATACCACGCTAGATGATGCATTATCGCTGGTCAGAGCATTCGAGTGGTGGAGAAGGCCAGTGCGTGATCACAATTACAGCATCTCATCTCAAGCTATTCCGGGGCAGGTCGGTGGCAATCTCAAAAAATGTAAATATTGCTAGGTCTAGATGGAGCTTGAGATGAAGGATAGAGCCTAAAGCGGTCTATCAACGATCGCCCCGTGTCGCCAAAATTAGAGTTGCGGGCCAGTAGCCATCAAGACGACTTCCACTCTGGAGGAGGTCTTCGACTTCTTGCCAGAGACTAGTAAACGCTTCAGGCTCTCTAAAAGCATGGGGGAATGTACGAAAATGCTCTTTGAAGCCATCAAGATCCATTTCAAAACCCCATTCCTCGTCACGTTCGAACACCTCTAGATCTCTCGGTCCCGTGTGGTCCGGCTCCGTCACTTCGTCTTGTCTCTCAGGCGGCAACAGCCCCGTCAAGCCGCCATTCTCCATATTGAGGTGGATGCGTCTCGCACCTGGACGGAATAGTCGCTCATCCAAAGGGGCGACATTGTACAGGTCTTGACTGCGAGCCATCACATTCAAAGTATCGATCGGTTGGTCGGCCGTCTTTAACAACACGCGACCGCCCTGCTGACTGATCCTCTCCCATACATCCTGCACCTTGCGGTCATTGAAGAGAGCGGGACCGAAGCCAGCGCAAGCAAAGGTGCCACCGGGCTTCAGCTGGGTTGCAATCGCCTGAATAGCTGCCTCCTGGTCTGCCCAGTGCATGGCGTTCATCACGAATACCATGTCGACGGATCCGGGCAGAATATCACGAATCTCCTCCATCTTGCCTTGATGGTAGCTATATCCATCGCTCCCCAGCCTTTCCTCTGCCTGACGAACGTTATCAGGTGCAACGTCCGATATTATGACGTGGTGGAACTTCGAGCGCAGCTCTTGCGAGTGCACGCCATTGCCGGCTCCTGCGTCGTGGACGATATCAAATCCGCCATTTTGCGACAGGTGATAATCGTAGATTCGCTGGAAGAAGCTTTGTGGGACTTGCGGGCGGCCGCTGTTGTAGTTTTTCCAAAACGCTCGATCTTGAGCGAAGATCTTGTCGTTCGTATCCACCTCGTGGAGGACAGTCTTTGAGGACACTAGCATTTTGATGGTGAATTAAAGATGTAGAATGCGGGTCGAACAAGAGGAACGCTGGTATGGAATATAATATTATATTTCTTTTGTTCTCTCTAAACAATGCCGGGGTTACTCGGGATGATGCGCGGTGATATATTGTCCGACACTCTCGGGGCGATATCTAGACTATGTGAGCCCCTCGGCGACCGCATCGGAAAGCACTTAAGGATATGGCACATTCCAGTGAGTAATCTAAGTACGGTATAAAGGTCTAGAGCCAGTAAATTATCATCATTTTCGTGTATATCGGCTATTTACTGACTTCATGCACAGTGTTGACTGGAGCGATTCAGGATACCGCGAAAACAGTATTCAACTCGAGAGATCTTTGAACAATTTTCGCCAGCCGATGATGGCTCCAGCTAACGGGAAAATAGAGCGCGCTACATGTAATAATTGCCATCGGACGATCAGAAGCTGAACCTCGTCCAAAGACGCCCCAGAACTAGCTCGAAGTTGAAACAACGCATTGTTTGTCGACGACATACAAATCCAGGTAAAGGGAACCATGGTGATAGTCGTTGCTGCAGCAAGGAGGTGAATGATCCAGGGGTTACCGGCTGCCTTTTTTCTGCTCGCCACAAACCCATGTACAGCACATGTTGCCACGGAAATTGCCGGCATCAGTTTATGCCCATATTCGTATAAAGAGATGAATTGGTCCAGCAAGTGCTCTGGCTGAGTATTCGTATCGAGAAACACTGGGACGGCAACAAGTGAAAGCCCCATCATAGCACCTAAGTAATCATTTTAGAAATCGGTGCGCTTAAAGGCTTAAATGTGCTGATATGTACCGGAGAGGAAGGCGCCAGAAATGATTCCAGTGGCCTGTACCCCGATTTGACGCGGCGGTGCTTCTGCCATGACAAATACGAGTCGACGAAGGTTTATTGACTATGATATCAAGGTTTATGCGGTGTCATGGCCCACGCAGGGACCAGCCAGTTTATAAATTGTCAATTTGGTTTTTTTCCCTTTGCCATGCGCACCGCGTGCAAAGCTATTATTGTCGGCCGGTTTGAACCTGCAGCATCGGGCGACCGGGCGCATCTTCCCGAACTCGAGGTAAACTAGTTGCCCGAACTCGATTATATTTGAGAGCAAGTCACAAGCCGGAATTATTTGTTCTCACTGCACACAGAGAGCAGTTTTTGGATGATTTTTGCTCCTGCGTATTTTTCCCGGCATTCCCAGAGTCTCAAAATGGCCCACGAGCCAGAAATCCACGGCGATCCGCCCAGCAAGTATCTTTGCCTGACCATTTGCGGGTATCGGAAGCCGGGAATGAGCGAGGAGGACTATCGCCATCATATGACCAAAATCTCGGCCCCCATGACAAAAGACCTTATGGTCAAATACGGCATTAAGCGGTGGACAATGGTTCGTAGGCCGACATTGCTCAAGCCTCTCGACTGACAAGGGTCGGGCAGATTCATAACCCCACCACCACGCGTGCCTTGATGGCCGAGCTTTACGATTCCCAAATGGTCAATCTGGCGGACTTTGACTGCTTTAGCCAAGTCGTGTTCGAGAGCGTCGCAGACTATAAGCGGATGAAAGAAGACCCGTACTATAAGGAGCATTTGTTCGAAGACCACAAGAACTTTGCCGACACAAAGAGAAGCATGTTCGTTTTATGACTCTACCTCAACGATCTTCAGTCTTGTGGTACTAAATTTTGACTTTCCAATCTCCGTAGGATGACGATAGGATGGATTGAGGAATTTGTTCGAGACGGTGTGGCTGTTGACTGATTTGAGGACCTGCGTATTGTTTAGTGCTTATGGCTTTCAAGTGATTTTTCCCCTACAGCCGGCGAAATTTACTTGTCTCGGAAATCGGCCATGCACCAAAGTTGCAGTGTGATTAGGTCGCGTTATGGGTCCTCTCGGTTCGTCGTAGCAACTGGCCTAGTTTTCAAGTAGTCCGAGGTTTTTCTTTTTCTCATGAAATGGAGTATTTTATCCTTCCTTCACGTCCCTGAGTGTAGGGTGCCTTCATCAGCCTGTTGTACTACCAAAGATGGCTCCACTGAGAGACTGGGTGGCCTCTGGGCTTTTGGGCCTCATCTTTTCGATCACTGCTGCTGTTGCTGAGGATTGCGTCAACGCCCCAAGCACCAGGGATTGTTGGACAAAGGGCTTCGACATCTCGACCGACTATACCGATGCTACACAAGTTCCTCCTGGGAAGCTTGTTGAGGTGAGCCTCCCTGGCCCTGCCATATCAATTTCAGCATGTCTAACTCACGCTTCACGGCTCGCAGTACGACCTTACCGTGACTGAAGAAACTATTAGCCCAGACGGCTACGAGAGATTAGGAACTGTGTTCAATGGTGGGTATAAAGTTTTCTTAGTATGGCCATATGGGGCTTTTCAATTAACTGATTTCTGAAGGACAATACCCTGGGCCGGCTATTGAGGCAAACTGGGGTGACACGCTCAGTGAGTTGACGACTGATCTCTTCGCCCTGTGAGTCTTACTGACGACGCGCACTCAGGGATTACCGTCCATAATAATCTGACTAATGGAAATGGAACCGCGGTTCATTGGCATGGGATACGGCTATTTGAGGCCAACTACATTGACGGTGTTCCGGGCGTCACGCAATGTCCTATTCCGGTAAGAATTCTGCTACCCGGGGTGCACAAAAGGATGAAAACAGCAGAGTTGATCCCTTCTTCAGCCAGGAGAATCTCAAGTCTACGAATTTCAATTGACTCAGTACGGGACGTCTTGGTATCACTCGCATTTTAGCCTTCAGTGTTAGTCCCCATGAAATCCTAATCCCAACGGTTGGTATGCGAATGCTAAATTATCGATCAGATAGCAATGGGCTCTATGGTAGGTCAGCGAAGCTCCATGTATGAATCAGACTAACATTTCAAAGGCCCGCTAGTCATCCATGGGCCATCCAGTGCGAACTGGGATATTGACTTGGGTCCATGGCTTCTGACTGATTGGTATCATGAAGATGCCTTCACGTTGAATTGGATCTCACTCGCGGGTGCATTGGCACCCATTCCCACATCTACTGTTCTCAATGGCAAGGGTGTCTACGACTGTAGCCCGGAGGATGACAGTCTTTGTACCGGAAAGGCAGAGTATTTCGAAACAACCTTCACCAAGGGCACCAAATATAAAATTGGACTGATAAACACCGCAACTTTACTTACCTACACGTTCTGGATCGATGGCCACAACTTTACGGTCATTGAAACTGATTTTGTCCCCGTGGAACCATATGTCACAAATGTGCTGAACGTTGGTATGGGACAACGGTACGAGATTATCATTGAAGCAAATGCGGATTTCTCACACGGGTCCAACTTCTGGATGCATGCACAATATTGTGGCGCGCCCGCTGTCATAGAGAACAACAAGGTTGGTATTGTTCGATACGACAAAAATAACTCGAGTGACCCTTACACGCCACCAGCGAGCGAGCAGTTTCTGGACCTTGGGTGCGCGGATCCCAGCCCCAGCAACCTTGTCCCTGTGGTCAAGAAGAATGTTGGCAAACGCGCAAACGAAATGAATAAAAGCAATTATTTGACCATAGGTGAACAAGGGAAAAATTCCAACCCCATGGGAATCGGACCCCCGCGTTCATTTATGGACCATCAAAAACACGGCGATGTATGTAGACTGGGAACTTCCGAGTCTCCAGAAACTTACTTCCGACGACACTATATTCCCTCCTGAAAGGGTCCCTGTTTACCTCGACTTCGACACCGGCGAATGGGTTTACTTCCTCCTAACCAGCAACTATACCATGGATGAGGTTATAACGCCTCGAAACTTGACACCGTCAGTCCATCCGATCCATCTTCACGGACACGACTTTGCAATCCTAGCACAAGGCGATGGCGAGTTCACATCAGATGTCACTCCAACTCTCATCAATCCTCCTCGTCGGGATGTTGTCGATGTCCCCATCGGTGGCTATGCTTGGATTGCTTTCGAGATCGACAATCCCGGCGCATGGTTACTTCACTGTCACCTTCAGTATCACGCCTCTGAGGGAATGGCGTTGCAATTTATCGAACAGCCGAGTAAGATTGCAGGACTCCTGAGCGACGCAGGCGTTTCGAGCGAGCTGTCCGACCGATGTACCGCATGGAAGGATTGGTATAGCGTATCGAACAAAACCCAAGATGACTCGGGTATCTAAGTTTTGCGATTGCGACTAGATTAGTCGCGAAATCTCATGGTCGTGTATAGAGCTGGGTTGGAACTGGTGTTAATATTGTAAAGTTCCTGAAGAGGTCGTTAAACTACCACGAGTGGATAGAAAAATACAATATGATGCGTCATTATCGGAAATTCACCTTGTACAATTCATTCGGGGGCAGGGTGCTTGGTGCAGATGCCACATAATAGCCCGATGAATCCAGTTCGGAAATCTGATGTATCTGTCTAATCTTTCGGCCGATGGTCCCGATCCTCCGGGTGTGTCCGCTTAGTACAAATGTGAGTGTACTCAGTCGCGGTGTACCTCTGATATTAATCGGACGCTGTTTTTGTCACTCATCCTTGTGATTTTCTGACAAATCTTCCAAACGGTATCACAATGGCAACAGCTTCACGCATTTCCCTATCTCAAGACCACCGAGGAGTCGCAAGTGTGAACGAAATTCCGGCTGGGTCTATTGAAGCCGCTGATCGGCTGCTCCAACAAAACCATGATGAGAACCACATGTTTTGGAGGGCCGTAGCTGGTCACAATCATATCACACATTCTCTTTTGACTACCTTGGCACTCGGCGGTGGCGTTGAAGAGATTCAACGAGCTTTTGATGATGGCAACGACATTCAACGGCCTATACCTCAAGTCGATAATCGGATCGTGGAGCAATTACGGAACCCAGATCACTTCCGCGCAAAAATCGGCCAGTTGGATCAGTATTCGAACTTCCTGGCCTTCTTCACCCAGGAGATTGAAACAAAAGGTTACAGATTCGTGGTGGCCGAATATTGCTTCAGTGGGAGTCCAAACGCGGAGACTCTCTTCGCCCAGCTGTTTGAAGGTCTCTATCACCCGATCATTCATCTGGCCTTCGGCATTGAGTTTGATCAGCCGAGCATCATTGCAGAGGCACTTGCGCAGGTGGCTTCACATGATTCGATGGGAATTGAGGAATTTCTGGTTCGAAGCCAGGAGGAGGCTCAGGGGTCCACACAGCCCGCGAGGCCTCTGATGCACCTATTCCATGATATAGAGGAAAGCGAAACCCTTCAAAAAGCCGCTCATGGATTCCATGATGGACCTGCAAGAATACGAGAAGGGGTTTTGGGAAGCCACGGCGAGGAGATTAGAGCACTCGCCTCTCAGTTTCGTGTGCACCCAGAAAATATAGACCGACGGCTTGCAGAGGTGACCAACTGTTCTGCGTATATAGCGGGTGCAGCACAAAGGGCCGGCAAGCCCCGCAAGATTGATTTTTTTCATCTCCACCTTCTTACCGCATCCCTTGCTGTTGCTATCGTTGTCCGACAGCCGTGGATCAGTGCCGAGCTCAAAGCACGGTTAGTGGAGTGGAAAGCTCGCGTGGACCTTGTTTGGTACACAGGCACCGGCGCGGTTGAGATCCTTCTTGAAAACCTGCTCAAATATTCCCCGACAGTCAGTGTTGATATGGACTGGAAAAATCTGTATCGAGCAGTTACCTTGGAGCACGATGATGGACATTTGGCGAAATTTGTACGAGCATTGAAGTTTGGGGAAGATATATCCAAACCATTCGAGGAAGGTGAAGGGAAGGAAGACTTTCCGATCAAAGGCGAATCATGGCTACGACTTGCTCAGATGTCTTATGATACTACATTCAACCGACCGATTGAACTGAAGTGGATCTGGGGTATTGGTTTTGATGAGAATTGGACGTATTTGTTGTCGCAAGAGTCGTAGATTTATCTATAGTGTCTTCCGTTCAGAGATCATGTGCTATGAAAGTCTATTGCATTTAAACGTTCAAATATCAAGTCTACCATATCCCGGCTACCATTCCATCTCTCCCATTGTAGGCAATTATCTTTTTACTTTGCCATCCAGTTCCACCAAGTGAGATTTTGTGGTAGGGTGTCGGCACCGATGACCGCTGAAGGGGCCAGCGACCGAAGAGTCCGAAAGGTAGGGCGTCCTGGAGATCGGACCATATTGTCTGGGTCTCAGCAATATCCCGACGTCGGGTTTTCGGTTCTTTTGGCTCCGATATTGGCAACAGCTACTGAATCATCATCATCACCCCACGCTATGAGACCGAAGAGGATGCAGATACGGCATACATAAATACTGCTCGCGAGCTTGAATAAATTCAATCCGAGTACCAGGCCAGCATCCACTTAGTAATTTCTTACTTATTATCACGTGTTCCTGCATATATACTACCAGAATGTCGGTCCCTAGCAAGACTACAGTTCTAGTTATTGGCGGTGGTCCCGCTGGATCATACGCCTCAGCGGTTCTGGCTCGTGAAAATGTTGATACAGTCCTCTTAGAAGCAGAGAAGTTTCCTCGGTGAGGCACTCCTCGTAACAAATTGAAGAAAAAGACACCAAATCCCTAACCGGTAACTCAATGACAGGTACCATATCGGCGAAAGCATGCTCGCCTCGATGCGCTTTTTCCTCCGGTTCATTGACCTCGAGGAGCGCTTCGATGCGCACGGCTTCAGAAAGAAGCACGGAGCAACATTCAAGATCAACTCCAAGCGTGAGGCCTACACAGACTTCTCGGCCTCTCTTGGGCCTGGGGGCTACGCGTGGAACGTAATCCGCTCCGAGGCTGATGACCTTATGTTCCGTTATGCGGGAGAAGAAGGTGCACATATCTTTGATGGCACCAAAGTTGATAACATCGAATTTGTGCCATATGACGCTGCCGATAGTGCGGATTTCAACCCGGATGCTCTCCTCAGCAACCCCGGTCGCCCAGTCGCGGCGACGTGGTCCCGTAAAGACGGTACCAGCGGCCGGATCGAATTCGACTATCTCATTGACGCCTCTGGTCGTGCCGGTGTTGTCTCCACTAAATATCTGAAGAACCGCACGGTCAACGAAGGGCTTCGAAACATTGCCAACTGGTCCTACTGGAAAGGTGCCAAGGTGTATGGCGAAGGTACGGGCCAGCAAGGTTCACCCTTTTTTGAAGCTCTTACCGATGGTAGTGGCTGGTGTTGGGCGATCCCACTACACAACGGCACTTTGTCCGTGGGTGTGGTCATGCGGCAGGATCTCTTCTTTGGCAAGAAGAAGGCAGCAGGATCGCCGAATTCGCTCGACATGTACAAGCTGTGTCTAGAGAATGTCCCAGGAATCAGTTCGTTGCTCGACGAGGCCGAGATTGTCTCCGATATCAAGATGGCATCAGACTGGTCTTACAGCGCTAACGCGTACGCTGGACCCAACTTCCGGATTGCGGGAGATGCGGGATGCTTCATTGACCCGTACTTCTCGTCGGGTGTTCACCTTGCACTGGTTGGCGGTCTCTCTGCTGCGACGACCATCCAGGCGGTTCGTCGAGGTGAGACCACCGAGTTCAGCGCCGCGAAATGGCACTCGAGCAAGGTAACAGAGGGATACACCCGGTTCCTCCTGGTTGTCATGGCTGTTCTTCGTCAGCTGCGGAAGCAAAATGCAGCAGTAATCAGTGAGGATGGGGAAGAAGGCTTCGACATGGCATTTGGTCTCATCCAGCCAGTTATTCAGGGCCAAGCCGACACGGGTGAAAGCGAGCAGCAGAGGATGGTAGCGGGTGTGCAGTTCTCACTGGAGCGGTTCAACCGAGCTCCGCCTGAAGTGCAGCGCGCAGTGCTCGACAAGGCAAAGTCGGCTGGACAGAATGCAGAAGAACTGGAGAAGTTGACTCCGGATGAGATGGCAGTGCTGCATAACATCATTGGTCGACAGCTGCGGATGACCAAGGTTGAGAAGAATCTCGACAACTTTTCTCGGGACGTGGTTGACGGATGGGCGCCCCGCGTCGAGCGAGGGAACTTGGGTTTGAAACGGGCTGATGACAGTATCATGACTGATGAAATGGAGGACCTGTTCAAGCTGAACCGGTCGGTGGATACTTCAAAGGGTGGCATTCACGTGAAGAGTAATGAAATTCAACTTCCCGCTTGATGTGCTCGTGATATCTCCGAGTTTGACAAGGGCTGCGCAAGAGGCGGGCGATGCAGAACTGACTCGCTTTCAGATACGTTTGTATGATGGGAATTAACGGGAATATACACATGAGAAGCCAATCAAACTCATTTGAAATTGCAGAAATCCTCTTTCTTTTTTACCCTATTCGGATCTTCCCATCAAGTTAGACTGTCAGTGTCCTTTTGATGAATATTTAGTTTCGAGACAATATGTCTTCCGCCGGCCCTTTGCCATCAATTTATCCACTGGATTATTTGAAAAAACGATTGATATAGCCTCAAATACTAAATGAACTGAGTAAACCCGTATTGTGTATTTCTTTTCTTTCGCCTCCAACGACTTCGGTTCAGTAACACTAGCTTGAAGAAACACATGAATTACTCTAGAATTTGACTAGCCTGAAAGATGCGAAGCCACTTGATCTAGCATCGCTTACTCTATCCACTACTTTGAGTACCAAACCTTTAGAAACATTTACTCAAACCTTTAGAAACATTTACTCAAACCTTTAGAAACATTTACTCAAACCTTTAGAAACATTTGAGGAAAGTCTTGAATGACCGATGTCTCTGATCCCAAGCTCGCTTTAGAGGGGCTACCCAGTGCCACGTTATTTACATGCATTGGACCACTCTTGTCAGCCCGCAACCGCACATGCATCCGCATCAATCTCACTACCAGAGCAAATTACAGTCAGTAGATGGACAGGGCTCTAATTTCTGCTGATAAACTCTTTTAGTCAACTAAATCGTGATCTGGTCAGGAATCGGAGTTTGCGGATATAAAGGTTTACGGAAATAACATTCTCGCGATTTATAACATGTTCGTGAAGTATTACATTCAAGTCTATTCAGGAAATCGAGCTTGAATCAAGGGAAAGGACTCATAAACGAGTAACGGATACCTCCAACCAGAATGTCGACTCACAAAACCCTAGTCCTTCACGCACGAGACAGGCCCCTCGTCCTCGAAACTGTCCCCCGCCCTATCGCATCAACAGGTGACGCAATAGTTCGTATCCTAGCTGCCGATATTGTTCCCTACATGCGGGATGTTATAAGCAACAAACGCCCTTACCCGCTCTCTTTGCCCATGACGCCGGGGAACACCGCCATTGGGCGAATACTCGAAGTTGGACCGGACTCAGTTGCCCTCACACCAGGCCAGCTCGTCTTCTGTGACATTACCATCCGCGCCCGTGATAATCCTGCCGTCTCTATTCTATACGGTATCTCTTGGAAAGAAGTCTGGTATTACTCATACGGAGGAATTTAAGCTGGAGGAGATTGAACGGGCGTTCGAGGCGGCTGGAAAACTGAGTGGTTGGGGTGGGCATGTTGTGTTAAAGCCATAGACTATGCAAATCTGTTGTCAAGCATCACCTTTGTGTTTGCTTGTAGCTCGAGATACTCGGGTCGTGCACTTGACACCTTGTCAGTCTAGGAACTTCCCGGGGAGACTAAAATTGTTGGCAATGCTTTATTTGGACAGCCCTAGAATGTGGCCTGTACTAGCGATGAAACACTATGGATCTACTAGCCAATCAAAGCAGCGATATTGAAGGAGATGAAAAAGGAGGTGAAAGTAAAGATGGGATGAAAAATTATTTATCCTAGTAAATTACACTGCTGATCCCATGAGGAGCTTGGTTTAAGTGCCCATGAATTAATTTTATCTCCGTGAGCAAGGCTCGCCGCCCGCAAATAAAGTAGCTTACTAAGTGACAGCAAAACCAAGATATCCCTCTCCATCAATCGCTTCTAATGTAACCATCTGCAAAATTGGAGTGCACGGATCAAGACCCATTGACTTCCAGGCATCGAAGTGAGTAGAAACATCCACGGTGCCAGCAGTCCGGTCCCTCTGGCGAACAGACCAATACTGGCGAAAGGAAGTGGCCCCATAAATTTCGGTCACGTCAGAATAGTAAAAGTCGTACGCATTGTAGGTTCCGCCATCACTACTGACTGTTCCGATGACGTCTCCGTTCCCATACCAGTGCCATGCTTCTCAACGATATACCACTCTGTAATAGGGTTCAGGGTCCATCCGTAAATGGCCAGAGTATAGTTACCGCTAGCGGTAAAATAGCCCGATCATGTGCGTGAGCTGAATCATAAGACTGTCAGTCATTTTGATGAGGAAATGCTCCAATGGGTGGGCGTAGCAGGAGCGGGGTGAGGATCTGGGTTCGTACCGTGTGCTCGTGTCCTTATAGCCCTTTCCCCCAATTAAATCGCTCTCACTTGGCAAATTCCAACATATTTGGAACTCTCCACTATCTGAGAATTCTGTGTAGCCGGCGCCTTCCCCGTTGTCATTGTAAAGAGAGGAATAAAAGCCTGCTGAATCCATGCCATCCTGGCTTGTGCTGAACGTGCTGTGACGTCGATGAAAGTTGTTAATATCGGTAGTGTTTCCGTCCAATTCTCAAATTCCTCCCTAAAACTCAGGTAATCGCAGCCTAGGATTCATGTGCAGCTTTGGGCTATTATCGATTGAAATATTGAAATCGACAAAACTCCGAAGGTGAGAGAAAGAATGAGTAGAAGCTGATATGAGAAGAACATCATGAATGCAGCCAGACACGTGGAGTTATAAGTTTGTACGAATATTTGAAAGCTGCATAAACATGTTTGGGCATCTGGAGCAGACGGCTCTTTTATGAGTGATCCCTTGGACATGCAAATTACTTTCTAGGAGATCAGTCATCAGTTATTCTCCTTTCACATAGAGGAAATGATTTAAAAATATAGGTATTTTGAGCGAATTAAACCTCATTTTCGGAACCAAATACTTCCAATATAGTAGAAAGAGTGGGCTTGAGTCTCCTGAAAATTTTGGGCCTGCCACGGAAAGTTTTCTTGAAACCAGCCACAGGATCAGCTCAATTGGATTATTTACCCGCACCGGTGAAATTGCCTAAATATAACGGTTTCCTTCCAACTTCAGCTGCCTTGCGCATATTGAAATTGGAAGATGATTGGGAGAGCCACCTCCCCCATCGGATTGTTTCCCTATATATCACGGCGTAAACTACGAAGCTGCATAGAGTTTCCCAAACCTGTAAGACATAAGAGTGGCTCCGGCTTCAGGATCACCGGTGGGTACTCAAACAAGGTGGCTCACTAAAATAATGAAATAGGCCGTCCAGTTAACCTTATATCGATTAACCCCACTAGATCAAGAGATGTGTTTGACTGATCGAGCGTGAGTGTAATACTAATTTACCCATATTTCTTTTCTGTACTACTCCAATCTCAGAGAGAGAATCTTCGTAGTGGGATAGGAGTCGACTCGACCTCTTTTCACCATGGTCAGGAAATGAAAGGGTCTCCGCATGGTTTTCCCAATCACAGCTATGCATGCCTTAGTTTGAGAAAGATGCTTTCAAACACCCAAACCTTTGAACATCCACGGTATGTAAACGATGACACTTCCGGAACCTACATACAGTATGATATTTGTCAAGGAAAGGAAGAAAACACTATAGAATCTTCCACCCTTTATCAATGTACGCAGCAGTCCTCATGCCTTCTTTATCAGGAATCCTCTCTGTGATTGACTGGCTGTGCGTAACGGATTCAAGTCTTAAGCATTCATTGATATGAATTCCAGTCGTATGGAGTTTTATGGTCTGCTAGATCACCATGCATAGCTTCTAGGTGTATACTATCACATCTTCCCTTTTACAGCCATGTCTTTCTCATATTAAGCTTTTATTTCTTTCAGTGAGCCTTATAGAAAATATCAGCAAACAATTTTCTTTGGTTTTTGTCAATTTAAAGTCATTCAACATTCAGAGGATCGTATACAATTATCATCAGCGCCGGCCTCACTTAATATCCTCCTGGTCAATCACAACAACAACAATAATGACTCATTGCTTTAGTGTCAAAAGACCCGGCCGATACGGCAAGAGATTATAAGAGGTGCTAACACTTGGATCCCGCCCTTGATACAAGAACTGCAAATTGCACGGGTCAATAGTCATAGTCTGATCCGAGTTACTACGAACCAAATCGCCATGACTAATGTCATTCGTCCAAGTTGCACCACTATTTGCCTTGCCTGCAAAAGGTTGACTCTCCGTACCAGCCTGCACAGTCCACGACCCGCCTAGACTGGTCGCCGTGAACGAGCGGAAGTACCGCCCATTCGCGCCGATTGCCTCCACAATCATGAGGTACTTGCTCTGTCCTGAGACAGTGTATACCTGCACAGCTTCGAACAGGTTATTTGTTGTATCGCTAAGGATAACTTCTGAGGCGCTGCCGAAGGAACCGGGAAAATTGCCGATGGGCATGCTGGCGCGGTAGATCTTCCCGTTGTCGCCAGCGAAGAATAGGTACATGTTCTGAGAGTCGCCGATGACTGTTTGGTCGATTACCCCCGTGCTGCTGCCTGAGATTGTACCAGTGAAGAGCGCGTTTTCGGAGGACCACCCATTTGCATTGGAGGGATCGCTGGAGGTGCGATAGGAGAAGGAGGTGGATCCCCACTGGTAGGCGAGTATCCAGACAGATTTAGGGGTAAAGTAGAACAATGTTGGCGCGACGGCTGAATTGGTCATCTGGTTTTGGCTTGCTGAGGCCATAGCAGACCAGTCGGAGAAGGAGCCAAAGTTCATTGAATGGTAGTTGCCGGATGTATCGGCCACAGAGGCGTAGACGATATGTTGGCCATTGTAGACTACGTTGGTGAAGTCTTTGAGCGCAGCCCAGCCTGACTTGGGCTGGGCTAGAGAGGGCCAGTCGATGTCCAGCTGTAGGTTGATGGAAGATTGCAACTGGCTACAACGGTGCTCGCCGATGCTAGGAGCAGGGCAATGGACGACCATATAACTCGCATGGTGATTCTTTGAAGTTGGGTGGGAAATAATAAATTGTGAAATGGAAAGGTACAGCACAAACAGTGAGCTTATATACCTTTCCTTTTACCCTACAGGCCAAGTCAATAAGGAGTTTATCCATAAATGCATCCATACGAGAATCCGAGAATCCGAGAAGACAATGTCTTAGTTGCATCTCAGCACGGAACACGGGGACGTTTCATCCAAGTCATCGATCGGTAAATCTATCAACTTTCTCAGCCGATACTCTTCAAAAACCAAGCGTGGGTCTCTTTTTACCGGCGAAATTCCGGGGAGGGGAAGGGCCATCTTGGAACACGGGGAATGGCCAACCCATCGGGGTTTTGCCTTTCTGGATACCTCACAGAACTAGCCTCCGTGTCGATCTTTGACTGTGTCGATCTTTTTTGACCCTGAATGAACTAAAGTACTTTTTCCAAGCCTGAATAGTATAACGTTGATGGTGCAGTCGGGTAAAATGCTGGGTAAAATGCTCAAATAATGGATAATATTTTGGTGGGCGTTCTGGTCCTCTTGGCGGACTGAGACACCTTGAAACACGTCGCTGTGCCAATACCGTCCACCGCGAACAAGTCACCGCTTTTGAAGTCGAACTTTGAATGCCCCAAAAAGCTTTGCCCTGTGATCAGCAGCATCCACGACATAGGCGATTTCAACCGCCGAGATCGAGCAGAATGATGCGGTCTTCGTTGAGGCATCTGCAACTAATGAGTTGATTCATAGTTTTCAGAGCATACCCAAGTTAATCCGTTCAATGAAATACCATTCATAATGCACTATACACAAAAAGTGAAATGTATCAATCTGGCTGAATTGAGTACTATCCATTCAAATCCGTCTTAAGCACTACAAACTACCTTCGTGATGAAACCATCATCAACGTTCCCACCACATAGAATTATGACGCTAGTTTGGCCGGTCAATTCCCCGGCAACTTGATAAAATCCGGCAAGCGCAAGCGCCGCGGACCCCTCGGCAATCATATTCTCTTGACCAGCGAGAGCTTTAGCAGACCTCAAAATTTCTGTCTCGTTGCACTCCACAACATAGTCCACGACTGAGCTTGCTAGAGAAAGTGTTATCTTGTCTTCATCAATACCTCCTGCTACAGCCTCAGCTATTGTAGGAAGATGATCCACTTCAACAACACGGCCGGACGCTATAGAAGCTGCCAAAGCTTTCGAGTTGCTGGCAGAAACTCCAAAAATCTTTATCTGTGGACGAAAAGCTTTGAGAACGGATCCGACGCCGCTAATAAGTCCACCACCACCCATAGAGATAAAGACATTAGCTACCTCATCCAGCTGCTCTAGAATTTCAAGTCCAATTGTTCCTTGCCCAGCGATAACTTCAACGTCGTTGTAAGGAGAGATATATGTATAGGATCCCCTAGCAGCGAGCTGCTGCGCATACTGTTCGGCCAGGCCAGTTTCCGCACCGTGCAAGATCACATTAACACCGAATGATTTGATTTTTTCCAACTTTTCCCGTATCACTGTCTCAGGAAGAACGACGGTAAGGTCCTTAGAGAACACTTTTGAGGCAAAAGCGGCCCCAATACCATGATTTCCTGACGATGCTGTGATTAGTCGTCCTTGTGTTGTTGGAGAGGATAGTTTAGAAAGTGCGCCTCTGAGCTTGAAAGACCCAGTTAATTGAAAATTTTCTGCTTTAAACAGGACCTTTGCGTCATATTCATCCCCAATTCGTCTTGCTGGTATGAGAGGGGTTTGGTAGATGTGATGACGAATTCGACTCCTGGCTTGGACGGCACTAGCCGCGATTTCTTGATGTGAAACTGGCATGATGAATGATTTCCGGGATTGCAGTACGATATGCTCTTCATTGTTGAGTACAGAAGCAGCAGTAAAAGCGATCAAAATGCGCCACGCGATCCAGATAGAAAGGCACGAATCCCCGGTCGTATTTCACCGCAAAATTATGAGTTGATCGCAAGGTCATAAATTAGATTTCAATAGGACGAAAGCAAAACAGGAACTAGAATAACAGGCGACAGCAAACCATCAAATAGTAAGGACCCCCGCATGTGTCAACAAACTCAAATCGAGCAGTCTAATCCGTTTCCGAACCTGCCCCCGCACTTGCATCCGCAGAGTAGCAATTGCTATGCTGTCTAAGAGAGAAAATTGAGTTAATAGACTTGTACGGTGTGCTTACTTGCTTACTCTGCAAGAATTTTCGACCATTTAAGCTCTTAGAAACGGTCGCTTCTTGCTTTGGGGGCGGGAACTTTCCCAGCAAAGCCCGTGTGTCTTGGTGAGATCATCGAAACTTTTCTTTAGCGGTCTTATCATTCTCAATTATGCATATGATTCTATCTTGGAAACATGACTCATTTGTTTAATTTTAAGGTTCCGTTTGAAAAGAAAAGAAAAAAAAGACTTGTAATAAACCCAACGAAAAGAAGCTGAACGTTATGGTTCTAGTTTCGTCGATATCGGCCGTGGCAAAGCATCAAGCCTTTCCGCGCTATGATATGGTTGAACTCTTCGGATCTGCACATTCCAAGTGAAAATAGATATATCAAGAAAATATTCGAAATGTATTTGACAGTTTCTCAACACGACTCAGGTTCGCCCACCAGCAGCCTTTTTGATAGCAGCCGACACGTGGTCCGGTACCGTGTAGAAAGGACTGTGCGATGCATTCACAACATCGGTGTGAATATCGACCCCTTTAGCGACCTCCTCCACCATCATTTTCTGTACTGGATGAGGGATTGCCTGATCCTTCAGACAGTAAAGATACGTAGAAGGCACATATCTCCAAGCCTCGAAGGTAATGTTGCTGTGAAATGTCTGATAACTATGCGGTTTCAATGATTCGGTAGCCCTGCGTCAAGCTCATTTATGAATGAACAACAGAAGAAAAGGTGAACCACGCCACCCGGTTGACCCTGGCGTTGGCGAGTTTCCCAGTCTAGGCCGCGAATTGCCTCACAACCTGGAAGTCCGCCGTACGAATGCACGACAACCAGCACTCTCTGCCCAGCATTGACAGCAATATTTATTTTCTTCCTGATCTCACATACATCTTCCGCGAAATCTAAATGAGGTATCACAGGGTCAACAGAGGGCAAGTGAACGACTTCGGTATTGTAGTTGTCGGCTTCCAGCCCTCTAATAACGTCGAAACATTGGGGGCTGTGCCACGCACCAGGAACGAAAAGGACCGATGTTGATGAGGCCATAAATTGAGAATTCCAAAGTATCGGGCAAAGAAAGACGAGGCAATGAAAGATGGATTTGCTGGCATCCTTTTTTGGATTCTTTCGAATTTTATGCCTTTTTTATCTTCTTCTTCTCCTTGATGAGGCTAGTGAGTTGCCGTTACATTCGCCTGCGATCGATCTTACTAGCACCGGCTGACAAGAATGAATGCGGAAGTCTCACTTTAGAACACACAAGAGCTGATTGGGAATACCTGATAGGCTGATAAAAACGGCCTAGCGCTGGTGGAGTCCTCTTCCGACTCTGCTATTTGGCAGATCTTGTTTCCAAGAGACAGTTTGAACTACGAAATCTGACCTTAAGAACACTCGACAAGCTCGAAGTCTGTTTCAAATACCGGTGCCGCACTTGCAGCCGCACCTCCGCCCAAACGCGGATCTGACGTTGTTGGTATCGCGAAAAAATTTTCTAGCATCTTTAACGTAGTCCACGGGGCAATTGGTTCCGCCAAAACGTCATATTAGAAGAAAACCATGGTATTTCGAAAACAACAAGTTGAATCCGATATCATTGTTCTCACTCGGCCGAGCAGACCGGCGCCTGAGGTCCTGACTTGGAGGTCGCTCAGAGATGCCATGTAGGCTGCTTATGATGTTCCCTAATTTGGGCCGCTAAGGAGACAGCACGGTCGCTGAGTAGGCACTTATGTTCCTGAAGTTAGCTGTACCGGCCATGAGACGAATTAGTAAATTGAGATTGAGAAACATCCCACAATTATCAGCTCTCCATGATAGATTAAATTTCTTAGGTGCTGATCACTGAGCCACGCGAATGAATATGATCTTACAAAGGACTCCTGTTACCCTCTAAGCCAGATCACATGATTCCAAGGCACCTTCTTAGCTAGCTCAGAGATAATTAGTACGATCACCTTTACATCTCCTGACACTGTCACAATTCCGATGTAAAGGGATATTTGAATCGATCAACAGCAATGTCAGAATCTGATTGTCCCCAATGTGTTTCAATGGTGTAGAATCATAAACAGCAGCATATGTAAGATCAAGCTTACGAGAAGCACAAATAGATCAGCCTGATGGACAGTAGCTGATTTTTCATGCCATACATGTACATCTAGTGGAGATGGTCAAATGACTGCACTACCTAGGCATGGCCTCCTGCCGAGGGAGGATCTATTTCAGACGATCATTACATCGCAAGGCTGAGCACGTATCATGAGAAACTTTGGATTCTATTTTGCACCACATCCATGAGACAAGATTAACCTTACGAGAAGAACAGAAGGGAGACTATTTGGACAGGGTGCTCAACCGTCTTATTGTAAACATACCCACACATTCACGAAAAGAACAAATACGAAGAGAGATAAGACGTTAAATACCTCGGCCGCATTCAAGATCTTAGAACAGTCCAGAAGAAGCACAAATCGTAGATTGCCCCAACATGCCGCCATCTTATGAAAGAACCATCGTTTCATCATTATCAACGTCTTCATCCTCATCGCCCAGAAGACCAAACTCCCAATCGCCGCGCTCAATCCGACTCACTCGATCGAGTTCGGATTGATATTCGCGACGCAGATGATCCAGAGTAACGATAACCCGTTCCTGGGGCGTTTCAGTGACGGGCGTTTTGAATGATACGCTGCCGCGTCCGCCACTAACCGACGATCGGCTGCCTCTGCGACCGGATGTGATCGAGCCGACACTAGAGGTTGATCTGCGCCTAGCTCCGAACGGAGTCGGAGTGCCCGGTTCGGCATCCTCCATGAAGACGTTGCCGTCATCATCTGCCTGGGTGCTGGTGCGTCGCTGCTGTGGAGATGCTGCTTTGTGCGATGCAAGTGGTCCATTATCGACAAGGATGTAAGCTTCACTCTTGTCAACAGAGGCAAGAAGATTGATCAGCGACAAGAGCTCGTGGCGAATTTCCTTGCTTTCTGCATCGTCTTCTGGTACTCCGGCTTCTTCGGCTTCCTTCTTAGCCGTGCGGACAAGGACGGACGAGGGTGCATCTCTGGCTTGGCGCAGGCGTTGAACATTCTGGTACGCAATTTCGGCAGCACCACGATAGTCGTTGCGAGCGATGCGGTATGCTTGCAGAATGCGATGATAATCCGGAGAACTCTCGCCCTCGGTGTCAACATCAAGCCATGACGAGAATGTACCCTGTTTTCGGGCGAGAGAGACGAGAATATCATCGATGTGAGAGGCGATATTGGGCACAAGTGCGGTAGGGAAGCGAAGGATCTGTTTCAAACCAGCGGTACCAGGACCAGATACAGACAGGACGTTCGAGACGAGAGAGTTGAGTGCGGATCTCTGCAGCGCAAGATCCTGGTACCGAGCCAGGGCGGAGTAGGCCTGGTCAAATTGGCAGGTCTTGAGCGATGCATGGAATAGTCGCGAAAGCAGATCTGTCCGCATGCTCGTGTACTCAGGATCGTGCTCAGCCCATGCTTCTGAGTCGAGGGCCTGCAGCGCCAGGCTAGCGAAATCCGCGACGTGAGAAAAGGAGCGCACTTGCTCAAAAACAGAAAGAATATGCTGGTAATATTTTGGAACACCATTGTGGAAGCAGTTCACGGAAACAAGATCGAGAAGGGTCGACGACATTTCGTGCAGGTTACCCAAAGGTTTGCCACACGCTATAGGCTTCGTTAGCAGACTGAATATTCATGACCAACCCGAAAAAGACTTTCAAAACACTTACACAGAAGATATGCAGCCTTTCGGAAGTAAATGGCTGCAGTGTCGAATTCGGAAATTGCCACATGCAAGCGGCCCTTGACATATGTCGCCCAGGAAGTGCTTGCTTGGAAGCGAAGGAAATCCCATGCGAGGTCAATGTTGTTCTTAGCAATAAGGTCGCACTGAATGTAGGCCAAGGCGTTTGGATAGGCCACTTCGCCTTGTCTTGTAACCCAGGCAAGGACATCCCGAATCCCGAGAGTCAAAGTATAACTCTGTGGCAGCCCAACAGCCTGTCGAGGCTTAATGTCCGTGACGAAAAGATCCTCCAAAATGGTCGCAGTCCTGATATTCTTAGTCTGGGATTTTGTGTCCTTCAATGAGAAAACCGGCGTTGAGGCATCTCCGCCTGATCTGGTAGAGCGATCAGGACATTTCCGAACATTGGAACTGAGCCAGTACATCATTTCATATTCACGAAGAAGATCAATGAGCGTAGCAAATAGATTAGCAGCATCAAATTGAGAAGTTTCGCCCTGTTCAATTTCACCATCCACAAAAGTGACAAGAATCAGGAGATCGTAGAGGATCTGACGGGTGAGAAGAATTGTCTCTAGTGCGCCACTGACAGCGATCCGAGAACCGAAATAAGTTGAAAGCAGCTCTGAATCCTTTCCATGGAAGCCGAGAGGAACTGTATCAATAATTGCGTAGAAAGCATCCCCAGATAGGTTTTCGGCATCGAGATACTCATTGAGTGCAGCAACCAGACTATCAAAAGTTTTATTGGAAATTCGATCTCCAAACTCACATCGTTCCCGGAAGCTGTCCATACGGTCAGCGATAGACGAGGATGCTTCGTTGAAAACTTCAACTTCGACAGCGGCCCGACACGCCGCATCAAGCTCTGGAGAAAACTTCTTTCTGAAATCGGCTGCGACTTTGACCAAGGAAGATGCTTGCTCGAACAAACCACCAAGCTCGGCGTGAAGGTTGCGATGTCTCCAGCGGTCCTTTATTTTGGGGAATTCAGCACTGAGTTCAGAGCTGGAATTGTGTAGAAGTAGCTCGGCTGTATTGCATTCGCGAATCACAGCACACGCATCCGTGAGAAGAAGCCAAGGCATTTCGAGGTAGGTGTCGTATTCAAGGGAAACAGGTTCAAATCTGCGTTTATTGAGGTCCTCCGCAACTTGCCAGAACTGGCGCCACTTTGCATCTGTATCCTCTCGGTATCGAGAGTAGTCCATTTCATCGTCGGCGTACTTGCGCAAGGACACCATAGCGGCAATAGTAGAACAGAGCCTTTCTGGAAGCGGCACATCTCTCTTCAAAACTCCGGAAGAGACCGACGAAAGGGGTTTGAGAGCCTCTTGGTAGATGGCAAGGGCCGTCTCAAGGACTTCAGGGAGGTAACGATTTGGGTGTAAGAGGTAAGCGAGCCACTTCTCAGTCGGATCCACGACATCGTCGAGTGTCGCCGCGGGTAGCTGCTCCTGTCGGTGCGTTTCAAATGTTGTTGATACCCAATTCGTAGACCAGTCGGCCTCTAAGGTCTGAAGGTCAAAGTGAAGAGTATAGAGCTGATAAAGCCCATGGTTCCTCCATAGAACCCACAGCTCCATTCCCTTGCCCTCTTCCGCCGGTTTGACTTGGAAGTCGGCAATGCTCCAAAACATGTTTCCTGTGACGTCGGGGTCCACCGGGCGGAACACAGCGTCTGCAAATAGATCCTCAATGACAAGCTCGGATGTTAAGCCACCCTTGACAGCCCAGAACTTAAAACGTCCATCTTCAAAGGGAGAGTATGTCACGACAAAAAAGCGATTTGCCCCATCCAACGCCCTCTCAGCATTGAAAACCCGGATGAAAGAGGTTTCGGCGGGATTCAAGGTATACGGTACGGCATCGGGATCCATTGGGCGGCCGAGAAGGTCCTTCGTGGCAGCTAATTTGTTCGTCGCAAGATTCCAAATCTTTAAAGTGTGGTTCAAGCAGATGGCGAAGACGTACGTCTCATCGGATGTGGTAGCAATGGCATTGGCAGTACTCATATCGATGTTGCGCCCATCGTGTTTCATAGAAGACGGCGCGTTCCATTTCACCAGACCACGGATCGAAGCGCCCCATGTTCGCTCGTCGAATGTCAAAGGAGACCAGTGCGAGCCTATTCAGGTAAAAAGTCAGCAATCTCAACCCAAGGTAGCTGGAATTGCCCTCAAAGACTTACCATCATCTCCGGCCCTTCGAGTTAGTCGCAAAAGCGCGCCATTGTCAAGAGAGATGAACAGCTCCAGTGGGCTGCTTGCATAAAGTCGATGGGGGTGAGAGAAAGAAAGAGGTGCGGGGACACATGTCTTGCACCACTCTGTCACATTGTCGTCAATGGATTCCAGCCTCCGGAAGAACTCAGGACGGAGGGAGAGGGTGTGTAGGTGTTTCGATGCCGTAATCACAAAGACACTGAGGATTTCATGATCCTCGACATCGGATAAAGCCACTCCCGAAGGAAGAATCTGATCTGGGAAGTGAAGGCGCAGCGTGATATTGTATTCAGAGTGCTCCGTTCCACTCTTCGTTAAGTCCGCGCATTTCAGTTCTAGCACCTTATTATCGTCCACGACTCGCCACACGAACGTTCTCGGGTAGGTTTTGCGTTTTCTGAAGTAGACGGCGCCCTGAGTCGCCAGGTAACGTCGGGCGAATTCATCTTCGTCTTTAGCGATCGGTACTTCGGGCTGACTGGAGGACGAGATCGAAAAGTGAGGCCGACGGAACGCGCCCTCACGTGTCGAGATCTGAATATTAGCGACCGTCGACAATGAAAAAGGCTGTAGGTCAACTCTCGTGTCCTTGTATATTTTCGCCATGGTGAACAGCGCGGAGCCTCGACAAGAATCAGGACTGATTCAGACTCCCATGGCTGGTGGCAGGCGGGAAGGTGAAGGGCGCAAGGCGGAAGTTGGAGCTTCAAAAAACAAAGTCTTGGCGCGGGCCGACTGCTGTTGTCCCTTCAGTCACTATGTGTCTAGGTTTGCACAACACCCATCAATGCAACCCCCAATTTAAGAACCAAGAGAAGATGTTACAGAATACTAGTCGGTTCAATGGATATTTAATATATCACTCCCTTAAATTTTCAAATTATAGGTTGGGTATAATTCCAAAATGGCCTCTCAACATTCTACTGCAGTCTCGACGACTCGTGATAGACGGGATTGAAAATAAAAAGATCAATTCTGTCTCATAAAGTCTCTAACATCATATCAATAATAAAAACAATAATAAAAAATACATAGAAGCTTTAGTCATTCTCCAGGTCCTTCTCCTTGGGGTCACCGATGCCATCCTCATTAATGGCAAACAGGCAATCACTTTCTGGCAGGCAGGGACTGTCGAAAATCTTGCAAATACGAGTCTCGCCTCGGCCCTTCTTCAAACTGAGTCGCGTAGTACTGGCATGGGCAATGATATTGCCTCCAATCGGTTTCTTGGGGTCAGGATTGAACATTGCACTCGGGCCACCGTCAACCTGGGCAACCACTTGGTTTGTGATGACAACTGCAATGCCAAATTCATCCGCGAGACGCTGTAGCGTGCGCAGAAATTTAGCCAGATGGGTCTGTCGAGAGGACAGCTCTCCACGGCCATTGAAATCAGTTCGGTATAACGCAGTTGCGGAGTCCACAATGAGAAGCGAGAAGCGAGTCTCACACATCATTTGGGATGCTTGGTTCAGTAGTTGCAGCTGATGATCCGAGTTGTAGGCTCGTGCATAGGCGACATTATCCAGGACTTCCTCCCCGACAAGTCCGAACCGCTGGGCTACCGCAAGCAAGCGGACCGGTCGGAATGTTCCCTCGGTGTCAATGTAGAGACACTTGCCCTCGCCACCACCCATGTCAAAAGGCAGTTGGCAAGTCACCGCAAGTGTATGGCAAATTTGACTCTTGCCTGTTCTAAATTCTCCGAAGAGCTCGGTAATTGAGCCTGTTTCGATACCGCCGCCGAGCAGGGTGTCTAGTTGCTTAGATCCTGTCGTTATGGAGATGAGTTCACTTCGTCGCTGGTGCATCTCTGTCGCAGTCGTAAAACCCATAGGTACCAGTTTCGCAGCTATTTAGCAGAGGCTGATTAGCTTATTTGCCTTGGAACCAATAGCTTCATCGCATCGCAGATTGATCAATTCACCTTCCACTAGCACCTTGGTAGCCTTCTGCTCTGAAATCCCCTTTATTTGCTCTAGTACGCGTTTTGGTCTTGAAAGAATATTTAATTTAGTATAGACCGATGGATCGTGAGGCTTCTGGGAGATTGATCGCAAAGGACGAAGGCTTGGGTGAGTGTAGGACATACGTGTAGGCAACCGATTCGACAGTATAAAATCCAGCATCAACAAACAGCTTGATGTCCCTCGCAGTCAATCCTGCAATTCCCTAGAATCGATCATTAGTCCTTAATCGGTACTTGTGAAGAGGATCAGAGTAGATTTTGTCCCTGATATTACCTACCTCAAGCGCAGAGAGCGGGGTCGGGGCACCAGGGCCAGGAAGCCCACTCTCATCATATTCGCCTTGGCTCTCCATATCGGCAGTCATAATGCAATTTCAGAACGATCAGTGAACTTTAAATCAACGAGTCAGGTCTTGTCCAAACTCGGTTATGTTCTGCAGGATGCCTAAGCCGGGAAGCATGGATCAGGCCAGGGGTCAGAAACACGCAATACCAATAAATACTCTAGATGAGACTGGCAACAACGTACCAGATTGAAAAAAAATGAGTCACCGTGCAGTCTTGAGTTGCGAACACACCATGTTGGTGGCAAAACACGAGGACTTTGAAATGTTAGTCGTTGTCGTCGTGTCGGACGCGTCGAGGCTGTCGCGCAGTCACGTGGGAGTCCCAAATAGTGCAGGCAACAAGCGGGTGCCTACGTTGGTAGGGTGACGGCTATCGTACTTTCTCCACTCCATGAGAAGATCAATCTCACGGCTTAGCGGTCTGATTCTATACATCGAACAGAGTCTATTGGTCATCTTGGACATCATATGAGCCTATCTGTCCGTCTCATCAGCAATGGCATAATAAATAGAATTGTCCATGCGACGAAACATTGAAAAACACCGCATTCTGCGCGCACCGAATCTCTGCTTCCGGTAATTCACGACTATGAGGATCTCTTCTCAACAAAAGAGTCTCAGATCTATGATTCCACCCCCGGTATCACTTGAATTCCAATTCATCTCACTTCCAGGCTTCTAGAGGGAATTCACAGCTATTTATTCCCTGGGGATACCCGATATTTCTCCAGAAAAGCGATCAGGACTGATTGGTCGAAATGACCTCAATCTCATTGGTTCCATGAGCGAATTGGGGCAAGAATCGAATTTCGCATATGTCGTCTCTGGTCTCGAAACATCTGGTCAAATTGGAGGCGTTCGGGGGCCATGCTCATGTGGATTCGTTCGTTGAAGATGGCGCTCATCTTGCGCCTGAATTCCTCTGAGGAGCGTCTGCGGAGAACTCCTGTAACTGAGGTGTTGGTTTCTTGATCCAATGTCCTAGCGGGGGCCAGCTGCGACACTTACTGCTGATCCGTGCAATTCGATGCTGCTCGCCTGGCCGCCGAGAGGCGGGGTCATTGCCACCCAAGTCCGAATCCAACACGTCGTGGCCTTGAAGGCCAGGTCTGATGCGCTCCCTGTCCATGACTTGACTCGCCCTCCAGACTCGTGAATGGAAACTGGCGCGCTTCTCAGTGACAAACCCTTCGCTGTGTCGTTTGAAAATGCCGGGGGAGGGGGGATGTTGAACGACATCTCAGGAGAATAGAGGCCGTCGAGTCCCTGTGGCTCGTATGTGTAGTTGCTTGCGGCAACGATGTCGGTCTCTGGCTTAAAGGTTGGCCGAAAATACGGCGGCAATGATGCACGCGTGCTTCTGGTACTCTCAAATGTCATCGAGGATCGCGGGCTCGAAGGCCGAATAGGGATTGGCCTCGGTGACGGACTTGATGGATGGCTCTCGGGAAGTGCGGGCGTGCCATGATTGTACAGACTGGGAAGCGGAGTGTTATGGTCAGAAATCCAAATGCCTTCGACTTGTACACCTCGCTCCAGTGCTCTTGCTCCGAATGGAACATCGTCTTTTGTCAGCATGGGATATAGTTCGGCTTCTTCTTCCTTCTGCTGTGCCTCTGAGGCTGCGTATCGTCGGGTCGACCACCTGTTATATGCCAAAACACAGCATCCGTAAACAAGAACGAGGACCTACGAAAGATTAGTCTCCTTGCAGAATCGTGTGGAAGCTTGTCATCACGTACAATCAGGACTGCCAGTACCTATCAGTGCAAAGCTTGTCAGTACCTGTCAGAGAGGAATGTTTCTGGTGCAGCTAAATGGTAGACACACAAAACTCAACTTCTCCCACAATGCCCATTTTATCCAAAAGTGCATACTGGCTCTCCGTACTCTGTGATCCTAGAGCCCAGTGTTGTTGAAGTCAGTACAGAGATTGGGTAGGATGGAATGAATTGTGCAGGGTGAGGAGGTCATGGGAGTTATGCTTGTAGAGCCCAATGAGACACAGTTCATGTTGTGAGTGAGCAGTTGGGGAAGTCTCGGAGGCGCGAGTGGTGCCTGCCTGGTTGTGTCGTCCAGTCTGCGTTTACGTTGCTGAGGGCCTCCAGTTACATATTTGAAAGCGCTCACTGTTTTGTATTCCTGATTAATCACTCAATACACAGCCACCAAGTTGCGAAAAGGTTTAGGTACTCGAAGAAATCACTTGGGCGTACGGGCTGATTGTTTTTTACGGCCATGACCCCCAGTCACGAGCGACGTTACCTCCATTGGCCACTGGCAATCTCTACAAGGATGGATGGTCTAGGGGACGTATGATGAGGGATTCAATTTTTATCGTCGTGGGCGCAACAGGTGTTTAGAGCGATAGTACTGGAAAAGCAAAAGACAGAAACAAAAAAGAACTCCCTCTCGGGGGCAACAGCTGGTTAAAGCAATAAATAGTACTTCAAATAAAAAATGAAAAGAAAAGAAAAGAAAGAGAATCACTGCCAAAAAAGAACTCTCCCTCGGGGAATCGAACCCCGGTCTCCCGCGCTTATCGGTGTTAATGACAAGCGGAAATCATGACCACTAGACCAAGGAAGATGCGTCAGCCGAGTTACTGCTCGACCACTTGGTGCTGGTTGATGGTAGTTTCCCCGTAATTACCTACTTATTGAGCACTTCTTTATTCCAAATTAACCATCCTGATCCAAGACAGTGGAGATGCGACATGCATACTTATGGTCACGACTAAAGTCAAAATCTATTTCTGTAGTTGAATTGAGATTTCTCTGGTACTTTAATGCTAGGAATATGTTGGAAATGGGCCTTAGGGGCTTTTTCATAGAAAATGATGTTTCACCTACGAGATATATATATGGATGGTTCTGGCCTACATTGGGAAACAGAATTGACTAGTTAATCACTTGATGGATCCTTTGGCCTCTCTTTTATTTCGACGAGAATACTAATCATATGTCTATTTTCCTTGCCTCTTCCTCAATTTCTAAATATTCTAGTAAATGTAGTCGTAAAGTCTAGACATAATGATGTATTTGTAGTTGATGACAAGTTTGCCGGGTATCGAGGGCGGGAAAATAAGCCAGCGTCAGCCGAAATGTGCCAGCCATTCATAATCACCCGTGATCACTTTGGTGGCGGGGGATCTCCGATTTCAATGTCCACTTCGAAACGCGTGATTTACCTAGCCGCAGAGGGGCGACGGTAGTGGGGCCGGACAGAATCCCAAAAGGGCCCACTAGGGGTCTGTAGTAGAGAGGTTGAACAGAGAGGCGCCAGACGCATCTCGAATCTCACAGGCTGCAGATTTTCCCTCACCAGGCTCAGCTGAACCGTGCAGCCGACAGGGGTCTACGCGCAAGGCTGCTTGATGCGCAGCAAAAGTGGACTTCCTCGAGCATCGTGACCACCCCTAATGTGCCTTTTACATGCCTTTCAAAATGGGCATTTCTATTTTTGATACCTCGGTATTGAAAATATCGCCTTTACCGATTCCTGAAAAAGAGATCCCGGGGTCGCCGGCCAGGTAATTATTTCATCGTACAACGGCGCTTCGCACTCAAAAATCGTACTTATCACCCCAGTCCTTAAAGGAACAAGAGATATCCAGCCCGAGAAGCAGCCCTCCCCCCACCTCCCCTAATGTATCAATGTTCCTCTCACAGAGCTTCCAGCCCTTTTAAATACACCCATAGCTTTCTCATAGCCTCTAAAGACGGGTCTGAGGTAGGATTCTGATACTCCCACCGAAGGAATAGTTCGCGTTGGCAAACTTCCTAAAGACGAGTTTCTCTCTCGAGAAATGACCGTGGATGTTTAAAAAACCTCTGTATTCTGAAGCGGACTAGATCCAGATTGTGGTGATGACGCAACTGCTTGCAAGTCCCCAAGTGCCTGGGATTCCTGGTTCATTTCCCAAAGTTACGGGGACTGAATTCGAGTTTTTGGAGAGGTGGAGACTCGTAGACCTGAGAGTAATCGTTATTGTGGGGCGAAATTTGTATCCGAGTGATGAAATATAGACCATTCAATCAATTAAATGTGAAAATAAAAGATAAAATACAGTTGGCATTGTGAGGCCGCTGACACTTTCTGAGCTCCAACCCCGAAACTAAATTCAGCCAAACCATCAACCGAAGGTTATGTAGACCCTGAAAGATAAAAACTAACGAGTCCAGAAGGGGGAAAAACGAAAATCTATTTTGAATCTTGAATAAAGCTCAATAGATCTCATTCGAATACACACTCTGATTTATCTCCGAGGGAATGCATGCTGGAACTTTTGATCTCATGGTCAATCTACTAAGGAGAAATAGGAGATATTATTTGAATTATCGGTGAGACCCTATCGTAGGTCTCTAAATCCCAACACGTTGCTATCGCAAGCCCTCGAAAGTACATCGCACGTGTTTGACTCGATGGCCATGACCTTCCCCTAAGTCTTGACCCTCCGTCTCGTGCAGTGAGGGTTGTTGGTAATGTTGGCTGCCCGAAGAGGATAAGAATATCCACATCTCAAGTATGTTCGCGATTCTTCCCTAAAAAGGAACAAGTGTAATGTAATCTTCAATGGTTCGATTTTGATGTGCTCGAGAGGGTCTCGATCATTGCGTGCGATAGCGATCCACCCGCGGTTGCTGCCCGAACGGGTAAAACCCACTTTTTTTTTCACTGGACCTGCTCCATAGTTCAGATTTTTTCTAAGATTTTTTTCTGAGGATCTTATAAATTGTAAGCATAGTATTTTCTTTCATTTTGGTAGACCAGAGTTCAAGATTCCAAATGGCCATTTTGAACTGGGTTCGTCGATTCTGGGGCCAGCAGGCCACTAGGAGCGACGAAGGCATCTACCAGAAGGATGTTCTTCCTAAGGTCATTGAGCCTACCATTATTTCATGCCCTGGAACTCCGTTTCCAGAGACTCCGAATACTGCTGTTGCTTCCCCTGCTGGCAGTGAACAGACTCTAGTATTGGAGAAACTCCCAGAGGAATTCGGCCGGCTGGGATCTTGGAGAGGCACCTTGATCTTGCTGGTAACTTCAGGCTCCCAATTTCTTGATAATGTCTTCATGACAAGTTCTAACATGGCACTGGCATCAATTCAAGAGGAGTTCGGAATTTCCAGCACTGACCTGCAGTGGATGATCTCCGCGTATACCTTGACATTTGGTGGTTTCCTGCTTCTCGCTGGAGCCTTGTCCGATCGGTAACAGACTCTTCTTTTAGAACCAATTCAAAAATTTTTCGCTGACCGTCACAGATATGGACGAAAGAAAATATTGTGCTTGGGTCTTGCCTGGCTATCCGTGTGGACATTGGCTATTGGATTCGGCCAGTCATTCATTCAACTTACAGTTTTCCGTGGCATCCAAGGGATTGGAGCCGCAATGACCGTCCCATCAGCTATTGGAATTATTAGTTCCTATTTTACAGGCATTGATCGTACTCGAGCATTGTCTATTTATGCTGCTTCAGGAACCCTGGGTTTCTGCGCGGGGCTTATTTTCGGTGGATTCTTGACCTCCTCACTTGGGTGGAGATACATCTTCTACTTCATTGTCATTATCACTGGATGCCTTGACATTCTGGGTGTTATTGTCCTACCGCGCGATAGGGTGGACATCAAAGCGAGACCCAAGATGGACTACTTTGGCGCAGTATTGTCAACCGTCGGCCTTATCTTGCTTCAGTTTGTCTTGTCCAGCGGTGGTACCTACGGCTGGGATACGCCATTTGTCATTGTGTTGTTGATCTTGGCCGTTGGGCTTTTGGTCGGGTTCACTTTGTTAGAAAAATACATCAGTAACCCGCTGATGCCTTTGTCGCTGTGGAAAATTCGCAACTTCGCTGGTCTGTGGGTTGCAGGATTCAGTAAGTTCTTAATATACGGCTAAATTCGCGTTGTAAATGGCTAACAGAGGAGTAGCTGGCTACGGAAGCTATCAAAATGTCATTTACTATATCGTCTTGATTGCACAGCAAGTTGACAATCTTTCGGCCGGCGACACGGCACTTCGATTCCTACCAATGGGAGTGATTGGTTTTATTGTGTCTCTAGGAACTGGAAAACTCCTCGAGTACATGAATGGAAAATACCTACTCCTCGCTGGACTAGTGCTCACTCTTCTGGCTCCAGTCCCGAGTGCCTTGACAGTGACGTCTACCTCTGACTTGTATGTGTCCCTCAGAATCCCTGAACTTAAGAGTTTTGCTGAATTTTGCAGTTGGGTAAATGTTCTTGCAACATCCTTGATCAGTATATCTGCTGTGTCTTTGATATTTGTGACAACTAGCACTACAATTTTGACGACTGTTCCGGTCAATGTCAAGAGTTTATGCGGTGGAATGGTAAGCCTGATTTATTAATAAATTCCATTGGAAATCACGCTAACGGCACTCAGCTTAACACTGCGTTTCAAATCGGGTCTGGTGTGGCCCTGGCCATCTCAGCTGCAACGACTGAGGCAGTCGATATCCAAAAAGGACATGGTATTGCTCAGCAATACTCAACCGGACTCTGGTGCTCTGCTGGACTTGCTGGTCTCGGTCTGATTATCGGAATTATTGCCGTCCGAAGAAGAGGAATCGGGCCAAAAGATCGAGTTGGAGAACCGGTGGCTCTGTGATTATAGGATGCCGACCACTTTTCATTTGTTAATCTAGATTTCTATTTAGGACTTGGCTTGTGTTTTGTTTACGAGAGTATGACAATTTTCATGATACGCATAATACTATTTTAGAAGGCGTTAGGCATATCTTTCGCTAAACGGAGTCAAAAAAATCTATTACATTGCCCAAAATTGCTAAGTTTCTGTAGTGGAGATAGAGTCCATGCAATGAGAAGACCCACTTAAGATAAGCTTGTCCACAGGGCTACGGACCAATCTAGATTGCCTAGAGACCCCTGTGTTGCTCTTATCTCCGAAATTCATGTGAATATCTTTGGTCCAGGTGGCAAGATGCATACAATCACAAATTTTAGACCCACAGTAAGTTGGAAGCTGGGTCCACTGGGCCCGCTTCAGATATTCGGGCCGCCCTACATGAAGAGAAATATTGGAGTAACTTTGCCGAGCGGAAAAGTCAGCCCGCGGGATACCGATGACTTATTATTAATTCAGAGGTGGACAACACCGAGAGTTAATAACGGGTGCAAGGAAAAAAAGAAAAATAGGTTGATATCTTTTTGTGATTCGACCGGTTCCAGAGGGGTAGCCCCCTGGTTCAGCCAGCTTTACGCGATCTGGTGACGCCTGGAGGTACGTGTCAAAAGCTAACCGAATGGATGACCGAAATTCAATCACCTTATGACAGGGAAATAGATAAATTTAAGAGATTTTCAATGAAAAGTATTATTCACTTGGGTTGAACGCTTAAGTGCTTTGCCTTTTTGGTCTTCCATTCCGAATCCTTGATTGGCTATTCTAGGCTATTCCAAATCATCGTCGCCTTTCTCGTGAATATGTGCCGCTAAATCTGAAAATACATGAGTTCCCCACTGGCGAGCCGGAATCTTTTCTGTGAAAAACAAAGAGATTTCAAGCTGTGTTCTTCCTTGTGTTTCCCCCACGCAGAACCAGACCCACGCAAGTGATGTGAGAGTAGTTCCCGCATAGACGAAACCCACCATGGGTCCGAGGCCAGCATCGGTATAGAGATAAGGAGCAGTAAAGGAAATAAGCCACAGGAAAAAGTAGAGAGACACGATGGAAATCGAAATAATCTTGTTCTGGTTCACACCCACAGAAAGTTCTCGAGTGATTGCATAAGTCAATGGACCTTGTCCAAAATTATAGGCACAAATGACCACATATGAAAACACGACAATCACATATTTCGAGGCAGTGGAGAGAAACTTTTGAGAACCAATTCCACCAATCACAATGAATGCAATAAAGATGAGCCCTGTGCTTACAAGAAGATTTGTGCGTCGGCTCAGCTTGTTGGCGGTGAGAACCGAGGCACCGACAGCGATGATTTGCAAGATCATGGTAATAAGTGTGATGGTGAATGGCTGAGAGACACCGATTTCTTGCGCGAATACAACACCATAGTTGTAGAAGAAAATTATGCCACAGATTTGTTGAGCATACATTCCACCTGCAGCCCAGAGTAGCTTTTTACGCTCGACAGAGTCCATGAGAAGAGACCTCCAGGAGGACGCTCTTAACTGCTCTTCCTCATATTCTCGAGCCTGTTCAATTAGTGCGATATCGGCAGATGGGTCGTAGGTGTCATCGTTCTGGTGAACCTTCCGCAAGGAGCTTTCGGCTAAGTCTCTCCGATTCCGAGAAATATACCAGGTTGGACTTTCCGGTATGAATGGTAGGAAGAGAAGGATTACCAGAGGTAGAATCACCAGTCCACCCATAGGCAGCTTGTAGGAAAGTGACGACTTGATCTCATTTGTGCCCTGGGTTATCCCCGATGCAACAAGCTGGGAGCAAGATTGAAGGAACTGGTACATGTAAAGAGCAGGACTTCGGATTTCAAGGGGCGCCACTTCACCCATACTTATGTAGAGTTAGTAATGTTCGATATCATTCCAATGAATAAAGTGAGAAACCGACTAGAGAAGAGAGGTGACCGTAAAATTCCCCACCCCGAGACCAATCAAGATACGACCCACTACAATGACACCCTCAAAGTGAGTGTCGGCGACCTGCGCAATGCCTCCTGCTAGCACAAAGAATGCAGCAATTCCCAAAACTGTCTTTCTTCCAAACCAATCATTGAGTGGACCCGATATGAACGCGCCAATCATGTCACCAATGTAGATGCTCGAAGTAGTTAATGAGGTAAAGTCAGTTGCAAGCGCTTTTGTCCCGCTTTCGTAGTGATTTCCGTAGTCGTTCTTGAACTCTTGCATTCCAAGAATTCCACTATAATATGTGTTGTCATAGCCAAACACAAGCGCCCCAAGTGCAGAGACCGAGCAGTAGATCAAGGCCCATTTATGGCGCTTGAAGTCCAAGTTGATATCAAGCATATTGGAAAAGACAACAAGCCTTTGAAAAATTGGGTTTAGCAAGTTCAGGAACTAAAGCCATGAGGTAGTCTTTATAGGATTTCAGCTTGTTACTCCTTGTGCATTGAAGAGCAGTACCCCACAGTGAAAGCTAAAAGTGGGAGTCAATATGAGGGGAACACCTAGCTATTGCTATATTTCTCCGAGGCTGACGACATATCTCCGGAGCATTGATTTGGGAGAACGTGCCGTAAATTCTCGGTTATATGAGCCAAAGAAATAAAAACGTCTTTAACAGGTTTAGCTGGGCCGAATACCTCGGAAGGAAGTGTTATTTAATTCGCCAAGCGAAAGCCTCTTAGGTTTTACTGTCAGTCCGGCCAAAAAATATGGGCTGAGATTGTTGCCCCCACGTTTTACCAGGGAAGACAAGCGATGTAGATCCCCCGTGGGGTAGCCTGGGGAAGTTTGGGCTTTTTGATACCCTATTGGTTTCAACCCCGCTTTTGCTTCTCCATTCTATTGGCCGTAACACAAAAGGTTTGAGTCAGCGTGGGTGTTAGTATTAAGTGGCTTAAGGAAATCCTTGATTGAAGAGAAATGATTTTCTTTCTTTCTCCATCCCAGATGTCCATTTCTTAAATGCGCGAATTTTGGCTTTCTGAAACAGAATCTCTCAATGTCCACCCGAAGAAGGAAAGTAGGCATCAGACAAGGCAAACCGGGTAGTGTCAATATATTAAATGAGCTATAGATTCAGGTGACTAAAAGATAATGAATTGAGAGCCCTTTTAAGCAGACATCGGTATGGAAGGGAGTGTTTTTGATGTCCCCTTTATAATTTGGCAAGTATGCCAGCTTCGTTCCTCATTGAAACGTTAAGAGTGGTATTTAGTAGGCAAGCCCATGAGCCAAAGGGGTCCAGCGATACAATGAGAGTAGTTCTCTACGGCGTGCTTTATGTTCATCCCACGAGTGAGGTCCAGACTGCTGTGCATCATACAGCATAGAGCGGAACACTTTCCGAAAGTTTTTCTGCATTTTATCAATATCTTCAACGGTCCATCCAAATTGACCAGAAACCACTTACCTGAAAAGTGGTATCCAGAGTAACCACGCTTACCTCGTGGGCTCGAATGATGGTCTCACAAACTTCTTCCACCGATCGGTTAGGTCCCAGTTCCGGCATACGGTCCACGAACAGGAGGAGGATGAAGCTGCCTTGGAGCAGGTATATGCCGAAAAGATAAGGCATAAAGACCATTTCTGGATCAAGCATGAGAATCTGAGAGATCACTTCTGTCGCACTGAGGGCATGAGAGGCGCATGCCAAAAAGCTTTCAGATGTGATCCAATCGTCCTTATCTTCAATCATCGAGATTGGATCCCATTTACCATGCAGTAAAATATAAAAGACATGAAGCAAGTAGGTGCTATAAACTTTGACCAGCTGAAGTTTAGGATCCTTGTAAATTCCGTTTCTTGGAGAGCCAAATGGGTCTATGCGGCCAGACGAGTTTCCATTTGATCGCTCATTGAAACCAGACATCGTAGAACCAGCAGAGAACAATTCCTGCGATTGAGACTCTAATCCAATGAGTTCCCGCTCGCGATGAGAAATCATGCCTTCAATCCTACGAATAGCATCAATTGTGATAAAATCTCCAAGTGTGGGGTGACTGCGGAAATGATGCAAATCGATGATATGCCCCAATACCCTGGCTAGGGGTAGGAAATACTCGAAAAAACCCGAACCAGTAATTTGTGACGGAGGTCCAAGAGGGCAGGCGGGGATGCAGTTCAGGTCAGCGGTGTCGAGCGATTGCCAAAGTCCTTCCGGCAAAGGCGTCCGCACGCAGAAAGTACCCTCGGGAATCCCGAGACGCATATTGAAGGACAGTGCAAGATGTCGATCTAAGCAGTAGATCAGCCAAAATAAACGACGTCTCTCTTCCTTAGAGACCAGCCATCTCCGAAATGTTGCATCGCCATTATACAGCCCGCAAAAGACCGGGCCTAAGTCAATATCTTGATCTTCCATGCTGAGTCCACTGGCTCGAACAATCCTGATGAGTTTATCTCGCCACTTTAGGGCGTCGGCTTTGTAATGACCACCAGATACAACAAGTGTAAGAATAGCAACGGCGAGAATGATATCAGTTGAGCCAAGCTGTCGTGGTAGTAGTGATTTACCAACTGCCTGCCGATCCTGAGTCGAGTGGGAGTTACCAGGCGAATTACCAGTAGGATTATGATGGAATTGCCACCCATCTAGACCATATTAACAACTCCCGGATGAAACTAAACATGGGGATCATCGGCGTACCTGATGTTCGGAAATAATTATCAGGATCCTCAGGCTGCAGTAGTTCTAATGATAGCTGGTAGAGGTCCACACTCATCCGTTCACGAGCCCCTGGTGTGTCAAAGATTTTCATGTCCGCGGTTTGGGCAACGCAGAATAAAATCACTGTAAGAAGAGCGGGTGAAGTTGGACGCGGATCTGTTGGGTGGAGAACTGATGTAGGGTGTAATACATGTGCAAGCATATAAGGGGAGGTGGACTTGAAAATAGAGTTATGCTCCTCATTGAAATACAGCTCAAGCATTTCAGAAGCCTCCTCGGCGGAAAGAATACCATCTAAGTGAGACAGCACGGAACTTAGACAGGGATAGGGTTGTCTCATCGGCACATTTTCTGGCAATGTAGTGGGAAGATTGTCAAAGACTGCTTGGTGTATATGTGGCAACGAGGCTTTGTGAGTGGTAGGAATCTTGGAGAAAAGAAAGCGTAATCAGCAACGCGGAACATATCGCGCAGCTTTGGGCTCATCTTCGGAGGATCAAAAACTCACATGGTTAGCATGGTTAGGGGTCATAGCCGGTCGATCTATATCTAGATTTGCGCCGCTCAGCGGGCCTGAAAGGAATCGATCCAGAGTATTCTTCTGGGCCACGAACGGAGAGTTTGGCGTCGGCAAGGGCTCTCCACCAGTCGAAGGGTCGAGATGCGTGGCGTTATTTGCATTCGTTTCTAGCCCATACTGTCGACTTTCCGGGTGCACATGGTTTGAAGGTACATCATGGGCTGAGGTGCTATTTGAGGTGACAGTATCATGGGGACTTCCGGCCTGATTATAGGAAGGACTGAAAGCGAAGGATCTCAGGCCATCTCGCTGGAGTTCTTGATAAGAATTGGATCTTGGGCGCCGACCGCGCTTGCGAACGACTTTGGTATAGTGACATGGCTCCTCACGCTCTATTTGTATCAATTAGTGCATCAGGACATGTATTTCCCTGAATATCTTCAATTTACCTGCACACCGATGACTTCGCCGGCTAATGATTAGCGTGCAAGCTTGGATTCTGGATTCTTGATAGGGACACTCACCACGGTCGCTGACCGTCACATCGTTGCTTAGAATGTGTACACGAATCACAGGCTCGTAGTACTCGCGTCTGACCACGGTGGGCCATTTTGGTGCTTGACATCTCAGGGCTACGGGGAGGGAATTGTCGAAAACCGCAGCGCGGATGCGGAGACGGAAAATGCGGGGACAGTCGGTGGAGCCGTTGACGGTGGGAACGAATCCATGACCGCCAAGGGGAACGAGGAGTCGACCAGACTTGCCCCCTGCGTGAGGTTTAAAAATGAATTACAATAATATTTCCCATCCTAGGTGCATAAATGGTCAATATATGGTAAATTTGCTTAACTGGAATGCCTCGCCCTCTAAGTCGTCGGATCCAAAGTACTAGAAGCCTCGGAGATGGCCCGAGGTCACTGAAAGCCCGTTGATGAACATAGACATCTCGTACCATTGGCCCTGTATTCGTATTTTCTATATATAGTGTCTCGAGGAAGAATTAGGATTACAATCTGGCAGGAATGGGCCTTTTTTTGGTCACATCCCATCCATCGCCGGGGCTGGGAAAGCAGTAGCCGTGCCAGGTTCCGAGGATATTTTGCACTGCTAAGCTTAAGTTGTTGTCATCTTCGCGCTTAATTGTGCTAATCTCTGCAGATGACCAGAGCCAACGTTGCTCGTTGGATATTTTTAGAACCTGTCTTGCTGTTGCAAGATTGTCTTCTAGCTCGTCGATCGAAGTAACCCCCATGATGGTTGTAATGCGAAAATCATCCGTTGATAAAGATTGAGCACGACGAATAGAATATCGTAGTGCCAAGGCTGCTAATGATTCACCTCTATCTGCAACGTATTTTGCGGCGTCTTTGACTACCTGTCGTAAGCCTTGAGGCGCTGGATGAAAATCGCCTAGGTCTCCAATCGGCACCCCATTTGCTCGGAGCAGACCGATGGCCAATGGACTTGAATTGCAAACACATGAGACCCCGGCCTCTTGGAAGGCTGAGAGCCCGTCTCGAGCCAGGCCGTCGTTCTGTAGAGTCATTTGGGCCCAGTTTTGAACGATGTCTAGAGGCCGGGAATGCTTCTCTTGAACACGGCGAGCAATGCGAGCAAGAATATCAATGCGGTACCCTGAGATACCAACAAACCGAACATGTCCTTCATGAACCATATCAAATAAAACACCGATGGCAGCCATCACCTCATCCACTGGAACAAATTCCACATCGTGGCAGAATACGACATCTAGGTAGGAAGTACGCAGGCGTTGAAGAGACCGCAGTACTGACTGGCGCACCCAGGCTGGAGAGTAGTCGAACTGAGTGGCTGTGATGCGCCCAACCTTCGTCATCAAGAGGTATTGATCTCGAGAATAGTTGTCAGCCAGTTCAGGATGAGAGAGTGCATCGCCGAGAACCAGCTCTGACGGATGGTAATAGGCAGAAGTGTCGATAGCTCGCAAACCCAGTTGAAAGGCACGCTTTAACACTTGTAGCGCTTGAGCAGATGTCGGATTTCGAAAGACTTGATGGCTGAATCCTGCCCCGCCTAGAATTAGCGGAGGAAGCAGTTGCGATAAGGGCGTTGAGGTCTTCGGAGGGCTCATTCTGAAACCTTGTTCGTGGGAGAACCAGATCCCCGAAGAGTTGGAAGGTCGGCAGATGGAGGAGAACGCGATGAAGGAGTTAAAGCACAATCACGATGGCATACCATGAACAGATTATATCCATTTACCCGGTCGCATCTTCACAGCTCGCACCCCGATTTTCCACAATCCCCGAGCATTTGGGGCATCATGAACAGCTGGCACCAAACACAGGGAATTCTCCGATTTAAATACCCGACGGAAAATTGGAAAATTGTTTGATTGGTCCACGCGGGAGTTGCCGATCTGTTCCAGCGGCACGTCACACATGAGGCAATTGCAAATTACCCGATCTCGTAGTTGTTGCAAATGTCCAAATATACAGCATTCGCAAGGCGGACCGATGGAAAATGGTTGATTTTTGCGGTCGCAATTGTTGATTTTCCATTCAATCAAGCGTCACAAGCCACTATGACGACCATCACCGGATTTACTTCTCACGACGTCCGATTCCCGGTAAGGATGAGCTTGAAATGGGCATATAACGGCGCACAGCTGACCCAGCAAAGACTTCTCTTGACCAAGTTGGCTCAGATGGCATGAATAGAGGCCCCGATTACTCGGCCGCATATTGCATTCTGCAGACAGACTCCGAGCACAACGGCTATGGAATGGCAAGTACCCTCGTTTCTCAGCACCCTGTATTGACTTCTCTGACTGTCTCGGCAGACTTTCACTATTGGCCGTGGCAATGATCTCATATGCAGTGCCATCGATCTTCTTGCCCCGTTGATTGTCAACCGTAAATTAGAGGAATTGGTGCAGAACTGGGCTCAGACGTGGCGCTATCTCACATCGGATTCCCAGCTCCGATGGGTCGGGCCTGAGAAAGGAGTCGTGCATATGGCGTTAGGTGCTGTGGTAAATGCTATCTGGGATTTATGGGGCAGATCCGAAGGGAAACCGGTTTGGAAACTCATCGCCGATATGTCCCCTGAGCAGGTCGTGCAATGCATCGACTTCCGGTATCTCACCGATGCAATCACCCCGGAGGAGGCGATTCAGATGCTTTATGAAACACAACAGGGCAAAACAGAGCGAATGGAGGAAGTTGAAAGCAATCGTGCCGTGCCAGCATATACCACCAGTGCCGGGTGGCTCGGTTTCAGCAAAGATCGAATGCGTGAGCTGTTGCAGCAAAACTTGGATCAAGGCTTCAAGCATTTCAAGTTAAAGGTTGGCGGGTCTGTCGAGGAAGACCGAGAGCGACTGCAACTGGCCAGGGAGGTTATTGGATACGACCAGGGAAATGTTTTAATGGTGGATGCAAACCAGGTCTGGTCGGTACCGGAGGCTATTGACTATATGAAATGTCTGGCGGAATTCCAGCCGTGGTTTATCGAGGAGCCCACATCGCCAGATGATATTCTGGGCCATGCCACCATCCGCAAAGCCCTTCAGGGTAAGGTAGGGGTTGCAACTGGAGAGATGGTTCAGAACCGTATTTTGTTCAAACAGTTGTTGCAGGCTGGCGCGATCGATGTCTTGCAGCCAGACGCTTGTCGGGTCGGCGGCGTGAATGAAGTGCTGGCAATTCTTCTTTTGGCGCGGAAGTTCAAAGTACCGATTGTGCCTCACTCCGGTGGTGTTGGTCTTCCAGAGTACACAGCGCACCTGAGCACTATTGACTTTCTGGTCGTTAGTGGACAGAAGAGCATCCTCGAATACGTAGATCATCTTCATGAACACTTCCTCGAGCCGGCTCGAACTGAAGCTGGCTATTATGTCACACCACAGGCACCGGGATACAGTGTTCAGATGAAGCCAGAGACTTTGGAGAGATACAGCTTTCCCGGGGGACCAAAAGCTGGTGGAGAAGCGCTGAAGCAAATGGTATTCTTCAGGGAGATCGCGGATTAGCCGCATTATAGAGCTTTTGTGTCGAAGATGGCTACTATCTGGTAATTGGGGACAATATACTGCATAGAAGAGAATGGTTAAGCTATTATCAAAATTCATTTTTAAGACTCAACACCTAGCTGGATCCTGGAACCGATGTTATCGCCGTAATGAGATTGTAAACTCCGCGTTCAAGCCTCGCCAGGTGGATCCGGGGCCCCGGATATTTGCCCATTGGTGGCCCAGAGCTCCACTCGTCTTTTGTTGAGGGGGTCAAATTACCCGTCGGAGTTCTCCTCACAATGTTAAATAATACATGGTAGAGCGGGTAGACGGGTCTGAGGTCTCTGTAATCCCTTCTATTGTATGCACGTCGTTCATCATGGGTGGCTCGTGGGTAAGCGATCGCAGTGCTATTGCCCATAGTCAAATTGAGTCCAATTGATTGACTGTGGCAGAAACCGTACCTCTATGGTCTCGCACCATGCACCGGTGGGGTTGCATTTGGATATGTAAGAGCTACGGATAAGTCAAATGGAAAACACACTCTAACAGTCATAGGATACGGGATCGATGAGTTCGTGGAGAAACAGAGATTTTGTGATTGGAAGCATTGATAATTTTTTCCAGGTGGAATTCTGGCCATGCCACAATTTCTCTCCTATATGAACAACCCAGGCGACTTTCTGCAAGGGGGAATCACAGCATCCATTCAGGCTGGTTCATTTGCTGGCTCGCTTTTGACTGGTGCATTCCTGGCAGATCGTCTAGGTCGCCGCAAGACTATTCTGCTGGGCTCTTTGATCTTCACAATTGGCGTGGCGATCTCGACTGCGGCTAATAATGTTACTGCACTTGTTGCTGGCCGAGTAATTAATGGATTGGGAAATGGCTGTTTGGCAATGATGGTATGTACATGATCCTTGTGGTTCCGTCCTCATTCATTGGCCATCAACTGAAATGAGGAAACTTAGGTACCGTTATACCAAAGTGAAATTTCTCCTCCGCAGTAAGTCTGTGATAATTCTTTGGAGAGCTTGATTGGCTAAGATCTTTCTAGAATTCGGGGACGAATTGTATCGCTGCAGCAATGTTGTATAAATTTTGGCATCTTGATTGCTTTTTGGATTCAATATGGAACCAGCTTTTTGGCCGGTGAAGCTTCATGGCGCCTAGCATTGGGTCTCCAGATGATCCCTACAGCATCTTTGCATTTGACAATGTACTTCCTACCAGAGTCACCTCGCTGGCTTGCTCAGCGAGACGACCACGAGGGTGCATTACGAGCGCTGGCTCGAATGCACTCTGATGGCGACATAAATAATGCGTTCGTTCAGGCTGAACTGCTGGAAATCGAATCCAAGATTCAGTGGGAAAAGCAGCACCCACCTCCAACTTATCTTGAGATGCTTTTTGGTCGGGATCGTCGAAGAACGTGGCTTGGCATTGGAGTGGTGAGTCTTAGAACACGGAATGTGAGAATCAGGACTGATATCTGGATAGCAATTTTGGCAACAAGTGACTGGTGTCAATGTGTAAGTGGAAAGCTCTTCTGCCTAAAGGGTTGTCTATACGAATCCAGAAACTCACACCTCTCATTAATTTAGAATCATGTATTATGCTGTGTTTCTTTTCCAACAGGCAGGAATTACTGGGACGAAAGGCTCACTCCTGGCCAATGGTATCCAGGGTGTTGTTTTGAACGTTTTCACTTGGCCAAATATGTACTGGATGGACACATGGGGTCGGCGAACTCCTATGGTCATCGGCGGGATCGGCATGGGTATTTCAATGATGCTTATAGGCACGATTATGAAAACTCAAGGTCTGTATCAAAAAAACTTTTCTCAGTGAGATTGGCGCTGATGAGGACTATAGGAGATCCCATTTACAATAGCGTTACGCAAAAGACCAATTTTTCATTTAGTAGCCAATCGGCCTCTAATGCCACCATCGCATTTATTTATGTCTATGTGATGACCTTTGCGTTGACATGGGCTTGCGTGGCCTGGGTCTATCCCCCAGAGCTGTTTACCACAGGATCTCGTGGCCGTGGAACTTCCATGACCTCCGCGACTAACTGGTTTGTAGTATGTTGTGGCTTCATTAATCATCGGAGTAAACTTGACTGACGCACATAGAACTTTTGGTTTGCTCTTTATATTCCCACGGCTATGAATAAAATCTCGTGAGCAAAATTTATTCAATCTAACAAGAGATCTTGAGATATCTGACAAATTGATGGCACCTAGTTGGAAACTTTACATGGTATTTATGACACTCTGTTATACCATGGCTATCGTGGTATACCTTTTTTACCCAGTATGTACTTAAACAATATCCCTCGACGGATCAACCTTTAACCCAGAAAATAGGAAACAGCTCAGAAAACATTGGAAGAAGTCGACTTTCTTTTTTCAAAAGACCGCACGATTTGGGTCTTCCAAGATCGCGAGGCACGCAAAGTGGGAGCAATCTTCGAGCGCGACCTTGCTCATGGAGAAGCGCTTACAGAATTCGATGGCAAAGGCACCATTGCTGCTCATATCGACAACGTCGGGCTTCAAGCATAGATTGCGGCGTCCCAATACCCCGTGTTGCCGGTTTTTAAAAAACATATCAAAGATGTTGAGAAAGAATAGCGAGGCCGAATGTCCATTTTTCTGATCCGGAAGGAATGAAGTTTGTGATCACATTAAACTCTTTATAAGTTGTTTGTTTTTTTTTTCGCATGATTCAAAATTATTTTCCCTGAGAGGACTATCAAAATTCATGCTATGGTATTTCGGGATTTTATCCGAATGACCATATAGCCGTCTCGGCAAGCGTGATGTCGATCATCCTCGGCATGAGGGGCTTATCTGGGTACAAAATCCCCCTGATGAAGGATATATTTCAAGTTTAGAAGAGAACGAAGAAACAGAGAGTCTCAAATTATGAGGGAATATGAACGGTCTCTTTGGAGTTGTATTTGAGAAATTCTTCTAAGCGCAGGCTGTACTAGTTTCCCAGTCGGCCGAGATCCATGACAACAATCTATCTCTTAAGATCCCGAGGGCAGAGGAGCCATCGGCATTCGGATATATGGCCCCTTTCGTCAATATTCAAAAGATACATAATCTCCAGATCTGTTTCTTCAAATAGAGTCTAACTATTGTCTTTTGTGATTTAAAATGGCTGGAGTGAAAGTATCACCGGCTTTGCCCACCCCAGCAGAAACCCCGATTGTCAACAGAGACGTAAGCTACCCCAGGTGGTTTGGTGGATCTGCCTCTTGCATGGCGGTTTTGATATCGCATCCTTTTGATCTAAGTAAGGACATGTGAACTTCTGATAAGACAGTCTATAAACTGAAGGGAATAAAGTCAAAGTCCGAATGCAAATCGTACCAGATGGAGCAAGACAAGGATCAATCGGGACGGGCATCCAAATCATTCAGACCGAAGGAGTCAAAGGTCTTTATCACGGTGTGAGTAATTCAACATTATATTGATTTCTCCTAAGCGAATTTCTCCATTTACCTCCATGGTTACTGACCTAAGACAGCTCTCAGCTGGGTTCACCAGATCATGTAAGTGCCGCTTGAATGTTTGGACCCTTAATATTAATCGACAATTCAAATAGTGACCTATGGGGCATCTCGGATTGCACTCTATGAGGAGCTTAAGCAATCAGCCATGGAGCATGGGAAACCAGTCACGGTTCCTATGCTCACTGCAATGGCTGCCATATCCGGCTTTGTGGGAGCAATATTTGGCACTCCCTCGGACATTGCAAATATTAGGATGCAGAATGATAAGTCCTTAGCACCTCAAGATCGTCGCAATTATCGCCATGTTTTCGATGCTTGGATGCAAATGAAACGCTACGAGGGGTGGAGGGCCTTCAGACAAGGAATGTGGCCCAACTGCTTTCGATGCGCAATAATGACAGCAAGTCAACTAGCATCCTATGACATCTTCAAGAAGCTGGTAATGAGTATCAGTAATGCAAAGAGCGAAACACCTTTTGTTCACTTTTCAGCATCCGTGATGGCTAGTTTGATTGCAACATCAATTTCCAGCCCAATGGACGTGATCAGGACGCAGTTGATGAATTCCTCCGAAAGTGCATCCGTACTCAGAATCGTGGGAAAATTGTTCCGTCTCGAAGGTTACCGATGGATATTTCGTGGCTGGACTCCTAGCTTTATACGTCTAGGGCCCCAGACAGTTGCAACCTTGGTTTTATTGGAACAACATAAACGGTTTTATAGAATGGTCACGTCAGTGGGAGATTGCCCATAAAACAGGGTTAAATGATACTCAAAAGTGGCACTGATGCTCTCTCAACATTTTCTTGCCATTAATTACCTTCGTAAGCGCCAATTTTAGCTCATTCCAGCGCTCTAACAGGGACAAAAACCGGCAAATAAACAGCCTTCCGGATCTTGCAAAATCAGGTGTTGATTTACGGCCCCATCTTAAAACGTGTACTGAAGTTCCCACAAAGGGGTCGGTCTGCAGGGTCCATGAGGCCAAATGACCCCTACCTTACCAAGTACGAAGAATATTAATGTTTAATATACTTGAATACGAGAACATAGATGACTCCTATCACTCGAGTATATCAGTCATCGCAGTAATGTAGAAGCAAAATGCGGAATCGTCAAATTGAAAAGGTGCCACCAAAAACTTCATGTGCTTGACAGATTTCCCTGGTAATCGGTGGTTGTCTCATACTGAATTCTCATTTCTTGTTAAGGAAAGCAAACACCGAAAGCCTCAAACCAATCACAATTAAACAGTAAACCTTAACAGGGTAAACAAACTTTCCTCCTCCATCTCTTTTGACGTCCTCCAAGCTTTCAAACCATTAGTCTTTTCAAGCCTCTTTCATAGACTATGACCAATTCATAGTAGACATTTTGATGTAATAAATGATTGCTTGCTATTGCGATAGCCATGTCATCTTTATTCCTTCTCCATGGCGATCATAGATTTCTTCTGGCGCCACAAGAAAAGACTGCAAATAGTCGAAAAGAAGAACAAAATGCTGAATGAAGATTATTAGCAAGCATTTAGACCCAATGGGAGTCTTACCAGCCGGAAAAAAAATAACTCACCATAAGGCAATGCTCAATCCCCAAATAGCCTTTGTTTCTAAGCAAATTGCCTTAGAAGCACCGATCCATGATGCGTAATTGATAGTCGTACTAATGCTTTTCAAGTAGCTCGATGAAGAAAAGACATAATCAACTGCAGCATTATCGCTAATGTTGGATAATTTATAGCAGTCCAGGTATGAGAGAGGCTTGCCCATTCCAACGGCGACGACAATCATACCGACAAGCACAAGGAAGTCCACCACGGCAAAAGAGAGAAAAGGGAGTTTGTCATCGACGTATAGAATGGACGTAAGTATACAATAGAGAGTAGCGAACGCAGTCTGTTGAATTAGTTGAGTTTTGGCGATATCACAAAAAGGAGAAATGACGTACCACACAGATTGTCCCGATCAAAATACCTGGCGGGTTTGCATCATTGGAAACCATCACAGAGATGAACTTGGCAACAATACCGATAACGGCAACAAGCGAGCATATTTCGAAGATTCGTGCCAGCTGGTAGGTTGCACCGAGGGCTTTGTAACGGCGATTCATTTTGTATGTTGGTCGTGGTCTCGGTCAAGCTCGATGGGTATAGACTTGTTTTGCACCGTTGTGGTAAATATATCGTAGCTCTCTCGAAATAGTAACAGAATTGATAAATAGAATCTGATAATCTGGATAATAGCGAAAGGAATGAGGGCAATTGTCCAGAAGAAAACAAGAACAAAGAACCGGAATCAGCGAAAGTGATGCTTGAAAGGAAGTCATTCAGATGGAATTCGTTCCTTATATAACGCTAGTTCAATTCCTCAGCCGCACACAATTTTCAAAGTGTAATAGCTGAAGACAAGAAGCTTCTAAAATAAGACTCACAGGCAAGGTCTAGACTTCCTCTGACGATAGGATTTTCCGGATGTGGCTTGTCACAGAATGTCTGGAGCCCAGAGGCTCTGCGGTCGGACAAATCAAATTTCATTGATGAAAATGCATTCACAGCTGAAACATTCCCTTACATGTTTATTCTTTCAGCTACAGAAGGCCGAAGACTCATTTCGTAGTAATTGGTGCATCTATTTTGCAGATCCGCAGCCTGGGCGCGTTCATGTCTCCGGCGTGTGGGGCCCGGCGCGTGGAGGTGGAACTTTAATTACCCTTGTCACATCTCGCCCACTAGTTCTTCGGTGTCGGCAAGCATCTGACACAGGCGCCTAATGGAATGAGCCAGGCATGATTGCAGACCTTCTAGAGAGTATCAACCTTGTTTCATAATTAAGTGTCGCTTACTATTTTGGGACCCAGTAGCTAAGCCTGGCTACCTGTTGATGATTTCCGCGCTTCAGCTGCCAGTAAACAGGCTAGTTGTGGGATCCTGGCAGGGGGTAAATCAGCTATGTCCTGAATCTCATGGTGTCAAGGCAAGAAATAAGCTCTAGTAGCGAGATCAAAAATACCGTAGAGATTACAGCATACAAAATGACTTTTACTCGCATAGTATTGAGTAATTCTTTCATTGCTGCCACAGTAGAGTTTGCCGAATCCGCTAACGAGCTGGCCTAAAAATAGCTGAGATTCTACTCATGCCATTTTCATCAACTCTTTTGAATTAGACTTGAATGTCAGATAGATTTACAATAACGGTGACAGGACCTTCTACAGACAATATCTGGAGTAAATATAGCGATTTAAATGTTTATCCAAACATGTCTCATCCTGCCTCATATAACCGTTAGCCTTAAAGGATATACCGACAATTGAAATTTTGAAATCAGAGGCGTTTAGAAGGACTAACTTCCTAATGAGCCATATCTAGCGTGGTTTAGATTAGATTGTCGGTTACTTTCACATGAAACGGTACTGTGTGAATGTTTTGCATGTTCCCACGGTCGGGATATACAATCACGTGATAAATATAGGGTTGCACATGTACATTATGACAAAAGTAGTGTGCTCCGGAGGATACGGATATTCATATATGGAAGCTTTTGCCACTATTTACCGCCTTTTATTTACTTTATCTACTATAACCTTACTAGTTTATAGGTGCATGCAACTTCCACCTACCGTTCAGACCACAATAGCTCTTTGTCGATGTAGTAGAATACGGTAGAAGCTTGGAAAGGTGGATCAAATAGAATGCGATGCTCAATGTGATGGTGCCTAACTAGATAAAATATCTGGCAGGGAGTGTTGAACATCCCCTGCCTCGCCTACTAGCGTTGTTATGGCGCTTTATTCGGTGGCTTCTCTTACTCGACGCTCTTTCATGAGCTTGCATGCATATATACCAAAAAATGTCTGGCAAAACTTGGCCTTTCCATTACATTCTAGTGCTATCACCTCGCCGCTCTTGGACCACTGAGTAGAACTAAGCACGCCCCTGACCAACCTGAGCTAGTTAGTGACCCTTATATAGTCAAATTGATTAGCTCACTGAGACTGATCATAGGTCATTGATTAATTACTGAGCCTGATTATAAGATACTAATTGTAGGATAGTGGCCGGTCAATAAGGCAAGCAACAAATAACAATACAGCGTTTTTATTGAGACATTGGCATTAGAGGCAAACTCTCCAGATACTTGGTGAATAGGCATCTAATATAATTGATGCCGGGAATGTCGAATACCTGGAACCCCTTGTAGCATGCTCTCAACATAAGTTATCTTTGCAAAAATCAAGCATGGAAGAGCATGGAATGACCTGTTCTCAGGACAGGCTGGCCTAAATCAGGTTAGTAAGCTCAATGGCGACGAAGAATAATTGTGGAGGGTGGCACCGACTAGCAGGGAGCATTCTTGCTGCAACGTCTCAAATGTCTGATTAATAATCTTTGCCTTTTCTTGACTCAAGACTCGCAGTGTGACGGGGAGTCTCGACGAGGCGTTGCCGGGCATTTCAGAACGGCGAATATACGTCAATGGATCAAGAGGCTGCGCTGTCCCAGGAACCCACTTGATCTCGAAGGCCCAGAGGATCCTCATCATTGCAATGGCAAGTGATCGCTCAGCAACATGTTAACCAGGGCCTATCATTTGTCAATAATACGGTGACTTAAAGTTATGCTACTCGACGTACAGATGCGACGGCCAGCACCGAATGCAAAATGATCGCGTTTGGTCACATCGGGAGAGTTGACACTCTGCATTGTCTGTGGAAGCTGGTCAGTCATGGGACAAGCTGACCTGGCTATCTTTTACTTACGGTCGTATGGTAATCGGTGTATCGCTCGGGCCAGAAACAATCCGGGTTTTCATGCCTTCTCGGATCATGGGAAATAGCCCTGGACGGTCGACGGTTAAATAGTTCTTCTCTTCGTCTTAGGTCTACCTTACCATGCATTTAGGTGAATACGAGCACCTTTGGGGATTCGGTGCACATTGTAAGTTATGTCCTTTGTTGTGACATGGGGATGGCCGAGGGAAACGGGAGGGCGCCATCGTCAGACCTCTTTCATCATGCATCGAAGGTATGGAATATGCTCCAGATCGGCAAACTCAGGTAGGCGATCGCTAACAACCGCTTCTATAGCAGCAGCAGCAGAAGAGGTCAGCAGATGTTCTGGGAGAATTTGTTTCAACCATACCAATCTCAGCTCGCGCCTTCTGCTGGACATCCGGATATTGAAGTATCGCTTCTAGGAACGACCATGTTGAGACCTGACTCTGTTAAATTAAAACACTGTCAGAACATCTTATTTCATAGCCGAAGCTGTTTCATAGCCTTAGCGTATCTGCAGCACCGATAACGAGTTGAAATGCAAGATATGCTGCTTCTGCCTGGGTGGTGAAGCCGCCCTGATCGGCCGCCCGAATAACGGAGGGAAGAAAGGCGTCAGCCATGTATTTTCCAGCGAATTCGGGATTTTTAATTCTCTAAACTCTGAGTTAAATTTTGACAGATGTGTAACACTGATATAAGATTTAAAATAGCAGGGCCTTACCTCTAGGCGCACCATACACCATTCCAAGTCCCGCTTGAATCGTTTCCGGGCATCTTGTTCCCACGGCTTGAGGCATCAACTCCATCCTGTTCAGCGTGCTCGTCGAAATATTGGAGCATGTACCGATCCACACGTGTCGCAGTATGCCATTGGTAGAATATTGCTGTCATTGTGATTAATCGAGCAAAGAGTCCGAAATTTTGCGACGGTAGAATACGAGCGAGTTTGAATACGTTCAAAGCATCTTTGAGCAAAACTGTGCGCATGACATCTAACTGAATGTCAGCTGAGATCTATAAACACTGAGCCCAATCCAGTCATCACCCTGCAAACCCTTGAGTCTCTACGATAGTCTTGCCATATCCAAATCCCACAATGTCTCTTGGCATGGCAAGTACGGTTCAACGTCCTCCAAGCTCATCATTGGCGGAACAGTGGCGTTTATGCTGAATTGGAAGTCGACCAACTGCAAAAGTTTAGCATCCCAGGCTCTCATACCTCATGGCAATGGGTATCAACAAGGGTCAAACTACACACCCAAATACCCAAATACCGTATTGAAGTCTCCTGCCGAGCTCTCTCTCAAGCCACCTGCAAGCTCCAGGATCACGGATACTGGTAGCATCGAAGGAATCGTAAAGTATATCTTCGCGACGTATTTTGGAGTTTATGCCCCTACACGCCGTCACCAACATGGCCCTTTGAAACTGCGCCTTCAAGGAAAGTTGTCTTGAGCCATGATAGGCAGTTTGTATTTGATTCAATAACGCGGCCTGCGCGAATGGAATCTGGATAGTCTCCTGAATATTATCTTCTAACTGAAGTGGGTGCTCCGGTCAGCAGGGTTCTGGATCATGACAAATGAGCTGATATACCACATTCTCGACTGCTTCACGCAAATATCTCCCAGAACTGTGGATACTGTATGGGCCTGCGGGATCTTGGAGAAGCGACCTCCGATGGTAGCAACCGCCAGAATGAGCAACGGGGGCTCTTCGGACACATTGAATGTCGCTTTGTGCAAAACAGTAAGAGTGTGATGGAAATATTCAAAGTAAAGCTGTACAAAGGAATTGATAATTTGCGGGTTGCTCAACAGCTCTCCGCAGCTCGGAGAGCTGCCCAGAATCTGCTGGTTCTGATTCTTCGTCATCAAAGATGTCAACTTCTCCACTTGCTCTCGTCGGACTCTGGCTACGTGGCCGTAGTCCTCCATCGCCAGAATATCCTCCAAGCTAAGGAGGTTTAACATTGACCTTGGAAGCCCCTGTATATTGTCAGAGTCATCTTCAGTTCTATTTGGAATATGTTCTGGATCCATCAATGCCGGCGGTGGTTGAATGCTCCAGAGATTCACCTGAATCATCCCAGACCAGCTAGAGGTGAGCAAGAAGTCTGAAGGATTAAGTAGTTCGGGGCCTGTCAGGTTCTCAAAGTATCTGAGGGAATCGTTACGAAGGACATCTGTGTCCACTTGCCCTGCTGTGACACTATGCGGGTCTGAGATACTAGTCGCATCAACTTTGGGTCCATTTACAGGAAAGGTCGAAAGATCCAGAAAGTGCATGCTAAGACCTTGAGATGGTGTGTAGTTTTGAAAGGACCAGTCAAAGATCGGACTGTATGCAGCATGGCCAGCATTCGTTTCACGAAGTGATGGATCAGCCCCGCCAGCTCTTACCGTGGTCAACAGGGCGGCTTCCTTCTAGTCTCAAGCAGCCTTACCTGTGGTGACTGGAAACTGCGGCATGGCATGAAGAGATGGATTCAGGCTCATCATGTCGTAGGCATTTTTTTGACATTCTCTCACGGGTCGAGGCAGATCGGGTACGTGAGGGAGTTTCCGGAACTACATCGTCGGCTTCGGTCGGATTGCCCGAACTCTCTTGGGACTTCCTAACACAAGGGATATTCTTTCGTTGACACCTGCCACATGGATCTGAGGGTGGACAACGCAGCTTGGCTTTGGCACAGTGGTCACAGGCTGTACGATTGCGGCTTTGTGGGTGCTTGGGCCTGTTCTGAGTAACTATCGAGCTTCAATTTCTTATGTCGATTAAGGAGATCACTGTTATTGTTAGAGAGGGGCGTAATAACGAGCAGCAGTGAGGCTTGCCATTAGTTAAATCCTTTCCCACATGTACTGCACTGATATGGGCGTTGATTGAGGTGGGAGCGTTGATGGCGAGTCAAATGTTCGCGTCGAGAGAACTGATGCGCACAGAAACTGCAGGTCAGTTGCATTTTTCCGCAGCTCAACAGAGGTTGGATAAAAGCTACGAATGATGGGAAACCGCATCCTGATCCAGCAGGAGTAGGTTATAGCTTCATTCGACATAATGTCGATACTGTCAAAACAATTCTCGTTATGAAGAGTTGACTCTTGTCTCCTGGCTATTCTGCCAAGTGCCATGTTCATGGGTGCCTCTGATTCTTGGATAGTGATAAGTACATTTCCCCCTCGTCGACAACAAGCTCCACCAACCCTAGGCTCCCCCCGCCGAAATATCGCAATTGAAGCTCGCTATCCACTGCCGTGAGACAAAAGCCTGACAAAGATCCTTCCTGCCGAAGAGTGGCTGGTCCAAGAAAATAAGAAAAATAATTTTGCATTTAACGCCGACAAAGGAGGTGAACCTGAGTGGCTTCCAGATTGCTTCAAGGTGTCTATGAGAACTCGGTCGGCATTTCCGAGATGGTTGATTCCCGTCGGCCCCTCCCCCACATCGGCAACCCACTGTCTTCCGACGCTCTCCTCGAGTGTATATGTCAAGCCGACATAGACAGAGTTTCAGTTTACATATACTATACCCGTTTGGGTAGGGATTTCCTGGCGCTAAGGCCCACTGTTGCCTGACAAGTGAGTACGATTCTCGCTAAAACGACCATCTTACACACGCACTGATTCCAAAAAACATGTTTTCTGATTGATCCGACTAAGATTGATCGAGTAAAGGCTGTATTTAGTAGTGGTAATGCAGTATGGGAAAAATGGGGCGGCATCACGTGCGCTAAACCGAAGGCAGTATAAAGTGGGTCCACCGCCCTACGTGTAAACTGAGAATTTCTTAGGTGTCGTGATGAGCTGCGTCCTCTCGCATGCGAACCGTCGGGATCGGGGTCGGACCTGCCGGGGTGCACTGTGAGGAAGAGACCTCGAAATGGGGCGGATAAGCATTGATTCTCCTGGATGAGATATACTTCTTTATTTGCGTGATGAGGTGGAGTAGTAGCCTCTAGAAATATAAACACACTTTTCTCAAAGAAAGCTTTGTAGGTGAAAGTTCGGTTATCCTGTGGCTCTTTCCATTGAGGAAAGCGACGCCTGGTGCATAGATTGAACCAGAATTAGTGCCATGATCCATAAATGACACCATTTTTTTATGATTCTTTAACAAAGAAAAGTTCGAATCTGTGCCATAAGGAGACTTTCAGTAAATAAAGACATGATAAAAATATTTTATTCAATGAAATACCACTCTACCTGAAGAAATTCTTTGTTCAGGCACAGGCGCTACTCTCAAGGCCAGCAAAGTGCCATAAGTTGAGAATCTTTTAAACATCAAATGCCGTTGGATTTCTATTTCTCAAAGTACATAGCATCTGCCTTATCTGCTGCATAAACCATTTCACCAAACTGAATCGCTCAATTTGAGTGGTATTGATACGCTATCTCTGTCTAGCCTTTTCTGGTTATCAAGATTCGAAATGATATCGCGAACAAAATATTCTGGCTCTGGATCTCATACATGGGGGTTTGATTCAGGAAAGCAGAAAAGTCCTTTATTTTCAGACTTTCCTTCAAAGGGTCAGAGTAATGTTCCACATGAAAGAATAGAGCCCGAGATGGCTGAAATGGGGATTCAAAGCTCCCGGGAAAGGCCCATAACCCGCTCAATGACAAGAGCTCTGAAAAGGAAGAATACAGCCGATGAAGCTTTATTGCCGCCTATCGCTTCTCTCAAAAGAAAAACGGGCGCAAAAAGAGTCCCGGGACCAGATAGGGACTCTCCTTGGCAAAAGACTCTGCGCCAGCGTCTTAATGTGAATGATTTGGACCTCCATAGGTCATATGTAACAACTTACCAACCAAAAGCTCGAGCGGCTAGAAGGCTACCAAGGCAAACAAGATGGAAACACACGGGTAGCAATCCATTAACGGATATCAAGAGTTTGCCAATGGGATGGAATTCTAAAGAGCCTGATCTTGACCCTAAGTAAGTACTTTGATATTAGACTTCTTTTTATAACTAATTATCTAATTTAAAATATGCTAGCAATATTGATGGCCAAATTTTGAGATGTCAAGAGAGAATTGCGGACAACATTATGCCCCATGTTTTTCAGCACAGGCTACGAGAATATAAGGCGATACAAAGCCATCAAAAGTACGAATTGTCCTTTCTTATCTTTTGAATTGCAAATAGGCGTTGCATTTCTATAGATATTCTAACTAATATCTATGGATTGACTGTAGGCAAATGGCACTCAACGAGCCCACAGGATTGAAATTAAACACCTATGAGAGATTGAAATGTCTGAGAATTATGGAAGAAGAATGTCAAAGGAAGAGCGAGGACAAATACTGCCAACTCTCTAATATTCAAGCCATAATGAGAGCTTACAGGAGCCATAGATTGGAATGGAATGGCCTAATTACGTACTGGTCAAATGGTATCCAGCTTTGCGAGCCACGACCATTTGATTGGGACGAGTTTGAAGCAATAAACCTTAAACATGAAGGTCATAAAGGATTTTGGACTGAAGGCGTATGTTGTTTAGGAGATCATTCCCTACGTATTCAAGTGATGACTCACGAATTTTGTCCAGATACTTCGCCCTGGAACTCAACGCAGTCTGCCACACATGATTATTCCAGAATCAGCAGAAGATCCTTTTTCGAATTATGTGAGCTAATTTTGAGATAAAACACATCAATCAAAAGTTATAATCAAATTAGCAGATAATTGACCAAATACACAGATAAGATTAGCTGTTCGTCTACCATATTACGACTGGTGGGATTCAATGATGTTCCTACATGATACAGGGGCCAATATAATGAACATATATGACTCCGACTTGAACCTGTTAATGGGGCCCTTCCGTCCGCCACTCTATCCGCAGATACCAGTTGTCGGCAGACTTCGTATAGAAACTAATAGCGGAAGTCTGATAGCTGATGTCATCGAGATTGAGGTTGCCCTCATGAATGAACAAGACAGACTTTTGACTCAATGGACCCGGGTGCCGTGCTGGATGAAATCCGGTATCTATGTGCCGGGTGAGTCTGTTCCCAGAATTGATGGGCCACTGCTTCAGTATCTGATGTACCAGTTAACGGTACCTGATGGCAAGTTTGATCTTCATATATTCACTTCAAGGCGCTCACTATTTCCACTACCAACTGCGCCAAGTTCTCACCATAGACAAGGGCCACCTATGTCGAAATATAGTATCGAATTGACCCCAGGCACAACAACAACTACGAGGGATCCTCCTACCGCGGCAGTTGCGGTCGCTGGTACAAAGTCAATGCCATTATAGCCCGAGGTGTTTGAATCTAGTACCTTATTCAAGACTTAAGCCTTAGAAAGAACCTCTTTCGTCTTTCTCTGCTCATGTCTCTCACAGGCCTCTATCTACTGGAGGAATTTGCATTAAAAATAATCAAGCAGTCATTCTTTACCTATAACCGATATTCTCATTTTCATAACTTCTGAAATACGTAGCTTGGCCCTTATCACATAAAGACGTCAATAATCAACAATTCGCATAATCACTCAGCATGTGACTTCTCATTGGTAGCCGAAAATCATCATCTTTCAAGAAACTGTCTTTTGGAAGCCCCTAGCCTCTCTAGCACCCAAGCTCGCCGTGGTTGTTGCTAATGCATTTGTCTGATAATTGATCAGTCAATTTTGTTCGGTGTTGCTTTCATGTACTTGAGCTCCTCGTCACTTACTGAGATCGATATGAGCGGACACATAGCGATGGTCGTCGTCGACATTTCTGCATTGACATTCAAACTCCGTATGTCCTCTCAGGCTGCAATTGATACAAGAGGCCTGGAAATTTCCACTAATCTGGGATTAGAATACGAGGTATGTCTTCCTTTACAGACGATAACCTTACTTTTTGCCGCACTAAGAAGGCGTTAACAAGGACCATTTCATGTTGAAATTCAAGAATACTAACCTTGAGAGATCCCTTCGAATTTTTGATGCAGCGATTCAAATCAAGTTCGCTTATTTGAAGCTGCCCATTTTCTCTGTCCTGGCATTCTGCTCGGATCATCGTGCCAGATCCTTCGATATTTTCACACGTGTCTGCGAACTTGGAGGCGCCCGAAACAGCGACTGTAAAAATTGAGAGAATTGCAAAGTTCTGGAAGAATTTCATTATGACGGTTGTACTTTCAAAGAGATAGATAACAAATGTTTGAAATTTTCTGGTTCTGAATTTACTGAGAGATCATTGAGGGAATGATTCTCGGATTTATAGAAACAATTGCTACAAAGGCACTAATACTATTCAGGTTTCTTGAAGCTATTTGGTCATCTTGATGCAACCTGGAACAAGACACACAAGAAGCAAGTCACATAAAGCTCCTTGCCTTGCGGGGAAACTTGCACCACGCGTGATCCTCGGAGCTAGTATTCTGTTCCCATGAGGTCATAATGCATTTAATTTCACAAAATATCGACTTTGATGGTTCTCATTGTTTCTTTTTCAGATGACCAACAAGTGCATTTTAAGTCTCCCAGATATCGTTTCAATTTTAAATGCGCCCATAATTATCATTTATTATCCCTTTACTACTAACTGATCATCTTTAATAGATTTTCGTGTGGAACCATAGAGCACCTAATTTCGCTCAAGTCTCAAAAGCAAAACTCAAAATAAGTGGACTGCAATCGAGAAGATGTATGTCAAGTGAGCTCGTGGTCAGCGAGAAATATGTACTGTGATGTTCAGAGTCTGTAAGGGACGGTCCGTTGTATTTGACACTGCCATTTTAACAGAACTCTACTAGAGTCTTCGGTGAAGTCCACGCGCTAGGCCAACCAAATATCTGATGAAATTCTTGAGACAAGAATAACAGAAAACTTAGCGGAGAACTGACTGCTACATCCAATGTGCAAAACAACCCTGCGCTTTGACACTCCACGCCCTTTGCATCGACCCAGAAGGATCGTGTTAATTCAGATGCAAAGCATGGTGGAGAAATGAGAAGAACATATACAGAATATTGAGCTCGTTGAAAAGGCTTTTATGCGTCAATTGAATCGGTTTTTTTGTTTAAATTGGAATGAATGCGGAAGCAACCCAGCAGGGCGTTGAACGTGAAGCATGGCCGATGGGATTGAAAATTGACCAATCAGTTCTTTGGGAAACCTTATTGCCTTAAGATCTGGGCCATAAATAGGCTTCCCCGGTTAACTGACGAGGACCTCCTGCCTGGACCTGGCTACAATCTCACTTAGTTTGTCTCAGTATCAATCTAAGAGCCGGATCCATTGCACATCTGAAAAAAATCCACTAAATTCAAAATTCATATAAAAAATAGTCTCTATTGAGGTGATAGTCTTCCGGGTTCTAGTTGGTCACGTGCAGATGTGGCGATCAACTGGACGCTTAGGCCATCAAAAGGCATGAGATCTCCACCCTTGCTGATTGTCTGCCGATTGTGGATAGAACAATACATCGTCTTGCACATTCTCGACCTGTTGGTCTCAGACATGGCTCTCCACCTAGAAAGAGAGGGAAATCCCCACACTTAGACTCACCCCCGTGCTCGTTATCGGTGACGAGGAAAAGCCGGTTTCTTATTTGTGGAGGAGTCACCTAAGCAAGGGCGAGCTTTGGCGTCAGGATATGTATACAGTATTTTAGTAAAATCTAAGGCTGGTCCTGTCCGATAATTCCACTGAGACCCATCTTGGCATACTTTTCGGGCGGGCTTTTTAACGTCAAGCCCAGAATGAACGAGGGAATTTACGGTCGTACCAGCTGTAGGGCTGTTCCGGTCAGTCAAGGTGGTATTCAAGTAATGTGACGCACACTAAGTCAGCATGATCAACTACTTGAAGGAAAAAGGGGTGTCCGAGAGCTAAGACATCATATTGTTGACAACCACCAAGTTTGGGTAAACCAGAATTCATCCTTATGGCAACGCCTGGTGGTGATGACCCTGACGGCATCCTTATCCGAATGTTTTCTGAAGAAAAGACCTAGTATCGCCCAGCCGGCGCTAAAATTCGAAATTCGAGGATCTTCGAATGTGGCACTTTCATATCTCATAACAATAGAGAAACTGAAGCTCTTTTACAATGATTTATGTTCCAACATGATAGGGTCATACTGAGTTAGCATGTCAGCTGAGTTTCAATCAGTATGCAAATTCTAGCACTGCAAGGTGAAAACGATGAAAATCCAGTAAGCTAAGACACTCGCAAGGTGATACAGAACTAAGAGAGCGCTTTAGGTTTCTGGAGGCAGGGGATTCCCTCCTTTCAACCTTAGTATCTTCCTTTAAATATCGGGTTCAAAAGCTTTCTCTGGCGTTGTCTTGGTTTCTTCCTTCACTATTCTCTACTCTAACAATTCAGCATGATTTAATTTTAATATTGACACAAGATCAAAACTTCATAGAATTTTCACGTTGGGTTTGATTCTGTATCGTCTTTCTTTGAACACTAGATCATTAAAAATACCACATACCACATACGAATGCAACGACATACTCTTAGGCTCTAGGTAAATAGCCGAAAATACTCAAATCTGAGCCGAAGGCTCCTAATTGTCACATTTTCAATTCTCTTGTCAAAAGTCACCGGCTGGCTATTCATCAATTTATGAAATACTGTGATATCTCGTTATTTTTCTCGACATTCGTCTAGATTCCTGTTGAGCCTGCTTTATGAATTTGCACTGCTTTAAATAAAGATTAACAGATATAGGCAAAGATCTGAAAGTTTTGTACAGAATTGTCAGAATTTGACAAGAAAAAAAAAGAAAAAAAAAGATAGTCAGCATCTTTACTCAATCTCTAGATCTCATATAGATGGAGCAATTTTATTTGCGTGGTTTCGAATCAGCTCAGGTGTTAGGTCGCTTGCTCGAATAGTTCATTCTTAGAACTCCAGTATACCGATTCAAGTCCTACATTAAATACTTTATCCATATTTTGTGGAGATTTAGTGTAAAGATTCGTAACGAGAACTTCATAGTGGATCAAAGTTCATCTCTTTTCTCCTACCCTGGCTCTTGGAGCGGGTTTCCGGGACCCGTCGGTGGATATCACATGCAGCCCACGTGAGGCCACTTCTCTCTCTTCATCTGTTTTTATTTCTTTGCAAAATTTGTCATTCACAAATCTTTTTTTCTTCAAGGTGCCATGGAAAATAAACAGATAGGTGAAGCGAATCCCCCTTCGCTTGGGATAATCTCAAACACTATCATCCAAAGGACCCTCATCAAACCACAGGAGCGTGATCCCTATGATCCAAATGTCACATTTGAGGAATACGCATTTTTCGCGGAAAAAACCAGGACAGAGGAGATGGCATCGGAACCTCCAGCCCTCAATTTGCGGCAAGCCCTTGGTGATGTGAACATTCGGGGGCGATTCGCCAGGCCTAGTGCTCACGCTTTTCGAGCCATATGCGATTTTTTGTGTGAGAAGGAAGAGCAAGAAAGCTACAACTCAAGGCTAGAGATTACTGATGAGGAATGGGCAAATGCAAGCCGTTCGTTTAGGTCTTCATCATGGGTTGCGTGTGCGTTCGAAATGCATCTTCGTCTGAGTATTGACAAAAAATGACTTTGAAAATAGGTTTTTTTCTTATCACGACTGATATTTTGGGACCTTATAGTACCGGTTTCACGATGGGCACATTGGGCTGGGGGCCAGGTGAGTAGCACTCGGCCTTTTGCAATCAAAAGATTAAGATTTATAATAGAACTTGGGCTGCAGGAGTCATATTTTACACAGTTTTCGGTTTTATGGCCGGCTATTCGGGATACCTCATTTGGCGCATTTTTCTTGGTATCGACAGCTACCAGTACCCAGTCAAGAATTACGGGGATCTCGGATTCCGAACCCTTGGTCGGTTTGGGCGATATGTCACAAACGTGTGCCAAGGGATCTCCCTGCTATTGATCCTAGGCCAAGTTACAATACTCTTCGGCCAGAATATCTCTCAGGTGTCCAAATTTCATCTATGCTACTGTGTATGCCCTGCAATCTTTGCCTGTGCTGGTTTCCTTCTGTCCCAGGTGAGGACTCTGAGAAATTATGGTTGGTTCGCAAACTTGGCTGTTTGGATGAATCTTTTGGTGGTATTTATTAGCATTGGTGCTATGGCAAATTCTCCTCCAAATTATCAAATATCCAGACTGGGATCTGCAGGAAGTGCTGTGGATCCGAACACAATAATGCCAGACAAGACTGGTAGCTACCCACCGATTATTCACTATGTCACACTTCCGACAAGCAGACTGATTGGCGCAGTCAATGGAATGCTTTCTGGTGTTACAGCATACGCAGGAGCTCAATTATTCGTTGAATTTCTCGCTGAAATGAAACGACCCCGAGATTTCATAAAAGCAATGTGGGGAGCCCAATTCTTCATTTACACCGTTTATCTCGTTTATGGTTGTGTTGTCTACTATCTCCAAGGACAATACAGCTATAATCCTAGCTATCAGGGAGTTAGCGTCTATAAATGGCAAACTGTCGGAAACATGGTCTCTCTGCTCGCTGCGCTAATTTCGGCAGGTTTGTACGGTAATATTGGCATAAAGGTTGTCTATAACAATATTCTCCTTGACATTTTCAAAGCGCCATCACTATCAACTAGGCGTGGGAAAATCATATATTCCCTTATGGTACCACTATGGTGGATTATAGCATTTGTTATCGCAGCAGCTATTCCTGACTTTTTCGGATTCGTTAGTATCGTGGCAGCCGCCATGCTCTTGAATTTGACTTATGCGTTCCCTCCATTATTTGCTCTGTGCTTCGATATCCAGAAAAATGCTATTCAGGCAGAGCAAGGGGAAGGTTTCAATCAAACAACTGGAGAGGTTTTCCGACACGACATAAACAGCAAAAGGTGGATTCGCGGCTTCCTTGCTGGCGGACCTTTCCAAGTTGCCCTCAATACATGGCATATAATTTACTTCTTCGCATCCCTCGCCATGAGTGGTCTTGGCTTGTACGCAGCCATCATTGGTAAACGTGTTCTCTTGAATTACATGAGACTCGAATACTGACATTTACTTTAGGAATGGATGAGGCATTTAAAATCCCCCAACTTAATTCGTTTTCTTGTGTCTCGCCACTGAACTTGGAGGCTGCAGCCTCGTAGTAATGAGTTATGAGATGCTAAGGAAAAAAGACTGCATGTTGGTTTGTAGCCGGGTCAGACTCTTGAAGAATGTTTTGCACGGGTAGATATACTTGAATTTGCAATAGTATCCTTATCTTTACTTGTTTCGCTATGAATTTCAGTGTGCTGCCTTCAGGTTCTCGACATTGGATTCAACGGAATCAAATGCTCTTCACTTTTGAACAAACAACATAAGATGACAGGAAATAGGAGAAATCGTGATTTGAATGTGTGGATACTATATGCGGGACAAGCTGTTGCCTATAGAGGGCGGCATTTGATCCAAGAGTGAGGATGCGTAAGAAAGTACGCTTAGTACAGAATCGACTAGTTAAGAAACTTGAGAAGCTGATGGACAAGAAAGCCACATCAATGCTGCCTGCTGGCCATGCACCACTCATTGATGATTGACGGGGTTTCCTGTTGCTTGCTTTTTTTGTGATATTATCGTGCGGTACGAAAAAAGCAATATCTCGAATCATCTTGCACAACATGCACAGTTGTACAGATAGTCTCCACTCCCTTGCAGATGATGATCAGCTCAAAAGCAAATACCGCGATATGGGATGATTAGGGAACTTATATATTGCCCGCAAAATTCATACTTACTGAGGAGGGCTACACTAAAATTCTCCTAGACTTTTTGGCATTTGCTTGTCGCTGAAGGCACCCTTCTCCGAAATGGACGAAAGCACGCCACTTCTCCAAGATCAAAGGCATCATCTTCCACGGAAGAGACTACTTATCGTATTTCCTGCTCTTGCTTTGATTCAGTTTACATCATTCTTGGACCAAACTGCGATATCAACTAGTCTTCCGGCTATCGCATCGGCAATCCACACGGGCGCATCGATTTCTCTTGTCGGGGCCAGCTTCCTTATTACTAGCACCAGCATTCAATTAATAAATGGCCGACTATCAGATATTTTTGGCCGAAAGGCATGCCTTTCAAGTGCACTTATAATTATGGGCCTTGGAAATCTTTTGTCTGGCTTTTGCAAGACACCTACTGAGATGTTCGTTTCTCGTGCCTTTACCGGGTTTGGCGCAGGTGCCATCAATGCCCTAGTTCAAATTGCGATGGCCGACATCACCACACTTGAACAACGTGGATATTACTTCGGCATGATGGGCATAGCTGTTGCCCTTGGAAATGGATTGGGACCCGTTATAGGCGGGATTTTGACCCAGTCAATTGGATGGCAATGGGCGTTCTGGTTTGTCTGTCCGTTGACTGCGGTCGCTGCGGGCTATTTTCTATTAGTTTGGCCTAAGTCGCACTCCACCTCCGCATCAGCAGATCAGATCTGGCCCAAAGTGAAGCTAGTGGATTGGTTGGGAGCCGGTACCAGCCTGGGTGCGATCGCATTGTTTCTAGTGAGCAAACCAACCCTCAAACTTCAAGTTCACAAGGACTTTAGCTGACAAACAAGATCTCTATCTCTCAAGGTGGATCAACCATACCATGGAATTCGCCTGCCATTTTTATCATGCTGGTCGCAAGTGGGATACTAGCCTGTACTTTCTATGTGGTAGAAACAAGGGTGGCAAAGTTGCCTATGGTTCCTGCTCACCTTTTTCTCTACGGTCGGTCGACCAACATCCTCATATTCATTAATCTTATTGTGGGATTTGTTTTCTGGGGAAATCTGTTCACTATTCCATTATATCTGCAGAACACACGTGGAATGAGCCCCGGTGAAGCTGGGATCTTGATTCTACCAATGGTCATTGCACATGGTCTCACATCTGGCATTACTGGAATCATTATCTCACATTTCGGTCATTATAAGCCTGTTATCGTCACGGGTGCGGTATCCTGGCTTGTTGCGGTAGCACTCAAGCTGCGTTACGATCAGTCCACTCCACTGTGGCTATTCGCCATTGCCGCTATTCTTGATGGTATTGGCGTCGGGTGCTCCCTGCAACCCGGTATAGTCTTTAGAATCAAAAACTGCCTTGAATATCGCTCATTTTTCTCTAGTCCTCATTGGTCTCTTTGCAGGCACCTTTTCTAAAGATAGGGCTGTTCTGACGGGCCTCCGTAATTTTCTACGCGATATGGGGGGAGCGATTGGCACTACAGGTCTGAGTTCACAGAACATTGATTAATTTTTAGAACGTTTTCTCACCTATATACAGTTTCTGGTGCTATCCTCAGCAATGTGCTCACAAGTCAACTGAAGAACAAATTCCCTGACAAACTCATCGCGGAGTTGACTTCTTCAGCTTTTGCGTTAAAAGACTTGAAGCTCCCTGAAGCGGATAAAAAGCTGATTTCTCGAACATATGTCAATGGCATTCATGCGATATTTATTGCGTATGCTATATTGATTGTGATACATCTTTGCGCTTGTGTATTCATTCAGGACTATGGACTGGAAAGAAGGGATAAAGAAGACCAGGATGGACAAGAAGAGAATGCTGAAACTAACGAGTCTCAGCAATAGGTGAGCCCATGATTTGACGAACATGAAAAGCATGATTATTTGCTCCTGTTGTCAACCTATCGAGACCCAAAGTTTCCTCAAACCTTCATCCTTCTACAAGATGTAGAGCTGCACTGGTATTTTTTTGGTTTCATGGTAAATAAAAATGCCTTTCGCGGTCAAAATGGCGCATATGCATGCATGGCATGCCTGGAGTTTGGATTGGATAAGATGACAATCTCCTCTCAAAGAGCGAGGTACAGTGATTGGCTATGAGGCTTTATGATACATTAAGAACTTCAAATTTCTTATCAGAAGCACCTGCACATACATATGACGTGATGGTGGAAATAATTATCGTTATTATTCCTTTACATTCCTGTTCTATGCCCCGAATACTTTCCCTCGAGGCTAGCTCAAACCCCCCTTATCTGTACATGCAGTTCGCAAAGAGGCTGCATCTAGCCTGTCATAATCATGATTTTCAACACATGATTTTTTTTTCGGTCGGCAACCCCAACTTTCCTTCGCTGTCAGAATGTTTTCGATTATCATATCTCCTTACATGAAACCGCAGTCAGACATAATAGGACTTGATGGGGACCGGGAGCTAGAATGTGCTATTTTGTCTTTCGCACTCGGAGGCATTTCAAGTCCAGCTTGCTACCCGTATTATGTACAGAATATCCACGGCGCATCAATTGACAGAGATACCCCTCAAAACTGGAAATGTTCAATAGTTTTTTTTGCTTGCCCGCCTCTTTGCTAAGCTCTTAGGAACGAATGCCGATATCAAGACTCGAGACCTCTCTGTCAGCCCATGGACCATCCAGGATTGTCAGTCATTATGTCACTACCGCGTTCGTGTAGAATAATCAGCCAAATCTTGTCTAATCTTGCTTTGAATCATCATTCCACGTGCTGCGTAAGGATTAATCCTCGGTTGTGCCATAGTCTCCAATGAGGACGGTGTAAAAGTTGGGCAACAGGGCAACGTTTGAATGCTACTTTTCTTTCAAAAACTCGTCTGAGATTACAGAAAATTGTAATATATTCCAGTTTCGCCTATCTTACGGTCTATTTGTCGATACCTGGAGCAAACAACGATCTGCCAAGCCAATTATCCAGTGCGTCGCTTCGGTCAAAGCGTCGCCTGTTCATGCACCAAGGCTTAAGGTCACACAAGGACCATTGGTTTTTATTTGATTTGCGGGCCCAGTATAAAACTTGTTAATTAGCTCGAGAATTTTGCTTTTGCATTTCCCAATACCCTAGTTACATTGCGTTGAAAGGCCGCGCATCCCATCGGACACGGCGAAGGTGCCTGTTCGGGTCACGAACAATATTTCGCGCATGCAACCAGCGCCGATTATCCATCGCCACAATTGATCCTCGTGGTAGCATATCTGGGGTAAGATTCAGCACTTCTTGCTGGGTATTGGCGCTTTCCAGAACATGCTGCAGCTCTCGGAGCGCTGTTTCTCCGCGTGGCGTTAGCGGTTCGATGATGTCTTCGCGGAACCTCAGCTGAGCCTTTCCCAATTTCTCATCCACCCATAGCACATTGCTGACAATATGTGTGTCATTTTCGTTCTTGATAAACTCGGGTGGTACGGTGATACGAAACTCGGGCTTGGAAAGTGTGTTTCGCGCCGCAGGGGACAGGAGGGACATCAGACGTGTAGAATCAAGGACAGAAAGGGTGCCGCCTCCACACTGGTCGGGTCGAAGTACTTGCAATGCAAAATACTTCGGTGGTGACTCTTCATAGCTGCAATCAGTGTGCCAGGGGAAGTTGTTCATGGTTTCGGAGCGAGCCTGGTTGGTGGTAGCAGCCGCAGCTAGAGCAGCCGGTTGAGGGCGAACGTCCCAAAACCAGCCTCGTGAGGCGCTGTGAGTGATTGGTAGTCCATGATCGTGGTTTTTATTCAGTTGCCGAATGAGTTGTTCTAGATATGTGCTGTTTTCATCTTCAAATTGAAGGCTTATTTTGATAATGCCGCGATCCTTCAGGTGTTGGTTCACCTGCTGGACATGATCTGCGTTCTGAGATGCCCCAACCTCACTGGCATGGATATGCGGTAAAAGGCTTGCACTTGCAAATCCCCGGAGTCCCGGCTTTTCTGTCAACCTGTGAGCATGATTTCTAGGTCCTAAAGCCGGATCGCCGAGTACTTACCAAAATGAACGAAGGAGAGGCCTCGATTCAACAGCCGACGAGGAGTCGTTCGAGTGAGAATGTTAGCCATTATAATAAAGGAACCTCCTGCAACACAATAAACGATGGTTGAAACCCTTCGCCTCTGAATGATACACTTTAGCCTGAGCAAATCGGTATCTCGTGGTGGTAGTTTTGAGAGATGAGTTTCCCCGGGCTCTTTTCTATCTAGAGACCAAGTCAGTCATATTTTATATACTATCTAGGCATATAAATTACTCTATTACCAATAATTGAACATATGCAGCTGCAGTGTCATCTGGATCTGCCCGTGCTTCTTCTGCGTGTGTATGCCTAGAAAGAAGACCAAGGTCATGGTTAGACAAGACTGCAAATCTATTCTAGGCAAAGGCGTTTACAGTAGCTTCAGCCAGCCATTTCAAGTTCAAGTCAAGTTCAAGTGATGGGACCCGGTCATTCGGTTCAGCATTCTCCACCATATTCCTTTTTCCTTTGCCGAACCCCTTTCATACATAATCCGACTCAGGTTAGAGGTACCCCCCTGTACCCTGTTTCACTACTTCAAAATTGATGAATTCGTACTACTCCATAATGGCCAGGCAACCGCCAGCTATATTTATGTGGAATGATGTATTGTACATCATAGAAAAATCCAGAAGGAAGCTGCCTGTACGATGTTCAGATCGTACTCGTAGATATGATCCACCGTGCATGGCCCGCGATCCAGATGATCTGTTCACAAGCCACACCCTGCTGTTACATCCAAAATGAACTTTTTCATTTGATCTCAGATAGTTACTTCGGTGCAATGTGGCTTTTGTGGCTTTGAAAATCGCCACCAGCTATCGAAAAAGTGAATAAATCTAGCTGATTGGCACAGAGCTTCAAAATCACGCTAGTCGATCATACCATCGAGAAAATGGGAAAATAGGTACATAATTTACTTTTGCCAGGTGCGTTTGATAAGTGTTGCCTTTCCATAGGCTAACCAGGAGATTTGAAGTGCTCTACGATATGATGCAAAAAGACATTGCAGCAAAAGCGTTCAGGAAGCTTAAATTCAACATGTAAATCATTGGAACCGGAGCATGCCTAAGAAACGAAAGATATATTGAATAGTTCCCATATAGATATTCTCCCGTCAATTGTAGAACATAATTGATCATCACTCGTTAATGAATGCCGCAGGTGTCAGAACCTAGCCCAGTTTAGTCTCGAATGATGGACGCTGAGCGGGGTCAGATAGGATATGCAGCACGGCTTCCGCACACGCACCTTTTTTTTCAGCTGGATTGGCCCCCTTTCTCGCAACTTCACCTCTTCATATTCCCATCCAAGACAGACTGAGCACAGAATGCCCCGCAACGAAAGCAAGATTGAGATTGCTGCGCCACCTGCGAAAGTCCGGGAAGTGGTACGTCGGCTGGCCTTTTCTCACTGGTAGCACCCATGGCTCATGCAAACCCTCCTGCAGTTGCTCAACTTTTCGGCCTTTTCCGAATGGCACACGGACTTCATCAAGGGCATTAAGATCGAGGACGAGTCGAAAACCCCCGAGTCCCTCGCTCATGGCGACAAGGTGGAGTGCAACATTGAAGGATGGAAGTTCGTTGCAGAAATTAGGGTGCGTCCCACCGCCCGGACCGCTTTCCGCGGTCTTGTCGCGCCCAAAACAAATATCCAGGAGCAGTGCTAACAGCTCATCACTGCAGGAGAACAGCGAGAGCATGTTCTCATGGCAAGGCCCACCCGTCTTGACTGTTGCTGGGCTACATCAGTTTCGCATGGAACCCACCAAAGACGGCTCGGCCACAGTCTTCACACAATCGGAAGATCTCAAGGGACCGCTGGCTTTCCTGATGGGTCCTTCATTACTGGGCAAGAAGATGGCCGCCCACTTTGCTGAGTTCAACACCGACCTCAAGCGTCGGGTTGAGAGTCTGAGCTCTTGAATGAGCCTGACGTCAAAAGGACTAACTGTACGACAGTGGTTGTCCTCTTTCCCTATCTATCTCCACGGATCTCATCGCTGATTGTACACGCACCTCTCACCGGTCGGGCCGTGGACCCCTGGACACTCTTATTTGTTAGCTAGAGATGATTGATTATTTGAAGATAACCCCCTCTTTTTTTTTGTCTACGTGAGACATCAATAGTTTCATCTATCTACCATGAAAGAGCCACTGTATACCATTAGGGACAGATACTGCGCCGTAGAGACGAGGATAATGATCAAGCTGGACAGTCAGGGTGGCGGGCTCTCCAAACGGCCCCACTCTTCGTGGCTGGTTTTCGGCTGGCAATCATTTTAGTATGCATGAGCTGAAAATCCAAAACTGATTAATTAGTGAACTAGCTTTAGTGGTACCCGCTAGGTACATGGTGCCAAGAGAGGTAAAGTGGCGTTACTGAGGTCCTCGTTTCAATGCTCTTAATACAGTCCACCCTAACACTATCTGTCTATACAGTCCTTCCTCTAGCAATTTCCATGCTGAAAGTTCAAATGCTGCTGCTTTTATTTTGAAGGGCAAAATTACAAAAAGGAGATACGGCAGTCGTCCAACCAGACGGCCAACTTCCCTGTAACGGGACGGTGTGTTTCAGCATCGTCAATTCCCGGGTGGAATTGTGTCTGCAGAATCGCTTCCTCAAAAACACTTCCATTGCCTAGCGCCTCATCCTGTCGTCTTGAATTATTCGCACGCGTACCCGCAGATCTGGTGATCGAGGCAAGGTTGCTAGCTTAGCAGTGGGCCGCCTTCGGTTGTCCATGATAAACTCGAGCGAGAGGGCACAATTATACGTAGAAAAAATTCTCGTTGGTGACAAGGCTCTCTGCTTGAACCCGACTCGCCACGACTAATGATGTGTAGATATGCCTATTTTCTTCGCTATTCCATATTGGCTGCCATTTTTCAAGTACCCTGCCTGTTAGATGGCCCACACAGAATCGCTTTTCATGCCTCAACCCCACTAATATGTCAAGAACAAATTGGGCAAAAAAGAATCAGCATGATTTTCATCACCAACACCACCACCACCATAAGAGCTCGGCAAATGCCTCATAGCTAGGTCGATATATCGAAACACTTGAAGATGTGCCTTTAACAGAACTTTGAACTTGGAATAATAGCTAAACGACCGCAAGGTAGCTACAGAGATAGCCATATAAAGTGCCTCGTCAGAGAAAGAACCACAACAGCCATGATTAACCACAAATCTCGACTTCAAAATCCTTCATACCCCAATTAAACGTTTGAAAATCGGCCTTATCGAGATCATGTGAGAAATACAGATATTCAATAGGCTTGACGATTATGCATTATAGCCCTCTGTGAAATAGTCAGATAGAAGACCGATGCAACGGAGTAGACTATGACTCACTTTTTTTAACTTCTTCCTTTAAATCCTACATCATACTAACGAGCAACCAGAATCCGACCACACCGATAGCGAGAAGGCCACAGATAATTAGAACGCGGCCCAATACACCCATCGCGATCATTTTCACATTTTCATTACGGGCTTCCGAACGAGGTTGAGCTGAGGGCGTGTAGGACTCATCAGAGGTGTTGAGTTTGTTCATGGGAATACTATATGACGGCAGGTCTCCAATATTATATGATGGAAGGCCTTCAATGATATTTGGTCAGAGATAGGGCATTTTTTCAACATTCCTGAAAAACATACTGTCAGATGAAGACATTGCGAGTCGCTAGCATGAGTTTTTTTTCGAGGCACAAAGATCGAGAAGATGTACGATGGTAAAGTCAGAGATTGCGTCAATACCTCTTCGACATGAAGGTGACCGAAGGCTTGAACCGCCTCCGCTTATAGTTGCGGAACGAACCCGTGGGCCGAGTCCTCTTTCTGTCTTTCCGGACTGAGTACATTTTGTCTTCGTCTTGGCTTCATTTTTGAAAAAAAAAAAAAAAAAGATAAAACAGTCTCACTAGGATTGGGTACCTGTTAAATCGATACATCGGTGCTGAGCAAGTTTACTAATATATGTATGGCTCTATACAGACGTGTCACGATTGGCTATAACAAAATATCCCGAGAAAAAAGCAACCTTGGTAACCACGAAGATCAACTAAATCAACTGATAGTCCGCTCTGTAGACCATTTGATATGTATACGCCCTCGCATTCACATTCACCCAGCCATCACAAAGGTTTCCTGGTTGAGTTGGGTCGCCTCATAGAAATCATCACAGTCTTGGTATTCATGGCCGACCAGCCTGAGGTTGAATCGCCAATGTAAGTAGCCAATCCACCGGCATCGTTTCTTTTTTAACCTTTTTTTTTTACCGTTGCCACTTCGCAGAGGAACACTGGCCCCGTTGGAAATGCGGAGAGAGTGGATCCAGGAATTAAGCCCAGGGCTACAAGGCTCAAAGGGGTGGGGAAGAACGCCCTGTTTGGATTGGATTGGTCTATCGGAACCACAAACAGGTGTGTGATAACAAGGAAAAATTCACTTACGCATGGAGCATCACTACCTCTTGCGTTCCCCTCGCCGTCTCGGGCCAGGAGACGAGCGGGGGCATTTGGAGGGGATCATGACGTAGTGGGCCGCTTGGCCGTCCGAGTCCTGGTCGGCCCTGGGCAGAAGCACAGAAGAGCCAGTCGGTTGGGCGGAGCCACTCAACGGATGATCCATGGTCTCCTGATCATGTGAAGTCCGCCTTTTCCTTCTTTCACTTCCTCTCGAATCCACTTTCATTGTTCACCATGCCTCCATTTCGCAATCTTCTTGGCCGCAAGGCCCAGCCTAGTGGTGCAGATGCCGACGGCTTCGACGAGAACCATTTATCACCCAATTCGCGCCCGGCTCCAATCACGATGCGCCAGAGCTGTGACGACCAACGGCCCCCAGAGTATCAATTAAGTGGTATGACCAGGCCTATCTGAGTGGTTCTGATGCGACTACCGTATTTATCAATGGGACTCGTCACTAATTGACTACATGCGGACAGTCGTCAATGACAGCGGCGTCTATCTTCCGGTATGCCATTGGCCTCTGCGATTGAAGCGCTCCCGACTCGACTAGTTCCCCCCCTCTAATCGTTGATAGCCCTCTCCTCCCGAAAAGCAGAGCTTCTGGCACCGGTATCCCGGCTCAACACGATCATCAAACCATCACCGTGACCTGGTCGATGAGAATGAGCCTTTCTCAATATCTCGCGAGTCCTTCGACTCCTACCGGCGCTCATTTGTATGTACCACGCAGATTTGCCTGCAATTGCACCCAGCATAACTCTGAATGCCTATGCTAACCCGGCGCAGGACATCTCCGCCCGTTCCCCAGTGATACACCCCGATGCCGCCCCCTCCCGAAGCTCATTCGACTCCCGCTTCTCCCGCATCAACTCCCCCACCATGCAATGCAGCAGCCGCGATAGGCCCAATCCTACAGAAGACGACGCCTTTGAGGACGTCGGGCTGAATGATGAGACCAAACCCAAGAAGAAGGGCCTCTTCGCCCGCTTTGGTGATTCCTCGAACGACGGGCATCAGCCTGGCTCCAAGTCGTCCACCTCCTTTGGGTTCCACATTCCTGGCAGGAAGCGCGGCCAGAGCGGGGGAAGCTCGGAACTGAGCGCGATGAAGATGCCCTCTCCCGTCGTGATAGCGACTTCGGAGAGCGACAGTTAAAGTGTGTCCGCACGCATGCATGATGAGAAGTTGTCCATTTGATGAGGTTCTAATGTATCGGAAGCGGCGTTTCGGCTTAACTCTGTGTGATTATTGGGTTTCTCGCGCCATCTGTCATTTTTAATGGGTATTGTTTAAGGGAGCGCTCCTGATATAATGGAAGGTGCTCGTTTTATTCCATCAGCCAGATGACGCATTTCTTTTGCTTTCCTGGCTGGCATTCGTTTTGTACATTTTTCTTTGTCCTATCATTGATTTCAGACAGACCATAATACCTACTGGCCTGCGAGAACCGACTCCCGTTCCACGCAATTCGTTTAGAGATGATGGAAACACATTTGCAAAATGCATCCATTTACCGATCGCTCTATCTGGCTAGTACTCGTAATGACTTTTAGATATCCCCCCCACCCCTCCAAAAAAATAGAAAAGCATAATGCCGACTTGTAAATTGCTACATTACCCTGCCCGTTTATCCATCCGCGGGCCCTTATCGGTGCAAACCGTGCAAACAACCGGCAAAAAAACTTCCTCCGCCTGCGGCCAAAAAAATTATCTTCTAGAACCACGAGCCTCGACAGCTCGGAATTTCACACCTTATCTCGCCGGTACTTGATTCAGTGACGAAAAAACCAAGTCACTGTGACAGATCCAAATCATGGCTGGTGTAAAACGTCGCGTTGACAGCGCTGAGGACCGCAATGGAAAGCGGAGCAAGCAGCAGGGTTCCGCGCCTGTGAAGAAGTCCAAGTCCGCCGCCCCGGCGAAGAAGGGTGCTAAGCCCGCTAAGAGCGACAAGAAGCCCTCGAAGAAGCGGGTCCAGGAGGAATCCGAGGATGATGACGACTTTGATATCGACGATCTTTCGGATTCGGGCGATGACGATTTCGGTGCCCTTGACGACTCCCCCGAGGATGATGTGGATATGGAGGATGTGAGCGAAGAGGAGAGCGAGGCGGGTGTCAAGGAGAAGAAGAGCTCTAAGCCGGAGTCAAAGAACGGTCAATATCAGAAGGATACCGCTGAGGCGCCTAAGAGTATGTTTTGTCCGAGATCGCTCGTCCGCCTCCGTTGTATTGGGTATTTCGCTAACCGTGATTTGAATTTCCAGGCAACAATTCTCGCGAATCGCATATCAAGCAAAAAGCCCTCCAGCAGGAGCGCAAGGCAGCCAAGCCCAATGCCGATATTGTCGCCCGCTCGAAAAAGCTTTGGGAGCAACTGCGTCGCAAGTCCCATGTGCCGCTGGAGCAGAGGAAGAAGCTGGTCAAGGAGCTGTTCGAGATCGTCACTGGCCGCGTTCGGGATTTCGTGTTCAAGCACGACTCCGTGCGGGTTATCCAAACCGCGTTGAAGTACGGCAATTTGGAGCAGCGCAAGCAGATCGCGCATGAGTTGAAGGGCACCTACACCGAGCTGGCGCAAAGCCGCTATGCCAAGTTCCTTGTTGGAAAGTTGATTGTGCACGGCGATGCAGAGATCCGGGACTTGATAATCCCCGAGTTCTACGGCAATGTGAAGCGGCTCATCCGTCACCCCGAGGGCTCGTGGATCCTCGACGATATCTACCGCACCGTTGCGACTAAGGAGCAGCGACGACGGATTCTGCGTGAGTGGTACGGCCCGGAGTTCGTCATCTTCCAGGATGACAAGGAGACTTCCGACCTGCCCAAGATCCTCGAGGCCCACCCGGAGAAGCGGTCGTCCATCATGCGCTTCTTGCATGAGCTCATCAATCAGCTGGTTCAGAAGAAGACTACTGGTTTTACTCTGCTGCACGATGCCATGCTGCAGTACTTCCTCAGCACGAAGCCGGGTAGCAACGAGGCCAACGAGTTCCTCGAGCTGCTCAAGGGCGACGAGGAGGGCGATCTGGTCAAGAACTTGGCGTTCACTCAGTCCGGCGCGCGCCTGATGTCCCTAGCGCTAGCCTACGCCAATGCCAAGGACCGCAAGTTGCTTCTGCGTTTCTACCGCGATACGATTAAGGTGATGGCCGGCGACGCGAACGGCCACTTGGTCCTGTTGGCCGCCTACGAGGTGATTGATGACACAAAGCTGAGCGGCAAGTCCATCTTCTCCGAGCTCTTGAACCAGAATGAGACAGAGGAGGCCCGGAACGAGGAGTTGATCCTGCAGGTGAATGACCTGACGGCCCGTATCCCCGTGCTCTACCCCTTCGCCGGTGACCGGGTCAAATGGCTGCTGACCGACGCGGACCAAGAGATCCTCAAGGAGATCCGCGAGGTCCGCAAAGAAACTTCCAAGAAAGACCCCGAGGTCCGCCGCCAGGAGCTGGTCAAGGCTGCGTCGCCGACTCTGCTCGCACTGATCACCCAGCGTGCCGAGACTCTGCTGGAGACCACTTTTGGCTGCCAATTCATCGGCGAAGTCCTCATGGAAGCCGACGGGGACAAGACCGAGGCCCTTACGGCCGTGGCCAACGCCGCCAAGGTGGAGTCCGAGAAACGCGACTCAGCCGCCTTCGGCCGCCTGCTGAAGTCCCTGGTGCAGGGCGGCCGCTTCAACCCAGCCACCAAGACGGTGGAGAAGGTCTCGCCGGCGCTGAACTTCCACGACCTCCTGTACGAACAGATCAGTGGTGAGGTGATGGAGTGGGCGACCGGGCCGAACACCTTCGTCGTGGTGGCGCTGGCGGAGTCGGACGACTTCGCGCAGAAGAGCGCATTGCTGAAGACGCTCAAGAAGAACAAGAAGGCGCTGGAGCAGGCCTCGGCGTCGGGCAAGGGGGAGAAGAAGTCGGGCCCGGCGAGCAGCGGCGCGAAGCTGTTGCTCCAGAAGCTATGAGCTCCATGAAGTGATCAAGCATTTCCCCGGTTTTCTTTTTTTTTTTTTGCTGTGCCTCTTTTCTTTTCTTCTGTCCTCTTTGTAATAAAGAATCTTGTATCTATCTATTCCCGGAGTTATGAACCCCAAAAGCATACAACTGTTGTGTTTGTCGTGATTCTTTATTTCCCATTCCTCTACTATGTCTTACTCCTCCGCTCCCTCCTCCATCCTGGTCCGTCTGTAGTCCGTGACCGCGTCAATTTCCCAGCGGCGCATCTGAAATTGGCGTCTCCACCACGCGGTGGGTTCCCATGGATCGCAGCCGCGGATCTCAGGGGTTCGTTCCGCCCGATTGACCGGCCTGTCTGATTCAGCAGCTCTTGGAACCCCAGGAGTGAGACATGGATCCTTGCCTGCGATCGCACAGCGCCCTGGATCGGGCCGAGGGGGACTGGGAGCTCTGTCTTGTTCTGTACGTCCGTACCGTGTGAGGTCGACGGCGGTGGATCGACGCAGGACGAATGCCGTGGTCGATGTTCAGGAGGGGATCGTCCGAGTCGGTTCTAGACCTGCGGTTCGTCAGGTAATTAAACACCAGCCGAGCTCAACCCGCAACCCGCTCGAGCTTCTGCTTGGACGCTGCAGACCAACCCGACCGAGGCCTAACCAGTGCTGAAGAAGGATTCTTCTGGAGAGTTGGCCCCCTTTCAAGAGCTCAATTGGCCCCATTGAAGCCTTGATTCCAAGCCAACACGCCCACCAGCCAACCAGCCAGCAGCCTAGCAGCCAACAGTCGAGAATCGCATCCAAACTCCTCAAAAATCTCCGCAAGTGCTTCAGGGCCCCATCCCGAACGGGCAATGATCACGGCGCGCTAAGCCGCATCCACCGCGCCCGTTAGGGGTATCTTTTCCAGGCCAAAGACGGGCCATCCAACAGACTAAACCAGGATAAACAACAGCCGGCAAAGAGCCCGTGCAAACGGCATTGTCTCGTGCTTCTTCTCTCCTTTTACCCCCCTCCAACCCCCCCCCCCCCTCTATCCTCCATCCTCGAATTCTTTCCGACGAAAACCCCTTCCTGGATCTTCTAGGCCGAGGGCCTCCACCCCCCATGCCCTCCCTCACCCTGACCGACCCGGACATGATCCTGCCGTATGACGGCAGCGAACGCGAATCCCAGACGCCCTCCCCGCCCTCGCAGTTGGTCTACTTGACCAACCTGAATGCGCGCTACAATGCTGCCGACCCCCATGCCGGCTCGAGCGTGCCCGCGAGCCGCGCCAAGAAAAGTTTTTCGCGACACAACTGGCCGCACGAGGATGTGAATGCTCGCCGGCTGTCGGATATCGGGGAGGAGCTCTCGCCATCATACTTGGATGGGTTTGAGGGCGACCTGCCGACACCACGGTCCCAACAGACATCGGCTGCTCAATTGACCGTACCGGTGAAGAAAGACCAGGCGGGATGGAGTAGCTCCAACTCGACGGTCAGTGCAGGGAGCGGGCGCGCATCGCGAGAGGTCTCGCCGCCGACGGCGCGGGAGGCGCCCCCGAAACTGGCGGAGGAAGTCAACAAATCGAATGGTGGGACCGAGAATACAACCATGGGCAGCTTGCCGGCTAGTCATGTCATCGCGTCGGCGGCCAAGGGCAAAGGCCCTGGGGAAGAGTTCTCGTCGGCGATCCTAAGCAGTGAAGCGGAGCGAATTCTTGAGAATGCGAAAAAACGATTGACGGTACGTAGGAGGAGGGTCGGCGGAAAAATGTCCTCGCGACACATTCCAGAGAAAGAAGCTAACTTGGTTTGCACAGCTGATGGAAGGTAATTTGAACCGCGCGCGTTCGTCGGTTCGACTCACTCCCTCGCCCTCGCCCTCGGCCCCGGGGAATATCTCACCCATGGGCCTTCACCAGCCCGTCGGCGGCCTGTACAGGTCGATCTCACGGACGGACCGCAAGGGATCCGCGCTTCGACGACAATCGTTCCTGCCCTCACAGGATGCGTCGACCAAGCGCCATTCGCGCGTACATAGCGAGACGAACTTCCCGCCTGAATCGAGCCTCTCGACCGATACAAAGCAATTATCCCGCTCAGTCAGCGCCATGGGTTCCAGCAGCATCTCCAGCTTCCACAACGACGAACGGACCTTCCAATATGACCGGAGCCGGTCGTACTTGACTCATCGAGCATCTATATCCTCCATGAAACCGCCGCACTTGGAACTGGCTCAGTCATCCCACTCCAGGCAATCGCCTGCGCCTCTCGAGTCCCCAGTGGTGCTGGAATCTCCGGTATCCCAAGGGGGCAGCTCGTCAGAATCCCCACAGGGCCTTGGCATCTCTGCGGATGATGAATCGAAGTCCAATGGGGGCGACTTCAGCCCGGTCTACAGCTCGTATGGCCCTCCCAGCCGTGCTCAGTCTCAGCTGCAGGTCCGGGACCTTCAGTACCAGATGAAGGGGCTGCACATCAAAATCTCCTCGCTCAAAGTGCGGACACAGGAAGACAACCTCCGCCGCCGCAGCCTGCAAAGCCTCCGCACACCGAGTCCCCTGACGGCTGCGGATCCCTGGTATCAAAACGGCTTGGAAATTCGTGATGGCCGCAGTAGTCAAGGCTCTGCTCGACGGGATGGGAGCTCAGAGTACGCTCGAGAGACCCACTCTCGATCGTATGAGGATGCCCAGGCAAGAGATCGGCACGACTCGTATAATCCTGGGCGATCGGATGAGAGCCCCGGGGAGAAAAGCCCGAATACTCCAGAGGAGGCGTGGCAGCGTCAGGGAAAAGCTAGTTACCATGATGGGCGGCAGTCTGCCACAGACAGCATGTATGAAGACGCGGAAGAGGGCGACTATTTTGACGACGGTGAAATTGACCGAGAGGCGCTCGATGAGATCTTGCGGGAGCCACTGGATGCCGACCTGGCAACGCCTCACGAGGAGCGTGAAGATGCTTTCGACTACGAACATTTCATTCTCCACAGCGCTTTGGGTAATTATACGCAACAGCTCCGCCGGACCAGCATGAGCTCTCGTGGATCTGTCGAGACCACCCGCCCCACTCAGTCCGTTCGACACTCGCGCACCAACAGCTCCATGTCCGTCTCGACCCAGGCGACATTCGCCACTGCCACTGAGGGTGAGCCGATGCCGGACGATGCAGATGATATTCTGTACTGGGATCGTCGATTCAACCATGAACTCCGTCACCAGCACACGCACAATCAACACGTCAGCCCTCCCATCGGGACTGATCGCTCTCAAACTCCTCGTGGACCCCGACAAGACGGGACTGACACACCGGTGAATGTCCCGCAGTCCCCATCGCGAGTCATGGACCTGAGCGGTCGGTCTCCATCGAACGCTGGGTCTGCCACCCCGACATCTCTCGTCTCGTCCCTAGTTTCCACCGTGCGCGCCGCCTCGAGCCCTCACCCGGGTCCTGTGAGCCCAACATCGGGGGGCATTAACGATGACGATACTCAAATGCTGGAGCAGCTTTTTCAGAGCCTCGGCAATGTGTGCATGGATCTTCAGGCAATTACGACCTCCCCCGACCCCGATGTGAAGGCCGCTCGCGTTCTGCGGCGCCGTCTGGATGCAGCCCGGCGAGTCTTAGAAGGCGAGCTTGACGCTTGATTCTTCTTGACTCTTCTTGCTTTGGTTTCTTTCATTTTGCCATTCTAACATGATCCTCCTCGAATGATGCCACGATCCTTCCCATCTGGCGTCGGATTTCTTTCTGTATATGTCAACTTTTGGTCCCTCCCTTGGTTGTTGTCTTTCGTTCTTCTCTTCTCCCCGTGATACCCAATGTCTTTTCTCCCTTTCTAGAGGAATCTTCCGCCATTCATCCTGCATGGTTGATCCATGATCCATTGTAGCCTATAATTGCATATCCAAGTTCTAGCTGCAGCAGTTATCCATGTTTCCTTACCACGTGTATCCAGAAATTGACTCCAATGTGACTCTTTTTTTCAGTCTGTTGTATTCGCTTCATAAAAACATATCCCATAGACCATCGAGCTCTCTTTCTCGCAGCCAATAGCCTCGGCGTGAATCTATTAGTCAAATCCCACTTCGAGGCGGGACATACCTCCCCCTCCAGCCCCACCATTGTTGACGCGGCAAATGAGAGAGCACCCGAGCACCACGACGATCCCCCATCAGCGCGGAAAGCCCATGCGGGAAAGGCCTATGATGGAAGCTTCCATGGGCCTCCAATCCTTCGCAATCTTGTGCGACAGCTCCTCTTCCATATCGTAACGGGATTTCTATTGTGAGGAAGCCCGCCGCTCCCTCCTCTTCCCCTGACCCCGCGCTCCCCGGCTAATCCTAATCCAAGCGCCGATCCAGACGCGATAAGCAAGCTCCTCTCGTGCCTTTCTTTTCGTCCCGCCGTGTGGTGGGCTTCGCAGGTAAGTCCAAGTAAGGTGCACAATAACCCATTCCATGTGTCAGACTAGACTGCTGACCATGAGCCTCCGCCCTCCAGCGCCAAGAGAGAACTCACCAGACAGAAAAATAAGCGCGTGTTGAGGCGCGCGCGACAACACATCCCCGGCCCGGGCAGCATCCTAGAACGTGCCCGCGCAAAGAGAGAGTACTCTAATCGCCTGTCCTCTCCTCCACTCTCCTGTTGCCCGCGATGAGCAAGCTGCACGCTCCAGCTCGCCGCCTCCTCATCTTCCAGGAGGCGCGCAACCCGCAGAACGCGGCCGAGATCGTGTACCTGCCCGTCAACAAACTCGGCCTGCCGATCTGTGGCGACGGGCCCGAGCTCCCGTCTATTCTGGAGCTCCCGCTGCGCATTTTGAAGGTGTTTACGGAGATTTTCAATCAACCGAAGTACAAGGGATGGTAGGTCATTTTTATTTTGTTTTTCTTGTTCACTTGTCTTCGGTGGCTTTGGCTTTTGTCTCTGCTTCTGGCTCTGCTTCTGTCTCTGTGTTTCCGGGATCCATCCCGGTCTTGCTACTCAGGCTGTTTGATTCTCGCGCTGACTGGAAGCTTACAGGGCGGTTCTCTCTGCTGGACCGTACCATGACACGTCTGAGGAAGGCAAGTTCTATGCTGTCGTGCTGGAGCAAGTACCAATGCCGGGCTCGACACCTGTCTCGCAGGAAATGACAGGGACACCGTGACCCTCTTTCTGAGCTTGGGGGATATGCGCCAACAGGGTTGATTTTTTGTACAGTTCTTAATGTCTTGTGTTATTACCTGGGAGACCGGGATGTTGAATGGCCGTGAGGAGATGCTACCGCATGCATGGATTGCTGCTTGGTGTCCGCATTATGGAAGAAGCTCGCTGGAATTGTGGTTGCAATGTTGACATATGTGTCTCTTGCTCCCCTTTCCCCGACAGCGTGGCTTACTGGTGTATTTTGTAATGCTTAGATGTTGTCATGAATATACATGGAGCCATCCTGGTATCGGATGTCTACGAGATCTTACTACCATCCTGATCCTTCTGAAGCCTTCCCCTCCTGGCCCAGGCATGACTTTGTAGATATAAAAGGCAAGGTGATACATGTTGGCCCGTTACTCTATGACTCCAGAGCTGGTGATATCTGATCTTGATGGACATGCAGTGGTGGTATAAGACCTGTTTTGGGGAATGGTGTTGGGTGGGGTATGCTCGCACTCACAATGTACACACTCCATTACCTCCAGTGCGTCTATGGTAGGCCTCATTTACACCATCTCTAGGGCTGGGGGACCATCACAGGGCCTGTACTGCCCTCTGGGAGGCGGAGGGCCCGTTTGATGTCGTTGGGATTTCCTATTTAGGAACAGCCGCGCTAGCAGTAAGCGAGAGTGCCCGTTTGATGTCGCTGGGATTTCCTATTCGGGAAGGCACGAGGTCCTAGGCAGCGATGGTCCTATTGATATCCCATTGGGGAAGGCACATTCACCTCGCTGTCGCCCCCGTTTGGGAAATGAGGGCGCACGTGGGCCTTGCCCTCGAGGGTATAAATACCTCGCTCGATTTCTGCGAGCTCCCAACTCTTTCTTCCTTCTTCATCTCCCCATCTTCTGCCTGCTTGACTCCCTCTAATCCTCGTCGGTCTCCCATCCAACTTGACCTTGTCTGCCTCAGGCCTTCATCACCTTGTCTTACCTCATCCACTTTGACTTGCTTGAACCCTCATGGTCTCTGATGACTTGCTCCATCCTCGATGTCTTGTCATATCATTCATGATGACTTGCTCCATCCTTGATGACATGTGTCAACCTTCATGACCCTTCATGTCTTGTTCAACCTTGATGGACTTCATCCTTCATGGCCTTCATCCTTCATGGCCCTTCATGACTTGCTTCACCCTTCATGACTTGCTTCACCCTTCATGACTTGCTTCACCCTTCATGACTTGCTTCACCCTTCATGACTTGCTTCACCCTTCATGACTTGCTTCAACCTTTGTGACAACTTTCAATCCTTCTTCATTTGCACCAAATTCCATCCACGGATTGGCATGTGTTGAGATGTGAGACTTGCATGCCATTTGTGCCTTGGGTCGGCTGGGTGGGCTGAGAAGGCTGGGCCTTGTGGTTGTTGGGACTGTTGCTTGATATGCTGGGACTGTTTGCATGACCTCATCTTCCGTTCTCCTCTATTTTCTTCTCCGCTCTCCTTCGTCACGGTCATGACTTCAGAGGCACATATCTTGTTGCAGTGCCCGCCATTTGGCTGATTCACGGTCCCTTATGGACCGTTGTCCCTCGCAGTTGCGGATTTGCCGGCGTCGCTCGATATGCTTGGTACTGTCTGAATGACCTCATTTCCGCCCTCCCCCTTCTTCTACTCCGCTCTCCTTCGTCACGGTCACAGACAGATGCACATATTATGACGCGACAATATACCCGTCGCTGCTTGGTCAGCCTTTCTTGCCCCATCTGATTTATGGTCCCTGTGGCCTCTATTGTCCCTCGCGGTTGCGGATTTGCCGGCGTCGCTCGATATGCTTGGTACTGTCTGAATGACCTCATTTCCGCCCTCCCCCTCCTTCTACTCCGCTCTCCTTCGTCACGGTCACAGACAGATGCACATATTATGACGCGGCAATATACCGTCGCTGCTTGGTCAGCCGTCACTTGTGCTTTGGTGGGCAAGAGACACATGAGAACACATGCCAAACTGACAAGTCATGCATCAATCTGACCAAACTGTGTTTCTGTTTTCCAAATCCTCACTGGGACCGTCATGTCCATGTCTTACATGTCCATGCTCATTTCTCCTGTCCAATCTTTTCATTCTTCCACAATTTCCAAGTTGCCCAATTCTCCCTCACCTTGTTTTGGTGCATGACTTGTCTCTTCTCCTCAACAATCCACTTTCAAGTCACCTTTTCGGTCATCTTTCAAGTCACTTTTCAAGACACCTTCCAAGTCGTCCAAGGCCAAGTCATCTCCCAAGTCCAAGTCATCTCCCAAGTCCAAGTCATCTCCCAAGTCCAAGTCATCTCCCAAGTCCAAGTCATCTCCCAAGTCCAAGTCATCTCCCAAGTCCAAGTCATCTCCCAAGTCCAAGTCGCCCAAAATGTCGCAAATACTTCCATCAACAATGTCTTCGCCGCTCCGGATACCGAACTTCAATCCATCCTCCACCTCCTTCGACCTCCAATCGTCATTTGACCTCCAACCATCCTTTGGCCTCCAACCATTCTTCAAATTTTGAAGCCATCAATCTCCATGTCAGCCTCGACGCATGAGTATCCATTCAGTTTCTCGTCCCACCAAGCTGTCATCATCCCCAATCATTCCGAATTCCTTGATTCCCTGCCCGCCTGACAAAGCTGTCCTCCATCCAAAGAACCAATTATTGACTAAGTTGCCTGCTCAAGCCGCCCTTGACTCCTTTCAAACCTTTCAATATCTTGATCCTTGGCTACTGCCACTGTCTTCTCTTCTGAGCTGTTCACCCTGAGCCTCTTGACACATTGGTTTCCAATCACTGTCTCATATTGCCGCCACTCTCTACATTCAAAATGGTAAGTCCTACGCATTGTTGTCTGCCTCCTGGTCCCTGTTACCAACAATTGTTCTAGATTATCTTGATCTTTCCAAAAAAAAAAAAAAACTTCACACGGCCTGTTACATCATCAGACTCATCATATCTTCAACGAAGTTTATACAACGCTTTTGACCTACATCTTCATAGCCAACGCTTCATACTTTCATCGCCGATTCAGATCTTGCTGGTCAGGCCTCCACATTGCCGCATATCTGCGGCTTTCCTCATTTATCTCGGTGGCTATTCAGTCTTCAACAAGCTCTCATGGTTCTCGATCACAGTTCGTCACTCTGGATGATGACGTTTCTTGACAGGTTTTCAGGGCTTTCATGTTTTTATTCCCTCCATGTACTTTCCCCCTCTTGATGACAGTGTTTTCCTTTGGTGTTTGAAGAAGATACTTGGTGCTCATGTATACTCATTTTTCATGTACAATTGTCATGTATGGCTACCAAAATCATGATGGCTTTCAAACCCTCGCGCAGTGACATCCTCCTTTGTAGATAGCGTAGAATTCCGAATTGAGAGCCTTGTGTGCCGGATCGAGGTGTGGTTCCCTTAAGAACCTGCAAGTCATGCCAACCATGGCCTCTCGATGTCTTTCAAAGCAGATCAAACGGTCTGTTCAGGGAAGTCTGGATCGCTCCAAGCCTCATTGTAGCTCTAAAGTGAACTTGACAGGACTGCACATGGCCTTTTTCCTTTGACCAGTCCGCAAGTCCCAGCATCCAACACGACGGCTTGAAATCCAACAACAGCAAGAGCACGATCTGATGGGGCTACAAAACAGGGATTAAGATGTTTCGATGCACATTTTGAACCCATAACTTCACCAATAACCAATGGTGAGACATTCAATATTTGCGCGACGAGAATTACAATTTCAGGAAATGTTGCTTTGGGGCGCCCTTGAAGGCTTTCGTGAGCCTGGAGACTGTCCAGAGTATGACAATGCTGCGATGTGAGCCTGATCAAGTAGAGGGCTATGAGCTCATCGCATTATACTCCGTTGATGATCGGTCCAAGTTCCTCGGAGCCCTCGGTAAGGGAGGGCTGGGTTCTGGTCTGTGATCCCTTCGCAAGGGCTCGGGCATCGAGTGGTATGAGAACTGGTCACAACCAGTTGAGTACCATATATGGTATGTGTACCAGCTATAAGAGGTCCTGGCGTATGGAATGTTTGTCCTTGAGCGATCCGGAATCCAACCCCGGGGGGGGCTTTCCTGACGGCAGTATAAGTTAAGCTCCGCATTCAAGCTTCCTGCATCCAGGCTGGCTCTGTCGTCGATACTCTTGGCCTGAAGCAGTGAAAACGAAGGCCAAACAGGTTTTTTTTAAGCCGCGAGAAATACAGCCGCTCAGCATGTGCGAGTGCTGCGGGAAGTGAAAGGTATATTCGGCGCCTTATGCTCTCGGTGTGGCTATCAAATCATGAGGCTCAAGAAAAGGCACAGATAGAGGCGAATGCTATCATCAGCGTTTGGAACAAGTTACAGTGCTAAGGTTGGTGTATTAGCTATAACCGATACATTCAAAACGGTGGCGGGCTCGAGAGCAACATCTTGCAACGTGGTCCTTCAAACTCGAAACGCCGACTGGATTTTGAGTCAGTGTCTCGCTTTGCATGATGTATTAGCAGATGTACGAGAAGAGGGGGTGGAGGGCATTGTTCCCAAACCTTGGTTTCCAAAAACGTAAGTTTCTCTGATACCCTGTGAACTTCCGAAAATTTTATTCCTAAGATCGTGCGTGGCTTTGCTCCTGACTGAACTGTTGCCTCCTGGAATGCACGTATTTTCCCGCAAATCTACATTTCTAGACAACCTTGCTCTTTCTCCCCCTATCAGAAAACCAGCAGCATCTATTATCGCCAGTGTTCCTTTCGGTAGGTTCATTCTCTATGTAGACGGCTTCTAGACACCACTGCCACCGCAGGCAATGTGACATTCTGACGCCCGGTCGAGTATACTCATATCCCATATGTACGGATCTACTTCTGCCTCTACCAACCTAAGGAGGGGAGAAGGGCACGCACGGAAAAGGCCCTGCAGCAAAGAATATTAAGACATCCAGCCTAGCAGATTTCAAACCAAGCAAAGCTAGTAAATAGTAGAAGGGAGAGAGAGGAAAAAAAAAAAAAAAAAAAAAAAAAGAAACCGCGAGCCTGGGCGATGAGCCCCCTCCAAACCCCACAACACCAACAGATCATCAAGACAACCCAGTCAAATAAGCACAAGGCCACAAGGACTTGAACGGCCACAAGAAATAGTAATAAAGAAGAAGAAAAAAAAAATTGAGAGTCAAAACCAAAAATTTTCCCCCGCCCTACTCTTGTGGGCCCCCCCCCACCCCCCACCCCCCTTCATGATCCCCCCGTTCCTCCTGGATGCAGTTTCCCTTCACATCATCATACAAGATATCGATAGCCGTGACACACAGACAGGCGAAGTGGGGAGGGAAAAAAGAACGTCAAGGCGACAAAAGATGGACTAATAACAGGATAGAAAAGGTTACCTAGGCCTAGGCAGCGGAAGGCTGCAGGAGACGAGCGCTATGGCAGAGGTCTAGAGAGCGCGAGTCGGTGGGGTCGAAGAGGGCGTTGGCGCGCTCTTCCAGGTAGAAGGGGGAGACCTGGATCATGTCGAACCAACGCATAGCATTCTCGTCGCTGCCGTCAACGGCCTTGAGGGTGCCGTTATCCGGGCGAATGGTGGTCTTGGGAGGCAGGCTGCGCATGCGCAGGAGCATGTGCAAAATGTCGGCGAAGCGTTCAGACTGGTTGAAGTAGTAGGGGGGCCGCTTGTCCAGGGGCCAGCGCTGGGCGAAGCTCTCGTTGTCCCAGGAGCGGAAGAGCCAGCAGGTGCGCTCGACGCAGTTGAGCAGGACGATGGCGACGAGGAATGTCTCAAACCAGCCGGTCTTTTGGCGCTGCAGCAGTCGGCGCTCCAGATCATTAATCACAGATTTGCTAAGCTGCATGGCGCGTTTTTCCATAGCAGCACGCAGTTGGCTGCCGAGCAGGTTGTAGGACTCGTGATCAGTGACTTCGTCGATAGGAAGACGGCCCTCGTCGGAGGGCTGGGAGAGGGAGTGCATGGAAGTTGGGGGAAGGGTCGGGTTGCAGAAAGTCTTCCAGTTGAGTTCAGTGTCGACCAAGATGTGAGTGGCAACCCAGAGGTCCACAGCGCGCTCGAGGAGAGTGTCTTTCTTCGTCTGGCTGAGCTCCGAGGCCAGCTGCAGTGTAGGCTTCATGAAGGGAGATGTCTCGCGCTCGATGAAGAATGCACCGGTTTTCTTGATATAAAGCTCCAGCTTTGTTGGGATGTCATCGGCATCGCTATCGAGGAGGTAGATTTCTTGCGGGGGACCGGAGAACTGGTCATCGCCCAAACCTTGGAGCTGGGGGTCAAGCGCGGAGACGGAAGCACGGTGGCCTTGGAGACCGCTGATAGTCACGTAGACCATGCTCTCCTCCATATGGGTCACCTCAATGCGACCAGCATAGTGCTCAAACTTAATTTGATTTCGGATTGCGTTGGTGTCGTGGTAAGCCAATGTGGCGTGCAGATCTTCAGACCGTTAGCATCAAATCCAAAAACAGGTGGGACAAGATCAACATACTGGCATTATACAATTCGAACTCCTCAGACAAACGAGTCCGGATACAAGGGTGCTTCCAGAGACGAGCGCTCTCAACACTGGCGCAAGTCGTACAAGGAGTATCACCAGAGCACTGGACGCTGTTAGCGAAGACTGACCACCCAAAGAAAAAAAAAAAAGTAATAAGAGAGCAGGGACGGGAAAAACGAGGGACATACGTACCGGCTTTTTCAACATTCGACAACGGATACACGCGCCGCGCTTCCGAACCTCCTGGACCTCACGGCGTCGCTCGGGGGTGAAGCGCCCGCGCACCTTGGGCTTGGCCGGCTTGGTCGAGTTGCCAAATTCGTTCACGAAGCCCTTCGCTTGCGTGTTGGGGTTCATAGCAATCGGGCGCGGAAAGGAGGCCGCCCGCTGCGTGGCGGCTGTCAACGACGGGTCATGCTCTTGCAAGCTATCAAACAGGAGTTGTTCGTGCGTGGAAAGCTGCTGGTTCCACTGGCTCATCTTCAATCCATCAGCACCGAGCTCGCCGTCCATTGTCAGCCCTTGTGGCACCATCTCATTGGCAGAGGCAGCGATCATGGACAACTGCGACTGGCGCGCATTGGAGGTCGGCTCGGGCGTCAAAGAACCATCGCCAAGAGGAGGGGACATGGAGGTATGGTGGTCGGAGGTGTGGCTCGGGAGAGCAGGAATGGTCGGGGTGCTCGAGGCCTGAGGGGTTCCTGGATCATGAAATGTGTTAGCTACAGATGGGGTTCTTCGCCCAGCGATTTCCCGCGGAGCTTTCGACTGACCCTGAGCATTTGCGCCGTCTTCCTGCTTCTCATCGCCGTGCTGAGATCCCTGAACAGTAAACTCTGCCTCAAGAGCCGGGTCCACGACGACGGTCTTCCCACCAGCGGTCACCGACTGTGTGTACGCGGGGCCTCGCTTTGTGGTGTCTGACGCACCCACCTGGCGGGACGCCTCCGCCAGGACGTTGAGGCCGTCGAAGTTCGGGCGATTCGGAAACGAGCCATCGCCCGCTTTCCCCTTAGCCCCGGCCGCGCTCGGGTCCTTGCTTGCATCGCCTTCAGTGAGGTCGGGGAGTTCGTGGAGGCGCAGAAGCACGCGCTGGCGGTCGCGTAGCGGGATGGCCTGACATTTCTTGACGAGGTGATTGGTGAGGCTGTCAATGCGACCCTTGGGGAACTTTTCGCCACAGGCCTTGCAGGTGTGCTGGTAGCGATTGCTGGAGTCCTCGAGCTTGGGCCCTCGGATGAAGAACTCGAGGATGAGCTGGTTGGGCTTGCGACCCATTTTTGCAACAGACTCAAGGGGTGTGGAGGGGTTTGTGGGCTCAGGGGATGGTCGAGCAGGCAAGAAAATTCGTCAACGCGTTCACTTCCAAGAGCACTCCAATAAGGCCAATTGTCGTTGTCGACTCGATCACGTCGTCCACGTTGGAGCAGGGCCAGACGCGATCAGCTGGACCACAAACAGAGCCGACACGCGAAGCGCAAGCTGGCAGGGCAAAATTGCGGACAGCACAGCAGACCAGCAGCCGTGGCGAGATCACCACGGAGGACCAGGTTCGAGGGGAGATCCAGGCAGAGCCCGAGTCGACCGAGGTTCACACACGATCGAGTCTTCGAAAGCAAATGTCTTGATGTGCGGCAAAACTGGGGGGGCAGTAGAGGGCGGTCTGGAAGTCACAGGGGGGAAGAACGCGATGAGGCTTCACCGCACGAAAGGCGGTGATGGCACGAAAAGGCGGTGATGAGGGACGAAGGCGGTGATGGTGGACCCCCAGGTTGAAGGGAAGGCGGTGATGGACGAAGTATGGAAGGGAGGAGGGGGATCGATGATGATGAGGGGATGAAGATGGGCTTTTCCAGCGCGGATTTGGAGTGGGGAAATCTATCGGGAGGAAGGAAGAAGGTTGAGGTCACCTTTGCACGAAATCTCTTCAGCAACCAGCGAAGTATGCAGCTTTTTGTGCCATTTGACTTTTGGCTCCTCTGCCCACCACACCGTGCAGCAAGGCTAGCTGGTCGACTCCGGCGCGATTCCTTTTACAATGGATTGCTACGTTTCTGGGACAGATCCAGACATTCATGATTAATTATTTGAACCCCTGAGGAAGTGCATTTGGGATGGATGCGAGACGACTCGCTGCCGCGCTGAAATTGAGCCCGGGCGAATTCAACCGGGATGACTCTGCCCCCGACTCACGACCAGAGCCGTCATGTAGCCTTCGTTTAGCCTTCGTTTAGATATGATATAGTCCACGCAGCCCAATCTAGCAAGTCCGTTCCTCAGCAGGTCGCCAGGGTACTCCGAGAACCGCAAAGATCCGGCGTTCATTATGGCCCTCGACGAGTCGGCCCGGATTGACCTTAACGCGCGCCGAATCGCGCAGCACACATTGAAACAGGCCGTGCTGATTGAGACACATGCCCTTTTTGCGCGCCAGCAGTCGCATACTCCGATTAAATATATCGTTCCCGGTGAAATATAGCAGCGCGGCCCCAAACTCCGCGCCCGGCACATACAGCAGATCGATGCGACGCCATACATCCGTCCCGGGGAGGGCAGACGCACCGTGCCATTTGGATCCATCCCCCGTCCGGCGCGAGGTTGCCAGACTGGCTCGCAGAAACCCATCCTGGAACAGCCGCGGCACCACCACATCCACGACCAGCGTACGGATCTGCTCCAGCGTCGCGTCTGGCTTCGTGATGAGCAGGTCGATGTCGCCCGAGGACGAAGCCCCGCGGCGGTAAGAGCCGGCGATGATCACCTGCATGTCCCTGTCCACCGCCTGGACCGCGTGTCGCACAATCGCCCCGTGGGATTCGACCTCCTTGCGCGGGATCCGTTGTGCAAAGTCGTGGTGACGCTCCACGCCGATGCGTTGGCTCTTGGTCAGAGGCGCCCGCTCCCGCAAATCGTCGAGCGACCGGTACCCTTGCGCCACCCACTTGGACGCCTGGACAAGCCCTGCACCGTAGACGCCCAGGAACTCCTGGATAATACGCTCTTCTTCCTGGTCATTGATATTGTCCAGGCGGCGGAGGCGGTCGGTCAGGACAATTTCTTCGATCTTGTCAGCCAGTCGCGCGCCCACGCCAGAAATAGACAAGGCTTCGGCGCGTGTCATTATACGTTTACTTTGTCGGCGCAACGCATTGATCGCTTTCCGATAAGCGAGTGTGCGCCAAGGGTCCGCGGTCCGTGTATAGTAGTCCAGCATCTGTTGGAGAATCTGGATGGTCCTGCTGTTTGGGTTGTCCCGTTTTGCACCGGGGTCAAACTTTTGCATGCACGCAAAGCTTCGAGCCCAGGAATCCCTGGCTGAGGGGTGTGCTGGAGACGTGTCCTGTGTGATTCGATCTGGGCCGGGTGTTTCTAATGGTTCGGGCTCTTCCTCGGACTCCTCTGCAGACTCCTCGTCGGGGGAGTCGATCGGATCGAGAGGCTGAGTAAATCACCAACGGTTAGCAACCGCCTTCATTGATTCCACCCCCTATGGTCTTCATGGATCTCACCAAGTGCTGCACAGCTCTAGCTTGATCAATAAGATCATCAAGCACATCACGATCACGCCTCTCCGTTTCACTCCCGCCTTCTTGAAAAGATTCCCTGGTGGCCGGTTCCAAAGCAGCTGGGACCACCGTCGTACCTGTAATACCTGAATTACTCTGCTGAGAGGACTCCGGCGTCTGTTTCACCTCACGCCGTGAAGGCTTCAAAACCAAAGATTCCACCTCACACGACTCAACAGGAGCCACGGGCCCGACATGCTTAGAGACCACCGGCGACCCCTCTACACGGAATCGCCCCTGTAAAGGGCTCAGCACTGAGCGGAATCTAATGCAGTCTGATATATACACCCCGTTCACCAGAGCGACGTTTTCCTGAAGGGGCGGAAGAGGCCAATATAATTAGCAGAGTCTCTCGCCAAGCGTTCTACGGACCCTGAGGCCGAGAATCGAAGCTCAAGAACTTACCGGAAGTGACGCGAGCTTGAGGAACTTGAGAAGGTCTTGATAACCGAGGCCTTTCTCAACAATCACATGTGTGATATTGGCTGCCCACTCAGTCGCCCAGTGGGCGCCATATTCCCGCGCCCGCTGGATGCGCAGACGGCGCGAGGGAGAAATGACATTGTTCGGGAAGAAGACTGGGAAGGGCAGTTAGCGGAGAGGTCCCGGGGAGGAATATAGCACCATCAGCCATGGGATGGCGGGTCGTGCAGTGTGTGTGTGTGTGTATGTGTGTGTCGTACAGAACACTAATTCTTTGAAGATCCGCTGCTCCTCCGGTACGGCCGGGGAGATGTCGGTAGTGGATTTCCTCTTCTTTCCAGCAGGCGGATCGCTGGATTTCGCACCTGCTCCGGGCATGGTTCCGGTTGTCAGAGCGCGTTTGATCGGTCTCATGTTCGGGTCGGATGGATGCATGGGCGTTCGCCTGGGGTTGTCTTGGGCTTTATATGCGTCCTGCGATAGTTCTGTCTCTGTATACGAGGGCCCAGGCTCGGTTTGCGCACGAGCAAGCATGACCCGATGAGCACGTGGCGAGTCACTGGTCAGATCCAGAATCTCGGGGTGTTTTGCGGCCGTGAGCAGATCCTCCAGGGAGTCCGAGTCTTCCTCGGAGACTGATGACTCGTCCAGATGGTCTAATTGCTCCAGGGCTTCGAAGAAGCTCATCTTGCTGCTTCGCCCTGCCATCATGGGCTGGCTAGTCAGGGATCCGGCGGAGAGTGGGACACTTGGGCCATAGATGGGGCCACCATAGTTGCCTGGGGAGCGAAGGGCGGGACGTGAGGATGACGGGATCACTTTGTAGGCAGCACGGCGACCCTGCAGTTGTCCGGTGGACGAGGACGGGGCAGCCACGGTTGAGGCGCCCGTGGAAACGCGGGAAAGTCGCGCGGGCATCGCGAAAACGCCGCCAGGTCACGGGATCTAGGGCTCATTTGACCGAATCTGGAATTTGGCGTCAGCAATCTAAACTCCCGACTCGATTGTCCCGTCTTGTCTTCTAGGAAATGCAAATTAGAAGGGACATGGAGAGCTACAGACTGTTTGGCCGCGCGTGCATTGTGCGTTCTATGTTGTTCTGAAAGAGACATGGATACAAATGTATACATATATATACAACAGCGACAGCAGTCCCCCTCGTTCATAATAACTTTTTTGAGTCAAGCCCATACACGTATGTAGTCAAGATCGTGAGGTCTTGCCCATACCTGTACCCCTGCGCGGCTTGTCACCTTCGTATTCAGCTTGCAATCCCCCAACATGATAGGGCAATTGCTCGAACCCGTGTAAGACCTGTCTCCCACCCGTCGCCCGCATTCTCCAATCACGCAAAATGGGCAATGGCCGACATGATGACATTGAGCGTATTTCCAGAGGGGTTGCCTTTCCTTGTGTGTGCAGTTCTATCGCGGTTGGTCTCGTTCTCGCGGCGGACTATGTGGCCCGTCTTTGTGGCTGAGGAGGGGATGGAAGATTCTCGTCTTATGTACTGGGCAGGTCATCGCAGGGCGGATGGAGTCGATGATGACTCGAGCGCGGAGAGGAGATAGGAACGGTTCGGCCGGGATTGACAGGAAGGCCGCAGAGTGAGATGTGTGATTTGAGGGCCAGAGGCAAGATGAATCATCGCTGGGATGCACACTGGCGATGCCGCAGAGACCTTGGTGCCAGTCGCTGTTCTGGGTAGTGGCAGGTTCAAGGCCCAGAGATGTCGACGACAATAATCTCGGGATCGAAGAAAAGGAAAAGAAATATTTGCACATTAGAAAACAGGCGGAGCGAGGACGTCGCCGCTTGTATGTCTTGCAAACCGGGCCCCGCAGACCACGGGGAGACGAATACTACCTACACCGGAGCAGAAGACGCGGAGGCTGCGCAGCGATGGAAAAAAAAAAAAAAAAAAAAGAAAAAAAAATCAAATATAGAAAAGGTCAATATAGACGAGTAAGAAATGCAGACGATGCTGATTATGTCGGAGTGCGAGGGTCGAGCTGTCTTGCAGGGGCCCGAGTGAATAAGATAAGATATGAGCGCTGTCGTTGGAGGAAGGGAGAGCCGGGCAACATAAGCAACAAAAATTCAGGACCGGGAACTACCGCCTCCCGTGCTCTAAGAATCTCAATCAACCCATGGATGGGGGAGGGGAAATCGAATCATGGCCGAGGGGAGGAAAGAGGAGAAGACAGGAAGCGAAGAGGAAAAGAGAAGACCAAACTGATAAAGGAATAGAACGCCCTTGCTATGAAATTTTCCTTTCTCAATCTCCTTGTCTGGAATGCGTGTATACGAAGCCAAAGAAAAAAGAACGCAAACGACCAAGCGGAGAGGGTATGACAAGGGCCAAGAACAAGAGAGGGCACGGAGAGAACAGACATACACGCTGCAGATGAGAGAATGCAAAAACAGAGAGCCTATACAGGAAGAAACCAGGATTCAAGACACCAAAAACAAACAAAGACAGACCCAGGGAATCGGGCTGCTTGTACATCATTAACGCCAATGTCACGGTCACATTCCCAGTCCCTCATGGTGGGTGATTTCCTGGTTAGGATCCTGCTCGCGCGCCCACTTGGACATGGATTGATTGAGCGTGTACTGCAGGTTCTCAAGTCGGGTTTGGAACGTATCCAGACGGTTCCACTCCGGGCCGTGGACCATCTGGGCGGAAGTATTGGCTGGATGCCGGGCATCTTGGGGGTGCAGATTTGAGACGGGAATGGCCGGCGGACCAGGCGCAGGGGATGCTGGAGACACCCGGGACACCGGGGACACCTGGGACACCTGGGACACCTGGGATGGACCCGGCGCTGCAGGCGGGCCGGCGGTGGCGACTGGAGAGGCTGGATGGCCCGAGTGTGTCACCGGGTGGGCGTGCATGAGATGTTCTGGTGGGTGATAAGTGCGACGGGGTGGCGGATTGGAGTGCATGCCCATCGGGTACGAGGGCTGGTCGTCATCCATGACGAGGTCGGGGATGTTGTCTATTTGGTTCGAATCTGGGATGACCATGAGCATCTTCACGGAGCGGCTTTTTTTGACTGCACCTTCGTGCGAGATCTCGATCGGCGTCAGAAGCTGATACATACCATATGTGAGTGGATACGCCGACGTCTCCCGGGTTGGAGAGTGCATGTCCGAGGGCGAAACCGGCGTGGCAGCGGAGTGCTCTTCTGGTTCAGGCGTATAGCAAGTCATGTCGGATGGCGTGGCTAGGAAGATCATGCGTTAGATGGTCAAATGGTAAATCTCGACACAGCCTCCGCCACTGCGACGCCCTGTATAAAGAGGGATCTATATCGACGGGACGAGGCAGAAAAACCATAAACCACTTTCCCCACCGCCTCTCTCTCTCTCTCTCTCTCTCTCTCTCTCTCTCTCTGTCTCTCGATATTGTATATATAAAGAAAAAAAAAAAACAAGAGAATTGACTTACAGGGCTCTGGACTCGCCCGTGGACTCGGCCGTTCCGACTCCTTACCCTGATCCCAGGTCGTGCCATAGCGACGGACAAACCGAGCAATGCGTTTCGGGTCGACCTGCTGGCCATTCACCCGGAAGGCCGTCTGCTTGCCACGGGCTGCCCGTTTCTCTTGCTTGCGGATCATCAGCTGGACTTCCTTGGCCTTGATGTTCTTGCGAACATGCCATGCCGCCAGCCGGTCTTTATATTGTTTTTCCCTGCCGAAAGAGGGAAAGTTAGGGCCATTTGTTCAGTGGTGTCTGCCTGGGCAAGCTCGGATCAATGCAGGGGAGGAACGCGAGGGGACCAGAGGGGGGGGGGGGCGCGGTTAGCAGCGCATCCATCGACCACATCAACCAGCCGCCTACCCAAGCGTGGAGCAGATATTTGCAGTCTTGCAACCACGGATCCGTTAAATGGGATGATGAGGGTGCTAACACGGGAACAGAACCAAACACCAAAGAGAAGGGTCAAGGAATCAATAAAAAAGAAAAAGAAAAAGGGAGGGTGTACGAGGCATAAAAATTGTAGTCTTTTTCCATAATGCGTTTGACGTCCCGTAGTTTCAACTGGTCGTTGCGGTAGAGCTGCTCGATGATCTCGCGGAAGTCGTGCCAGTCTTCAGATCGGCGGGGCCGGAAAATGCTCGAATGGGATCCAGCCGATGGCGATTGAGGCGAAAGCGCCATGGATGACGGGGGTGGATAAGGGTCCATGACGAGAGCCAAGCCGATTGAGGGACGAGAAGAAGGAAGAGGAGGGGAGAGGAGGAGGAGGAGGAGGAGGAGGAAGAGCGAGCGAGCGAGAGAGAAAGAGAAAAAGAAAGAGAAGAAAGAGAGAAATAGAGAGGAGAGGAAGAGGTCTTTTTTGTTATACGAAACAGCCGAGGAAAGAGGAGCAGAGCTAAAGAGAACGAGAACTAAAAAAGATCCCCGGAGAGGAGGGGGAAGGAAGTATAGACGAGAAGGGTCGAGGAAGAGAGAGACTTGGTTGGCTGGTGAGGGCGGCAATGATCAGGTATGGCAGCATCGACACATTGAGCGAGTCAAGAACATTCGAGGATTCGACAATGCGCGGAATCCCGTCGAGTCGAGGAACCGAGTCCAATCCTGCCAGCTCAATGTGAGGTGTTATGTGAGATGTGAGATGATGACCCTCAGACCGAAGGAGACCGCAGTAGAAGGGAAACGGGAACCCGCACGGGACCCAACGATGATATAGGAACCGACGAAGAAGAGGGGTGGGGGGGGGAGAAGGGAAGGGAAGGGAAGGGCAGCTTCAAGGAAAAAAGAGCGAGAGAAAAATTAATAATAATAATAAAAGAAAATGCCATAAATCAAAAACCACACCCGCCAAAAGAGGGCAACAGGGACAGCCAATAACCCGGACTCAGCAGAGACCCAGAAGACCCGGGAAATCGGGACCGGATGAGAATTATGAGAATTAAGAGAATTATGAGAATCATAGGCCCAGCGAAAGGAGGAGAAAGAATGCGATCACCAGGCAACTTGTCAGGTCTCCGATCAGAAACCGAGGCCAAGGAATCTCTCGACTGCTCTTTGCGGCGACCTGCGGCGCGCGGACGCACGACCCCCTGCTTCCCCGGCCAAATCAGCGCCGGCCTGCAGCGACGGCTCCATCGGCCTGCAGCGCTTGTCAGTGTCATGATCGCCAACGGTGACGGTCCATCATACTGGAGACGATCTCCAGCGCTCTCCCCCCCCCAACGAGACGGACGGGCTCGTTCCCGGGCGCGAGAGAAGCGAGAAGACCGCAGCGAGCGAAAAGCGACAACAGAGAACCCGAAACAACAATCAAAAAAAAACAGAGATACGCAGAGAGGGGAGAGGACCCAGCTAAAGCTAAACTTCTAGATATTGGACATTAGGGAGCGAGCGTTAAAAGTGGAGATTGGAGGGGGCCAGCGGGCCAAGAGAGAGCGCGCGCGCGAGAAAGACGGAGAGCGAGCGAGCGAGAGAGAGAGAGAGCGCGCGCGCAGGACAGGGGGGGGAGGGCGCGGCCCAAAAGAGAAGGAGTTCGGGAGTCGCAGCACCAGGGCGAACAAGGGTTGGAAACAATAGGACTCCGGACGGCGTCTCATATCTTGTCTTTGCGCTCTTCGACGCGACAGGGGACTAGGGTCGAGGGACAAGGAAGAAGGCACAAGAGAGAGAGAGAGAGAGAGAGAGAGAGAGATTCAAGGGACTCCACGCGCAGACGGTGTAGTTCCTCGATGCTTCGATGCGGATGCCTCCTCGTCTGGCAGGAGTCGCGTATACTTCCCGCAATCTGTCGGCGGCGGCTCCCCGTCCATCCCCGACCTGGCCTTCCGTGCTTGATCATGGATGAGAGATTCTGATCCCCAGGATCAGAATCCGTTTCCCGTGTCCAACGTCCGAGACCCCGAAGCCTGCGCCGTCCGCGAGAAAATACAGTATCCGCCGAAAAAGCAACGACAGACAACTCAAGCAAATCAACCCAGCACCGCGCACAACGCACAGGGCACGAGCAAAAGCACAAGGGAACGCGCCCCGAGTGGAGACCGGGAATCGGGTACTTTTGCTCGGGCCTAATGTACAGCCCAACCGAACTATTACATGCAGTGCACTGGCCGCAAATTGGATGCATTTTCCGTTGCCTTTGAATTGTTTCGGAGTCCCACTCTTTTCCTCGTTCTCTCTCCACCCGCGCTGGGCGACCGGCGGTGGTGCGTTAATCAGTGCGGTCCTCTAGTCGGCCATGCCGCCATTCGGGCCATGCGGTCATTGGGGGGCGTGGGGGGTGCGAGGGGTGCTCAACATCCAGAGATGCCATCCGCATTGGGAGCTTCGATCTCGGTCGGCTCGTTGAAAAGGTCTGGTTTCTTTGCAGGCGAGAGGGACTGACGCCTACCCATCCCCCTCGTGTGGGCCCAATGAGCGTGCGCACTGGCCGTATTTGACTTTGGTGGCACGTTCGTGCCTGCGATCGACTGGGGGTCTTGCGATCTATACCACGAACGGTAAGTCCTGGGGGGGGGGGAAGGGGAGGGACCGCGCGCCCGGACAAATCAGCACCTGCATTGGCGAGACTGAGTCCTGGGTCCTGAGGAATAACGCAAGCTACGAAAGTCCCAAAATCTCTACGGGCGATTGGAGATGGGAAAATGGGTAGAACAGCTCGACGGATCTCCAGCCGACCTCCAATATCTCCCCTCTTTCCCCCCCCCCCCCCCCCTCTCCTAATGATGCGCGCTTCCCTCTCGCCGGCGTGCCCGGGGACTCCCGCAAAGGTTCCAGGGTTGGGGTGCTGCTCACCGGGAGCGGCCCGAAACCTCCAGCTCTTTTTGTTTTTGTGGTTGCGTCCCGCCGACCCTTGGCCCGACCCGAGGCTCTGGATCCTGTTCAAGATACTTTGGAAACATTGTAACAATACCCTGCACGGAGGTGTTTTTGTTTTGTTCGAGCCCACTGGAGTTTCTGCGCGATTTGCTTTTTTTGGTCTCTCTCTCTCTCTCTCTCTCTCTTTTTTTTTTTTTTTTTTTTTTTTTTCTTTTGTCCATCCTCGTTTATACCAGTTTCCATTTTCTATTCCATTTTTATTTCTCTATTTTAAATTTTATGTATATATAGTACATATATATATATATATATTTTTTTTTATTTTATTTTATTTTTTTCCAATTTGCCTCCCCCCCCCCCCGCCCCTTCGCTTGCGGGAAGTGCATCCTCGTGTAGACGCAAGGGTGGGACAGCCGTTGGAACATGCCTCGCCGTTGAGAGACAAAGTGTCATCCCCATGCCTAGATCGTGCGGCAAAGAAGGGGGAGGGGAATGGCAATGCGGAACAGTTCACGAGCGAGAGCTGTTGGGGGGAGGGGGGTCAAGCCTAAAAAAAATACAAATACAAATACAAATAAAAATACAAATAAAAAAAAAAAAAAAAAAAAAAAACAAGGAAGAAAGAAATGAACATCCCCGAACCCGATGGACACTGCTTGGGAAGCTCGATATCTCATTTCGCACTATGTACTTCATCCTCCGTACAGAGTACGTTTCTGTACGTTCTCAGCTACTGACCTTGTATGGCCGGATCGACCTCCCGATACATGTATACTTCGTCCGCCAGGGACCGCCTCACTAGTATGAATAGGCCCAGGACAGCACGATTGAGGGATGAGATGAATATATATAAAAAGAAAAAACAAAAACAAAAAAAAGGGCAGCCCACCGTCACGATGGCAGCGGGAGCATCAAGGGGGAAGCTGGAGAGAGGGCCTCCCCCGACACGAAAGGATTCACGCAGGCTGGGAATCCCCGCCCTCCCCACGCGCACATTCTTTGCGCTTTGGTCCCTTGGTCGGGTTGACCATTCTCGGTCAGGTTGGCCACAGTGGCCAACCTTTGTTCTACTTGATTTCTTTTTTTGGGTGGGCCGTAACTCAGGCCTCCAAGACCCGCGTCAGGTGCGCGAACGCTGGCCCGGTCAGTCGGGTCGACGAACAGCTCGAGGGCCCCGGGGATCGGGACCGGACGGGCAATTGGGAGGAAAGGGGAGAATCTGAGAGAGGAGACAGCAATGAATCAAAGCCCGAAGCCCCAATCATTGTACCTCAAGAGCTTGTCCGGATACCCGGAGCCAGGGGAAAGAGGAAGAGAGAGAGACAGGGAAAGAGAGAAAGACAAAGAGAGGGAGAGGAAGAGGAACAGGGGAGAAGGAAGAGGCTCTTACTCATGCTAAACACGCATCACTAACGAGCAGTAATATTCCTAATATTCCATATATGTCTGATGTTCCTGATGTTCCTGGTCTGGTAAGAGTCGAGGTACGAAGTACGTAATACGTGGATTGAAGGTCCAGTCTACTTCCTAGACGGACATCGCCTCAGCTGGGGATACCAACTGGGGTACCAGCCAGGTACCTCGGGACCCCATGAAGGGCGCGGACAGAAGTACGACGAAAAAAAAAAAGAAACAGAAACAGAAACAAAAGCAACAAGAGACAACAGTTGTTCGACGAAAACGGAGTCGACGAGAAAGTACCTCGAGGGGGAGGCGCGGGGAGTGGGTTATTCATGTACATCGATGAACATCGATGGACCTGGCTGGACAAGCAATGGAAGAGGCCAAGCGGCCCAGTAATGAAGGGGGGAACGGCCCTGGCCCCGTTGAGAGCGAAGGCTAGAACGCCCAGACACAAGGACAAAAGCACCGAAGGACCGAGACCCTTTCCGATCGAATCAGACCCTAGACCTCCCAACAGACTTTCGATCCGTGTGTCAGGTGGCAAGGCATCGAGAGCTGCATGGATCGACGCGGTCGGGGAGGACAATCCGAGTCCCCGCTGAAGATGAGGAGGCGAGCCAGAGGCTCGACAAGGTACTCCGTGCGCGGATGGGGCCATTTCCTCGTACTTTCCCACCCCCCGTGGCTGTCAGCGCTTTTCTTTTTCCGGCCATAAACCGCTTGCACCCCCTCTCTTTCCTCCCTCCTTTCCTTTCCTTCCCCCCCCCTTTTTTAGTGGCGAGAAATGAGGCCAGCACAAGTACGGCATGAGTGGAGCGACAGCCGGGCGCCCGTCCCTACTACTGTACGTGCATGCTTCGGGGGGACGCTCGCGCTCGAACGGGCATCGATCTGAACGTTCGATGGCCCAAAATGCGGGGCCGCGTGAGCCAGTGCTTTTGTCCTGACGGGGGGAGGGCTAATTTCGTTGGGGTTCCTGGTCTTTGGGGCATTCGTTGGCAGCTTCTTATTGCTGGGTACGATAATGGGCACGGAACGGGACGAGACCAAGTGGGCGCGCGGGAACGCGGCCTACTCCTCTCAACCCACTCAGGAGTGGAGAGCAACGACCGACAGTCACGGAAGGAGACACAAAGACGGACTTTTCCGCGTGGAGCAGGGTCCACACCGTTCAATGCCCAGACGCCGGACGAAATCCGGAGATATGTGCCGCGGCCATGGTCATAGGCCCACGGACCACCGTTCACCGGCTCGGATCGCATGCAGGTACTAGGATGTAGCGCGCAGACCGGATCAGAAGTAAATCGTGGCGAATGTTACAGCGATGCCGCAATAGCGTATTGAAGGGGGAACTCCCTGAGCCCTCGGAGGGTCGAGAGAGGCAGGCTGAATAGAAATGGAACGGCTTCCGCGGCCCACGAGCCAGTGTGCTGCATGGCCCCGGCAGATGACAGGAAGGCAAGATTGGCAGTTATGCCTTGTCGATCGAAGAGTTGGGACAGCTAGCCAATGGGGCTCGGCAGGTTGGTGAGACGCATGTCGTGCCAGGGTGTGACCAGACATACTTCTCACAAAAGTACGGAAGCGATAAAACTGCCCAAGCCCCCCTCTTCTCCGTCGTGGAGTTGACGATTGATGCCCATGGGGTCGTGTTCAGGGCCAGTGGTTCCATGCGAGTGTAAAGAAAAATAACAAAAGAAAGAAAGGCATCGGACTGAGGAATGATGGGCAAACATCCACACCGCCGGTTTCTTTCTTCACGAGCCAGGATCACTTCGCACCGTCAGAGGCATCAGTTGCTGCAGCAGGCAAGCGGGAATCTCTTTCTTAGGGTCGATTCCTGGCGGGGCTGGCTGATGCCTGTCGGGTCTGCTCAGCAGCAGCGACGGCGGCGGCGACAGCAGCTGAGTTGCTCGAGCCTGCACCCGCAACATTACTCGCGTGCGCAAGCAGAAACTTGCAGCATGTTAGGGTATACTTGCACGCACGGGTCCATGTTTCATCATTCTGGTTAAAGCCAAGCTTGATACTGGCATCCCCGATCCGATCCCGATTAATCTCATAGGGTAGTCTTAGCCCTGGTGCGGTGGCGCTAGTCTGACCGCGACGGGGCGATGCCACCGGGGCTGGGGTGGACTCAACGAACTGTCCGAGCTGGCGCAGGCAGTCCAGGAACGCCACCATGCCAGCATCAAACCGACGGTGCAGCCAGGGGAGATTGAGCGGGAGATCCCCCGACGAAAAGAGATCCAGCTGGGTGACTCTGGACGCGCCACGTTCCGTGACAGCTGTCCCGGCAGCCTGCGGCGGATACTCAATCTTATCGACCCGTGAGGTAGAACCAAGAGGCCGCAATCGGTATCCCTGAAATTGGAAGCCCAGACGCTCTGCAATCGTAGCCAGAAGCAGACAGGTTTGTCCCCAGGCAGCATTGATCTCCGGCCACTCGACCGAAGGGTTGGCCAACCGACCCAGACGTAGCCCGTTGATTGTACCAAAATATCCATCATGACCAATGCAAAACGCGTCATTGTAGACATTGGTTCGTTGCAGCCGCTCCAGCTGCAGCGAGTCGTGGTCGTAACGCATGTTCAACGCATCCCGCTCAGTTTGAAATTCTGCCAGTGTCAAGGCAAAACCGTTCCGGGCCCGCCAGAACGCCTCCTCATTCGCATCTAGCCGTTGGGATTCTTCCTCCAACACAGCGACTTCCTCGTCGAGAGCGGCCTTTTCTTTCTCCAATTTTTCAAGTTCAGCATACATTGTCTCCTCCCCTTTGAGACTCTCTTGGAGGGATTGTTCGGCCGCCTCAAGCTCTTCAGAGGTTGGAATGGAGGCATTCAAATCTCTCAGAAAAGAGATATATGCATCCCTTTCCTTCGTCGATCCAGCAAGCCGCTTCTGCAACCCATCCACCAACAGCTCGGTACAATCTACACAAATAGGATGGTCGATGTCTGACCGCGATGACACGATCTCGAATAATTGAGCCGATTTCTCGATCTGTTGAGCAAAAGATCCATCCTCCTGAGTGGTATCCTGGCCCGGTGTGCTTTTTCGCCGAGAACTGGGTAGGTTGGAGCTTTCCACGGCCGGAGGAACAAATTGAGACTCTGTGAGCATCACGAAGGACATGTTTCCACTCTCGGCTCGGGGGTATCCCCGGCGGATGTGACTGGGTTCCCGACCGCGGTGGAGGGATAGACCTTCTGTAAACTGGCGGCGTAGCATGCTTAGACGTTCGGTCGTAAGGGTCACGTCGATCCGGGGGGTATGCAGCTCGCGCTGATGATGATGTAGCGCCATGTTCGGAGAGTGTTTTGCCCGTAGAGTCTAGACCAGAAGCTTGGATTAGCGATCAGCGTCCACCGAGCGCATGAGTTATTGCGAGCGCCTACTAATGAGCAAGTCAAATGCAGCAGGATTGAGGGCTTCAACCGAGCCATCTAGTTTTAGTGGCGTCCGACACTTCTGGCAATACATGGTGTTGAAGTTAGTTGGATCAGGTCATGGTTCGCGGGGACGTTGCGGTGTGGGGAGAGATGAGGTTTGGGGGGAAGCTTCGGCGGCAACGTCACGCCGTTTGTTTCTCAACAGTCGGTTTTCGACGGCGCACCTAGCCAACCCCGAAGCTTCTCCCAGGTCCATTGTGCTTGCACTCTCGAAGCAAAGCCTGGCGATTTATACACGCTGTCTTTATCTATTTTCTTCGCTAAGGGATGCTTCACCGAACCTTGCGCTGCTGGCCCTCGTCCCGTCGCGTTTTACGCGTATTCCGAGCCGCACTTCAACCCGCGTCTCCAGATAGCTCAGCGACCGAACGGCACGGCGCAGACGTCGCTTGCAGACGTCGCTTTGGATGCTAACATGGATGACATCATGGAACGACCTACGAAGCGCCCGCGTCTCTCGTTACCTCCAGGTTCGCCCGAGGAAACATCCGAGTGGGATTTACAAACAGCGCGCACCCAGAACGACCTCCGGCTTAAGTCCATCTTCGAGGGCATTTTTTCCAAATACGGCAACGACTTTACAGAAGTGGGCGATGAGATTGATCTGGAGACGGGAGAGATTGTCGTCAATAATGGGCATTTGCAGGGTCTTTTGGAAGAGAATAGCCCGCAAGACAACACGCCGTCATGGCTCTTCGGGACCGATCTCTCCAAACCCGAGTCTGACATCGCCCAAGATGAAGCACAGGATGGCGTGCAGGATGAACTTAAAGATTCCCAGTACGATCCCTCAACAGTCCATCCCAGGAACGAGCTGTCGGGATTTAGCACCGACGGCGACACAAGCGTGGATTCACTTTTAGACACTGCTTTGGCGTTTGACACCAAGACGGGGATCCCAAGATCCAATCCCACGGGATCCAAAGATCAATATGCACTTGATCCACCGGAGAAAGATCCTGGTCCAACAGATCCTCTTTGGCAGGCGCCTGAATTACCCTCACTGTTTTCAACGCCGACGGCAGAACGCCGCAGAAATGTCGTTCAGACCCCACGGCTTCCACACATCACCAGAGAAGTTTCTCCACCTGGATCCGGATCTCTCTGGACAGTCCCGCGACGAGGTCGACCACGTAAAGATGGGCAACAAAAAGCGACCCCGTCGCCGAGTAAATCCCGGTCTCGGGCGAAGCGCAAGCCTCATTCCAGCCCTGCGGCGCGCGACTGGTCTTTTGCTAAAGTTACCGATGGCGACGAATCAGACGATCCGCTACAGGAGGACTTCCCCTCATATACCCCTTCGCGATCACAGGGCACGGAGAAGAAATTCCACACCTCGCCTCAACTGAAACTAAATATTCGTGTTGAATCTAGATGCCAATCACCGAGCCCAGCGGACCCTGCTTTGCATGGCCAATCGGCTAGTGGACTTGGGCATGGACCTCGCATCCAGGGCCACCACTCGGAAGAAAGCCATGTTCAGAGTGAGGTGGCACCCAATGTTCGAAATTTCCAATGCGATTCACCTGCACCGCCTCACTGTGAGGGGAAATCCGACTCGCCACAAAAAAGTACATCTGCCAGATCTCGCGGCGGCGTCACGCCCGATGAAGCTAAGGTGATAGTATGCATGCGATATGTCCAGAAGAGGAAATGGAAAGATATCCTGGATTTTTTGCCAGGGCGCAAAATGCCACAGATTATACAATGGAACGCAATTCACTGGACCGATCGGCGTGCGAATCCGCCCGAGGTTTCAACTCCCTGGTCGGAGACTGAGCTGAACGTCCTGGATGCCCTGAAGGATCGGTCGGATCTCTCGTGGTCTAAAATCCAGACTGAACTGCCTGGTCGATCTCGGCGTGAAATTGAAATTGAATTGTTTCGTCTCTGGGTTGGAAATGATGTTTGGGGTGGTACAGAGCGAAATATACCTTCGAAATCTGAGGCAACGATCGAAAATAGGGAACAATCACAAAAGAACGATGCATCTAAATCTTCTGAATCTTCCGTCACGGCCGTGAAGGAGAAGCTCACAGTGATTGAACCTCTTGAAATCGAGCTTCTAACACCGAGAACAAAGCGGCGGCGTCAATTTGAAGATTTCCTGGAAGACGATGATGACGATGATCTTATTCTCATCAATGATGTATCGTCTCCCTCTAAAATGTCCGCAATTTGCCTCAATACTCCATCTCCCAGCCGATCTCGTTCAGCGACACCGAGGAGAGCCTCACCTGTCAAGCGTTTGAAGTTAGGAAATTGATGTTCAAGCGTACTAATCATGAACATAATATTGCTAAATAGGCTCTTGACATGTAAAATTCCATGTGTGATTGTCTCTTACTTTACATCTACTGAAAATCCTCATCCCGGGCATTAAGCACATCTTCCAACTTTGTATCAACGGCCCCACCGACATCACCAGCCTTGGCCCAGAATCGAGACAAGTGTCGCGAGCCAGAATCAGATAGCATCGTCACAATTCTATGCCCAGGGCCAAGCTTCTGCGCCGTCTTAACCGCAGCGAAACCTTGGAGAGAGCAGTGTCAGTTGGACCACACTGCATAGTAAAAGCGACCAAATAACTCACAGTTGACCGCGCTGCTACTGCCAATGAAAATACCATCCTTTTCAACAAGCCATCGAGCCATGGCTAGCGCCTGTGCGTCTGTCACACGCACTGCATCGTCAACCAGCTCTTTCCCAGCCTCGAAATTCGCCGTCACGCGATTAATGCCGATGCCTTCCACAATAGTATCGATCTGACGTCGTCGCCGCGTGCCCTCGCGCTCTTTGACATCGAACATAACGCCATAGACAACACGATTATATAGCCCGCTTCCCTGCGGATCAGCCAGGACAACCTTGATATTAGGAAGTAGTGGCTTCAGATACCGTGCCACACCAGAGATGGTACCACCGGTGCCAGCACCGGCAACAAACGCGTCAATATTCCCATCGCACTGCGCATACAACTCCGGACCAGTCCCATCGTAATGAGCGCGCCAGTTTGCCTCGTTCTCGAATTGGTCCGCAAAAAAGCCGCGGCCCCGGACCTTGCGCTCGTGGGTTTCTAGATGGCCTCCCTCGTCGGCCATGAAGGAGACTGATGTGGAGGCTGTGTGCGCATGTGCAAGTGATCGGGCACGATTAACGAAGTTATCCTTCTCAACAATTGGTGCTGGGGGCACGCGGTCGACAATTGCCCCGAGCTTGAGAAGTAAATTGGATTTTTCAATAGCCTGGTCCGAAGGCATGCAGCTGTAACAAGTGTGAGCCAGTGCAGTCGAATGGACATGAAAGGGAATAATACATATGGGCAAGATATCCCTTTGCTCGGGCAAGGCTCGCAAGCGAAATGCCGGTCGATCCTGATGTGCCTTCATAGATCGTATCACCGCTGTACGGCGTCAGGATTCCGTGTTCTTCGGCCTGACTAGAATTAGCATCGATATACTCGATAGCATAATTAGAGTGAATGTTCTTCCGCATACAATCTCAATCATACTCAGGGCTACTCGATCCTTCGAGCTCTGCCCGGCGCCATTTAAGAACTGAATCATACAGCTATTAGCATACTTCCTGCCCCTAGCGGTCCGGATTTCCTAACCTCGGCCTTGGCCAGGATTTCACATCCTGTTTCTTCTGAAAGTGACTTGATCCGAAAAAGTGGTGTATTTCCTATGCATCCTTGGATTCCTTCAACTATCGCCGGCGGGCCTGACCGCGCAACGAGTCCATCTGCTTGCGCGGTTGAGGGCGCTGAGTTTTCGCGCTGGCGCTGCGGATATAGCACCTCTCGACACACAAGAGCTAGACACACTCCGGCAATAAAAGCTGTACCAATATAGACCTGTGAGTGGTCAGACATTGTGCGCTATTTGATTTCCCGTTCTTCAATTAGAAGATGACCAAATATTCATCTGAAGATGGGATGAGAAGCTCGGACCACATTCATGTCCTTTCGGAAGATGAATGTTCAGGCCGATTTGGGAGCTAAAGGGGATTGTAGAGTAAAAACAAAAATAATTGAGCAATAACTAGGAACAAGAAAATATCCGTGTACAGACGACCGAAAGAACCGCCCAGTTGTTCATGACTCCATGAACCCATGAAAAAGATCGGATCAGTTGCTTCAGGCACGTGCTCTGATGCCTGAGGCCAAAAAATTAGAGCTCGCAACCCCATATCACCAACCACTGATCGCCAACCTGTGACCGTCCCTTTCGATCCAGGCACCATGGACTCGCGCGTCCTCAACCAGCTGTTCCGGCAGCTTTTTCGGCATCCCGCCTGCCAATCCTTGCGACGACCACCACCCTCGCTATCTCGACAAACCCGTACATTCCTCACCCGACGCACGCCCACGAAGCGCAAATCGCAGGACGATGGCATGCTCTGGACGAAACGGGGTGACTATTCCAGAAATATTGACGAGGAGTACTGGTCATATCCAACTGTGACGGCAAAAGATTTGCAAAATCGTCGAGAACGACCGCGTCAGGTGAAAATGCTGACGCGCGAGTTCATTGACGGTAAGTTTTGAGACGCTAGGAGCTTGCTGGTTTGGATTGAGAGCAGGATGTTGACATTACCAATACAGACAGCCTCTACAATCCCCACTACGGTTACTTTTCGAAGCACGCGACCATCTTCAGCCCCGGTGAGCCTTTCGACTTTAACACCATTGAAGACGGGCCCGCCTTCCACAGGCTGTTGGGTGAGCGATATACTGAATTTGAAGACCTCCTTGATGAGGTGAAGCCGGATATTGCGCGTCAGCTTTGGCATACTCCAACGGAATTGTTCCGGCCGTACTATGGCGAGACTATTGCGCGGTATCTCGTGTCTAATTACAAGCTTACCCTGTACCCCTACCACGACCTCATTATCTACGAAATGGGCGCTGGAAACGGCACAATGATGTTGAACATTTTGGATTTCATCCGTGATACGGATCATGAAGTGTACCAGCGTACCAAATTCAAGATCATCGAAATCTCGCCTGCATTGGCGGACCTGCAAACCAAAAACTTGATGCAAACGCTCCACGCCAAGGGACACCGGGACCGCGTAGAGATCATCAACCGCTCGATCTTCGACTGGGAAACCTACGTGCACTCCCCGTGTTTTTTCCTGGCGCTCGAAGTGTTTGACAATTTTGGTCACGACACTATCCGCTATAACTCACGAACCGAAATCCCGCAGCAAGGCGGAGTCCTCATCGACGCGGACGGCGAGTTCCACGAATACTACAACACCCAGTTGGACCCCGTTGCAGCTAGGTTTATCCGCGTACGTCAAGCGGCTGCACGACGTCAGTTCCCAAGTCCTCTCGGTTCCCGATTACTTCGTGGCCTTCGATCTGCGCCACCCTTCGGCAAAGAGTTCTCGTTACCTGAGTACATCCCTACCCGGCTTATGCAATTCTTCGACGTGCTGAACCAGTACTTCCCGGCGCACCGTCTTGTAGCAAGTGATTTCAGCTCATTGCCTGACGCAGTGCCCGGCTTGAATGCACCAGTGGTTCAAACTCGGTATCAGCGGCGGACGGTGCCAGTGACGACTCCTTTTGTAAGCTCCCCAAATGCCAAGTTTGAAAAGTTAAAATTAAAGAAAAGAAGAAGCTAATATTTTGTCCTCAGGTTCACCAGGGCTACTTTGATATCTTCTTCCCCACAGACTTCAACGTGATTGAGGATGTGTACCGAGCTGTCACGGGCAAATTGACACAGGTCATGAGCCATGAAGATTTCATGCACCGCTGGGCATATATCGAGGATACGGAGACACGGAATGGGGAGAATCCGTTATTGACCTGGTATAAGAATGCCAGCATGTTGATGACGGTGTAGATACGACTCGCATCAGAGCTGTGACATACTGTACACTATTTTCAAACTAGCTTGTCTTCTTCAAGCTGTTTTATGGATCAAATTCAAAAAGATCTTTGCATATTCACCTCCCAGCGGTTATATTGTGCTCTTATCAAACCCTCTTTTGTAGAAGCAGAGCAATATAGGAAGATTTTGGAGAATATCACCCGAAAGAAGTCCATTATCAAGAACCATTGTATCTCTGCGTTCTAATTTTCTAAGCGACTGCGATTTATTTGCCTTGTAATTAGTCTCTCCTAAAATTTGCTATCTCTTATTCAGCATCGAGGTGGTCAAAAATAGTAACTTCTATGGGTCCGCCCCCTACGCGCCCTTTCACTGCCATCAGCACAAACCACAGCGATATCTTCTTCAGATAAGCGATTTCAGAGAGCAAAAAAGTAATGAAAGCGAGAGCCTGGCGAGGGTCGAACTCGCAACCGCCAGATTAGCTAGATGTTGGTTAGCAAGCGTCCTATATGGTTGTGGGAGAGTGTGACCAACGAGTCTGGTGCCTTATCCAATTAGGCCACAGGCCCCAAGCGCCTGGTAGTTATCACAGGACCCATCTCTTATAATCATCAAAACTTCCATCTTTTCTGTGTCACATAGGCTCAAAATTCCCTGTGAGCAGAGCTATAGCCGGAAAAGGATCTCTATTGGAGGCTCGAAGACTGACGTGAAGGTGATGGCATCACGTTGGGCTATAGTATGTAGTATGGAGCGGATATATTAAGAATAACGCAGTGAGTTGTACAACTGAAAAACAGCAATACTTTTCTGATATATTTTAACTGTGATTACTGTTATATTCTAAAGTACTTGCGTCTTGTAGAGATATCTAAGGATGTGCGTTGGACGAATAGATGGCTTTCCATCACCCCGGTCTGCAGCACCTGACTGGCCGCACTGTCTCTAGTGACAGAACAGACCTATGTCAGTGGTTCGCCATCAACCTGCACAGCCAACTCATGCATGAACACGCCGACAGTCTTACTGATAACGCTTCTCCAGATTTTGTCAAGCTTAAATTCCCTGTGGGTGCCAGCGCTACCCGCTATCTTTCCCCCACTTTCTCATCGTAGACATCATGCCCGGGGTTATCCATTTTTTTGACACGAAGTTGGCTCGGGTGGTCAACATCTATTCAAATTTTCAAGACTCTGTCAAGATATACCATGATTTTGATTCAAGATGGCAGTCGCTCAATGCCCTTGCTCATGCAGTCTCCAAGCAACTGAAATCATGCTCGCCTGATGAAGAACAAACACTGAAAGTTAAATCAAGTCTCAAGAACTGTGCGACAACATTAAAGAACTTAAGCAAAATTCTGGATCAGTATCCCAGTCTTGAAACACAAAATCCCAAGTATCAAGACAAAGTCAAATTTGCGCGTGAGGACATTCAGTATTGGAGTTTGTGCCTCAAATCCAGCAAATCTGAGCTCAATTCTGCGCAGCGCATATTAGAAAGGTAAGTTCGTCTGCCAAAATCTTCGAAAGAGTGTGGACTGAACGAAATTCTCTTATCAGTTACTTAAATCCAGGAGTGGTAATAGATGAGCAGGAAACTCGGAAAATACCCAGCAAAGGAAGCAAAGCACCAAGGAGAAGACGGCGACGATCTTCGACAAAAGCCGAAACGCCAAGCTGAGCACCCGAAACCGTTAGCAAGACTGAAACTGATTCCCCAGAAGGTTTGACTGAGCAGGAAAAGTGCGGAGAAAACGGGTAGAATCTTTGGTATATCTCATGAATCTACTCCATCCGAAAACCAAATCCTCTTTCTACATAAATCAAGAGAAACCGAAGCGCTCTAAGAACCATTATCCTCATGTAAAGGGTCAATCTTGCAGCATGAAGGAATTTAGGATTTCGATACTCCAGTCGAAGACCTGCACTGAGTAGCAGCCGCATCCTCCCAACGGTAGAACATAGATCGTGTACTTTTAGAAAGCTCTAGATCCACGCGCAACCTTGAAAACTTTCGGTTTGTTTTCGCATATAGCAGGCTTGTGGAACTTAGCAACAAGTATTTATCAAAATTAGGCATGCTCTGTGGTTTTTTTGCAGCGAGCACACCCTGAGAAATTAAAACACAGGAAAATCAATGTTCAAAGAAATGTTGATGTGGCGCTGTTACTCCACTTCACGGAGTGGGTGTGCTACCAAGACACAAGGAACAACCTCCCTTTTCTTGGCGTAATTTCCCACCCAATGTGATATTCTAGTCATAAAATTCAAAGTTTACGGCTCAGAGGGCTCTGGCCATGTTCGGAACTGATCATTTAGGCAAGTGGAACTAGTACGCAAATACCCAGTAATGTCACACAGTGCACTTGACCTGGAGACTTTACTTTATCTAAACTGGGATTAGAGTGACCCACGCGTCGGAAGGACATGGTTGTCCGTGCACTACCGTAGCTTTTCCGGCTTTACACCCATTTCAAGATATATTTCCTTAGGAAGATTTAGCGGCTATCTTGGCGGGTTTCCGAAGTGAAGTAACATATTATCAACTTCTATCCCCTGAAGATACGAGACGAGATCACACATCATTCATCTCAGCAAAAACAATTGATTATTACACAATGGCTGCAACTCAAACCATCACAGTCCCCCATCTAGGCGGTATCAAGGCCGGATATGCCTTCGCAAAGGACCAATATGATCCCTCCAAGCCGACATGCGTACTCATCAATTCGATGTGCATGACTGTGTCTCTCTACCATGATCAGTTTAACAACCAGGCCCTAAATGATGCAATGAATCTCCTAGCCATTGAACCTTTAGGCCATGGCTCAACCAGCTCCCCCTCCGAGCATTTCACATACTGGGATTCAGCCCATATGGCCTTGCAGGTCATGGACCACTTTGGAATTCGGAAAGCGTTTGCTCTTGGCACGAGTCAGGGAGGGTGGATAGTAACTAGGATGGCCCTACTAGCCCCAGACAGGGTAAGTTCAAATTCACCTTCTGCTAATTAAATTTAGAATGGTATTGAGCTTACATGACGCTAGATTCTCGGTCTCATGCCCCTGGGAACCTCCATGGATTATGAGTCCCTGGATTCCCGGTCCAAGGGCTGTTGGGATCCCGCTACCAATCTCATGGCATTTTATGAGAAGTGGACGAGCCCTTCACCCACGCCTGACTTTGTTGTGGATGATGTCTGGTGTGGATTGGTCGGGGGGATTGGTTTTGGTGCTTCTGCGACCACCGAGAAATCTGCTTTCTGGACCCAGACCTTGAAGGAAGTATACAAGGGCGACGAGGGCCGAAAGAAGGTTCGAATGGCGCTCAACTGCCTACTAGAGAGAGATGGGCTCCTGCTCCGAATTGGGGATATCAAATGTCCTGTTCATTGGCTACAGGTGAGACTTATCTCTGACTTTCTTTGGGAATGATCTGTGAATTGACAATTATCAGGGAACCGAGGATGTTCCTTTTGGAACGATCGTCCCTGCAGAGCATGTTAAACGATTCACTTCCTCTGCGGATGCTAAACTTCAGATGATTGAAGGGGGTGCACATTATTTGAATGCAACCAACTCAAAAGAGGTGAATGACGCCCTTCTGGAGATGGTGACAAGGTACAGTCACTCCAATACTCTGTAGAGATTGGTTTATGAATTCCGGTGCATGAACCATGGTTCGACTCAATGTTTAATTCATTTAAAGTATTAACTGCCACTGGCGCCCGTTTCAGAGCCGTTATTGAAATTGAAATGAATAATAACCTACTCCATCACGATGATCGGGGTGATGCTTTCCACTCTTTCTCTTGCGCATTCCCATTTTTCACAAGTTCATGTCGTTCGGTGATCCAGGCCCCATATAGTCTAGCATGTTCAGGGAGAACTTTTCCAAAACAAGGTGGAGTCCAGACCATTGGACTCAACACATTCGAAGGGAAAATTTACCCACACAATGAGAAAAGGGGTGGGGATTTTGACTTCATGGAGGATTTGAATTTTCACCGTGGATTCTCCGAAAGCAAGTGGGGGGTCTCCTGAAAAAGGAAAGTTCACTACGCCACGCCATGTGGGCTATCCACATAGCGTTCAATTACTAGTCCCAACTTCTCAGTGTGGGTTGACAGCTGCGAACTAAGTTCACACCTGAGACGCCAAGCTTGTCAGTCATGTCAAAGTTTGATTTCTTGAACCTCTTGCTTCGCTAGCTAGTCATCCCGAGTTCATGCCATAATCCACAATAAAATACGGCCTAGAAGAGGTAATACTTATTCAACCAAATTACCATGTTAAGAGAACGTTTTTAGCGTAAGCATCTTGACATGAAGATCGGGGGCCGGAGAGCTCCAATTAAATTCGATGCCGGTAACACGGCATATGTTATAAATGATTGACATCCGCCCTTGCTGGGCCTAACTCACATTCGCCGCACGTTATGGAAAGTAGCCAGAGCAATCTGCAACCATGGACCATAGCTACCGTGGCCTCAGTCACGGTATTGGCATTTGTCACTGTTTGTCTTCGACTAATTGCACGTTTTGAACGGTCGCAAAAGCTATGGTGGGATGACTATATGATTGTCTTTTCTATGGTATGTGCAGTTTTCTCACCGGTGTCCCAACACTACAATTCCTGATTTCTGACAGCTTTCATAAGCTATGGAACTTTATTGTTGTTGGATTCATCTACGCGATGGTCCACGAGGGAATGGGACTGCATGCAGACACTATAGCAACCGAGAATGTGGTGATGATTGCAAAGTACCTTATTGTTGCTGAGGTTCTCTATGTTTTCAACCTCGTTTGGACCAAATTATCAATCTTGCTCATGTACTATCGAATCTTCCGCTTTCCCTACTTCAAGACATGGGCATACGTGATTGGAGGCTTTGTTATTATTTGGGTTATCTGTATTACTTTCCTCTTCATCTTCATTTGCGTTCCCGTTCAGAAGATATGGAATCCCCAGATCCCAGGAAGGTGCATCAACCAGGTTGGTACTTGGATTGCAAATGCCGTCTCAACGATCGCAACCGACATTGCGATTCTCCTGCTGCCGATTCCACAAGTGTGGAAGCTACAACTTCGAACTTCAGAAAAAATAGCTGTCTCCGTTGCCTTCAGTCTGGGGTTCTTGTAAGTTACCGTGTTTTTTGACTCGAAAAGTGTGTTCAGGTCTAATTTCAATAGCGTCGTCTTCACATCTGCATATCGTTTCTCGGTCCTCTTCAGCTACAGCTCACTTGACTCCTCCTATACTCTTGCTCCAACAGTTGGCTGGACCGCAATCGAGATGTCTGCAGGAATAATTTCGGCCAATCTCCCAACACTTCGCCCCGCTTTCCGGTTCATAACACGCAAGCTGGGCATTAATGGCAGCGCTATAGCTTTTTTCAGGAGTACAAACGGAACACGGACCAGGGGCACAAGTGGCGTCACCCAACCTTCAGAAACAGCGGAGAGTTCTGCTGCTATCACTCAGCTCTCAAAGCAAAAACGGCATTCCTTTTATCACTTACCAGATGATTCAGGATCTATGTCAGACCAGGCAAGAATGGAAGCTTCATTCAGGCCGGATTATGATCATGCGAAGACGTATACCAATGTGAAGGGCCAGCAGGTTGGTCACCAGTCTGATGATGATGAAATTCCCCTCTCTGAGATTAGAGTGGACAAAGAGTTTATTCAGACTGCTACTTCTTAAAAAAAAGTTCTTTTCACTTCGTTACATTTGTATAATATTGCCGGTAAGCACATTAAAAAAATTATTTCATTGTTGTTCTGTCTACGGACAGGAGGAACTGTTCAAGACCAAGGTTTTTGGAGATGAAAATTATATCCCAGCCTGCTCATCAGTCAATTCTAGGTTATTATATCTGCTTCTACTCCTGGGGGCGCCTTTCTCAATCTCACATGGCCTTTCTGGGACAGCAAAAGCTTATATGATCATACCCGTTGCACAGCATTGCTATGAAAGTCTGGCTCCGCTACGGTTTATATATAATTCTGGCTTGAGCAGGACCTTTATACAAGCAAAAAAAACCCAGAAGCTCCTGGGAAATATTAGAGCAAGCTCAATCTGTTGATAAAGAGCGGCAACTTATGGATGATGGCTCTTGTTTCCACGACAGATTTTCATAACCAATAGGATCAATTGATCAGCAGTAGGAGTTGTGCTTGAATAGAAAGCCTCTCACATTAAAGTCGAGCAGTCTCTTTTTGTACTAGTGGTTTATATTGTATTAATTTGGCTAGTTTTGAGTGAGCCGCGTAGTTTGTCAGCACTAGAAAATGTCGTGATTTTGCGAGTGAACAGGTTGCAACGCGTCTTCCTTCTCATATCCTCGCTAGATTGCTACTCAGTCACAAAAATGGAATCGATTCTATCTGCACATGAAATTGGGGAAGGACTTCCTGTTTTGATCATCCATGGATGGGAGATGGAGGGAAAAGCTGAGGAGCTGGACTTTGAGCCGATTTTCGGCAAAACACCGGGACTTCGCCGTATCTACGTGGACCTGCCAGGCATGGGCAAAACTCCTGCAAATAATGTCAAAGATCTAGATGATATATATCATCGCCTGGTGCAGTTCATTGATTCTCGACTTGGACGATCAAGGTTCTTACTTGTCGGCTCATCATGTGGCGGCTACCTTGCACGTGCAATAGCACAGAATTACATTGAGCAAGTCGATGGTTTATTATTGCGTGTCCCGCTCATTGAGCCAAGAGACAGCGTGCGCGATCTCGATGATTTTAAGCCTTTAGTTGCAGACGAACAGTTCATGTCGAGTATATCAGTCGAAGACAGATCTCTTCTTGGAAACGTTCTCGTTCAAACGCCGGCTTATGTTCAATCACTGAAGGCAAAATTCGAGGAGGTTTACCTTCCAGCAAAGAGAGCGGCAGAGAATAAAGTGTTAGATCCGATCCGAGCAGATCCAAATCGATATCGGTTATCTCATTCGTTGGATAGCGAACGTGCCAAGTTCTTTGCACCCACCCTTATTGTATGTGGTCGGCAAGACGAGAGCGTGGGCTATCGAGACAGTCTTCGCTTACTGGAGCTCTATCCACGATCAACCTATGTTGTTCTTGATCGTGGTACGCATGGCCTCCCTATCGACGAGATGAGTGTTTTTGAGGCTCTTGTTCATGATTGGGTAATCCGAGTTGAGGAATGGCGAGGTCGCACAGACAAATAAGAACCGTCCATATCAATGGTCTCGATGACACCTCACCTCAGTACCTAAAATACTAGAAATAAAGCAAGAGGTGGAAAGCGTGGTACTGGAGATCATGTAGATGGAATGGAGCTGCTCCTATGAGGAATAGCTATCATTGTGGGTATCAACAGTCTTCCTAGGACGATAGAATATAGGATGAGGCAAATGCTCAATGCGATTCGAATTTGATTCTTTGCGCAACTATGAGTATCATGTACAACTGGTGCCTTCAGATCCTCGAGATCCTATTTTATAGTTGCAGTCAGGTTACTTCTAGGTAATGAACAGCTCTTTAAAGCATAAACGATTAGCACAGCACGAATATGTTGATAACGGTAGAGGTTTAATGTATATTCTGAGCTTGGTTACTTCCGTGGGTACCTATTATCTGCTATCGGAAATCTTCCGGTCGACTCAGCCGTCTCGGCATTGTAACCCCTCACACTATGTCCGAGGGGTTGATAGGAGGGGTTCACAGCGGGTGAGTACAACCTCGGAATCTCAAGCTATCCCTTTAGCAGATTTAGCTTTTAATTCATACAACTATTCACTTCTTGAAACTGGTCGTACCTAGCCCAAACACATTTCTATAGAAGACCCTATAGACCCTGAGCCTCTCGCTTTGAACAATATTCACAATGACTATCGATGCTATTCCCCACTGGAAGCCCCACGTTCTGGAAAAACGTGCAGCTCAATATGATCTCATTCCACCAGAATGGCGACTTCCTATTTCAATCCTGGAGAATGCCCCCGCATCTAGTGTGGACCTCATTCGGAAGAGTGCCATTCTTTCCCCAAACGAGCTGGCTTGGACTAACACCACCGATATACGGGAACTAATTTCGCTGGTTGTCACGCAGACTGTGAGCAGTGAACAGCTAACAACAGCTTTTTGCAAACGCGCAGCCATTGCACAACAGGTGACAAAGTGTTTGACAGAAATATTCTTTGACAAGGCACTGGCTCGAGCCAGAGAATTGGATGAGCATTTACGTCGAACAGGAAATACTGTCGGGCCCTTGCATGGAGTCCCAGTATCTATTAAAGATCGCTTTGATGTGGAAGGCCTGGATACAACTGTTGGTAAGATACACCATGTCACCTTCATACATAGCTCTGCCTTGTTTTTCTGTATCTGAATATTAACATAATGTCTATCCAGGCTGGGTTGGTCTCGCCAATAAACCAGCAAAGTCTTCAAGCTCCATTGTGGAATTGCTGGAGTCCATGGGTGCTGTCTTATATGTTAAGACTAACGTCCCACAAGCCCTCATGGTAAAGATAACACAGCCCTTTTATACCTCTATCATCCTAACATTCTCAGATGTCTGACTCATATAACCATGTCTTTGGCCAATCTGTGAATTCATTTAACCACCAACTCATCTCTGGTGGCAGCTCTGGTGGCGAGGGTGCCCTTGTGGGCTGTGGAGGAAGCATCCTGGGAATCGGAACGGACATTGGTGGATCCATTCGTGTGCCATCAAACTTGCAAGGTCTATATTCGGTCTGCCCAACAACTGGGCGGGTACCATGGGACTGCTCTTTGTAAGTGATATTGCTCTTCTATGGGCTCTCTTCTTATTATCCCTTTGGTCATGCTTGAAGAAAGCTACGTTCTGTCTCGAAAGTCTGGGGGTAGGCAGGAAGATGATCTCAATTTAGACATTTCTTTTAGAGGATAAATTGAGAAGTATTTTTCAGACTTATCTTTAGGACGGAACATGAAATTCACTGATTCATGAGCTAACATGCCCTTCTCAGTCTGCACCAACACTATCTCGTACCCCCTGTGGCCGGGCCGATGGCATCCTCTCTCGCAACAGCAGAGTACTTTATGAAGCGCCTCCTTGCCTCAAGCCCATGGAACATCGACCCTGCAGCCATTCCTATTCCTTGGCGTAAAGAGCTTGCCACGCCACCTACAGACCGCAAGCTCCGGCTCGGTGTCGTTTTCGACGATGGCATTGTCAAGCCGCAACCACCCGTAGCGCGGGTGATGCAGCAGACTATCAAAGCACTACGAGACGCGGGCCACGAAGGTATGGCTGGGTGGTTGGTTGAATTCTTTCAAATAAATCCGGTCTAACATAAATATGAGCAGTAATCGAATGGGATACCACGCTCCATGGCCCTGCAACAAACCTTTGGACAAAAGCGGTCCTCTCTGATGGCGGACGCCATTGTCGCAAGCTATGTGAAATAATTGACGAACCTCTGATCGAAGGCATGGTCGTTGGGACAGAGAAAGACGCATTGGACTTCGACGAGAGAGAGAAGCTTGAGGGGCAGAAATATGCGCTACAGACAGTTTTTCTGAAACAATGGCTGAATGCTGGGATCGACGCCCTCCTTATGCCAGTCTTGCCGTGGGTTGGGTACCGGCCGAAGACGTGGGTAGAAAGTAAGCAGTGGCTGGGATATACGGCTATGTGGAATCTGCTAGACTATGCGGCCGTTACGGTTCCTGTTGGCCGCGCAGACCGAGAAATTGATGTTGTTGGGAGTGAAATTCACGGGGACTGGGAGGGACATGTGCCCAGGAATGAGTCTGACGCCTTTAATCATGGGCAATGTAAGTTGTCATTTCTATTCCGTTTATGCGTTTAGTGCACTGTGGCTCACACGAATTGTTTTTAATAACTCTGGACTTTGGTACTAATGGTTGGGCGATAGATGATATCGAGCTTGTACACGGTATGCCCATATGCATTCAGATCGTCGGTGGAAGGTTTGGAGAAGAAAAAGCCGTTGCAGTTGGAAAAGTGGTGGATGAGTTGATGAATCCTACTCCGTTTCATCCCTTCAAGTGAGTAGGTAAATGGATATACGGTGTAACTAGTATATAGTACAACACAAGAGATAGTATCTGAAGAGAAGATCATTCATATCTATTCAAAGGGCAATTAGATCGTGTCAGAGCCCTATAGATCTAAGGCTTGAGTACATGCAATCTCCATAGATAGATCAGTGGCAATAGCCAGGCATGTGTATGTAGCCAGGCCCTGCCGGTAAGCATTTCATGCAGAGAGATAAAAAAAGAGAGAAACAGAGAAGAAAGTAGCATGCCGATATATCGTAAACAATGCGACCCATGCACAAATATTGAAACCTAGATCCCGGGGAATCATAATTGTCCTAGAACTCAAACTCCTTGCGGAAGACGTTGACATCCATCCCCGCAACAACCTGATCCGCCAAATCCCGGCGGCCCATTTGGCTGAACACGCGGCGCAGCGTGTCGTACAGGTTCGTGCTCTGGTTCTGGCTGATGTGTAGCATCCGCTCGAGACGCTCGTCATCCAGACCATCCGGCCCACTGCCGCCGCCGATAATTTCGCGTGCGCGCTCGCGGCCTTCTTGCTCAACAACCCGGTGCATGGACAAGGCACCCAGAAGGTGTTGAGCGGCTTCTGGATAGCAACCGATGTTGATGCATGAGACGCCGAGGTTGTAACGGGCACGAACGAAATTAGGGTTGATGGTGAGTGCCTGCTCGTAGGCCTCGATGGCCTCTTCAGAGCGGCCCGAGTTGGCGAGGGTTGCGCCAAGACGGTTCCAGAGAAGGTGCAGCTGCTCACGTTGGTTGGTGCTGCCAGATTCCGTGGAGGCCAATGCGGCTGAGAAGCAGTCAACGGCCTTGTCATACTCTTCAGCGCAGTAGAAGAGTACACCGAGACCAACTTGCACATCCGGGTCCATCTGAGCACCGGAGGGGGAGAGTTGTGCAGCTTGGATGAAGAGTTCCGTCACACGGTCGTGCAAAAGTTGTCGGTCCGTGAAGCCGAGGTCTGCATCGCCAGAGATCTCATTCGGGTTGATGATCGAAGGGTACTTGTTCGACAACCAGCGCTCCAGGGTACGATAGGCAGTCGAATCATAGCCCTCGTTCGTATACGAAACGGCCAAGCCCATAAGGGCATCAAGATTACCGGCATCAATCTTGAGGGCCTGCTCCAGTGCCCTGATGGCAGGCAATTCCTTCTCGTTCTGTGCCTGGGCAGAACCTAGCATCGTCCAGGCCTGTACATGCTGTGGGTCCTTTTGAACCGCAGCTTCAAATGCCAGGGCAGCCAAGGACAGATTGCCACCCTCGCGCATAATCTTCACACCTTCTTCAAAGGGGTTATTCACCGATGAGTAGACGTTATCCTCTTCGAACATGTAGTCGCCCAGCTGCGGGTCCCGGAAGCGTGTATTGAGACTGTCGAAGCCCTCCCAGTCGCCCAAGTCACCCACATGCACACTGTCGGTCACCTCGAAATCGTCCTCCTCGGCCAATTTCCTGCTCGCTGCCGTCTCAGCCTGAATTCGTTCCCATACGGACTCGAAGGCATCATTGGAAGTGGGCACTGACCTGTCCAGCTCGTTCAGCTCCGCCTCCATTGCCGCATTTGCCTCGTCATCGATACGGGTCTCATTCCCGGCAGTCTCCATCTCGGCAAACTGTGCCTCCCAGTTCTCATCGTCCAACTCAACCATCCGGCCCTTGCCTTTGTCCTGGGTCTGTCCCTCCATGGGCTGCTGCATCATCGGCGATTGCATGCCCATCGGCCGCATCATGCCCATTCCGCCCATGCCACCCATATAGCCGCCCATGCCCATCGGCCGCTGATACCCCGACATAAGTGGCGGGGTCGCCGTTGTACCGGGGCTTGACGTCTGGGGCATACCCATACGATTCTGTTGCTGGAATCGCGCAAACTCGGCCGGCGTGAACCCAGACCCGTTATTCATCTGCGCCGCACCCGGAAACGCAGCCTCCATGCGCGCCTGTTCTCCCGCATCGAACTCCGCAGCCCACCCGGGCGACCCCGTCCGCTGCGGAGCGGACTGGAAATTCTCCAGCTCGCGACGCATGTGTTCCATAGCGAAGGGCTGCGGCGACGGTCCGGATATTTGTTGGCCTGGTTGCTGCATAAAATCGTCCATCATCTGCAAAAAGCGTGTGGGCGGGAACACCACCCTTGCGCAGTTAGTGGTCGAATGTCACTCATATCCGGGGGAAGTGGTCAGTGGTTACGCCTTTCCCGAGGAGGGGAAAGGGTAATCTGCAAGGGTATTATCCTCACGCACCTGATCCTGTCCGCCCATCATTCCCCGTGACCGCATACCTTCTTGCATGCCCGGGCCCCGGCCGACCAGCCGGTCTCGCTGGAGTGACTTGTCATCTTGGACGTGCTTGGTGAATTGCGTCAGAGGGTTTCCCGCCGTGGAGCATTCCGCGCCACCGAGAAACGACATGTCGAAGTGCTTGCCGAGAGACTGTCTATAGGGTACAAAAAACCGGTGTTGTGAGTCGGTAGAAATGTTCGAATCGACGACAAGGAGATATAAGAGGAGAGAGCAGTGCCCCGGATATTCGTTGAGACGTGGGGTTAAGATCGCTCACTAATGCGCTTTCCGCCAGCCGAGGTTCCCCGGTGGTCACGTGGACAATGCTATCACGGAAGTATGTTTTGTCGGGCTCATGGATCTCGTAGGGAGATGATCTATTATACAGTCTATACATGTGATACTATTGTACATTCAGTGGTAGGTAGCCACTCTACGGCTGCTTCTCCGTTTTGTGAATCCCCTGCTGAGTCTGCTGCAGCTGGTCCGACTCCACGTTCAATTCCGCTTCCCGCTCCACATCCTCCACCATCTTGCCCGCCTCCTGTGCTCGCCTCTCCCTCCGCGACCGCCGAACGTCTCTTTCCCGCTCGAGTTGACCCTGGTGCACAGGATCTAGCTGAGGCTCCATAAATCCAACCCGTCTCTTGTGTGTGAACTCAACGGTCAACTTTCGGCCGTAAGGCGCCTTGCGAGACAGAATCTCCTTGGCTCGCATAGCAGCTTCCGTATTGATGAATTCCGCATGGGCGAAGCCCCGCGGCATCCCCGAACGCCGGTCCACAGGGATTCGAATATCGGTCGTGAGGGTGACATCGCTAAAGAGATCTTGTAGGTCGCGATCCGTGAACTCGAATGGGATGCCTCCGATGAAGAGCACATCCGATGGAGGGTGGCTCCGCTTGCGATAGTCGATCTGGCTTCGAGCAAACTGCACAACAACTTGTCGGCCTTCAAGGACTTTGAGGTGCTGGTTTTTGACGGCGTTGGAGGCTTCTTCGACCGTGTTAAATTGGACGTAGCCGAATCTGTAGACGGTAATTTAGTCGTGTCCAGAAGGGGTTCAATGAAGTTGGTCCACGGAGAGGTTTCTCACCCTTTGCTAAGACCTCGATTATCATGGGTGATTATAGCATGCAAGACCGTGCCGAATTGTTCCATATGCGCTCGCAGGTCCTCGGCGGTAATGTCGTAGAAAAGGTTGCCCACATAGACGGTTTCATTAGCCGCTGCTGCGGTGACGGTCTGCTCATCCAGGAGCCTATGGCGTGTTTTCCGTTTCGATGGCTCATTATTCGATTGTTGGATGCTTTCTTCCTTCAAAATTGGGGTATTCTGCTCCTTTTGCTGCGGCGGCGGCGGCGCAAGGTCTTTATTCGAGTACCATCGGGTCTGAACAGCCGGACGATATGTGGTTTGGGAAGGGAGCGGGGAGATAGAGCAGGGAGTAACTGCGCATCGTGATATTGATCGTGTAACAATTATGCAGGTCGAAGGCAAGGAGGGGCTGGGAAGCCGCGATGAAGCTCGGCGCCAGCAATACCTGGAAATTAGGACAAGTCAGTGATGGTCTCAATGGAACGTGAAGATAGCACTGGAATCAGTAGCCCGTGAGCCTAGCCCGACCGGTAGCAGAGGTCTTACATATTTGTGGTATGGGTCTGTTCAAATGAATCCGGCCAGATGCATAGGCAAATAAAAAGAGAATTCGGCGACTTGGACGTCTGATCGACTTCAATCAACCTGACGCGATCAAAAAGTTCGGGGAGCGATAAGATCACGTGCATGTTATGCGCTAGTATGCTGACTAAGTTGGTGGTCCTGGGTCTTTGGGTAGTTAACTACAGTGAGCACCGGTGGTAATTATAATTCCGAATTTCTGGGTACGCGTGCTAATTTCTGGCTACGCATCCATGGGACCCGAACTACAGTAGTTCAAGTCGACGATCCCAGGATGGGAAATACGGTGCCGCAGCAGTGGGATCTGGCGGGAATCGATGCTGCGAGGAAGTTGTCGTTTTGAAGGGAGATGACTGGCGGAATTATCGCTTATAGATTGCGTTGTGCTTGATTATGATACCCATGAATATAGACGGGCATTTTTGGCACTGTGGTCGAACTACGATGCATCTACCTGACGAAAGACTTGTTCTCTCAGCAGAGTGGAGTTTTGTGTATTGGCATAATGCGAGGCCTATAGTACAAGCAGAATGAAGGCCCAATACTAATGTGAACCATCGCAATCTTCCCAGAAAGCAAAGTCGAAGCTTTTTCCAGAACGAGTCCCCGATCCACCCATCATAGTGCTTGTTCCTTAACCAATAACCCCATTATTTAAATTCTCGAGCAGAACAGACACGCTATAGGGTGTATCAAATCAATCCCAGTGGACTATAGAATAGAGTAAATCCCCGGTGGTGCAAATTTGCCTTTCACCTTAATCTCTTCCTCTCAAAAACACCAGGTGCATGATCCCATTGGAATCAAAAATCATCGCCCGGTCAATTGGAATTCAGAGAAGAACAAACCAGCAAAAAGAGGCGCAAGATTAATGTAAGGAATGCGAGGTAATGTCGCGTTAGCCAGGTTTATTGCATGAGCTTCGCTCTACATCTAGCCCTGGCCTCCGCCGGAATTTCCTGACTGGGAAGACATCGGCGTGAAGCCAGGAACGGACGTTGTACCGCTATCAGGCGACGTCGATGGTGGAGAATAAATATTCGGAACGCGCTGCGTCGTTGCGCCATTCAACATCGACGGTACTCGTGTGGTACCTAGAGGACTGGACAAGGGAGGCTGGGTCATGCCGACACTCTGGGGCGTTGGTTGTTGCTGGGGGTCCATCATGGGCCAGAATTGATTTGATGTATCGAAAGTCGGGTTTTGAATGTATGTATCCCAGGCATCCTATCGTACCAAGCGTCAGGAGAGACTCTTTTCACGCACACACATTATGATGCTACACAGAATTCAAGGAATCAAAACTTACCCAGTCAAGGTTAACTTGCATGTCCGGCATTGTTCCGAACATGCTACTAAACGGTGAGAGAGGCCCCGGCATTTCAGCCGAGGGCGCCCCAACCCCGGAGGTAGGCATCGGAGAATCCAACTTGAACATCGGGTCCGTGAAAGGCGGCGGGCCCGGGTTCATCGGGCTCATGCCACTGCTCAGCAGGCCAAGAGTCATCGCCGCGTTCTGCTTCTCATCCTGTGGCTCAAACATAGCCGGCACAGCCCCGGAGCCGTTCTCAAGGCCCGGGATGCTGTGCAGCTTCGCGAGCATGACCCCAAGCAGATTGCTTGCCTTCCACGCGTCTATGCTTTCGTCGCGCAATTCGTCCCAGATCTCTCTCGAGCGCTGGATCGCCGCCATCATCTCGTCGCGCCGCTCGCGGCCCCAAGTGTAGGTGTCGCCGGATGGGCGTCCCGAGGCCTGCAGCTGGTAGCCCTGATACAAGTCCAGACACACAATGGTAGCAGCAAGAAGGAAGTCGGCAGAGTTCATAGCGCTGACGATGTTCGAGCGACCGCGAAGGCGTCCCTCGCGCGTTTCTGCGCGTAGGATCGCCTGAAACTCGAGCATCTCGAGAGCGGAGTCGATACATGTTCGGCGGGAGTAGGTAAAACGTGGGTTTTCTCGAGCGCGCACGATAAATGGGCGGTGGAGCACACATTGTGCTTTGTGGTAGATGGTCATCACCTGGAGACTGGTAAGTAAAAGGAATCAGGATGGGCGGCATTTTATATGAAAGGCTTACGGAAAAGCGCGACATAATGAGGTTGACAGGATCCAAATGACAATCCTCAATTGGTCGAATACGCAAATGATCTGGAATCAAGTCGCGGGCACGACGAAGATCGGCATCTATCTCCATGACCTTATCATACGACGAAGACGAAACCGAAGACGCTTGTTCGTTGACCCGACCAAATGCGCACGACAAGCGACACTTGGTGATCAGATAGGAGATAGGGGTCGGCTCGCTCAGTTGGCGAGGCGGAGGCAGCTCTTTGCAATCCTCATCGAAGTCATCATCATACAAATTCCGCGGCAGCTCTGTATCACTATCAGCGGAGCGAAGCATGCTCGGCATGCCAACCTGGAATGAGAACAAGAGATCTGCTTGTCGCACAAATGACCATACTCGTCGCCGCATCTCGCCCTGGAAGGGAGTGATGTTGGGGAACATCTTCGAGTCACGGTGATATCCCATGCGCATCGCCAAGCGGCAAATAACACCCGCCAGAACCCAGACTGAGACGTCTGCGTCCCGCGTTTGCGAGAAGTCACCATGTAAATGGAAGACGAGGCATTCGATAAGGAACGGGTGGGGTTTTGTGTAGTCGGCCAGGGTCAAGCACTGCGCAACTGAATTTCGGAAGGATCCAGCCATGTCCATAGCTTTGCCTCGAAACTCAGGAGGCTCGTCGCCTTCTCGGTGATACGAGAGCATTGCTAGTCGCATCATGGCAAAGAGCATCGCGATCCATACCACTTCCGTTTGGGAGGGATCTTCCCAATGCTTGTTATACTGTGCTTGGAAGGTTGGAGCGTGTAGAATGTGAGTGGCGGGGTCATAGCTGTTGAAGTAACGAGCGACAAGGATGTCTGTGGTGTATTTTGAAGGCACCGAGGCCATAATCTCTGCCCGACTCAAGGGCTTCATGACGCCAAAAAGCAAAGTCGACCCCGGGACATCAGTGCGCGGGCGCGCGGCTTTAACTTTCTCGGCATGCTCCTCGATTTGCTTCTTGTGTGATGAGAAGAAATTTCGTACTTCGGCAATCTATCCCCACGCCTGATTAGTTTTGCGTAAATCCCCCGTTGAGAGAAAGCAGTCGAGACTTACATCATTCAATACAGAGGCCCAGTGAGCTTCACTGATGTAGTAAGACTTGTTGTTGTCCATCTTCATAACTCCAAACGATTTGGTCACCTGCTCTGTATCGCTTTCCTCGAGGTTTCCCTCAGCATCATCATCAACGGCATCCACGTCGATCTCGTTCGAGAGGCCCGTGGACCCTGCGCTACTCTCTCCTGAGATGGCAGCTAGGGCTGCTGCGGGACCAGCTGACTGGTTTCCATTGGTCATCAAGGATAGAACTAGGCCCTCCAAGCGATCGATGCGATTCTGCATATCATCTGGAGAGGTAGGCGATGCCTGTTGGGGCTGGTTCTTTTTGCGGGTGCTCGCTTGGGCATAGTTACAGGATGCTGCGTCGCCGCGTTTGACACAGTTCTCGCATGGGTGTGAGCGGTTACATTTCAGCCTGCATGGTGTTCGTTAGATCTGCATGCTCCTTTTTGAAGGGGTTCAGATTTGCTTCGCAGGGTGAGAGTGGAGACGTACTTCCTGTTGCGGCACGGTGCGCAGGATAGAGGTACCCGATTTCGCTTGCGAATAACTCTAAATTCCGGAGAATGGGCTGAGACACTGGATGAGGTGGTGGATGGCGGTGTAGGCGTCATCTTGTCGCAGAGTGTTGGTTGGCTTGGATGTTTCTCCTGTGTGGGATGATCGAACGAATCCGAACTTTCAGGTCGAACAGAGGTACACTGCAGAGAGATATGGACGTCGACCCAACTAGAATCAGGTGATGATTCCTCGACTCTCTGACAAGAGGACCGTAAAGGAGATGGCGAAAATACTTCTTCTGGTGTGGAAGGCGCAATTCGGGGGCTTATGAACTTGGTCAATGTGCCCTTTTCAATGCCTTCCGACCCACGGCGATGAATGTTTGTCACAGGGTCGATGTTTCGGTGCGCAGAAAAACGAGCTTTCTCCTGGTCCCCGTATCAGGACAAAGGTTGGGCTTTGTCGTCAACCGCGGATTGTTTGTTGCAGCCTGGTATGGCACTCAACGCCGGCTTGAACGACTTGCTCGACTCGTAAACGGATGGAATCCGAAGCGGGCAATGCGACAGTGGTATAGGCTGGATCGGTCGCAAAGGTCCAGCTAGCTGCGTCGAATGGCTGGGGGTCCGGTGGAAGCTTGCGACAGGGTAGGAGGGGTTAGAATCGGAGGATGATCGCGGGCGGGGCGGGAGGATCAAGGTAGCGCGATGGGAGCGTCGTCGTGAAAGAGAAAGACTGAGGACCCGATACAGCGCAGGTCGATCCCCGACGGTTGACAGAAGGAAAGAAAGGAGGCGAGCGATATTCCAAAGTTCAGGTGCTAAGGATGATTAATCCACGGCTATCTCCGTTTTTGGCGGGCTTATCACCATTGATGATCTCACAGGCACTATGTTTGGTTCCACCAATCCTCGTGGGCCGTCCGACGAACGACACACATGGTACTGGATCCTGTGCCGACTTGTGTGGAAGCGCGAGCATCCTTCTCGCGATGAGTTTGGATTGGGGCCAATAAGGCTTCCGGGCCACATAATCCCATTTTCGGCGGTGCTATGTGGCCTGCATCTTTTTCGGCCAACCCGAATCTCTGATTGGCTCCCTAGGAGCCAAGGAGGGACATTAGATGGGAAGTGAGTCATATCGAGGGCCAGACTCATTTAGACCTGCGAAAGACCGAGCCAAAGAGAAGGCACTGTCATAACGGGGAGTATAAGGGAGTAGATCGAAGTAGATCGGAGTATATCATCATAGTCGCATGGCAGAGGATCTTGATAACCATAATAACCATGATAACCATAATAGCCACAAGGCCCCAAGAGCCAGAATAGCTCCACTTTGCGACCGCCCAATGTACCTCCAGGGACCAGTTCAACGGCGGATCCGACCGCTGCGAGCATACATTCATTTTGCTTGGGCATCGTTCTCCCTGTCTCATTCCATGGCCCATACCTTCGCCCTACAGCCCTACGCAAATTGATTTGGCGTTGGATAAGGTACGGGCATGTACAGCTTGGTTCTGCATGTACAGCTTGGTTCCGTTCCGCATGTACAGCTTGGTTTCGCATGTACAATTGTTACTTCCGTATGTGTCGTGGCATTCAAGGCACCCCAAGTCATTTGACTCTTCTCCACCTGTCATATTTCCAGCAGACAACGAATAAACACAGCAATCATACACCCCGGGCAGCTCTGAGGCAGTTCCCCGTTGGTGGGGCACAGCATGCAATGTCTGCTTAGATGAGTAGACATTAGGTGTGTAGTAGGTAGGCATTTAAAAAATCGTCTCCCCGCCGCCCTCACCATTCTCATTCTCTCTTCTTCTTCCATTGCATCTTGGGGATCCCCAGACTCGGTATCGAAAATACCGACGAACCCGAGAGCATCTTACACCCAAAAAAAATGTCAGACAATCATGGTCGGGGCCGGACCCGGGGCGACCGAGGCGGATCCAGAGGTCGTGGCGGAGATCGTGGTCGGGGCAGAGGGCGGGGTGGAGGTGGTGCAGGCCCTGGGGATAGCAGTGACATGCAGCTCCCATATCGCCCCGCGCGAGGCCGTGGCAACGATCGCGGCCAAGGTTTCGATCGCGGCCGTGGTGCCGGCGATTTCCGGGGAAGGGGTCGTGGTAATGGTGGATTCCGCGGCGGAGGCAGTCGAGGCCCCAAAATCTTCAAGTGAGTGTCATTGAGCAACCCAGCAGGGCCATTGCACAACTTCCAAATTCGTGTGTCTTCAGATTCTCATGCTAACCACTATCCAGCCCGGGCAAAGCGGCAGCCCCTGATGCCACCGTGGGAAAGTTGGAGAATGCCATGGCGAAGGCCCTTGTCGCCAATCAAGCAAAGAAGGCGACGAGTCCAGCCCAGGCATATCCCGACCGTCCGGGCTACGGTACCATGGGTAGGCCTGTGACTCTTTATGCAAACTATCTTTCTCTCACCTCGGTGGGCAAGAAAGTCTTCCGCTACCATATCAACCTCCAGGCCGGGCCCGCGGGACGGGAACCAACGGGCAAGAAAGCAAAACAGATTGTGCGACTGCTGTTGGAAGAGCATTTCCCGGACAGGCAAGATCAGATTGCGACTGACTACCGGGCTACCCTGATCTCATGCGTCAAGCTGGAGGAAAAGGTTTATGATGTCCGATACAAGGATGACCTGGAGGAGGAGTATCCGGAACCCCCAGGATCTACCAAGTTACCTGCCAGGCGACTGGAACGATCAACCCGGCCGACTTGGTCGACTATATCAGTTCGTCCGATGCCTCTGCCATGCTCAATAACAAGCCGGAAATTCTGCAGGCTCTTAACGTGATCCTCGGTCACTACCCCAAGACGGACTGCTCGACGGTCACGGTGGCTGCGCAGAGACACTACAGCCTAGACACAAACTTCATGGAGAAGCAAAGTCTAGGTGGTGGTCTCGAAGTTCTCCGCGGTTTCTTCGTCAGCGTACGTGCAGCCACTGCCCGTGTCCTGTTGAACGTTCAAGTGAAGTACCTGGCTTGTTATGAAGCGGGGGGTTTGAAAATCGTGATCGGGTCATATCAACGAGGTAACTCATCGAACACTTACCGTTTGGAGGCTTTCTTGAAGCGGATGCGAGTCCGGATCACGCACATTATCCGCAAGACCAGCAGTGGGAAGTCTCGTCCACGTATCAAGGCCATTGCCGGACTAGCAGCCCGAAATGATGGCGCCTCATCCGCAAACCCACCCAGAGTTCTCCGGCACGGTGCTGGTCCGAACGAGGTTGAATTCTTCCTGTCGAGCCCCGGTACATCTTCTGGGCCATCTAATGCGCAGCCTGTCGAGTCTCGCAGCGGTGCCAAAGGCAAGAAAGGTAAGAAGGGCCCACCGAAGGCTGGACCTCCACAGCCAGGCCGGTATGTCACCGTGGCCCAATTCTTCAAAGAAGGTACGCACATGACTTTTACTTCCCATCTAGCAGTCTGACAGATATTGATCCATGTATAGAATATAACATCTCAACGGACCCCAAAATGCCAGTGGTGAATGTTGGAACTCGTGAGAACCCAGTTTACCTCCCTGTCGAAGTCTGTGAGGTCGAACCCGGCCAGCCAGTCGGCACTAAGCTGTCTCCTAGCCAGACATCCAACATGCTTGGCTTCGCTGTCATCGGTCGGAATCCGGCAGAGAATGCTCAGTCAATTGTCACCAAGGGTGTAGGTGTGCTGGGAGTCGGCCAGCCACTGAATGCAACTCTAGTAAGAGAACCATCCTCCATAAGAGAAAGCAAAGTGAACAGATGTTAAACTCACAATTGTTCGTCTCACTTTCTAGTCTGCTTTCGGCATCAAAGTGTCCAACGAGCTCCTCACCGTACAAGGCCGCATCCTGCCCGCGCCACGCGTGCTTTACGCTAAGCAAAAGCAGATCACGACTATGAATGGCAGCTGGAATATGCGTGAAATTAAGTTTTCTAAGCCTGTCACTATGAAGAAGTGGGCGTACCTTTATGTCAATCATAATTCCGCACGCAAAGGCTTCCAAAACGACAACCACCTGAGGGAGTGCCTCGGTGAATTTCCCGAGGTTCTCCAGAGTATGGGGGTCGATGCTGCGGCTCCTTCAACTGGCACATACGTTGAGCTCAATGGCCATGACGACGCCTTCAAAATTGAAGAAGCTGTGCGCCACCTGCAACAATCACAACCACAGCTAATCCTTGGCATCCTTTACGCTAAGGACACCCAAGTCTACAACATCATTAAACAAGTATGCGATGTCCGTTGCGGAGTGCGCAACGTCAATGTGCAGGTAGATAAGGTTTTGAGCGCAAAGCCGCAATACTGGGCCAACGTCGGGCTCAAGATCAACCTCAAACTCGGCGGGTGCAACCAAGCTCTCCGCAACTCAGATCTAGGCATCTTTGCCAATGGCAAAACCATGCTTGTCGGCATCGATGTCACTCACCCATCCCCTGGCTCATCGCACTCCGCGCCCAGCGTCGCAGGCATCGTCGCCTCAGTCGATGCCCAGCTTGCCCAGTGGCCGGCCGCCATTCGTGTCCAAGCTGCACGTCAGGAAATGGTTGCTGATCTAGACGCCCTGCTCCAATCGCGTCTCAAGCTCTGGGCCGCTCGCAATCAGGGCAAGTACCCTGAGAACATTGTCATCTACCGCGATGGTGTCTCCGAAGGCCAGTACGACTTGGTAATTGACAAGGAGCTGCCCCTCCTTAAGGCCGCCTGTCGTGCACTATACCCTGCAAGCGACACAAAGAACAGTCTGCCACGCCTGGCAATCATCGTTGTCGGCAAGCGCCACAACACTCGCTTCTACCCCACCTCCGAAGACACAGCTGACCGGTCCATGAACCCCGTCGCCGGCACCGTCGTCGACCGCGGCATCTCCGAGGCCCGCCACTGGGACTTCTATCTTCAAGCGCACGCCGCTCTGCAAGGCACCGCTCGTCCCGCCCACTACTTCACCGTCTGGGATGAGATCTTCGCCCCACTGCACCCAGGCACCACCCCCGGCGCGGGCGCTGCCGACAAGCTACAGGACCTTACGCACAAGATGTGCTACCTGTTCGGTCGCGCCACAAAGGCAGTCAGCGTATGCCCCCCAGCATACTACGCCGACTTGGTCTGCACCCGGGCTCGCTGTTACCTGAGCGACCTGTTTGATCCATCGCCCGATGCCACGCCCGCGGGCAGTGTGTTAAGCGGCGCTGGAGGTGGCCGTATTCCAGAGCAGCAGCAGACGGATATTCATGCTAGTGTGCGGGATACGATGTTTTACATCTAGACGCACCCCTGGCTAAATTTAGTGGTTTTAGCTTAAACGGTGTCGCATGAGGAGAGGGTGGGAGGGCTGTAGGAAGCTTCTGCTCTTGAGATATCCCCTAACAAACCCAGGTATCGTAACAGAATGCTCAAATCTACAATCAGGGCCAGAACACATATTACCGCATCCAGTTCCTGGAAGAATGAGGATGTGACGATGATGAACAACCACATTTTTGATTTTTTTTTGGACGATCCTTTTTGCGATTTTGCCTTTTTGTTTTCCTCGCCGACCTTGGATAGGCGGTGGACAAATGGAGACTGACATAGCATCTATTGCCTTCCTTAGGATTTATTCATGGTGCGATTAACAGACTGACTGAGGCTCTATTTCTAAGAATATATGCATCAAATTGACCAAGTTCCCGACTTTGTTACTTTATTATCCATCCAGATTCACTTGTAGATCTAAGCTATTTTTTCATTCGGTTAAAGAGAAGTGGATGAAAGAAAGTTGTTTCCTCTTCGCTGTCACACCGCATATTGCACAGGGCTGCTCAATTAGGGTCCGATAAATTAGGGTTCGATATACTCGGATAGAAAAGATCTTAAAATAATCAAGGCAGAAAGCTAGGAATACTCCCAGAGAATGCGCAATCAAGACCACTCCAGTCGTCAATCAACCATCAGCCAACTTGATCTAGCCTTTGGCTGGATTTACTGAGAGTATTCCTATCACTTATATAAGAATCTTAGACGGGGCACCTGAACCCTAGTCTCATCCAAAGCTTCTTTCCAGGGCATCGTAATGCGTATTCGAAATTAGACTTACAACGACTTAGTACGGACATATAGACGAGGCCTAGCTAAGAAGATCAATCCTACTCGGACACACGAGATGCTGGCTCCAGATTCCAGTGAACAACTGACACGAAGTCATTCAATTTTAACAAATTAACAAAACAGGGGTCTGGCAAAAGTAATCTTGTACAGGGAGATAAAAAAAAGTCCACACTGAAGATGATGAGGAAGAGGTAGGAAGAAAGAGTATTTGATGAAGAAATAAGGAGAGATTGTCAAGCCAAGGAGGCGCGGCACACCTGACATAGAGACAATTCAAGAGTAATGAAAATGGTCAATAAGTCGCGTCGCTGGGCTCGGTGGGAGCCGAAGACGCTTTTATTTGTGATAAACAAATTCATCAGCACATCTGAACCTGGTCATACCAAGATCCACGCTCTATAGGCCAAACCCTCCGGCGAGGACAAGTGGGTATAGGGCATACAGAGGTGTCCGACGTGACTGTTCTTCAGCATCCGTTCCGTCCTCTGGCCTGTCTGTTCCGCAGTCTGTGTTTAGGGGGTATGGATTGGGTATCGGTACACATTGCTCGTGATCAAGGTAAGTTGAAGAGGGGGGCATTAGCCTCACTTGGCCGTTGATAGGCTGAATGTTCTTTGTTTGGAGAGATAAGATTGAGGATAGAAAGTGCGAAGATAAATGGTGGGAAGCGGTTAAGAGGATTTGGGGTATGACGGCCTCTTGTTATTACTCGTCATCACCGAGAGTCCAAGTAGGCTGGTTATGAGCGAGGGGGTTGTGCAGAGAGGTAGCTGTCCGGATAGGCTCCGGAGACAGGTCGAAGTTGTCCCATGAAGATTCCATCATCTTTACGGCCTTGACGCGGTCCGAGGAGATAGGCTTGGAGGTCTCGCTACCCGATTTGCTGGCCGTGGGCGAAGCATCGGTCATCTCCCAGTGCGGATCGAAGTCCTTCTTGCGGTTGGCATTATTGCCGACAACGGACAGCGGCTCCTGTTGCTTCTCCTCGGCCTCGGTGGGCACGGCTACACCATTCTCGTCGAAGAGTCGGTTTTCATACAGGTGCTGGCCACGGCCCTGGAACGAGCTAATGATGCGGCCATCATCACCGTCTTTCATCTCATCTGCCATCTCGAAGTGCACCTCTGCGTCCTTCCGGGGCTTAAACACAGGCGGCCGGGCTGGGGGAGACTCGGCTTCAGCATCGCTGTAACCAAAGTGACGCGCCTCCTCGGCAGTCTGGTTACGCACAGGCTTCTGGGGAGTGGCGAAGTCGCTGAAGTCCCATTGAGACTGGTGGCGCGACTTTCCGCGCTTTGGCTCCTCCTTTAACTCCAGCTTGGTGTTGTCGGCACCAATCTCAAAGTGGTGGAACTTCTTGGGGTCGGACTTATACGGGGCACGGTCATCATCAAGAGGCTCCCCCTGAAAGATGAGGCTCCCCTGGAACTTGGAACCTGCCTTGGGAGCAACAACTTTCTCGGGCTTCGAAGGGGTGCCCGGTTCCTCATCACCCACAAACAGCTCACCATACTGGCGCGGAGCGGGCTGGGCAGCGGACGGCGCATAAGGCCGCAAGGGAGCGGAGGTATCCTTGCTCGGCGACAGGAGCTCTGTCAAGGAACCAGCAGCATAGGGATCTTTGGTATGTCTTTTTCCCGGGGAAGAGGATCTCAGGGGCGCATCCACATCCTGATCTCTGGCAGCGTCTGCCTTGTTGGGCGATAGGAGATCGAACAGGGAGTCAGCAGCGTAGGGGTCCTTGATGTGTCGTTTGCCGGGGGAAGACGGTCGCGGAGGCAGGTCGCCATTGCCATCTTGGGACGGAGCCAATGCGGGGGCTTCTGAACGTGCTGTGGCCGAGGTCCTGAGCAGGCGCACTTGCTCCTTGGCTTCACGAATAGGCCACTGACGACCGCGCGCTCCGATAACCTCCACCTCTTTCAACAGGGAGCCTTGGTCCCAGTAGATGCGAACCTGATTGATCTGGCTTTCAGCATTGAAGTGGACGATGTGGACCTGCAGCGAGCGACGACATGCATTAGATTGGGGCTATTGGGACTGTGGATCATGCAATCAATCTGCGATCGGGGAATTTACCGTGGGGAAGGTCACGACGCGGTCGGCCAGGAAATTATCGTCGAGCGATGGGAGATACGCCCCGCCGCCCTCCAAAAATTCCAGGGTCGTCTCGATATCCAAACACAACGCGTCGGAGCTCTCGATGGCATTGATGACCTGGTCAGATTTCTTTTTGACAACACTCGATTGACGCGCGACGTGGGTGGAAATGGCATCGGCGCCATCGATCTTAGTGGTGGTGGGGACATAGATCAGCGAGGCATTAGCAGCCACAGGAGCATTTCGAGGGTTTGCCAGAAACCGCTGGTAGACGTCCTTGAGATAAGTCATGGTAGCCAACCGGGGGGGTGGGGAGGAAGGGAAGGTTTCAGGGCAACGGAGAGGAGGGAGTGACGAGATGGAGAAGGGGAAGCTGATGAAGGTAGATATCAGGGGTGGGAAATGAGGGACACGGAAGTCGGACTACGAAGTGGGACTAGAAGGGCCTGAAGAAGGAGCAGCCGGGGGCATAATCTAAACCCGTTGTTGATATGCGAACGTGAACGTTAGGACTGTTTGTTCGCCGGAGCGCGTGGGCGGCGCAGTACCAGGTACCTGAACCCAAGGGCCCAATGGCCAGGACCCCATAGTGGGGGCCAAGTACCAGGTACCAGATGTAACAGGTGCAGAAAGTGGCCATGAACTGCATCATCCCGTTGACCCAGTAAATAAAACGCGTGCACGGGGCTCAGCAAAACACGCCAGTGTTTCACCACCGAGCGGGAACGCCCCAGTGGGCGAGCCACGGTTGAGCCCGAGGGCGTCTCTCGGGCAACTCGCTGGGAATCATCCTAGTACGAGTATGGACCTACCTAGGCACCATTCATAGCAGACGAACGATGACAGGGTAGCGCAGTCTAGAATGCAGATTGAGTTCAAGACACGAGATCCAGCAATGTGGGTATGAGATCTGGGATTCTCGGCGACGATGACTCCATTGACGAGATACATGCTTCCTCCAATCCCTATACTCCCCCACCGGACGTAGTATATACTCTCGCAGTGCATAGTCCACCGACCCCCAGCGAAACAAGACAATCATGAGTGCAGCGGTCTTGAGCAAAGCCATGCTGGGAACTGATCGTCCTCGTCTTGCTCGGCGCCGAATCGGGGGCCAATTGGCCCCCGATTCAGACCTGACCAGAAAGCTGGGGTAGCAATTGAGGTAATGGAAACGTGGGCCTGATCAATGCTTGAGAATAATGCCAGATATCAGGGGTTATGAGGGAATGGACAATGGGCTCAGAATGGCTGAATTGGGATATCTATGTAATGTGCACTCCCTAGTTAAGGGGGAGAACGACCCTTGGAGGAAAGAATAATCACATGCAAAAAGATTGGATCATTGCCCATATTCCCCTTGCAGACTCTAGGAGCGCCAAATCGACAAGGTCTTTCTTTTGGGGGGTTATCTTCTTCCTCTTCTTTCGTTCTGGTTCCAGAAAGAAACAATGGGGAACCAAATCCGTGTAGATTTCGGTACCCAGTAATTAAATTGGCTCCGTATCAAATCATCATAGTGCAGAGGGGTGTGGGTATGTTGCGGGCTCGTTTCTCGTTACAGTGGTCTGCGGTAAAGAGGATGTTAATGGCCTGGGTCGCAAAAAGGGACGAATAGAATAGGTCATTCAAGTCACTTACCCAAGATAATCCTCCTTGATCGTGCCAATGGCATTGATGGCAGCCACGTCGGGCTTGACACCAAGGATTTTGAGACGCAGGCTAGTTCCTTTCTCGATCACCTGGTCCGCGTGATCGGTGTACTGGGGGGGCACGGTATTCGGCTCCCATTTGATATCGGACGGGATGTTCTGGTAAGAGATGGTAAGAGATGTCAGCGCAAGGCATTGATATCCAGGAGCCTGTCGCATACTTTTCGCGCAATGAAGACTGATAATGGGCCGGCCAACGTGAAGATGCCAGTAGGCTTTACGGAAGTAACGATAGCATCAACCTGCGCAAATCATTGATCAGCAAAGAGTCTCCGCCAGTAGTGAAGGACCTCCAGTCAACGAATCCGGGGCATGCATACTGTCTCGCCACGGAATGGCTTCCAGATAATCGCTCGATACTTAATCGTGTACTCTGCCTGTCCGTCTGACGGAATCACTCGTCCCTCGCCAATATCCACCATATCCATCACACAAATCACGAAGTGGTCGCCCGTACATCGACCCTCCTCTTCCTCGTTGAGACGGGCAATAAGAAACTCCCGCATATTGGGTCCAAAATAGGACGGGTGCAGCTTGAGCACCTTGGTCTCTTCTTTGAGGAAAAACATTGTAACGGTATATCGACGAAGCGAGGTTAGGTCACGCAGATGGTCGATTCGGGCGGCTCGGAGATGTAGGCGCGGGTTGTGGCCTCCCAGAGGGGCAGATTGCTCAATCCCTGGAAATCAAATGCGCTGCAGTCACCGGGTTATCCTCTGTCAAAGATCGTACTTCGTTCCCCGGAGAGCAGTCGGACGCTATGGAGGTAGTGGGAGGTCAAGGATCGGCGTGAGCAACGGTTAGCTCATGGCCTGTGGGCGAGGCGAAGCAAAAGGGAGATATCGCGGCAGAAATGAGCGGAGGATGACTCGTGAGCAAAGCCAGTGTCCGCCTGAGATAATGCGACAGATCCTGATGCTGCCAGCGCGCGTTCGGAGCTTGCCTGAGAATCTCGGCTGGTCCCTCCAGCGGCCCCAGTTTCAATGGAGTTGATCACGTGATGTGTATGTTACCACGGAGCTTGGAAGGGGACAAACACTCTGAGCGGGCCACAGCAGTATATAACACTCTTTGTTTAACAGTGGAATATTTGATTCGTCTGATGTTATGGAGGTAGGTGCATGTGATGATAGAATTGCCTTTTCATACATGTATCCTTTCCCCTGATATCTGATATGGATGAGAGAGATATATATATATGCAACCCAAACTATATCTAGCAAGGGGCGTATTCAACCACCGTCCCAGGGGAGCACCCAAAATACACAGAATATTATCAATTGGGTCCTCTTGATTTTGTAGTCAAAAGAAGTTCCGTATGTGGAAGGGTTCAACCTTCAAGGAGAACCATAGCTTCTACACCCATTCCATTCCATTCCACATCTTCACCCCAATGAATCTTTCAATGATATTCAGACTTCATCATCATCTGCTCATAATACGGTAGGACTACTTGAAAACCCTCATGATCAACATTTAGATTTGGGATTGTCCCTTTTATGGAGCTCTCTGGCTGGGGGCAAGCGGGCAATTTGATAGAGAATTTGCAATGGAGATCTTGTACGATACAATGCCAATCAGTTTTCAGTACACGTAAATATAACATTTATGTAGACATAGCGTTCAATTTCCAAGAGCGCAAACATGCCTTGAAAATCATGCAAATGAAATGTAACCTGTTAGTGCCGGCTTTGTCCAGTGTATGTCACAAAGATACGTAATATTACCACCAGAACACAGCATACAGTGTCCATAATACCGTACGGAAACACATCACCCAGTTCCTCGGCCCAGCACATGACGGTGGACGTCGACAGATTGCACCACTTAGCGCGCCCGGAGATCCGATGATGTAGCCAGAGGCACTCTTCTCCCACCTGCTTACAACGCTCGCCCAAATCCTCTTCCGCGACCCTCTCTACCGACCATCAACGCAGAATGGCGCTGAACCTCGAAAAACAGCTGCTCTTCGTGAGTTGCCGTTTCCCCTCAACCGTGCTGACACCACGCGGGACCATGGCTGACTTTCCGTAGTATGGAGCTTACCATAGTAATCCCGTATGACTTGTCCGTTGTGCCTGACGACCGAAGGGATCCGCCAGCTAAATTCTTCGACTAGGTAAACGTTGCGATTCACATCACTTGCGTACCGGTTCTACTGTTTACTGGTGTTGTGCTCGTATGTTTTCAATTTGACTCCCCTGCAAAATCGCACCTAACCATGAGGTATATTTTCTAGGCATGCAATTCTCCTACGTTCTTCACCCTCCCCGACGCCGTTTCCTTCGAGTACCTCCCAGCAAATGCGGGCACGATCGGGGCCTTCTTCTACGCCTTCTTCTATGTGCTTCTCGAACCCGTCGCCGGTGGCCTCATCGCACCACTCATCATCGGTTTCGCGGCATGTGGTAACTATTTGCTCGGAACCTACGGGATGGATGTGAACTACTGGGCTGCGGGGCTCCATGTTATGTCCTGGGTGTTGCAATTTATCGGACATGGAAAGTTTGAGGGACGCGCCCCGGCACTGCTGGATAACCTTGTCCAGGCGCTGCTGCTTGCGCCGCTGTTTGTATGGATGGAGATCCTCTTCTTCTTTGGGTACCGCCCGGAGCTTAAGCAGCGTTTCGAAAAGAACGTGGAGATCGAAATTGAGAAGTTCCGCAAGCAGAAACAGCTGGACTCGACAGCGAAATGAATGAGGATGGGCGGGCATTGACTGGGGTCGATTGGTCAGTGGAAACCGGGTATTGGTTACTCGCTCGCTGTGCATGGTTATACCGGACGTGAAGGATGTAACGTGTGAGAGACGGTGATTGTTATCAAGCGCGGGCTCATATGATATGGATATGCGAACAACTGTAATAGGGTTGTTGATTGGGGAATGCGTGGAGACTGATTCTCCCTGGTCTATGCGAGGGCGGCTGTTAATTCCCTTGCCGAGCTCGGAGGATGTACCAGGTCAAGCGAGTGAATGCCCATTGTTGTTCACAGGAGGGTCATCGGTATCATTGGCAACCTCGAGGGGATGAACGGTTGAGCTTGAAGATCAACATTGAAGATATTATCTGCGACGGTTCTTCGTTTCTTTACCCGGAGAAACATATTGTTACATCCTCTACAGTGATTACTGCTCGTTGCGGCGCTCGTTGCCGTGACGAAAGGCATTACCTAAGCACATCACTTGACCAGGGAACCCGGCGGTCCGAGAAGAGAAAAAAACGGGAAGGGCTGGCCCGCCTCGGAAGCACCAGCTTTCCCAACACCCTCAACCCAGGGCGCACAGAGGATAGTGAATTTAGAGTCAAAATAGAGGTTGGAACGATAGAACACCCCTAGAACAAGAATTAGAACGCCCGACAGGCAAATTGTGCTCTCCGGGCAGAACGAAAAAGAGTACACCGTGGAGGGTCCGCACTAGGGCCACATCGGAGCGTCCAGGACCCCAAGCGGTTTAGCGCGAGTCCTGAGAATCCTGGCCTCCCCCCCCGACGACAAAGCTCTCCTTCCCACCCGTCCACAACCTTCTCTCCTCTCCGACTCCTCTCCCCAATTACATCTCTCCTTCAGAGAATTCATCCTCCCATCCTCTGAACCCCCTTTCATAATGTTCAGGAACGCTCTGCGGCAGTCCAGCCGCTCCGTTGCGGCCGTTTCGGCCACTGGCCGCGTCGCCTCGGTGAGTCCATCCCATTCTCGACATCCTCGTCCATCGCCTTTCCGGTCTTTTCCATCTCGAATTCGAGCTCGATTGGTCCTCGGATGCCATCACTTCCCTTCGCCTACCCATTGACAATGGCCCTGCCGCGTTTTCCTTCCATGAATCCATCATTGACAAGTTTTTCTCGTTCCCGTTATAGGTCCGCGCGGCTGTTCCCGGCCCCCTCGCCGGTGCCTCCAAGCAGGTCCGTTCCTACGCCGCTGAGGCCAAGGCCACTCCCACCGAGGTCTCTTCCATCCTGGAACAGCGTATCCGTGGTGTTCAGGAGGAGGCTGGTCTCGCTGAGACCGGTCGTGTTCTGTCGGTCGGGTACGTCCAAATTCGCAAGGGCCGTTCCCGGGAAAAAAATTCGGTTACCGGATACCATCTCGATCAACGCGCCCGAAAACACCACCAATGGATTCTTTTTCGAACTAAAGACTGATTGAGCTTTTGAACAGTGATGGTATCGCCCGTGTCCACGGCATGACCAACGTCCAGGCTGAGGAGCTGGTTGAGTACGTGACATCCCCCAAGTCTTGGCATTTTCCGAACTCCCGGTAAACTAACAAAATGTAAAGGTTCGCCTCCGGTGTCAAGGGTATGTGCATGAACCTCGAGGCCGGCCAGGTCGGTGTCGTGCTGTTCGGTTCCGATCGTCTTGTCAAGGAGGGTGAGACCGTCAAGCGTACTGGCGAGATTGTAAGTCTCCTAACCACACCCCCTAAGAGTCCAAGTTTGATATTGCACCCTGGACTTGTCCAAGCTGTTCAATCTTGAAAACAATTGTTCTGACATCCATGCTAGGTCGACGTCCCCGTCGGACCCGAGCTTCTCGGCCGTGTCGTCGACGCTCTGGGTAACCCCATTGACGGCAAGGGCCCTCTCAACACCAAGGAGAAGCGCCGTGCCCAGCTCAAGGCCCCCGGCATTCTGCCCCGTCAGTCCGTCAACCAGCCCGTCCAGACTGGTATGAAGTGTGTCGACTCCATGGTGCCCATCGGTCGTGGCCAGCGTGAGTTGATCATTGGTGACCGTCAGACCGGTAAGACTGCCGTCGCTCTCGACACCATGCTCAACCAGAAGCGTTGGAACAACTCCGGCGACGAGTCCCAGAAGCTGTACTGTATCTACGTTGCCGTCGGTCAGAAGCGTTCCACCGTCGCTCAGCTCGTCAAGACCCTCGAGGAGAACGACGCCATGAAGTACTCCGTCGTCGTTGCTGCCACCGCCTCCGAGGCCGCTCCCCTGCAGTACCTCGCTCCTTTCACTGGCTGCGCCATGGGTGAGTGGTTCCGTGACAACGGCCGTCACTCCGTCATCATCTACGATGATCTGTCCAAGCAGGCCGTCGCCTACCGTCAGATGTCTCTGCTGCTGCGTCGTCCCCCCGGTCGTGAGGCCTACCCCGGTGACGTTTTCTACCTCCACTCCCGTCTGCTGGAGCGTGCCGCCAAGATGAACAAGACCCACGGTGGCGGTTCCCTCACTGCCCTGCCCATCATTGAGACCCAGGGTGGTGATGTGTCTGCCTACATTCCCACCAACGTCATTTCCATTACTGACGGCCAGATCTTCCTGGAGTCCGAGCTGTTCTACAAGGGTATCCGTCCCGCCATTAACGTCGGTCTGTCCGTCTCCCGTGTCGGCTCCGCCGCTCAGGTCAAGGCCATGAAGCAGGTCGCCGGTTCCCTGAAGCTGTTCTTGGCTCAGTACCGTGAGGTCGCTGCCTTCGCCCAGTTCGGTTCCGATCTTGATGCCTCTACCAAGCAGACCCTTGCCCGTGGTGAGCGTCTGACTGAGCTGCTCAAGCAGAAGCAGTACTCCCCCATGGCCGTCTCCGACATGGTTCCCCTGATCTTCGCTGGTGTCAACGGTCTCCTCGACTCCATCCCCGTTGCTAAGATCCTGCAGTGGGAGTCTGACCTCCTCGCTCACCTGAAGAGCACCCACCCCGAGATCCAGCAGACCATTGAGAAGGAGGGCCAGCTCAGCAAGGAGCTTGAGGCCAAGCTCAAGGAGGTCATTGTTGCCTTCAACAGCTCTTTCAGCGCATAGGTGAGCATGGAGACTTTCGAGTGATTCCCTTTCGATTGAGGTAATCGTTCATGTTTTCCTGACTCTATGTGTATAGACAAGATAGCTTGTACAATTTTGAACCCATCTGTTTCTTCTTGTTAACCCTTCGAGGCTCCTAAATGGCGCTCTGGCAAGAATATCGTGATTTCACAGAGTACTGGACGTAGAGAGCGATGTAAACCGCGTCGACTTGAGATCCGGGAAAAGGAAGTCGGACTCTTCTCACCTGGAGCGCTATTGGTTCCTCTGGGCAAGCGACTGAAGCGTTGGGTCACCAAAATGTGATTATATCCTGTACGTTTAGATTTTTTCCGCGCATCGAGGGGCGCGAGATGGGAGGAGGACCATTCTGCTTCCGTCTGGTCTCCGTGTGTCTCTCCATGTTGGATCCGCAATTTATTTCTTTTGTTCACCACATTATCTATTTGTAGACAGTTCTTTCTAGTTCCCCATCACTTGTAGGTTTCCACATCGTACTGAATCATGGTAGATGGAGGGAGATGCTGAAGCTCGACATCGAACAACAAATAGGATTCATGACCCTCGCTCTTGTTATTTTCGATCTCCTATAATCCGAACTCGTTACCGTGTTACTTTGTTTTTTGCCCCTCTTTTAATTCGTCTACTGCTTCATAATTCCTTCGAACCTATTCCCTGTGCCCACTTGGGCCTGCCGCCAGCCCGACAGTGGGCGGCTTCGGCAAGTGAGGCCGAATGCGGCATCCGATTTCTTATCGATAAGCGAACAATCTTTTCCCCTCTGAATTACGAGTCCCCCGCGCGAACCAGAGCCCATTCTTCGAGCAATTTTGTGCCTCTAAATCATAATCGTCGCTATGTCGGCCCCTTCGGACTCCAACCCAGCCTCCTGCAAGGTTATGCTGGCCAAGCATGTTGCCAATGGCCTGCTCAGCGAAGTGCAAGAAGGCATTAAGACTCTTGAGACCCCGCCGCACCTGGTTGGCTTCCTGGCGAACAATGACCCTGCAGCTCTGATGTATGCGCAGTGGACGCAGAAGACTTGCGAGGAGCAGTAAGTTTATAGATATCTTTTTGTTTTGCTGTGCCCATGGCTCCTTTCTGTGGACAGTGGTGGGGTTGGTTTTTATGATTCATACTTGCCCCTCGTCAAAGTTGTTTCAGAGAGAGAGAGATGCGATATTCTACCCCGAGCATTGATCTTTTTTGGACCGCCGTAATATCAATACTAAAGTATTTTCTACGTATAGTGGATTCAAGTACACTCTCCGTGAAGTCTCCCGCGATGACATCGAAGAGGCCATCCTGGACGCCAACACCGACTCCTCGGTCGACGGCATCATCGTCTATTACCCGATCTTCAACAACCGACAGGACCAGTACCTACAGCAGATAGTCGATGTTGGCAAGGATGTTGAGGGTCTGACCCACCGCTACATTTTCAACATGTATCAGAACATCCGCTTCCTGGACCCCGAGACCAAGCGCCAAAAGTGCATTCTGCCCTGCACCCCCCTGGCCATTATCAAGATCCTCGAGTACCTCAACATCTACAATACTATCCTGCCCTACGGTAACCGCTTGTTCGGCCACACTATTTGTGTTGTCAACCGCTCCGAGGTGGTTGGGCGTCCGCTGGCCGCCCTGCTGGCTAACGACGGCGCCTGTGTGTACTCTGTTGATATCACCGGCGTCCAGAAGTTTACCCGTGGTGATGGTCTTAAGAAGCATCGTCATGAGATTGTGGACCTTGAGGGTGCCACTATTAAGGACGTCGCACCCCTTTGCGACGTCGTTATCTCCGGCGTGCCCGGTGATAAATACAAGTTCGACACTAGCCTGCTCCGAGAGGGTGCTGTCTGTGTCAACTTCTCCAGTGAGAAGGTAAGACACACGAGCTCTTGATTTGTCATTTCATGCTAATAATGCCGTTAGAACTTCGGACCCGAGGTTAAGGAGAAGGCCTCCATCTTTGTTCCTTCCATTGGCAAGGTGACTATTGTTGTCTTGCTGCGAAATCTGCTGGTGAGTTAATCGGGTTCACATGAATGTGTACTTTTATGCAAATAGGTTCTAATCTTTTTATACAGAGACTCAACCAGAATCGCCGGCTGGATGACATCAAACCTGCTGCTGCCACTGAGCGGCCGGGTACCCTGGAGGCGTCTTCTTAGATCGCTCCCAACCTGAAAAGTGGAAGTTGGCGGCCGTCACGAGGTTATTGTGTCAGAAAATTCTTAGTATAGACTCTTGTTTTTAGCCATTGTATAGGAAGATCGATCACTCTGTTTTTATTCTTGTTCCTTCTTGCGCTACTTTAGTCAAGTCCAACCTTGAGGGGTGACATAGTTCTCCAGCATCCGATTTATTAATATGGGAGAGATCTTGATAGGTATTTTTCAGACAAGGAATCGAAAATACACGGGAAATTTTGCTATTGGGATACATTGACTGCAGCCGTCAATCCAAAGACATAATTGTTCAATGATCATAAACTTCAAAAGGCTACACTAGCCTGCAAACTCGCTCTGGCATATGAAGATGCACATTTTCGGCCCCAACTAAACAAAACTATCAAAACCAACAATTTCATATCCGGTTTTTCTGTCGGAATCCAATAGGCCTATTCTATTTCTTGTTGCTTTCTTTTGCTGCCAACCTTAGCACATCAACCTCGCTTGCCAGCCAGCGCCGGAACGGCTCCGCATGGAAAACACCGTCCGCAGAGAACCATTTGGTAAAAGGAGCCTCAAATTGATGGTTCTGAAGAACCTTTCCGGACGATGACTTGTATAGCACGCGAAGCTTGTACGGGGTGGTGTTCTTCTTGACCGATGAGGAAATGGTGATCTACCACGACAAGGGAAGGTAAGTAACTTTCTCAGGACCGTGAGCTCATCAAGAGACTCCCAAAGTGCTCAGACATATCCGGTAGAATATACTTACAGTCTCTCCGGTTTTCCGCTTTCCGCAAAACACTTCTCCAGCCTCGACAGCCCAAATCCAGAAAGTGAGCGCGCTGTTGAGGATGAAGTACGAGACTACAGCCGCGATGATCCACGGGGACGTCGTAGCTTCCCAGCCAAGCTTGCGGTCTGCGTAGAAGGTGAAACCTGCAATCGCGACGGCGCTGTAGCCCAAGACAAAGCGGATGTTGCTCTTGGTGTGGTCTGGTGCGAAGGCGTAAGGCGCGGGAAGGTTGGCCAGATACGGGGTTAAAGCATCATCACTGGTGGATTTTAGGTCTGCGAGGCGAGGCGATGTTAGCCTGGTGGTCCCTTTGGTTCTGAGGCTTCTCTGGGGCAGGGGTATTGTGCATGAAGGAGTAGATCGGAGGCGCTACACACCGTTGGTCGAATAGACCGGCACCTTGGTCGCCATGAGTGCAATTCAAAAAGCCGAGCAGGTAATAATATCGAGGACCTGCTTCAACTAGCAGTGTAAGGTTTGTTTGAAAGAAGGTGGAGTTGAAGACAGAGCCGCCGTGTTTATCGCAAGGACAGTAAGTTGCGGCGTGGCCCTTTGGAGAGCTGCAGCTAAGGCGGGCCAATGACACGCTACCTCACCTCCGTCAGGGTTCCTCTTCCTCCCCATCCGCAGCCACACCCCGAACAACTCGCAGCCTCCGGCCATTCTACCAGCCAGCAATACCTTTTTGACCGGTTGGTCTTTTTTTTTTGCAATGGCAGTACAAGGTGTCGAGCAGACGATCCTTCGGGACCCGGCTCTCTTGTGAGAGGTACCCCCCGACTGGATGAAGACAAGCCTCAAAACTGACATCGGCTGCTAGCTATTGGATCTTGTTCCCAATCTCGGTGGTCATGGTATGTGGGCTCCGATTCTTTCAGGGGATATTATGGGATATCAACCTAATCTGCTCTACTTCAATAGATCTTGACCGGAATTCTGCGCCACTATGCCACCATTCTCATGAACACGCCTCCTAAACCTCCCTCCAGCCTCGCTGAGTCGCGCGAGCGCCACGCCCTCCTCCGCGGCGTAAATTTGCGTAATCATGCGACCTCCGTTCTGGGCCGTGAGGCTTTTGAGTCGCGCAAGAACTACCTGGTCTCGGGCTTCCGAAGCGGCGCGTTCCTCAAGGACCCTAATAACCGTGGTCAGCCGCCAGCGAACCCAATGACGGATCCCGCCGGCATGGAAGCGATGATGGGTATGCTGAAGGGAAATATGATGATGATGATTCCACAGACACTTATTATGAGCTGGATCAATGCTTTCTTCTCCGGATTTGTGATATGTAGGTGGCGGCCTGACGTTCCATGATATGGTAGGGTTTGCTGACAGGCATTACAGTAAAACTGCCCTTTCCATTGACTATTCGTTTCAAGTCGATGCTTCAGTCAGGTGTTATGACTCGCGATCTGGATGTACGATGGGTTTCGAGTCTGTCATGGTACTTCCTCAACCTGCTTGGTCTGCAGTCTGTCTTTGGATTCATTCTTGGCAGTGACAACGGTCAGTCTTGCTCAAATCCGACTATCTAGTTAATCCTTCTAACCTATGCAGTAGCTGCCAACCAAATGTCCCAGCAGATGGGAATGGCTAACCCTGCCGCTATGATGAACCCCATGCAGCCCGGACAAGACCCCGACAAGCTGTTCTTGAGCGAGGCAGAGAACCTGGAAGTCATGGAGCACTTTTGCATTCTTGATGGCGTTGAAGAAAGAGTCCTGCGGAATTTTGCTCCGCAGATCAATTAGGCAAATTGGATCTCGCATGAGGAACTGCACGCTCAGTGTCATGTATATACCTACCAGGAGGAGGTCACTAACTGACGCTGAATAGACAAAAGAGTTCTTGATATGTCCAATATGTTCAATACAGAGTTAACCGTTGGTATCAAGCTACACCGTGTACTTTGTCTTGCAAAAGTGATCATTCAATTCTCATTAAGTATGCCGTAATTCGTAATATCAAGCTATGAACTGCCTATACGGTAGTTGATCACACCGTTTAATACCCAGACCTCTCCATTTGCCACTTTCTCAGCAACACTATCGACCTCGATATTGCCTGGTTGAAGCTGCAGCCAGTTAGTCATTTTGGGATGACTTCATATAAGTTCTAGAGGGTGAGTGTGAAATAAGACCTACAATGATCTTGTCTCCTTCTTTAACCCATTTGATGCTCTCGCCTCCTAATGTCTTCACCTCTTCTCCAGCTCTCCACGGGCTCACGGGAACAAGATGAGCTTCTACAAAGCGTCGCAAATTACGCCTCGCCCGTTCTTGTCCCTCGTTCCCTTCGTACGCATTTACCTCGCCATATTTAGCATAGTCTTCCGGGTCTTCCCAAGGCTTTCGTGGCAGTGCCTGGACAGCGCTATTGCGCGGAGCTAGGACAGTGATGTTGCTTGATGCGTCATTGAGACGGTTGGAGATGGAGTCGAAGTCTCGCGTCAGTTGGGCGAAGATATTGATTCCTTTGGTCTTTGGGAGCACATCTGAGACCACAGGTTGATCGGCTCCACCGACAACATCCTCGTTGGGAGCTGTTGACGGCGGTTTGGCGATGCTAGGAATGAATTTATCCATAATAGCTTGTCGGTCTTGCGAGGAAACCAGTGGCTGCTGACGGTGTAGAGACACGGGAATACTTAGTCCCAAAAGAGCCACAGTCGAACTAACAAATGTTAGAAGCAAAAATATTGATGCAAGGGACCTCGTGTCTTTCATCTTGGGCGTATCAAGTTGTTGTAAGAGGGGACATGCCAGCACCAGCCATGACGCAACCGGAGCACGTGATGTGGAGCAATATCATATCACCTGACTGTTATCGATAAGGGCCACAAGAAAATGGCAGGAGGGGAACAGGTCTAATCTCCAGTCTCCTGTATCTCCACGCTTGGCTGTCTTGGTCGATTGATTGGCACCATGTCGGCCCTGCAGACTTTTATGCTGGTAGTGGAACACAATAAAGAAGAAGCCAAGCTTATCGCCAACGGCGTCGCTCAAGGTAATTGTGATTCCAACGCCGCGGCCCCGCTTCCATAGCACCTTATGACTCTAACCGAGGAGGTAATGCAGATGTCGAAAGCAAAAAGACCACTCTGATTGATATTGTCCAGCAGCTGGGGGAATACATCAACGACGAAGACCCAATTCTCCGGGGAAAGGCCGTTTCCTTCCTCACATCCGTTATCAAAGCGTTGCAGCCCCGATTCCTGTCTAGACAGCAGATTCAGGTTCTGACCACCTTTTTTTGTGATCGAATTGAAGATGGAGGCGCAGTCGCGGGGCTGGAGACATTGCAGGGCTTGGAACGGTTCACGAAGGAGTTAGCGACTGAGACAGCGGAAGCGTACGTGTGGTTGCTATCCAAGTGCTCAGGCTTGCCTTTGACTGGGGAAATGAGCGAGGATCCAGCAAATTTATACTAATACTTTAATAGTCTTTTCTCTAATTTCCAAGATCTGCAATCTCGGTCTCAATCGCAACGATTCCAGGTCTACCAGTTGATGAACGAATTGATGTTAAAACACCGAGCTGGTATGTGGCATGATGTTTGCTTGTGTTTTCAATGTTGTACTAATATCGAATAGCATTGGCTAACATGGGTGATATATCACTCGTTGGAATTGTGGATCTTATGACCGGAGAGAAGGACCCGCGGAATTTGATGATTGTCTTCTCCATCTTGAAGGTAGTCATGATGGAATGGGACATCACAAACCATGTTGAGGTATGCTTCTTTTTGAATGAAAGAACTTCGTTGCAAGCTAATATGTATAGCTCCTTTTTGATTCCGTCTATAATTATTTCCCGATCACTTTTAGACCTCCACCAAACGACCCGTACGGGATCACCGCGCAAGACTTGAAGAATCGTTTGCAGGACTGTATCAGTTCAACTCGGTATTTTGCACCCCATGCAATTCCAGCGCTGCTCGATAAGCTGGACTCTACTTCACCAAATGTTAAGGTAAGTCTTCTATTCCCTAGTCTAAAATCAGCAGATGGTTTCTAGCGGACGGTCACTGATATCAGCCCAGAAAGACGCACTCAACACACTCATTGCATGTGTTCACTCATATGACCCTGATACCGTATCCCGTTACTCAATCACTATCTGGGAAGTTCTCAAATTCGAAATTCTCAATGCTCAGGAAGAGTTTTTATCAGAGCTGTCTCTACAGGCTCTCCAAAGTATCGCACAACGGCTTTCAGAGGGTGTCACACAAGTCACTCAGGAGCTACCAATTGCGCAGTACCTTCGACCTATAAGCAAGGAGTGCAATGAACAATTGCAAGAACCGCAACAGAAACAAGCCAAGCCTGCGCAGCAGATTCTCAAATCGCTATCATCCTCCTCAGCTGTGGCTTTCACCCTTGTAGTCCAGACAGCTGTCGCTCCTATATTCACCATCTACCAGGAGGCGGATGGGATTTCCAAACAAAGAGCTCTTCTTGAGACACTTTCGGTGCTTTTCGAGTCTGCAACCGTTATCTTCGGTCAATGGACGACACGTGGAGGCGAAGTTGGATATACGAATCCACTTCTTGAGTTTAAGGATCAGTTCTCAGATGTACTGGGTCAAGCTCTGATGGGTGCTGCTAAAGAGGAGGTGTCATTCCGGGTCACTGCCCTGAAGGGCTTTCTGCGTCTCTCTACCCTGCGTGACTTCTTCCAGGACAACGAGATTGGTTTGTTTGTGCAGTATCTGGATGAGATTCTTCTCAAGGAAGAATCTGTTGGTCGGAATGACTTGAAGATGGAGGCTATTGCAGCTCTCGCCGAGATCTCGAAACATAAGCCTCGTCTGATTATGGACATTACCTTCCCTGCATTTGTTGCGACACTACCGGACGAGGATGATGGCACGAACTCCGCCTATCTGTCCACCCTTGATATTCTGGCTCAGATCAGTGTTGAGAGGGATATCTTCGAAACTCTTTTCAGACGTCTATTCAGCAAATTATCTGTACTACTCCAAAAGGACGAGCCTGGATCTATTGAATACCCGCGAGCCATCCTTGTGACTATTCTCTATGTCATGCAACAGAGAAAGCTGGATAATGATCCAAGTGTGGACCTGTACTTCGAAAAGATTGTCGTTGGGCTATGTCGCAGCGTTGCGGATTCAGCGTCGGGCAATGGCAAGAACCGAATTCTCAATGATCCCACTATTCTCGATACACTTGGACGGTTGTGTAACCTTCTAGTGCGATCTGTTTCTGCTCAAAAGCAGGAACAAGTGACGGAGAATATTTATACACTCTTCTCCACACCAGACAGCTTTAAACCCGTACCTTTCTCCCAGGAAACAAGCACCGATAAGGAACGAACGATGATTCTCTCGACATATCTACTTGCAGGTGTTCCTAAAGAACACGTTGGTCGTCTTCCCTATACGTCCCCCAATATGTCCGATCTTCTTTCAGACCTGGTGCAGCGCTCGGTAATTGAGAATGCAGAACCCGCTACACATGTCGCCTCCTTGCGCCAATTAGCTCTACTTGTCAACAAATTCTTGTCCAAGCAAGATCTGAATATTGCCGAGAAGCTCTTTGATACCATCATTTCTGAGAAGCAGACACTCAACGCCCCTACGATCCGCACTATCTTCTGGCTTTCAAAGGCTTTGGTTCTTCGTCTTGCCCCAACCACAACCCATATATTATCCTCGCTCCTGAGTCTCCTCTCGTACCCCGACCGACAAACCAGCGCCTCTGCAGCCCGAGGTTTCGCCATCCTCCTCAGTGATGATGAAGTTCTTTCTGTTACCAATGGAGCATTTATTCGTATGCTATCCAAGCAGCGCGTTTTCACAACAGTGATTCCGCTGATCTCATCGCGTATCCGTGAGGTCAACATTGCTGGTAATGACGACGCCGCCCAGAAGGCTGAGTCGGATCACATCAAACCAGCCCATCTTACCGCTCTTGCCGGTATCCTTTCCACCATCTCCACGGACTTGGTCATGCCTGAACTCCCCACCTTGCTGCCTCTGCTTCTTCAATCTCTGGACCTCCAAACACCCGACTCTGTCGCCGTTCGGGCAGCCACTCTCGACACACTTGGCGTGATTATTCGCGACAATGGGGTCGCAGTCATAGATAAATGCGGACATGTCCACAGTCTCGTCACGAGACTTCTCAAAACAACTGAAGCCAAGGCAGAAAATGGCGCGGTGAACACCCCCCGTCTCCGCGTGGACGCTTTGAAGTGTCTGTACCTGCTCGCAGCAAAACAGATTCCCGGTGACGCCGCTCCCAATTCCCGTCCGCCCCCGTCCATCTCCCCACTCCTCCCAGAAAAGAATCATGTTCTCCGTGCTCTTCGCTTTGTTTTGGATGATCCCAAGCGAGATGTTCGAAAGGCAGCAGTGGATGCTCGAGGGGCGTGGTTGCGTGGTGTTGATGATGCGCCCGAGGAAGAGGACTGATGGAAGTAATGGATTCCACTCTTCGGGAGTAGCAGCTGAATTTTCTGCGTAGATGACCTTTTCGATGTTCATACATAGCCTTGATATACCTGATGACTAAAATAGAGTGCTTATACACTGATGGAACGATACTCCTAGTCAATCAAGGGGTACTCTATCGCATAAGCTGAGCCAGAGCCTTCAAGTAAGATACTGGGAATAGACATTTCATCTGAAATAGAGTTTGAGGGACCTAGAAACGCCACTCTAGTAGATCCTCTCAAGATGCCTAGAATATTGTCATTGTGTGCGTTAGGGACAAAGTCCAGCGGTCTGTCTAAAGCCGATAGTCTGTTTCGGTCCGGAAAATCAATCAAACAAACAGCCATGATATTTCGGCCCCCAACAGCAAGAACAGAATACATGATTCACAGGTGCTGCGTATTCGCTTAAAAAGTGTTGGTATTGTATTGGATCTCAGGGTGTTGGGATATTGGATTTTGGCTTTTCTGATAAGGAAGGCCTGACACCTGCCTTTTTAAGTTTGGGTTCGTTGATGTCTGGCGGTAATTATGCAGTTATTCTAAATTTGTAGGATTGGGCCAACCCGTGTTAAACCTTCCTCATGGTGCATAGCACATAGTAAAAAGTAATTAAATATTCGAGTTCGTGCTGTTATGGTGCAGAACGATAAATCTGATACTTTGTGATTACAATGCACTATTTTTGATAAATCTGAAATTATGCCGCTGTGAATCATAAATAATAAGTTAAAGAGCATCAAATGGAAGAAAGAGCCCGGGCGAAGATGCAAATTGGTATGCGGATCGCAACGTTACAAAGGTCAGGGCCTGATGCTCCTCATCGCCGAGGCTCGGAACGTTCTCAGCAAGGCTTTGGTAAGACAAATCCTAGCACTTTATAATTGTACATCTGCAGCAGCGGCTTAGGGGACAGAACCTGGTCCTAAAATGTGATGTGATTGATGGGTTGATGCTGAGGCTCCTCAGCCAATTTGGGGTCCGGTTTTTTTAGCTTGGCAGAGAGCATCTCCAAACACAAAAGGCCCCTCTCTTGCTTTTACAATCTCACAAACTTGAAATTCCGGAGCACATAAAGGGTCTTCTTCTCTTCTCTTAATCTAAATTTGGAATAGCTCATAGTGATTGCCGTGTTCGCTCTGATCTATCGCATCACGGCGGCTCGTACAAGGCAACAAGCGTTCCTGTTGGTTCCAGCGGCTCCGGAGGTGTTGTAGAGGGGCCGGCGGTTAATAGCAGCACGCCTTGAATGGCCTACACTGGGTTTCGTATTTGACTCTCCTTTCTTCCTTCTTCCTTCTACCTCTTTTTCGAACGCCTATCTCGTATTTGGTTGATAGATGACAATATTGTCGGCGACATGATTTTGATACCCCTGGTCCAGTTGATTTCTTGGTTCACTGTCTGCACATATGGCTTGGCTACGGAATTGCCTTTATCCATCTCGGCGACGGTAAAGCTAGGACAGGTTGCCTATTATATGCATCGAGTTCCTGAAGTATGTATTTGCGGGACCCAAAGGCTTGGGTTTGTTTCCCTAATAATTTGAACAAAGTCTAACTTGTCCCTTAGCCTGGGGAAGCTATCGGCGAAGGACAAATTGCGGCTCCTTGCACCGTAGTTACTATGAATGGGGCATTCGACGAGAATTTATTGCATGAAACGATTGATAGATTTCAGCAATCAGACGATGTTTGGTCCCCCGCCTTTTTGCAGAATATTGTTTTGCAATCATCCTCTGGATTCGATTATGTTCAGTTACGGGATGCAGCTGCAGCACTCCGATCATTCAAAACTTTTAATATCTATTTTCGCTCATTGGACCAGGGAGCCGTGAGCGAGGGTCCTTATTTTTTAAATACAGGAAAGCTGTATCCAGCCTACCGTCTTTACCCGGACAACACAGGTGCCTTTGTCGCCCCTACAATCCCATTGAGGGGCTTGTCTTGGTATGTCAGGGCGGAAGTGTTATTCTCAATTTTCTATTTTCCACCGCAATGGGGCTGATATTTATTAACAGCTATGAGACACTAGATGTCGCCGCTTACAGGGACTCATATCCCTCATCTTTAACAATTGCGGTGCCTTCTCGCTTGTACTTTCAACAAACGGAAGACAAACCATTCGCAGGAATGAGAATTGGGGTCGAAGACGCCGTGAATCTCTGTAATACTAAAGCTTCGACTTCCTCTCACCGGTTCGACGATCTTTACGGATCGCGCAAAAGCGATGAACCTGTTATTCAAAGACTCGTTGATCTAGGCTTTGTCATTGTGGGAAAAGTAAGGACAACTGAAATGGCCGATTCCAAAAATCCCGACTGCGGTGATGAGCGTGATTGTGGTAGTGCAGCCGCAGTTGCGAGCTATCCGTGGCTTGATTTTGCCTTATTGACAGACAGTGAGCATCACGTTGCACCGACAAAATAAATTCCATAAGAATTTCTCACTGACATAAATCAAGCTCTCGGCAGCCTCCGAGCCCCCGCTTCTACTCAGGGATTATTCAGTATGCGTCCCTCCCTGAACGCAGCGGGCTCGACAAGATTGATACCATATACTCCGTAAGACATCTTACTCTTCGGAAGTTTTCAATTACTGATAGGCCCGCTAGGCTCGTGAACACAATTGGTGGGTTTGCAAGAGATGCTGCCTCATTTGCTAAGCTTTCTCGGGCGCTCTATGGGTCTCGCGGAGTACGGAAATACAATGGGGCAAGTTTCGACTAAGATCTTAATATGTATGTTGCTGACTAGGAAGGACAGAAACCTCGCATGATACTCTACCCAGTCGAGTTCTGGCCGAAAGGGATCGATAAAAACCACGATTTGTTGGAAACCTTCATCGTAAAACTCGAAAAATACCTCGGTATTGAAAGAACTCCGGTCAGCTTGGAAGAACTATGGAATGCGACCAAGCCAATCAAGAGCGAAATTGCCTTGCAAGACTACATGGCCGATCTCATGAAGTGGAATGAAGGCAATGATCAAAGAGGTAGAGGGTCAATTGATGTTGATAACAAGATGATGCGTGGCAACGAGGCACAGCTAAGATACCGAAGGTACGTAGAAGGCTGAACACTTTGTCAACGATGGTGCTAATACACAAAGTGATTGGGTATCTACCTCCATGAAAGAAACTGAAGAAGCAGGGATAAGAAAATGGAAGTCATTTAAGTCCTGGTATGACACAAACGTGCTACCCCCAGCCAAGGATGGAGTTTCGGATACTCTTTTACTCTTGCCTTGGATTATTGAAAAGCCTGGGTTCCAAGACAAATATCAAGACCGTCTACAGGGATTTCCTGGAACCGGTCTCTTCTTTTCAAACCCATCGCTGTACGCACAGGCCCCAGAAGCTATTGTACCAGTTGGCCAGATACCATTCACATCTCGCATAACTGGACAAAAAGAGTTTCTATCGACCTGCATTGGAATTTCTAGCGGAAGAGGAAGCGATGTGATGCTCAGCGACTTTGTGGAGAACTTCATGTCGGGAGATAATGAGCGAAGACTAGAACTGAAATTTCAGGAACTGTGATTTCGCCGCTTGTGCAGCTCCATATGGCCGTATTTTTAGCCGTTTATACTAATAGCAAGCTGCCGATGAATTGTATATTTCAGTTTGCACGATGTCTTTCTTTTGTAGAATTGTGAAGACTAAATTGGACTAATATCAACGATCGAATGATGCTTACATTAGAATGTAGAGACAGTCCATTTCTCCTTCTCAATTATTCACAGCACATAATTCGCCACAGGGGCATCTCAAATATTCTGATGGATATAAATGGCAGGGCTTTAAGAAAAGCAAGGATTGTTTCTAGAAAGCAGCCTAGGCAAAGCTCTAACTGGATCAAATATCAGTATATCAAATCTGGACAAGTGGAAGGCCGGTGCCTTTTTTTACACCTCTTTCGAACTTGCTTTCCCCGCTTTCATCGGCTGATAGTAGCGGCATATTCATTACAGCAATTACAAGATCATATGGCAACGACTGTTGAGAGTGAAGGGGATTGCTCTCCTTACTAAATAATCAAAATGAATTTCTTAGATTCTTTCGACTGGCAAGATGTTGGAATGAGCCCTAGAGGACTGAAGATTTCTCAGAACAGACTGTATGCTGCCTGGACTCCGTGGAATCATATAATAGTATGGTCTGGCATTACATGTTGTAGAATAGAGAATATTTGTCATTTGGGAATCAAGAATATAAAGCTATCTCTAGAATAGAAGGTTAAATAATGAGAGTAAAATATGTTCCTGCCATATTGGGAAAGCCTCGAGATGGATGCGGCACGTTCATGCCGGCTGTATTCTGCGTCCATGAACCATATCACCGAAAGAAGAGATGATGAGATCAAATATTCACATGAAGAGTCTATTAGAATCGAAATTAGATCATCGGCCCCATCCGGGCCCCTTTTCGATATTTTCAGCGATTTCTAGGGCTAGTAAGACCCCCATGTTATTTCCAATATACTGAAGACATTGGACAACCCATTGTCGGGTGTCATCCTGAATGACCAAGCATTTACCTGCCATGTACAAGCCCCAAGCCAAGATATAGCCACCTGACACATTGGGCTTGCCGCGGAAGGAAAGATCGACGGAAGGGTGCATCTCAGATCCCGTAGAAAGGAATTCCAAAGCCTGCGGGACGGTGGCGAGGATGTCGTGACTTGTCTTTCTCAGGGCCTGTACTGTTTCCTGGAACTTGAGCTGTATCTTTTGCCGAACTGGCGGGGCCAGGTCCGAGCGGAGGATCTGAAGTAGATAATGGTACTTAATTTCGGCGACAATCATGTAGCAACATCTCCCGTTGTTCCAGACTCTGATCGACCAAAAGTCGTTATAGCGGTCCGCTCTGTTGTTATAGACAACTTCTGGGTTTACAACAGACGTCAAAATCGTCGTGTAATAGGGCTCCTGCATGGCTAGGGCGTCCAAGACGTTAATATATTCACGTTCAAGCACTATTGCTTCCTCAAGGAACTCCCAGTCTTTATTCACCGTATTTGTCCGCACACGTCCGAGGATGTCTATGCACCGAGCACCCAAAACACCCAGCTGCCAGAATGCACCAGAGGTATTCATGTACTTAGCGGCCTCTTCTTGCAGCTCCAAGATCTCCTTCGGGAACGGTAGCCAAAAGTTGATAGACGCAATAATCATATCGGCACGGACTTGGTTAAACATCAATAGGGATGAGGGACTGGAGAATTGTTTCTTTCCTCGAGCCGCTACCACGGCGACCGCGCCCCTCACATGTCGCACCCACGATTTGTGCTCGGATAGGTGTTCAAAGACCCCCAAAGAGATCACCGCCATCAAGGTACTGTCCTTCACAGATTCGACCGGCGACGCCAAGGCTGCGTTCACCCTGCTAATGGCATCGGCGTACTTGGCGCGCGCCCGGACGGCCAACCAAGGCTGCCGCGTTGAATTAGCCAAGGCCACCAGGCCTACGGCCGCCATACTGGTAGTCAGGATCGGGTGCTCCCCCTCAGCAAAGTAGACTGAGGGAATGTAATTCAGATATCCCCGCGAGGACTGGCCACCACCATTGACGAAGCTGCACAAGAAATAGTTGACGCCGACTTCATTGAGTTCCGGGGTTGGTGGCCGGATAGGCGGAGATGTTGACTTGCGGTTGCGCTTGGCATCCTTCTCTTGCGAACGCTTAATGGTATGACTGGTTTGATCGCGGAAGACCAACTCCCATTCATCGCGATACCCCGGACATTCTTCGTGCATGCGGATGCACTGGCCGCAATGGGGACGCTGTAGATCGCACTGGGATGATCTGAGCCCTGGCGAACTGGATACCCGAGTTGGAATGAGAGAGCAGGGCGGCACTTACGCGTCGCTTGACCAGTCGGCAGTTCCCACAGCTCTTGGAGGGCCCTCGGGGCGCTCTGGATGAGGGCATTCCGATGCAGATACAAGGATACCGGGGTGGTATATAATGCACGCTCAATCCCTTTCTGGATTAGGTTTGGTTCCTGGCGTCACAGGCTTGCGGTCTTCGAGGGGAACATCTGGAGTGGGACGAAGCTTGTTGACGACAAGCTCGTCGGATTAGGCACCCTCTAATTGGTGCCTGATTGGACCCCGACGGCCCCCAAATCGAGAAAGCCACGGTCGCTCGGTTATGATCCATGACCATCTCGCCGTTCAGCTGAACTGCGAGTCTGTGGCAATGCTCTTCAGATTTTATAGAAAATCTTCAGCAGTCAACTACTGGGTCGACCCGATTAAAATGTACTTTCCCCCACGCCCGTTCAGGGCTGACAGACTGCCTCATTATTGGCTTTTGGCAGGGATCCACGACTCTTTTCCGTTTTAGGCATCTGAGATGTCCGGCCAATGATGCACTATAGCCAGACGTATGGACCACAACGGCGCATGGCTCAAATGGACTAGACTGTTGAACTAGCCTATCGATATTTACAAGAGGTCATTTTGCCATCCTAGGGCTGTGCAATGGCCCTGGAACCCACCTGGAGTCGCATTATCCCTCCTTTCATTAGCATGCGAGTATACTGCCATCCTATCCCCCAGCCCACTAATTGTCCAGCGCTAATAGCCATGGCCCTGGATTATGATCAAATTATGATCGTGTTGTGATCGCGTTATGATCGCGTTATGATCGTCGAGGCCTGTTTACGAGCTAATTGGCCTAGCACCCCTCCTATTGGCCTGTATCGGACTACAGGGGCAAGCGCAAGTAGACAGCAAGGTACAACCTTGGAACTCAATGGCTGTCAATGAAGACAATGCGTCATCAAAGGAGATTACTTCTAGGGCGGAGTGCGGCGAAATATAAGGGAGCACAAGGACAAGCTTAGATTATTTTCAGATTGTGAACAGAAACAGAGTTCAAAAAGACATAGTAATGTAACCGATATATTCGATACAATTGTGAAAGAATGTATACATATATGGCGTGAGAGCTCGTCACTTTTCATCATTATCATCAACCTGACTGTCCTCTCGGCCCCCCTGTTTTTACTCTTTCCTCTCCAATTGACCTCAAAACAGTCGCGGTTAAGAAAATCTTGGAATATTCTTCAAATCGGTAATCAGCGTGGGCAAAAAAGTGCGAAATCTACTGCGGCACTCTTGACCCAACACGCTGCCAGAAATCACACCGGCTGCCACGGCTACCTTCCCAAGACTTTGCATTAGCCAATCTGAATTCATTTGTGACCCCAGGGTCCTCACGCAGCCAATATGCCAGATGATCAGTCACCGTGTCCCGGACCAACGAGCCGCCCGTTGTGTTCAGATTCATCAACGTTGGGGTTTTCGCCGTCCACTTCGGCCAAGCAACATTTCCGTCAGGACCATGTGGTACAGTAGCGTTGTCCCTGCCTCCTTTGGCATCCTGGACGGATACAACCGGCGTGCCGTAGATAATGAAGCTACCCCAGATCTTCTGAAACGCGTGCATAAAGCCGCGTGTAGGTAGTGCCTGCCCAACAGAGAAATACGCCGTCAAGTCTGCGCCGTGATACGCAGGGGTCACAGAATATTGATATTTCCAGCTTGATTTCGTGTCATCTCCTGAAAATGCGTCTGCAAGCCAGTAGGATGGACAGTCGAAGGTCGTCTCAGCAAATATGTCGAATACGGTTTGTTGGAGGCCGTTTGCGAATTCAGATTGGTTTAATGCGGTTGGACCATGTGTGCCGAGGGTGTCGTAGAGAGGCCCGATGGTATTTGGCAGGGAGGACCTTGTGCTGTAAATATCAAGGAGCTGTGCGTAGTCCGAGTTTGTGAAGAGTGGGAATGTGGACTCAATGTAGTTCATGAAGCCACCAGTCGTGTTTATCGTTGGCGGACTGAGAGGAATGCCGTCATTGGCATTATTCTTTACAGGTCAGTACTGGGATTTTATCACCTGTAGCCTTTATGCGGAGGGGAATGGAATGGCTTACACCACTCAGTATGCGTTTGCCACTAATCTTCTTTTGGAGCAGTTGCTTCGACGGAAGCTCTCGTACGAAGTCTCCATCTGTGACAGGCAAAAAGGCAAATGTGCCCCAAGCGCCAGATATCGAAACATTGCCGCTAGCATATTGCAGAGTATTCGAATCGGCGCGTACTAAGCAGTCAAAGATAGCTAAATCTCTTGAAGACCCTCCATCATAACATCCCGCGTGTTTCGCGAACTCGAGGTAATGTTTGGTGGGTACAGCGTCTTTGTAATTGTACTGCGCTGGAGTATAAGGGCTTGCCGCAATGATCTATATAAGTCAGAAAGGTCGATTTCAAGATTTGCAACCAGGTGCTGCTTACATTTTCAAACAGATAGTCTTCTCGACCGCCATAGGCCATCGCTTGCAACATCACAGCCCCAGCACCAGAAGATTCACCACCAATAGTAACACGGGTAGGGTCGCCACCAAAGGTTTTTATATGATTTTGAACCCATTCAAGAGCAAATCGCATGTCTAGCAAGCCAGCATTGGTCTTGCCGTATTTATGCACTTCTGCCGAAGACAAGAAGCCAAATGCCCCTAGTCGATACTGAATCACGACGGAGATGAATCCGTTCTTGTTGGTCTTCATCCAATCGCTGGGATCATAGATGGCTCCGTAAAGGCCATAGCCACCTCCATCTGGAGGCTTGAATCAGCTGCAACCCATCTGAATAAACTTCCGGCATTAGACTTACGAATCCACACAAGAACAGGGAGCGCTTTCGCTCCTGACGGCGCATAGACATTCAAAAAGAGGCAATCTTCGTCACCAAGAGCAGAGTTGAATCCATAGACTTCGGGTAGCTTTGCAGCTCCAGACTGTGGACAAAGTGGGGGTTGTTCTGTTGCAGGAAGAACGGTTGTCTGATTTGCTGGGGGTGGCTCCGGAGCTTGCCATCGCAGCTTTCCTAGCGGTGGTGCAGCATATCGGATCCTGAAATGATTCGGTTACTATACAGGCCATTTAATAACACCGTGATTATGACTAGCTTTTACCCTTTGAAGATGTTAAGGCCAGAGGTATCATTGTAGGATCCCTGATACTTCGCATAGCCTAGATCGATGATTGGGCCAACTTTATGAGTGGAAGTTCCCAAGCATGTTCCAATTATGAAGAAAAAAGCCACGCAGCCTTGCTGCTGTCAGAGAAAGAGCCCATTTGTTGTCGCTCTTCGCTGCAGTTGATCGATTAACCAAGGGATGAGGGGCAGAAAGGAGCATTTGTGGAGGTGCTGATCGCAACCGCTTATGTGCAGGTGCAGGCAGCCGCGCCTCCAATTGAAAATTATGAGCTGCCTAGCTTTCTTCAGAGATCGTCTTGGGAAGAAGAGGGTGTATAGGACAGGAAAATTGACAGAGTCGTTTTTGATGAGCCTGCGAAGAAGCGAAATAAAGATTTTTGGGTTTAGGGGCCATGAAGACTTGCTAGCGCATCCTTCAATGATGCCATGATTGATGATATTGGGACCGAAAGCTACACAAAAACTGCACAATAAGTGACCGCAAAACAAACACTGATATCAACACTAAATCTGAACCCCATTGCTCGATGTTTATGCTGCTCCTGCAGTTATTTGCCCTACAATCTCCGACTATTCTAGATGAATTCGTACATGTATACAAGGAACCAGGATGGTCTTGGTATCTCGATTGAATTTGATTCTCTATCCTTCCAGAAAACATAAGGCAGCGAGGATCATGTCAATTTAGGACTTTTATGATCTCATTGCATGACAGTTTCGACAGTTGAATATATCGTAATGAAAATAATATATTGATGATGCATGCTAGAGCATGAAATTCCGATTTTATCGTCTGAAAAAATTGTTTGTACGAGTATGATTGCTCACAGGTGAATAGTAAATTTAGTATCTTCTTTATGCTAAGCCAATACTAATTCCAGCACCGACATGGCACTACCGAACGGCTGGGAAACCTTGACCAGCTGTAATCTGCGATCTGCAGCAGCAAAAAGTTCCTTCCAGTCCTCCAAGTCCCGCTCCTTGCTATTAAAAGCCTGCATCATTGTCAAATCACGAGCTCGCATAATGCGCTCCTCCGAGACCGGAACGGACCCCGGCTTTGGGAGTACAGTATCCATGATCAGTAACCGAGACCTGGTCCTGTCCATTGCCGTTACAATATGCTTCAGAATGGTGGTAGCCTCAGCGTCCGACCAGTCGTGCAAGATCATCCGGAGGAGATAGGCATTTGCGCCTTGCACTGGCTGTGGATGGGTAAAGTCGTGAGCTTGAAAGGTAATTCGTGTCGTGATGTCTGCTGGTAGGGCTTCTGCAGCTTTGACTCCGTTTTCCGTATTCGCGGGAAGATCTTGTACGGTGAATGTAAGGTGGGGATATGCTTTGGCCAGCGCGATCGCTGACGTGCCTGTCGATCCTCCGACCTGGTACCCATGTTAAAAAACAATGCGCTCCTAGAAATGGATTTCTACCTAGGAGAGGAGTGTAGGAAGCTTACGTCGACTACCATTCCCCCATCGGGAATATCCTGCCATGCGTAGCCTCCAACTAGATGTTTGATGTCCACACCCTCACTACTTCGCACGTTCCGCATATACTGGGCAAAATCGGCCATGAAGGCTTCGTTCCGTGACAGAAACTCGAAGAAAGGCAAGTCAGTGTGATAAGCCAGGTTAAATGCGGTCTCATATGTGCGGGTGCTGCCTGCCCCCCATTTCTGATGTGCCGGGGCCATCTCTATGGCGCAGCGCGCGGTCCGGGCAGACATGTAGAGCGCATACGCGTGGACATCCTCATTGCGTGCCAGGAGCGCGGATGTTGCTGAGTGACCAACCTTTCTTCCATCGGGATGCTCGCGGAATAAGAAGTTTGTCATGGCCATGCGGACGATGCTTTTGAGTCGTTGCTCAGGCACATGAGCCACTGCAGCCAGATCGGCATAGCTTATGGTCTCATTGAGAGGGACCAGGCGGAATACATCAAATTGGCACAGCCAATGAAGACAGGAGATATATTGAAACTGTATTTGATCAGTCTGCAATTTCTTTTCTTCCCTTTCACGGTCAGTATCTGTCTTACACCAGTGGCGAGATGCGGAAGAAACTCGCTAGGTCCAACGGCCAAATGCAGAATTTCTAGGGCAGCGGCAATGAGGTTCTCCCGGGCTTCATGGACACTCTGAGGTGAGCCTGTTGGTAGAACCACACTGGGACCATCACTATTGAAAGATGGCTGTGGTAAGTGGTGGGCCGTCAAGAACTGGCTCACGATCCCAGCATTCTTGGTGATAGAATGACTCAGTTCGTCTAGAGGAAAAGCGGATTCCGACATAGTGTTCAATTGTTGATGGTGCTCTCGAACGGGGATGTCCATGGCGAGGACATAGTATATTCCTGCATCGTGCCCTTTTCAAAAAATGCCGCGCTAGTCGGATGATCTGCAGGGCTTCGCGGACGAAATACGGGGCGCCCCGCTGCAGGCAGGGCTTGGTTTCCCGGTCGGGCTCCGAAACACGAGTCGGAAATAAGCCGGGGTTGTTAATTTGTTGGTTTATTGGTTTGCGCTGCTACTGGTTTCATTTGAGGCTTCCAAAGGTTGCAAAAGAAAGCAGTGCCGGATGGAGATAGCTTGTCTCCGTGCTGCACCGCTTAACTCCGGCTCTTTCAGCCCTCTTTGCACCCACATCTCGACCAGCACGCCTCTTTACCATAAGGCTGCCCCGCACATGGAATCAACTTAATCTTCAGATCAGATCTTATTTTTCTTTCAGATCCTTGAATCTACTACAAATCACACAATGGCCACTAGATACGCCAAGGATCAGCCGGAGGGCTTTACCAACCGCATCGAAAGGGTCGCTTTTGTCGGGGTATGTCGTCGACCACTTCACTCCATAAACCCCCTTGATGACTGAAATGGCTCACAATCTAGGCTCCAGGCGGGGGGACAAGTTGGAAGACATCTCATTGATCAGCTTCTTAAAAATGGCCGGCATGTGGTGACTGCCATCACCCGCCCAAGCAGCACCAACCAAATGCCCGAGGGCGTCAAAGTCGCTCGCGTCGATTACGCCAGCGACGATGACACGGCTCTTGTAGAGGCCCTGCGCGGTCAACAAGTCTTGGTGATCACCATGAATGTTATGGCACCCCCGGACACCATGATTAAGCTCATCCGTGCGGCCGCTAAGGCCGGGGTGTCGTATATCGAACCAAACTGGTACGGGCATGACGCGGCCAACGACGCTCTCTGTGATGATAGCCTTCTCACCCCCAACCGTGATCGCGCCATTGCCGAAATCACCCGTCTGGGCGTTAGCGCCTATCTCTTTCTCGTCTGCAATTTCTGGTACGAGTTTAGTTTGGGCGGGGGACCCGACCGCTTCGGGTTTGATTTCACGAAGCGCAGTTTCACCCTGTATGACGGGGGCGACGTGCCCATCAACACGACCACTTGGCCGCAGTGTGGGCGAGCTATCGCAAAATTGCTGAGCTTGAAGGAGCTCCCCGAGGATGAGAATGACCAGTCCCCTACCCTCTCGCAGTTCCGCAACCGCTCGGTCTATGTGTCAAGCTTCCGATTGACCCAGCGCGAGATGTTTGAGAGCATCAAGCGCGTCACCAAGACCACAGATGCGGACTGGACCATCACGCAGGACTCTGTTGCTGAGCGGTTCAAGGAAGGACAGGAGGGGATGAAGGTGCACAATTGGAAGGTGTTTACCAAAATGTTGTACAGTCGGATGTTCTTCGCGAATGGTGATGGAGACTATGAGTCCAAGCGGGGTCTAGATAATGAATTGCTTGGTCTTCCCGTCGAGAATTTGGACGAGGCTACGGCAGAGGGCATCCGGATGGGAGAGAACAACGAGGTCCCATTCTCGCACTGAATACCTGATTAGACTGTGGATCCCTTGAGGGTGGAGACGCCGTAAGGGTGGGAAGGGCGTTAGACCTTGGTACTACTCGAATGAAGAAATGCACGGCTCGCTACTCGAGCCTTTGGTGTAATCCTATATTCTGCAGAAATCCTTATGACCGTGGCTAGGAGAGTTTCGGCCATTCTATAGGGCAGGTTATTCTCGTATTAAAAGAGAATCTGTAAGGGTCTTGTGTGACAAGTCACACTACATCTCAACATTCTGGCCCGTCGAATACGATGTTTGCCGTTTATAGAAATGAAAAATGCAATCGGAAGAAAACTGCGATATTATAGACTTGAGGGCTGAAGGAAATGGTATAAATCATCTGCCTTTTTTGTATATTTTAATTTTAAAAACACTATATTCGCCTGCGGGAATGTGACGAAATATTCTTAGACGCAGGAAGATAGAGCTAACGATATCAGATAATATACACAGGGGATGGACCCAATAAAAAAGCATTTCTTCGTATTTAGATTCCCCTTTTGAGTAAATGCTTTCACTCGGGCTGCAGCCTTCAGGCGGGAACTTAAGTTAGGTAGTATGCGTTTGCAAGCCGCGACCCTCGTGTTCAATCGAATCAGCCTTGTCGCTGGCCAATTGCCGTAGGTTTATGCGACGTTTGCCAAGAGAGCAGGTTTCGTGGTGGTGGTGAATAAACATCTGAATACGATTTGTAGCATCTACCCAGGAGACTAATATACCCTGTCTCAGATAACGAGATCATTCCGGCCTGGTGTTACTACATCGTATTTGGAACCAAGCGGGGGTGCCCGCATGGACGCCGAGGCAAAACGCCCGGCCCCGTCGATCCTTGAGAAAACCAGGGGAGATCCACTGGTCGGATGATCATCGGCTTCCGGCTTGGCACCGTGCTCAGGACGGGCTTAGTGGCAGGCTAGGATCTCATCATAGGCTAATCTTCGCTTCTATGCGACCTACCGATAGAGGGAATAGTCGGACGGGGACAGGAGGAAAGAGAAGCATTGAACGTATTGAAGAGTGAATCAAACTATACACCTCGCGAGCTCGTAACGCCAGGTGGTCAGAGGGACGTATAAGTCAGAATCACAGTGGGGGCGGCAGCAGGCTGTGTCTGGATCACGAATTCAGCTCTCGAAGCCTAGCTTTCATCCAATTGGTAATCCGTGAATGCTCATCTCGGAGCCACGAGTCCAAGCTCTGGTAGAGAGTGTCCAGGCCCCCAAAATTTGGCTCATCATCTCGACACTGGTGGCCAGCACCATGCGATGTGACAAACTGATCAATCAGCTGCGAAGCCCGTCGCATTTCGCCCAAGAGTAGTTGGATCTTCAGTGCTGTTTGGACGCGAAGGTCATCCACATCAAAAGTTCCGATCGCCATTTTGGCCGTGGTCACCGACATTTCCGAATGTGTACCGCCGGTGGTTGCTCCGGTATGGAACGTACTATGGGTCCCCATGCTCGACCAATTCGTTGATCCAGTGCCAGAACCAGAGCTATAATCGGGAGATGACGCTGCTGGCGATGTGTTTTGTGAAGTGGCGTCTGGGGTCAGGCTAGCCTGCCTCCATGAGGGACTCGAGGTACAGGCCGCTGCCTGTTGGTACCATAGCATTACGCGAGAGATATTTGATGCATAGAGGAGGACTAAGTTCGCAGATTTCGCACAGGGACATGTTAATAACCGCCGCAGTTGCTCACTGGCTTCCCGATTGAGGCGGAGCATATGGTCCAGTGGAACACTGGCAGCCGTGCCGGAAGGAGTGGAGTGGCCTTTCATGAGATTGATGTTTGACAGACGGCTAAGGATCTCGCAAACTTCCTGCGGACAGTCATGGTCTCTGCAACCAGAGCTCAGGGGCGGAGTCAGGTACTCGGCATATTTGTCTGGTCGAGAGTGATGAGAGGCTGTATGACCTTTTGAAACGCTTGATGAGGAGCCGCCTGCACTGGGGGTTTCCATGGTCGGTAGGAGACCTAAATTGAGATCGTACGGGAGAACATAGTCACCGTGATCTGCTACGGTCCACTCGTTCACCCCGAGAGAAGGAAGATTCAATAGCCCATGATTGTTGTCCTCCATGGCGCTGGTAAAAAGCTCAGGATCTAAGATGAAGTCGCTGCCATCACGAGTATCCCATTTCATATCCATGATCCTGGGGTCAAGAGATGGGGGCCGTGAGATACTTTGGCGCAGTCGCTCTCGTGGAGGCTTTCCCCATTTTCCTCGAAATTCCATAGACACAAGTTAAGCCGTTGGCGTTACACCGTCGACACTCCGGTTGGGTGCGATCACATTTCAATTTGGCCATCCCACAGGCATCGCAACTGGAACGTAACTTGGGTTGTTTGGTGCTTCGAGGCGGATCACTCGCCATGGTTCCCGGTCAGGTCTTCGTGTTGTGGGTGTGTAATATCTGCTAAGAAAGGGACCGTGGACGGATACATATAGTTACATATCTCTAATTGCCCGGCCCGCGCATTCACGATCCTATGGTATAATGGTTCAGGCCATCCCGTGTTCAATTGGTCGTGGGTGATGCAGTCATGGAGGAGCCGCACTGGCCCGTGCATATATTCCATCTCGCAGGTAGCACTGTTGGCCCTAAACCCACTCCACTGGCCTATCATGATGCATTACAGACAAGCATTGCCTCCCGTACAAAATTTGTGAGAGTCTAACGCTTTAGGGTATATACGAGAACCCGTTTGCCTGGCTGTCCAGTATTTTATCTGCACTCTCCTGTATGTGACAACCGGGGCCGCCGACCAGAGGATCCATTTCCCCTTATGCTGTTGACGCAAATAAGCCAAAACAATTGGGCCCTGGTTCATTTGTCAATATTTTAGCCCCCATTCCCCCTCGTTTCACTAACTAAACCAAAACAAGTATGCTTTATGTCTATGGAGAATGTAGATGCTGAATATGCCCATTATCTCATCGCATAACTCGATATTCGTACCAACACATCAAAGTGCCCCTCAGATTAACCCATGCACTCGTATTTCTTGCATGACCCCCAGAAACTCCGACCGTACCAAACCCCTTTTAAAGAGCGGGTGGCGGGGAAATGCAACCCGATTTACCCCAAAAATGTTTTTGTGTTGTCGAGTGGTTCTCGTGCTAAAGGTAACACTAAGCACTATGCCTCAAGCCCAATTCCATCGCCCCCAGCCCATAAGCACTAACCCGGATCAACCACCAATTGGGTGTGACCCAGCGGAGTACACGAAAACCTGCATAGTTGCTCCCGCCGGCACGCCCGAGGAACTGCAATATGTTCACACCTTTCGGTTAGACTGCGCCATCTGGAGGAATCTGCTCGTACTCGAATAACGGTTCTAATATTGACTGACTGAGACGTAAGCTACGTCTGGTATGCAGTCACAAGGAGAGAGCGGTCTAGGAAAGTAGAAACTCTCGTGGTTCCCGGTTCATATGTATAGCAAGACCAAAAAGACGCTTATCTGCTGCCTGAATCCAGGAAGTATGTGTTCAGTTACCAAACATTCCAACATAAAACACACAGAATAACCAATGAGACGATGCGTTGCGTACATAGATGTGGGGATATTACCCTACCGATCACGAAGGCTAGAAGCAGTAAGATGTCCGCCATAACTCCGCTCCTCCTTCGCATCCGGATGGGTGTCCGCGTTTCATAGAAGCAGGGTTCGGACATTCTTTCAGTGCCACTTCTCCCCCAACAATCACTTTTTTTTTTCGTTCTTTGCTTCAATTCTTTGTTGTTGATAAGCGTCGAGCTCCGCTATGGGACTGGACAATTATCTTCTCCCCATGTCAGGATGAATTGGCGACACGAAGACAGAAAGACGAGGATAATTAATACGATATTGAAGCTTTCTTTGCCAAGGTTCCAAAATATTTCAACAAAGCGACTATTCCGGATTTGTATACCATGGTATGAGACAATTCCTCGTGACAAATAATCCTCACCATAATTTGGAATAATTTTCGAGGCAGAACCTGTGTGATCTGCGAACATCCGGGAATCATCAGAGGTGTCTCAATCACCCCAATAGCGTCCAACACGGCTGCACAACAAGCGGATTGAGTCTCAATAGATATTTGAGGTCATTATAAACTCATCATGCCAAGTTGGGAGTTCTCATGTCAAATGCAGTCCCGATCAACCCACATGGATCCCATGGAGGAGTGTAACCTCAATCCCAATCACTGCACTCGACACATGGCGACCCCGAGGAGATCGCCCCACCAGATTTACCATCGAGAATTTTCCTGTAAGAATACACGGTCTGACCCGACTTGGCATTTGGAAAGGGCCTTCGGGATCACATGGTAATAGCAGCTGATCAAGGCTGGGCGATGGCACAGGTATGGCGTGAAAATAATCGACAATAGATGTATATTTCCGTACGGTCGTTCGAGAACAGCAGTAAATCTTTATTTCGAACTCAAGGCACCTCTCACAAAGGATCCTTTTCATTTATCGTCCTAGATAATGATCAAATCTCCATGTTCAATGTTAATCTCCTAAGACGCAAACGCTTTGATGCTCCATGAACCAATGTACGTTAAATTATGCAGAGGATGATTCGGAACCTCCTTGTTTTTTGCCAGCTCTCTGCGCCAACAAGATCTTTCGTCGCTCTTCCTCTCCAGCCAATCCCATTTTCACTTCTACATGCTTCTTCTCCAGCGTCTTATGCCGGATGAGGAAGCACACTAAAAATGCAGCAGCAGCGAAAGACATAGCAAGAATCCATATGTCGCGAACTGATAACCAGAATGCGTCACGCACCACCTTCTGTTGAGACATGGGAAGTGTATCGATCAGCAGCACATTTGCCTGCGCATTGCTCCCCGAAAACAAATCTGCTTTTGTAGGGCCTAGAGCATCGACAAGCGAATCCTCGCGCGCATTCATCTTATTCGCAAACGCGACCGATCCCAGCACCACGCCAATCGCGCTGGCCACGTTACGGACGAGACCAAATGACGCTGTTGCGGCTGCATTATCCTGCGCGGGGACGCTACTCTGCAATGCAATCATTGGAGGTTGGAAATTCAGACCAACGCCAAACCCCGAAATGATCTGGTAAATAATGATTTTCGACCATGTTCGGGAGCGTGGAAGATCGTATAAGAGCCCAACCCCCAAGAGTAGGATGGTAAATCCGACTCGGATGCAGTCGAGGAACCGGCCAGTTTTCTTGATGTACATCCCAGCACCCACGGTGGCAGCCGACATAGACACCGCGAATGGGAGCATCCAGACACCGGAAAGTAAAGGTTCTGCTCCGAGGACGGACTGGCAGTAAAGCGGTAGGAAATAAGTATTGCATGTCAAAATGATGCCGTGGAACAGGTTGACCACAAATACGGCGAAGTTGGATACGCTTGAGTATATGTGTAGCGGGACGATAGGATTTCGCGCAAGATACCGCTCCACCACAAGAAAGATGGCCAATGTAATGGCTCCGAATACTATGAGACAGATGACGGTGACCGAGTTCCAAGGATGAACAGTGCCTCCGAATTGAAGTCCCAGGAGGAGCATCAGAGTCCCACCCACCAAGGCCAGGGTGCCAGTCCAATCGATGGCTTTGATTCCCGCGACCAATGGTGTTTTCGGTGTTTCCAGCTTGAGCATGAAAAGGATGATGGCAAATGCCGTTCCAGAAATTGGCACTTTAAGCGATGTTAGCATCCCAAATAGTTTCGTTCCACAAAGAATGAAGGCATGCGTACAATTTACGTAGAAACACCATCTCCAGGAGACCTGTTTAGTGAATGCACCGCCCACAAGAGGACCCAATGTAAACGCGACCGCCCAGACCATCCCGACAATGCCATAATACTTTCCGCGATCCCTTGGAGAAACCGTCAATTGGGCCCCTTCGTAGAGACAGATATGCGAACTCACCTTTGAGAGAAAAGATCTCCCACAACGATGCTAACCAACGATAGAAGTCCACCACCGCCTATTCCTTGGATAGCCCGACCGACAATCAACATCGAGATACTCACCGCAGCCCCGCATAGCGCACTTCCGAAGAAAAACGTAGCCACTGCGATGAGCAAGATCACCTTCCGGCCCCAGATATCACTAAATTTGCCCCAGCTTGGTGCGACAACAGCAGCTGAAAGTAAAAATGCGGAACCGATCCAAGTGAAGCCAGAAGTGCTCTGAAAGTAGTCTGAGATAGTTGGTAGGGCCGTGGAGACGATGGTGATGTCGAGGGCGGCTAAAAAGACCGCGCTCTAGAATACCTCTCAGTTGAATGGGGTTTCCAACAATGGCTGGTCAACTTACACATAAGGTTCCCATAATAATGACATTTTGTAGGCTGCTTCTTCTATATGTTTCAGGAACGCTCTGGGGGGATGCGTCTTCAACGGTGCTATCCAGCTGTGGAGCTATTGGGGCTTTCGGCTCTGTTTTTCCCGCCAACCCGGGATTTGCACGAGATGCTTCAGAGTCTGCCATTACTGCGCGTCCACAGAGGCAAGAGGGTCATCTGTGTGCAATTAGTGTGGAAAGGAAATGGAGAAGAGCTGGGGTGGATGGGCGATCTCGAGCTGGAGAAGTGGTATTCGACCACTAAAATCTGGACGGCCTACAATTCCGCACACACTCAAAAAGAGCCTCTGGTATTATAGGTTTCGGCCGTCGAACGGTGAACAAAGAAACCGCTCACACCAAAACCTCCCAGAACCGGGCGACTAAAGTCCGAGGCCTAAATCCGAGGCCCCTGCAGCCGCTAACGCATCTAGAAGTCAGTATTATGATCGTATTCTAGGTACGGAGTACCGATATTCTGCTAAAGCAAAACAAGTACCATCATTTGACCTAGTCAATGATCGACGGTTGATTCACCCATTGGTGATCTGGTCCCACTTCAGTCCCATCATGATTAGCCTACATAGCTTGGTTTTTTTTGGAATGGTGGGACTGCGGGGGGCCTGGACGGATTCGCCCGGCGATCATCCCTGAGCAGAAGGTCCTAAGCCCCGGGCGTAGTGCGGAATTGTGCGTTTATCCCTTTGGAAGGCGACCGAAACAGTGGCATTTCAAAATTCTTCATCCAACTATGAATTCTTGGCATAGCAGAAGCATTCGGCTCGTGGTTTTGTTGTCCTAAAGCCCCACTCTATCTCGGGTAGATTATCTAAACCGTGCAGTTTTTCGAATCTTCGGCAGGGCGAATGAGATCATATCGAAATGAAGATGAGACTATAAGTATGCTGTCAAATGCATATAAGTGCTTTCAAAGAAAGCAGCATAGGTGATGAAGACAAGAGATGAAGACCTCTGAAACGAAACTGTATAATTTTCAGTGAAAATATTGTATTTGACACAAAGAAGTGGGAGATTCGCTCTGCTGTGTGGTATCGAATTTATGTATTCGGACAAGGCAGTTTTCTGCAGGAGACTTGAGCCTTGAGTCAAGGCTGATTCTTCTCCAAACTTCCTGCAGAAATGAAACAGCCTGTATCGAGTTACACTTACACGGGATACGGTTCGATTTATTACAAAAAAAAGTCATTCAATTCATGGCAACTAGGTGTAAAACTCATGTTCAACCGCTGAGTCCCCGGAGCAACTTTGAATCGCCCTCCTCCCAAGGGTGTTCAACCTCAACATGTCGGATCAAGTGAACATATTTCTCACTCCTAGGTACAATTTGACATTTGAATGGCAACGGATGAGCAACAAGGCCTGTTGTTGTTCCCACTACCGGTTCGATAATCTTGCCAGATTCTTTGTCCACTGCCTTCTTAATATCAAAGACAGCCAGTGTCTGCGCCATAGTGAGGAAGAGATTCGAGTCTGCCAATAATCGTCCTGGGCAGATTCGTCTTCCGAAACCAAAAACGTACGTATGAGGACCAGTCACATCTTTCGCTCCGAGGAATCTCTCGGGAATGAACTTTTCAGGATCGGGATACACCTCCGGATCGGAAGCAAACCATTTGATGGATGGGAGAACAATCGCCCCTTTGGGGATACGGTATCCGCAGATCTCATCCTCTTCATCAGCCATATGAGGTGGCCCCAACGGGGCGAGAGGCATCCAGCGTAGCGTCTCCTTTAGAACAGCTTCAATGTAGGGTAAACTTTCGCGGTCACTAAATCCTGGCAATCGATCTGAGCCAATAACACGGTCAATTTCTTCCTGCGCTTTCTTCTGAACTTCGGGATAAGCGGTCATAGCCAAGATAAAGAAGCTCAATCCTGCGGCGGTGGAATCGGCACCACCCGCGTACAGTGCAGCGGCACTTTGCTTAATATTTAGAATTTCTTCATAGTCCGGGGCTGCACTAAGTAAGCGCTCCACATAGGACGGCTGGGCTCGTTTCTGTGCCATCATCTGCTCGACAAAGTCGACAGGGACATTCATGCAATCATCCGAGTCCTTTCTCCATTGACGTGCGGTCCGTTTGAAGCCTGTACCAGGGACCCAGTCGGGTATAAATCGAAGCGCGGGAATCAAATCGACCAACCATGCACCGACCACAACGGCTTGGCTGAACTCCTCCATTACCTTGTTTATTAGACGGACAAGTCTGTCGGGGGTGTGGGGGGAGGGAGTATATCCGTAAAGCATCTTTAGCATCAGAGAGCCGGATTCACTATCGAGCAGGATTTGGTTATTAGGATCTCCTGGTACGAACTCACTGGATTACGGAAAATGACTTACGTTTCAAGATGGCTAATAACCTGTTCTGGGTTCTCCAACGTTCGCAGGAGAAAACGGCGCACTTCTAGAGTCATAGCAGGATGAAATCGTTTCACGGCAGTGTTGGTTCCAATCTGTCCACCAGCTAGTTTACGTTGCGCGCGAAAAACTTTGTCGTATGGCTTGAATGGCATACGTTCATTGTAGCCGCACCTGTACAGCCGTGAGCATACTCCGAACTTGGAATCATATGTAGCTGGTGGAGAACGAACATTTCACCTGCAAATACCATGCGGGACCTTGAAGAATACTTGCCACCCCGTCGATCTAGGAGCTCAGTCGCAATCTCCAAGTCATGAACGAGAACAATAGTGTTACCAAACACTTTGACATGACTGATGGGTCCGTAGATATCCTTGTGTTTGAGCCAGTGTTGCCACTCCAATCCTCCCTTCGGTGGAAGATCAGCCACATTTCCCACTAACGGAAGACCTTTGGGACCTGGTGGGAGAGGGAGCTGCTTTTTGGAGAAGAGTAGCTTTCTGAGCAGATATAAAGCCGCTAGAAACGCGACGGCATAGAATATTTGGGGCGCCATTGCGAGGATGGCAGAATCACTCTACAGATCAAATATTTTAGTGATGAGATCAATATGCTTTTTACCCAAGTCCACTCTGTGGTTTAGTGATTTTCCAAGATTCTTTAATTAGACTGATACGAGAGCAACTTCCGAGATTGTTTGTATTTAACCATCAAATCGGTCTTTGTATCACCCGATCGGATTTGTCTTAGTCAAGGACATGTGGCTGATGACTTACTAGAACCCCGCCCGTATTATCATGCACCTTGGGTTTGAAATGACCGAAACATTATGGGCCAGGCATTCATATGCAGGGGATGTGCCTCCAATTCCTACCATTGCATGGCATTTGAGTTCCTATTGGAGCATCTAACATGACCCCAAGGAAACAACGTGGAATATCTAATGATCGGCAGAAGTGATTCAGTGATTCTCACATAAGCTCACAGAATCTCGTATAAAAAGTGGCATCGAAATAAAATCGATCTTTGAATGGTAGTGCTATTTTCCCGAGTGCGCCCCGAGTTTGGCCCCCTCGGCATTGATGTGTTCTTCAAGTTGTCCCGAAATTAGACCCAGCCTCTGTCAAGGCTCCATTTTTCATACAAATTCAGTACTTGGGGATAATACTTTCATTTCAATTTGGTAGTGAATTTCAAACTTCATGTTTTCCCGATAGACCCCGAAAAGTTCCCGATTGGCGCAATTGTGGAGGGCGGAGTGGGCGAGGGTAACTCCGAAGTTTCAGACACAGCCTTGAATCCCTGGGACCTATGAGCTCAATTTCGGATTTCTCCGTATTCTGTAAATGAATGCACTGTAGGATAGAATTATGACAATTGCCTTGTTGTCTTAGCGTGGTATTGAGCTTTACACTATCATACGATTTAATCAAATGGAATACAACAACAGTTTATTTTTATCGCGTTCGGTTCAAGAGGATCATATATAAAATGGAAGGTCTTGGCTAGAATTATTCACATGAAGAGAGAGCAGAGAATCGACTCGACGAATCCATAAAGATGAAGATTGAAGTGATATTTTCAGTGTGTGCGGCTGCGATTGTGCTCGCGAAGGATCAATTCGATCCATCAAGCTATGCTCATGGCGATGTGCTTAGTCGGGACATTGCCATCATTGGTGGTGGCTCCAGTGGCATTTACAGCGCGATGAATTTGAAGGCAGAGGGAAAGAGTGTCGTTGTGGTCGAAAAGGACGAGGAACTTGGGGGCCACACTCGTACCTGGGTTGATCCTAACACCGGGGTCATTGTCAACTGGGGGCTACAAGCGTACTACAATAGCAAGTAACTGTTTGAAAAAATCCTATAAAGAAGAAGGCTAACTCATATAGACTCGGCTGCAATTGATTACTTTTCTTTGTTGGGCATTGACGTTGGCCAGCTTTCATTCTCGCCGTTAAATGTCGTGTACTCGGATCTCCAGACCGGGACACCTGTAAACGTGCAAACCAGCGGAAACTATGACGGGTACGAGGAACAACTAAGCAAATATCCCTACCTCTCCTATGGCTGGGACCTCCCTAGCCCAGTACCCTCAGATTTACTCCTGTCATTCGATGATTTCATTCAGAAATACGACATTGCAGATGAGGTATACAACATATTCTCTGCTGGTAGAGGGTTCACGAACATCCTGAACCAACTGACCATCAATGTGATGAAAATGGTAGATTACTCGTATTTCAATTCTATGGCAGGTGCAGCCATTGGCCCGGTCAGCGGCAAAAATGATGAAATTTATTCTGTGGCCCTCCGCAGATTAGGCTCAGATGCCTTGCTCTCCTCAAGTGTAACCGCTGCTGAACGTCCTGATAACCCAAACAAGCGAGTCCACTTGGTTGTGAAGACGCCTTTGGGGAACAAGCTCATACAGGCCAAGAAGCTTTTAATCACCGCACCTCCACTAGTTGATAACTGTGAGTATATGATCTCCCACAACACCGAAAATGCCCTTGTTGGAACATTACTGATTGATTCGTTTTAAGTGAAACCATTTAGCCTCGACACCAAGGAAACTGGACTATTCTCCAAGTGGACCTACTCGAACTACTTCATTATGCTTCTTAAAAACACCGGTCTGCCAGCCGGATATGAGTATTTGAACGCCAATGCTTCATCTAGCACATTTAATACTCCTCAATTACCCGCTCCATATCTGATCACTGCGACCAAGGACCCCAACATTTTTTACTCTTGGTATGCCAGTCCATATGATATGACCCAGGCTGAAGTCGAGGCCGATGTTACCAATATCATTAGACGACTGCGGAAGACAACCAACTCGACCGTCACTACAGCCCCTGAGATCTTCAAATTTCATAGCCACACCCCATTCAAGCTGGTTGCAGACGCTGATGCCATCACTGGAGGATTCTATGAGAAGTTGAAGCAACGTAAGCTACTGCTTGACTGTCGCACGAGTGGAAATGCTAATTGATGAAAAGTTCAAGGACACCGCAACACTTGGTATACTGGGGCTGCTTTCATATCTCATGATTCCTCTGTGCTGTGGAACTACACCCGGTACGAGGTGCTTCCCTTACTTTCCTAATTGATGAGAACAAATTCTAGGAGATCGGAGTGGGAGCTTTTTGGTTGTGCAAGCCAGGAGATGTAACATAAATGGCAGTATAGCAAATAATCAAAGGGTATTATATACGTGAATTCGATGATTGACATTGTTTCTATTTTGGGGTATTCTCATTATCTGTAGCTTACCTCAGAGAAAGAATTTACCAATGTACACGCTATTCTAGCGCTGAGGAACTCGCTTGAAATCTGCTAAAATGACGATTGTTTGTATGGAAGTAGCTCCGGAACAATAAATTAACCGTACCTAGAAAAAACTGATCAAATTTTTACTTATATTGTCCACTAATGAGCCGAGTGATCGACTCAACGTCCATAGGAGTTTCGATACAAAGATATCGAATTTCAATTGCTATTCATCGTACCATTCTGTTTCAACAGTATGCAAAGAAAGTAGGCTCTATCTAATTCAAAAATCCAATCTCTCTCCAAATATGAATGTATTTTCTCGCGATTTCTTCACTCACCGGTCCCACAGTGGCCAACGTCTTCGAATGTTCAAGTGTACGCTTCACATCAAGAACCAATTCTCCACAGGACATCCTTAGGTAGTTACTATCCAAAAATTCTAGGAGCGTTGACGCCGGATTATTCCTTGAGGGTCCCGCTCTGACACGTTCCACCCATTCCTGGAATGGAATGAGATGCGGAATGCTTAACGCATCCGCGAGAATCTTGTTCATGTCGCGCCATGACTGACCCACGGGGTTTTCAATATGATAAATAGGATGTGGAACATTGTCAGCGAGCACAAGATCCGCTAATGAACCTGCGACATCGTTTACTGGGGTCCAGTATACTTTGCCTGGGACATCTGGTAATGCGTTCAATGTCTGCGAAGATTTGATCACAAATCCGAAATGCTCCATGGGATTCCAGTATCCGCTTGTCTTTGAGCCTGCAATCTGGCCTAGGCGAACAGCCATCGTGCGGAACCGGGTGGGAAATTTATGGAGCGTTGCATCAAGCATTCTTTCACAGCCCCATTTTGCCTCTCCGTAGCCATTTGGAAGGACAGCATCAATGTCCACTTCTCTCTCGGGCACAATGGTTTTGTCTTGATGGGTTTCAAGACCGTAATGGCCGACAACGCCAATGGAGGAAACCATTTGGAAGCTGAATTTGACAGTCTCAGGAAGTTGAGATGCGACATCAGATGCGAAGTCGATAAGATTTCGCATAACTTGAAATTGGGACTCGAAGCCTGATAGAGGGCGTTTTGCGCTCATAGGCCAAGCATTGTGGATGAGATGGGTGACCGAACTCACAAGCCCATCGTATTCGTCCTTGATCAAGCCGAACATGGGCTTTGAGGTGTCAGTTTGGAATACCAGAAGTTTTGGTTTGAGGAATTCGGGAAAACGGATTCCTTTTTCTCGCATGGCTTTCTGCTGTCTTATATAGGGATCTGCTTTGTTCTCGCGGTTGAGACAGACGATGGTCTTGACGTCTGGAAGGTGAGCCAGGTGGTAAACCAGGTGACCCCCAAGGCTTCCAGTCGCACCTGTTACAAGAACGACCTTTTCGTTGTTGTTGGGTATCAAGGAAGAAGGTGAAGAGCCAGGTGAGGAGAAAAGAGCCGTATATTTCTCCACATATTCATTGACAGCCTCTTTGCGGGCTATGAGAGATGCTCTGTCGATCATACATTTTGAATTATTTCTCTCTGCCGCGAAATCCTGGATTTGTATCTCTGGAAGCTGCATGGGCTTGGCTTCAGGCGACGACTGAGGTGTATCAATGAAATGATTCTCTCCAGTTAGTAGATCCTTCAGATCTGCCACAGTTGGACACTCTAAAAACAGTGACTCATGCTGTATGTCGAGCTCAAGTTCGTCGCGGAACCTGCTGACTATCACAAGTGACAACAGGGAGTCAACGCCAGAGTCTGCGAAGTTTGTGTCATCCGTTAATTCATCGACTGCGACTCCACTTTCCTCTGAAATGATGTTGAGAGCTTGCTGGAAACCAAATTTAGGTGTGGCAAAATACTCGTCCGGACCAGGTATAGTGATGGAGGTGCTAGTAGTGAGCGGAGTCACGGTTCCAATGTCGCTAGATCGAGGGGTGGAGAGAGCGGTAACGTTTGGGACAGTGCCTTCTATACCGGTCCTCAGATCACCAACTGTGGGATATTCGTTGAACAGGGCATCAAAGTCAACGTCCAGATCAAGCTCTTCCTTGAAGCGAGCAGAGATCGTGAGTCCAAGCAGAGAGTCGATGCCAACATCGGCAAACGCAGTGCCGTCAGTCAAGTCCGAAATAGCAATTCCACTCTCATCTGCTATAATAGCCAAGGCCTTTGAAAAATTGGATGATCCTGAAACCATAGGGGCTGGAGCCGGAAGTAATGTTTGATCAGGCACACCAGCGGAGGCCCTTGTAGTCGGCTTATTCTGAGATTTTTTCCCACTCTCAATGGAGAGGATCACCTTCAGAACACGACGAGGGACAGCTTGAATCTGAGAAAAGGTTAGTATTTAAGGAATTGAGTTGCAAATCTAGGCAGGATCTTACTGCAATCTGCCCAAAGAACGCGACCACCCGATCACCGTCTAAAATGACAACATCACCATGCCAAAGCTTGTCCTTGCCCTCTTCCATTCGCGTGTACGTTGAATATTTCTTGTCAAAGTCCATTGTCTCAAACATCTGGAATGAGCCCCAGCCATGATTCATGAAAACCTCCACATCCAAGTCTGTATTATCATTGCAGTTCATCGTAAACCCACAAGACTGTGTCAAAGAATCAATAATCGCGGGATGTGTGTGAAAGTGGCCATCACGTTTGACGCTTCCAAAGCTGAGATGGCTTGAGGCTTCGAGTGTTGCGCTATTTAGGACGATTTCGTCAATAGCCCGGTAGTCGTCATGGAATCGTGCAAGTGGCCTTATTGCACGATAGACCATTGGGCGGTTAAACCGAGCTGTGGTTTCCAAAGCGATCCCTTCGCGGAGTGCTTGTATTTTCTGCTTCACAGATGCTGCATTCTCTTGGAGACACTTCTGTAGAGACCGATCCTTGAAGCGGATCACACACCGGGCATGCTCTTGAAGCTTCTCCTTGCTCTATAATACGGTTAGTTTGTTGCATTGGAATGGGGCTTGATAGCTACATACATCAAACGACATGAATTTGACAGCAGCAGACTCAGTGGACCAGTCAATATCCGCGTTAACTTGAAGCAATTGCTTCGTCGCCTCAGCCCGTAAAATTAGAGCCTTGAAGATAGTCATGTCCGAGACATCCACTAGGAAATCATCTTGCGTATCCGCACGGTCCCGCTGAATAATATATGAACCTAAGCTCAGTGCGATATCCGCATAAACGGATGGAGTACAAAGTGGAATACCGTCGACCTCATGGCCCTGAACGAGAGGACTGAGATCCTTGCGTGCGATGTCGGCTTCCACAACAAGATGTCCCTTTTGTGAATCACCTGTCTCCTCAACCACACGATGGATAGTAGTACTCTGAAGCTTCTGTCCACTTCGAATAACCAACGGAGGATCACCCTTGCGTAATGACCAATCATTAACGTACTGTATCCAGTACTCTTTAAGGTCCCAACTATACGCGGGTAACGGGATAACCTTATGCGATGACTTGAAGTCGGTATGGTACTTCGCCCAGCAAATATCAGCACCGGCCTCATAGAGAATCTTCAAAGCAGAAGACAGCACGTTCCATATAGATCGAGCACGCTGGGACGATGAGACACATATCATTTGAGGCCCCAGAACGGCCTTCACCATACCTGAGATAGCGGGGTGAGGCCCGATCTCCAATGTGATCGAATGGGCTGCAAAAATACTATTATGATTCGCTACCAGAAGAGCTTCAAACATATTCACAGGTTCGCGAGTGTGACGGGAAAGATACTCAGGGCCAAAGCTGTGAGCATCATAAGCGATACTGCCGTCCAATGGACAGATAATGGGGATTTTCGCAGCCGCAAAAGTCACTCCAGCGGCCACTCTCTTGAGATCGTCAAGTATTGGTTCAACCTGGGAAGAGTGAAATGCGTAAGGAACCTTAAGTAAGGTCGATTTGAGCCCAGAATCCGAGAGTAGGGATTTCAAATCTGCGATGTCTTCATTCGATCCAGCCAAGACAGTCTCGGTAGGTGAATTGCGGCAGGCGATTTCATATTTTGTGGCCCCCAGGACCCTTGCAATATCATTCGTAGATCCCTTTACCACAAGCATGGCATGAGTATCCCGTGTACACTTTTGCTGAAGGAGATTAGCTCGTGCTCCGACCAGGTAGATAGTGTCTGCATCTGATAAGACACCGGCCATGTTCAACGCTGCGTATTCACCCAGACTGTGTCCGATGACGGCGGTCGGATGGATGTTCCATGATGCCCAGAGCTTGGTTAGCGCGAGCTGCATACAGACACTAGCTAGCTGTATGGCAGTCGGAGTGAAATCGCCAATGTCCGCCTGCTCTTGGGACCGGATTACAGGTAGAAAAGATGGATATCCTAGACTCTGTCCGACCTCGTCGAGATGAACGAGTTCGGTACGGAAAACAGAGAAGCTATCAAATAAGTCCTTGCCCATTCCAGGGTATTGGGCACCTTGGCCAGTAAAGGCAAAGATGAGCTTTGGGGCGGTTTTAGGCCGGGTCATTCCTGTCTGCTCTTGCAGAGCTACCATGACCTGCGCGCAAATATCTTTGACAGTTGTGCCAGCAAGCAGTACACGGTGCTGGTGGTGTATACGCCTTGCAGTGGTGGTGTATGACAGCTGGCCGAGTGAGATATCGGAGTTCTGATTGAGGAAGGCCCGCATAGATCTGAGATTACCTTGCAGAGAGACACCATTCTTAGCCGAAACCGCGATGAGATGCTGGGTTCGTGGATCAGCGATTCCAATAGGCTCAGGGATAAGTGGTGCGTCCTCCAACAACAAAGCCGAGTTTCCGCCCGCAGCACTGAAGTTATTGACAAAAACCCGTCGAGGGTGCCTTGAATCGGAATTTCTCTCCCATGGTGTTGCTTTAAGCGCAATTCTAACATTACGCTCATGTAGGTCCGTTGGAAATTTGTGATTGATTTTGGTCTTGATCCCGCAATGCGGAACAATTGTATTGTTCTGCATCATCAAGAGTACTTTGATGAGACTGGACACACCAGAGGCAGCCTCTCCATGCCCGATATTCGCCTTGGCAGATCCCAAGTAAAGTGTTTCTTCATGGGTTCGACCCTTCTGAACCTGACTCAGAGGCGGTGCAAAGGTATCCAAAACACTGGACATTTCGCCAGCATCCCCGGCTTGGGTGCCGGTGCCATGCATTTCGACATAGCTCACAGAATAAGGATCGATACCTCCCTGGTTGAGGATTTTACGGAATATTGCACGTTGGGCACCCACATGAGGTCTTGTAATTGACTCTGACTCCGCTGAATGGTTCGTATAGGCACCAAGAATCACACCTAGTATGGGATCGTTGTCGGCAATGGCATCATCCAGACGCTTGATAATGACGGTTCCAATGCCCTCGCCACGGCAATATCCATCTGCGCCGTCATCGAAAGTTTTACAATTCCCTGTGCGAGACAGGAAGTGCCCTCGGTCCAATCCAGCGGTGAAGTCGGGATTTGTGAGAACATTTGTCCCTCCCGTGATGGCGGTATCGACATCTCCTCTCCACAAAGAATTGCAGGCAAGATGAATACCGGCAAGGCTGGACGAACAGGCTGTGTCAATAGCATAGCTTGGTCCACTGAACTTGAAGCAGTAGTTTATACGACCAGGAATAAACGCACGATTGCCCCCGGGAATGAAATATGTATCGATGCTTTGAGCGCTGTTGGTTTCCATCCAGTCATTGCTCGTGACCCCATAAAACACACCGACACGATCGCGTCGAGTGGAAGGTGTGGCATCAGGGACGATGCCTGCTTGCTCGATTGCCTCATAGGCAGTCATTAAGGCAAGTCGTTGCGCGGGATCGATCTGCGGTGCCTCCCGAGGCGAGATATTGAAAAAGCGCGCATCAAAGCTGGCTGGGTCGTCCAACCAACAGCCGAATGGTGTTGCGCTTGTGTTTTTCTTTGTTCCTGTTGAATCAACATGGGTCTTGACGTCCCAATGCAGGGCTGGAGCCGGCTTGTGAACATCTAATCCCTGATAAAGAAGATCCCAGAATGCCTGGTTGTCTTTCGCGCCAGGGAAGCGCCCTGACATGCCAATAATCGCGAGTTTCGGCGTCTTGGAATTTTCGGACGACATATGACTTTTGGGATGAGCCTCTCGAGCCTGGGGATATACTCTAGGCATCAAACTCTGTAAGGAGGTCTGTTTTAGTGCGGAGTATATCAGTTGGTCAGCCGTGGTCCCAATGGGGACGATAGTGAAAGACGTAGGATCTACATCCCCGATCCAATTTTGCAGTTCATCCAAAATGATATTCCATTGGATGGGCTCCAGAAGAACTTGTCGAACTGCATTTTCCAAGAGAGTAGCAAAGTTACCTTTTTCCACGCTGCTTCCTGTACCCGTGAAAAGAGAGAATGATTGTTCTGGATTCTTGATGGCCAGACCATCAATAATCCGGTTGATATCAAACTGGGAATACAGATGGGATGCATGATATGGCCCGTGTATAGAAATACTCTTTTGCCTCAGGCCATTGAAACTTTCGGAGTCTATGAGTCGTGCGAGAGAATCGGGAGGTCCGCTGACAGTGATGCCGCTTGGGGCATATGCACTAATATAGGGCATGCTTGTGCGTGGTAATATCTTCATCAAAATTTCGTTAGCTAGTGGTATGAGAGTGCGGGGGGAGCAATGGGATTGCTTACGGTCTCTTCGGTGAATTTCTGAACAGATTTGGTGGATGAAGATCCAGGAACAATGATTGACCAGCTCTGGTTGTCGCCACTCCATGGCGCAACTCTTTTAGCCGCATTTATCACCGAAACTCCAGTTCTAAAGGCAGCGATGACGGCCTCAACGGCAAGCGGTATGAGTCCCACGGTGTTGTCACTGCAACTGACAGCCGCCGCAGCGAACGCTCCAGTACAAATTCCAAGGACACGTAGTTTTGAGGTGTTATAAGATTCCGTCTCCGCTTGACTTATGATTTAATTAGCATATCATAGGTACGTGTTTAAATAAAAAGTAGATCTTTTCACTTACCAAATAAAAGTTCCCAACTGATACATGCAGGTAACAGCCATGTCCAGCGGGATACATCTCCGTCCACAGCAGTCCCATGATACTAAATCATCCACACAGGTAAATCGATCAAGATCATCTCTGACCTGCGTTGGCAGCTTGTAAATTTCAGTCCGGATGGCATCATAAGATCTCGATGCAAACTCCTCGAGGATTACATTATCTCGTTTCCGCAGTAAATGTTTCAAGTGTGGTTGAACATCGAAAGTTTGATCTCCAAAAAGATACAAAGATAGTTGTTTTGACATGTTGAATTATGTCTTGAAAAATGATTGTCAAGTGTCAAATCGTGGTTAGGTTCTGTATATATCTTGGAAATATTAAAATACGCCGGGATGTTGTATTCCCTGTCTTTCACATATTGTTGCACTAGGCTTCCAAACTTTGGGAAAATATGGATTAGATTAGGTCAAGTAACTAGCGTATAAAAGCCCAATTTCCTTCATTGCCTCGGAAGCAATCGTTTTACTGTTTGTACGAGTTCTATCCCGAGTAAGACATCGGTATCAGCAGAGGTTGCTTTCGGGGCTGGGGCCTTGACAGGGATTATTTTGTAACCCGAGCCTATTCAAGACCGACAAAACTGCTGGCAGCGAAGGTAGGAACATATGTGATAGCCGATTGGCTCGGGGTACACTAGGCTCCTCCAGGAGGTTGCCTCGGAAGTATCCACGCAAATCTTACTTGCAGGCGTCCCATCATGTTTCAAATGCCAGCAATGGAATGGCAACTATATACATAAATCACCGGTGATATCTTTGGAGATTTCATTGGTGGGCCAATACGAGTGAAGTTGACGCTGACCTTGCTTTGCTCGTGCTGAAACTTGAGGTCCCTCTACACTCTAAATGGTTACTCTGGATGAAGTATTTCATTTGAACCAGAGAAATTATTGCGCGGAAGATAGTGATCTGATATTCCCATCTATTGGGCTAGTCTTACTCAAACTAAATTGTGCAATTGGCACTGGCTGGCAAATTGAGTAGCTTGTTCTCAAAGAAATGTTCAGCGCAAGCAGGGTTCATATATAGATTTTTCAGTAAACACAGCAGGACGCACAAGAATCTAGGACCTGGGGAAAATTCAAGATCTGAGGTGCATATAATTTAAATCCTCAAAAGAATTCAAAAAGCATTTTTTATAGAATTATCCCAGCACCTATGTTTCTTTAATATGATGCCTCATTAGGAGGATTGTCAGCCAGTAGGCAAAATAACCATTATGCCAATCGAGGATGGCTGATTTATGATGGCCTACCTGATATAGTTGGATAGTTCAATGCGATGGTTCTTGAAGGGTAAGAAATCACTGCTGCTGTTATTCCCAGATACTAAAAAAATTAGGGAGCTTTCTTATTATTCTACGGCTAGACTAAGACTTGATTAATTCATGTAGATTAAACGCTAGAACAATATTTATCACCCTAGATAGCAAAGAGGATGTATTGCCTAGTTACATCTATTAAGTGATATCTTTAATGGAGAAATTCTTCTACTGATCTCATTTTACCATATCAAGCAAAGTTCTAAATCTGCGTATGTGTCCGCCCATCACCCATACATTCCTCTAGTCATCTTAATTTAGTAGGTGGCCATGGGCCTGCCATAGTATCGGGCTGAAACTTCAGGTGGAAAACTTAATTGTAAATCATGATCAATAATTCCCGAGGAAAGCAATCAATCCATCTTGTCTTGAACCTTCAATAGGCGGAGACCCCTTGACAAGATGCGCAAAGCTCGCTCAACCTCAAGCCTGGAGCATTTTGCCCCCCGTATTACGGACCTTACCCCGGGACAGCTTGCCAAAAGATAGCTATTCTCAATAAGTGGACATAGTTACTCCCAATGTTACTGAAGAGTGGGATCTGAGCCAACCGTAGAGACTTGAGTGGGCTGACAGTGTATCGATACGAGATATCGTATCTAGTTGGGATCAGTTCGGGATTCCGGAGTTGAAACTTTGAGTAATTTCCCATATTTTATGCAAATACGTGCAAAAGCGGATGATATTAATTTACAGAAATATAGACCGGAAAGCTCATTGCATGACTCTGCCCCTGTGTCATTGGGTGTTGATCGGGCTTCCCAGACGGCCGTCGGGTTCCTTTCGGATCCCGAACAAATCCCGAGAATCTGCAAGATAAACACGGAAAAAGAAAGTAACTACATTATGTTTTTGTATCCCCGGGTAATGATCGTCGAGGCATTTTGGAAGACCGGATTTAGGAGTTAAAACGATACGAGACCCGACGAGTTTAGACAGAGCTGACAGCTGCTGTTCTCTTAGTCAAAAGCGATTGCTTCGGATATCTTTGCTTGGTGCTATTGACAACGTAACTTGGTGATATCCACTAACTACACTCAAAATGAATGTGAAAAGTCCCCATACCGATACTAGGACCGTCCAGTTGACGGCTGATGGTACCTCAGGATACACTCACGCTGCGGGCTTGACTAAAGAAAGCGCAGCCAAAGCATCTGAACTTCTTACAATTAATCATACATTGTACCATACACGCTTCAATGCAGGATTTCATAGTATGCAATCACACGAAGATATTCAAAAACACTGTTAACATTGTTCAGATCACATCGTCCATCACCTTCTCGGTCTCTGGGCACTGGGAGCCAGACCCGAGGAGATACAAGATATGTGGGAATACAACACTATATATCAAGCTCCCTTCGAAAATGCAGAGCGCCTGGTCTCAGAGACACCTGACTTGAAGGACCCAGAAGTTTTCGCCAAGTGCCTTGGGAGCGACGACTATTACTCAGACTTTATGCGATTCTTTGAAGGAGAAATTGATGCAAAGGGCGTGCCCGCAGTAATGCGAGAGTACCTATTGAACGGTGATTCACGCGCAGAAGATATTTTTTGTCGGATGTATACAGGTAATCTACCATAAAGAGCGATATGAGTGCAAATTGATTCATTGACATCATCCAGATCTCGTTCATCCCATAATTCACCTCGGATGCGCGCTTGAATTTAATCAACCCAGTCTCATTGCAGAAGCACTCGCAGCGGCCTGTGTCCACGACAATTGGCCCAAAAAATTTCTCCTCCCGGCGGAGGAATATAACAAATCAAACAAAGATGTTTCTCCTAAACGTCTTTTAGAAATCCTGGATGATCTCCGAAACGATCCCGAGATCTCCACCGCGGTAAAGCCTACCGACCCCTTCAACAAAATTCGAGATGGATTACTTGCACGTGTAACTGGTGAACAACTCGCACCGTATCTCAGTCAGTTCCAAGTAGAGCCTACCACCGAGGACTTGCAAATGAAATTGCGCGACATGATGCACACCTGCGCATACATGATGGGGGCTGCGCAACAGCCTGGAAAACGAGAAACACTAGATTTTGTTGTTCTACATAGCGTTACCCTTTCGGTGTTCTATCCCGCTATTCTTGCATTGGATTGGTTGACCAATGAAGAAAAGGCCCGATTACTTGAAGCCAAAGCGAGATGCGATGCGGTGATGTATGCTGGCGTGGGATGCCCCGAATTCTATCCCGAGCGGGTGAAAGATTATGTCCCAAGCCACCCGGAACAGGAGTGGCCAGAACTCTTCCATCGTGCCAATATTTACCGAGACGAAGGACATGTGGCCAAGGTTATGCGTGCTTTGTACAGCTTGGATCAACTGGGCGATCCGGCGGATGGTTTTCCTCTCGCAAAGGCTGACTTCTTCAAGATTGCCCATATGGCGGTAGACTCTACCGAGGAGGTTTTCCAACCCGGTGGTCATAATATGCCGGAAGCTGTTCGAGATGGAATTTTGGAGAATGTGGGCAAAGGAGGCGATATGGTTGTGAATAACATGACCCGGTGGGTATTTTATGGTGGACTGGAAAAAGCTTGGCAGTTCGTTGCCGATTCAAAGGTGGCTAACGGCCATGAATAGCTTCTTTTCTCTGCCTATAAATGAGAGCGCGATTGAGTATTTATCTGTAACTTCATTTAATTCTGATTTGATGAAATCAAGCATTTATTATCATGTCTTCCGTAATTTGGAATAGGTTCAAAACATCAACATCCTGGTATATGATTGAAGGTCCAAAGGAATAGCCGTATTTAACTACTTCCTTCTAGCCAAAACAAGATAACAAGGCCACTGAACTCTCACCATTCCTTGGGGACATTCCATATCGAATACCTGTTCCCACTCATTATATGCCTTTCTTGTTTCCTCCTCTGTCATCGTACTATTGGCCGGCCGGATGGTATTGAAGAAGTTAGGAAACCACTCCTTGGGTGCGTCAAACGCCCATCCATCCGCCTCGGGGTTTTCATCGGTTGTGTACCGGACAATCTCATCTCGTGCAGTCACCCGAGAAATACCGCCTACATCTTTACCCGGGGCAGCGAATCTTTGGTATAGATATTTGTACGGGATATCGCCGGGTCCAGCATTGATGTATACGCGTTTGGGTTCCTCAAAGAGCTCCGAAGGCAAGGGAAGAGAATCCAAACATCCGCCTCCCGTCATTCGGCGCTCAATGACTTTTGCAAGCCGAGCACGGTTTGCATCATCTCCTGATTCTAGAGCTTTCAGGACCAGATTATCGAAGGTCTTTCCGAAGGATTCATGGAAGCTTTGTGAGCAACCTGGGAAACCTGGATTCCAATAACTGTACACCGCAAGAGTTCCACCAGGACGAAGGATCTTCGCAGCTGATTCAACGAGTCCATCGGGGTCCATGAAGTGCGCAGCTGTTGCGACAATAACGGCATCTGCTGTGGATTCACCCGTATGTTTATAGGTCTCTTCTCCAGTTGATTGGGAATATTCCAGCTGGGGACTTAGTCCATGTTCCTTCGCATAATTTGAAAGAAATGCGCGAGCTTGTTCTTCATTCCATGGGCTGGGATCGGAATTGTGAATGATCTTGAAATCAGCCATGAAATTTGTCGCGGCGATGCCAGATCCAGCACCGATGTCGACGAGACGCTCCCATCCTGCGGATGACTGGCGACGATGATAGTCATAGATAATTTCAGTAAGCGAAGGGGGATACGCCGGTCGGCCTTGCTGGTACTTTTTCCAATCGGTAGTGGCGTAGGTTGTGCCCGTTTTGGAGTCTGCGGTCGCCATTCCTGCTGCACGAAAACAAAATTTAAACAGTACAATTTTGTCTTTTGAATTACGATACTGAGCGAATATTAAGCTAGCGATTCTGTATAGAAACCTTTATAAGATCAGATCTGTTAATTAGGGCTCTAATTAGAAGGATTGACAAGATATAGATTCGTATAGATTCGGGATCCGAAAGCTCCACGACGACGCTCGGGAATCAAAAGTTACACCCGTTTGGCTGGATGTTTTGAGAGCGCAACCACAAATGCAAGGAGTAATGAATAAGCTACGGCGTCGGTCATCAGGCTAAGTTTAACTCCGAAGAGGTTTAATCTTGCAGAAATAGAATGACATATCATACCATGCGTACCTTAATGTGCAAATGATCAATACCTTTACTACCCAAGCCCAACTCGAAGTTGTTACAAAATGGACGCAGCACTTGTCCTCTGTGGAAACCATCAATTTCTCTCCTTGGCACTTTTGCTCGCTGCCACAACGATAATTATAAGATTAATTCGCCGGGACCGTAGACTCGACTCCATCCCCGGTCCCAAAGGCTACCCTTTTATAGGGATTGGCTATCAACTTCCACCTAAAGCGCCGGCCGTCTTTCGGAAATGGGCGCTGGAGTACGGCGATATTTTCAAAATTCGTGTTGGATGGTATAACTGGGTTGTGATAAACACACCAGAAGCCGTTCGTGAGATCCTAGAAAAGCAGGCACTTCACACATCGTCGAAGGCTCCTTCACCTCTGGGACATGATATCGTCACGGGCGGAAATCGCATGCCGACTATGCCGTACGGGGCCCAGTGGCGGGCTCTCCGAACAGCCGTACGCCAAATGACCACTGTGCCTATGACGGCAAGCTTTGTTCCGAGTCAAGAGTTTGAAGCCAAACAGTTAATCTTTGACCTGGGGACAGATAACAAAAGCCAACGGAATTTCTATCAACATATTCGACGATATGCATTGAGCATTATCATGACGCATACCTTCGGAACCAGAGTAAAAAGTCTAGATCATCCAGCTGCACAGAACTCGATTAGAACCCAGGCAATACTACGAAGGACTTCGAGGCCGGGTGCTTTCCTGGTTGACGAACTGCCTCCATTGGCTCAATTACCCAAGTGGCTGCAACCCGGCCGAAAGGAGGCGATGGTTGCAGCAAAGCAAATTATGGACATTAAAATGATATTATGGAAACAACTAGCAGAGCAGGTCTCATCTGGGAAGGCCCCACACTGCTATGCCAAAGAGATCTATGAGAAAAAAGAATCATGGTATGCGCAGGGACTGACCGAAGAACATTTGATCTGGCTCACAACAGGTCTCGTTGAGGCTGGATTTGAGACAACAGCTGCCACATTAAACAGTCTCGTGCTTCAGCTTGCTGCCAACAAAACTATTCAAGATAAAGTCCACGAGGAACTGATGGATATAGTGGGGCCAGATCGTTTACCCAGATTCGAAGATATCTGCAATCTCCGATATGTTCGCGCTTGTGTCAAAGAAATGCTACGAATGAATCCGATTATAGCCCCTGGAATTCGTCACTACGCAGACGAAGATGTCGTATACAAAGGCCATATCATTCCTAAAGGGACAGTCTTGGTTGCCAATACCGCTTTTCTGCATTATGATCCCTCGCGATTTGACAGAGCTTTTGAATTCAAGCCGGAGCGCTACTTAGATCATAAACTATATAGTGCTGAATATGCTGCTATGGGCGATCCCACCAAGCGCGACCATTTCACCTTCAGTACAGGGAGAAGAATGTGTCCGGGTGCAAGACTTGCAGAGAATTCCTTGGATATCGCGCTGGCCGCTATTTTATGGGCGTACGAGATTCGACCCCCGCTTGTGAATGGGGTGGAGATGGACATTGATTTGAGTGACAATGCGTACACAGACGCAGGATTTACCATACCCAAGCCATTCTCGGCACGCTTTGTGCCCAGAACTGAAGACCGGCTCAGGATATTAAAAGAGCAGTGGGGAATTGCACAGAACGAAGGTTACGAATTACGAGGGATACCTGTGGATGTGGACGGGATGATGCAGTTATAAATAAGCAAAGTTGCACAATACGAATTCTTTTCCGACACATGTATTTCTCAATCGGACAATCAGCGGCCACTTGAAAATATGAACATTCTTATGCTATTAAATTCACTCCTGACACATCGTCTATACTCTGTTCGAGGTTCCTCGTCCTCTCTAGCCCTGAGGCGAAATTACCAATACATAATCATGATGTTCTGAAAGCTAGAAAGACTAGTAGAAAGTGATTGATCGACTTACCCAAAAATTTCTATAATGGACGTAGTATATTGAGTGTATTATGTCACCTGTGAAAATAAGATGTTGAACGTAAATGCGAACCATAACTGAAAGGTGGGTTGGATGGTTGATCTCGAGACGAAGATCTGGGAGAGCATGGAAAGAAGCAAATGTTTCTCGATGATTAGGTATTTATTTTTTTTAAAAATAGATTATGGCTAGGAAAATCAAGAAGGAAATTTTAAGCAAACAGCAAAGCCATCATAAACGAATGGCGGCTGCGGATGACCGGAGATAATACAGATGCTATGTTCTTTGTACCTACAAGTCCTGCATCATGGTAATTTCAAAAGATCAATTATTATTTCAGGTACTCCTGGGAACATGATGAGACCATATTTCGTTGGAGACTCGGACAGAAATAGGAGGAAGCTCGGGTGAGTTCTCCTGTCTCGTTCTGCAGGGGTTTTCCACTCATACCTTTTACCCACCTAACAAACTCTGGGGTGGTGGGAGGAGGGTTCGGCAGAAGGCGTGTTGATTGTGGCAAAGATTCAATTTAAAAAAGTGCGGTAAGACCAATTGAGGGAGTATGTTTGCTAACGTGAGGTTTCTTCCAGATCCTCACTGACCTTTTCCTGGAGCTTCTTTGTTTTTACCGCGACTTGGGTCTCCGGGGTCACTAACCCAAGAGAACCCTCGGCTAAGATCCACACTTCCCAGTGAGTTTATGGTCGGGCCATGAGCATTGAGTAAGGATAAGGAGAGGAAGCTTCGAGATCAATTGATGTTTGAAGATTTGAAGAGAGACATGGCAAGTGAATGAGAAGAGGCTTCGGCTGTGATTGAACAAGGAAGGCGCTCCTTCCTGTATGTGAGTTCCAGACTTTTACTCTGAGTTGACATCACAGTTAACGATGTGATCATCAGATTTTATTTCTTGCATTCAATTATCAATCATCATCATGCAGGAGACTCGCAAGTTCTATCTAGCGTCGATGTGGGGTCTGGAAGACATTGGAGTAAGTCTCACATTTTATGGCCTGTGCCTTTGGAACGTGTGTCTAACGCGTATACCATCTAGGCGCGAGAGTTCCAAGAGCAAACTGAGTAGGAGAAGACCTTTGGCTGGGAACTTTCCACGTTGCTGTCTAACAAGAAACAGTAAGATAGTTCCTGACGCTCAGACTCGGTATGTGATACCAGACAGTGTAAGTGGAGCTCTTCAATTACAACCTTAGCACGCCTCAGGCTCATACATGTTGGAAGATGTTTATCTTTGAGGGCCCTCTAAGTGAAATGGACACCGAAAATATTGTCTCTTGCATGAAAGACTTTATGCAGAGGCATCAGTATCCTGATCTCTTGGACGTAAGTCAGCAGCGCTACCTCCGCATTTGGAGGCCCTAAGATGTGTTCATTGACTTCATAAGGAGCCTCGCCTACGTTCTCTCACGACAAATGACATCGAAGATACCATTCGCTCTGTGCCTCAATGGAAAGAAAAAAATGTGCCATCTCTTCTAGACGTGGACACTCATGATACAATAAACATCCAAAGCGGCGTTGTTATGGAACAGAATATCAAGCTGTGGTCGCCAGCTAAAGGTGATCTTGGCTACTTTAAGCATGATAGCTTTCAGCTGCTACCCCAGATAGCCAAGGCTACAAATACTCGGATTAGGCTTGAAAAGTTGGGTTCTACTTTAAGCTATATCAAAATTTCTGGTCAGAACTCTGAGGATGCCGAAAATGCACTGGAGAGGCTGCGGGTATTAGAAAGTCCGATGGTAAGCCTCATTAAATAAAATAGAAGATCTTTTTTTTTCTATTCCCTCTAACCAGTTGAAGTACCTTGTGGAAAACACACATCATAAATTCTCTCTCATCATTCTTGAAGATAATGGCCTCCGCTTTTCCATCGTCAAATATGCGAGCACGAGCCCGATTGCTCTCGGTCGTCTACTCTTTGAGCCGGAATCCCCTTCTTTGAAAGAGATTTCTCGTTGCCTTGTTCCCGTCTGCCATCGAGTCGAGAGAAATTATCCAATTGGGCCATCAAAGATGCTTGAACGCCACACGCTGATTGATTTGGGTGATGTGGATGAGCAAACTAGAGATATTTTCAGACTACTGCAGCCAGCTCTCGTTCCCGCGAGGAGTTTCCCGGGGGTCTTGAGCCTCGAGGTCCAGCTAGGCCTGATCACCATGTCGCCCACCTCAATTGCTGAGAATCACAATGTATTAACCTTGTCGGAACTAGAGCGGATAGTTGCTCCTCAGAGTGGCCTCGATGGTACTATTTCGGCTTTTCATAAAAGACTCACCACGTCTCCCCGTGACGTAGATCACCTAGTCGATATTGAGAAAAATGGCTGTCGACTCTTTGAAAGATATCCGGGAGTTCTCAGCACCCAATACGAGTTTCATTGCGCGACGAAGTCCGGAGACCTCGTGATTGTCAGCATTGATGATCATGGCGCAACCAAGATCAACAGGCCGCCAAAAGTGCTGGGATCTGTTCACATGAGTTTTCCAACCCATTTTTGGGATGCCGCCGTCATCTTGCAGGGCCACATGGAGCAATTCAAGAGTGTGGACCTTGAAATTGCCCGTGCAGCGCAACATATCATCGATAATCTGTTCATCGACCATCTGCGGGTGCAGGGCAATCGGACTCGAGTAAAGCTTCAGACTCGTTGTGATGGCTATCTAACCATCAATAAGGTGTGGTCGAAACAAGTAACTCGGTATCGATGCCTGGAGAGTACGGACGATGGCTCATGGACAACCGGACTGTGCCTTCAGGTGACTGAGTGGCAGGACTTGTTTATTTCTCCGCGTCTGGTGGAGAGTGACGTGGTGGAGGCGGAATGCACCTCTCTGGGTGAAATGGTTCAGGCCCATCGGCAATGGTGGGAGGCCTCACTGGTCAGCCCCGGGATCGATGCCGTGTTGGAAGAGAATGCCAACTTGAGCCCCGGGGAGTACACCACCAAGTGGAAAGCAAATGACCTCATGGGAACAAGTCCAGCCTCTGTTTCCATCGAGCAGTCGCCCTCCTCTATCGCAATCGCTATCGGGTCTGCTGGACTAGGAGCTCTGATCCGTCTCGCTGCGATCGTTGTTGAGAATATTGACACAGTCGGATACCACAACGCGGGTCCTTTGCTGGACTTGGCAAGAACCGCAAGCTCCGAGCTCAGCTCCGTGGAGTCCACTCCGCTGGCTGCGTCTCGGCCTGCTTCTGGCGCCTCGAGACGGGGCTCAAAGCCCAGGACGCCCCGTGACGGGGACGGATCACGGTTTGCAAATGTTGTTGCTAGCAAAGGGGTCCGGGGGTTGGTCAGAAGGATTCTAAATTCTGGTGAAAAAGAAATGGTTGGAGGCGTGTAGACGTCAAAAAGAAAATGGAGAACTGAGGCGAAGCAAAGAGCAATTAGTTTGAATGGTTGGTGATTTGAGAAGTGTTGCCAAAGAAGAACAAGAAAGAGACAATGAAGGAGATTTGTTGACAGGATTTGACACTTCTGTTGCAATAAAAACGTGAATATGTGTCTGCACAATTGAATTCCCTTCAATATGCTCCCCAACGTTGTTAACTGTATTGAAAGATGGTAAATGTGTTTCATGACATGGAACGAGAGCGTACAGAGGGCGTTTTCATAGCTTGCCAGTGCTTGTTCATACGCCTGCTCTATGTCTTCAAGCTTGCACTACTGATACTTAGAGAGATTCGCCAACCCGCCGAATGCTGGAAAGATGAATGCACCAGTATTTTCATACCCGGTGCATCGTATAGCTTGCTTCTTGCTCCGCATTCTCGAGCAGAGAGAAGCCGGTGAGATTCCCGGGACTGGTTTTGAATGAGGGTTTCGCTTTACATTGTTCTTCCAAGCTAAAAATAGACATCTGAGCGATAGTCGCTGCCTTTTATCGATCTATACCAGATATCTCGATTATTGGATGGAGCCAATAAAAAGAGCAACATTGCTGCCTGCGAGTCCTTCTGGATCTCATGAAACCCCTTCTCACAATCACAACATATCGGCCATCAAAGAATCATCACCACCTCGTTCTCACGGTCAACTTTGGAAAGGTTGACGTGGAGTCGGGACAACAGCTCTAGCTTGCATGAAATCACTGTCAAAACAGCTGTTCCATTCTATTATAAATGCCAGTGCTTAATTGAGTCCCAGGCATTGGAAATTGCATCTCCTACGCTGCTCACAACATTTCCTGCGGCGTCTAGAACTTCTTTTTGCACTGCAATCCCTCCCGCGAAAAGTCGCTTCACAATCTTCTCTCCCTCTCGCTCAATCCGAACTACCGCATCCACTGCCTTGGCTACCCCGTCCTGCGAGGCGTGCTGCCACCGAGAGTAGGCTTTTATTATCCCTTTGTCTAACTGCCACTCCTCGAGAATTCCATTGACATCTCTAATCTGTAGCAAAACGCAGTCTGCTGCGCGTGCGAGGCCAGAGTCCAGTGAGGCGGCGTATGTAATTGCTCGGTCAAACACACCATTGCCGAGCCATTCGACAACATCAATAGCACCGTCAATTTGGCGATACGCTTGCTATGCCAAATTTTAGAGTCTCGTCTGGGCCCTATGGAATAATATGCTCACCTTAACTTGATCTGCCGCCTCTGCGCTGAGATCTGGAGTACATTTGGACCACTTTGAGAACTCTTTTAAGGACCCGCCTGGATGGTAGCTCCACTGCAGCAGTTCCCCGGCCGTTGTACAAACCTTTTGCGCGGTGCGCTGGCTTGCGTTTGCAAATCCATTGACATTCCCGTCGGACCAGTTCGTTATACTCTGAATCGCACCGTCAATGGACCGAATCACCTGCTGGACCTCTCCAAGAGCGCTTCGGGTAACCCCTAATACCCGAGTAGCGCCGCTGACTCCACCAGGATCCGGGACCCCGATGTATTTCCCAAATTCTTCGAGTGTCCTTTCGGGTCCCCATTTCCAGAACGTAAGTGTCCCGTCTATGAAACGTTCCTGGGCCTCGAGGAGATCTTCAACATAGGCGAGTCCATTCTCTGCAACCTTTGTTAAGCTTTTGAACGACTGGAAAGCTCCAGTTGCTCCCCATCTCCATACATGTACAATCCCATCTGGGCGGTACACGATTTTGACCAATTCACCCATGGGACGCTTGATAATTTGACTGACTTCGTCGGGAGTAAAAATGTCCGTGATGAGATTCTCGAGGTCGTCCAACCATTCGCGAATGTACCTGCCTTTTCGAAAGTCATCCCATATCTTGTCAAGCATCTCCTGAAATAAACGCGCCGCCAGGTCCAGAAATCCCTTGAATGAAAGAGTCAGGATGCCTGGTATTTCTGGAAATCCCTTCTCTGCTAGGTTCTTCAGAACCAAATAGTCTACTCGAGAGCAAAAACGCTCCGGATGCTGCTCAGCTGTCGTCTCTTTGATCCATTTGTTGTACGCATTTTCTCCATATGCATAGCCCCGCCACTTTAAAACATCGTCAGAGAGCTCAAAGACGCCTATTTGCTCAAGGACGACATCTTGTCGATGGGCAATCCATGCCCAGATGCCGTTGGGGTTGTCTTTTTGTGCCATAAACCCAAACAAGTCGCGGAGTTGCGGTTCAAGCAGCACACGCAGGTAAGGCCTCGATTCTATTTCCATGATAAAGGGCCAAACGGCGTATCCCGCAGCCGATTCCTCGTAAGTCCGTTTGGTACTCTCCAGAGCAATAGCGAACGTTATCCATTGCTCCAATACTGTAGGGTCAAGCCAGGGGCAGAGCTGGTTGATTAGTTCGCGCACCATCGCGTTCATTTCTGGCGCGTATAGAAATGGAACAAGGGGTTGCATGGCATTATCCATGATACTGCCGAGCCCTGTACCAAGTTTGAACGAAGAGAGAACGGTATCACGTACTCCAGTTTGGAATATCCTGCGAACTTGCGACTTGCTCAGATTGCCAAAGGCACCAACACTGAATGTCCCGGAAACCTCGCTGTTCTTCCACCCAGGGACAAGGTGCAGGCTCCACTTCCTGCTATAATTGAGCCGGTCGTACAAGTAATCTATAGCCTCACCAGTGTATCTGAGAAGCTCCTCGAGTGCTGGGGCGATTATTGCGCCTTCCACAGCAAAGGGAAAGGCAACACTTGGTATGATGGTTTCACTCGGAACGCCAATCGCGATAGCACAATTTTTCAGCGCCCATAACTCATGCGGATACAGTAAGTAGGACTCTGGGCCTACATAGGTCACTTTATTCGTGTGTTCAGCATCCTCGAAGATGTTGGCGTATTCACGACCCGTCTTTTCAAATTCGCTAGTGATATAGTTGGAGTGGATGAGCCACCTGTGATTGCCAAGATACCTGATCCACTTTTCCAGCAGGCTCTTTGCCTTCTGACGCACTTTGTCGGAGCTATTCGGGCATTTATAGGCGTAGTAGCAAGCCAGGACAATCTGGCCAAACGAGTCCTTGGACAGAGGCCTTTGTCTCATCCGGCCATCCCCGTAAAATTCCACCCAGTCTGGGTGTCTTATGGGATGAGTATCGCCGCTGACTTCCTTGTTTCCCCAGCTTTTATTCTCCAGCACGTCGAGGAATTTCTCAATATAATGGTTCGCATTTTGTGCCTCCCATGGGTCCTGCTTGTAGTTTCCACTCGCAAGAGCCACCAGCGCGATCGCAGTAAAGTACGTTGCCTCCCCCTTTGCGTGCGGATTCAGTTTCTCTTGCTCAGATTCATCCTTGGCCTTGTTCCATTCAATGAGATAGCCATGCTCGTCCAGGTAGCCGGTCTTTTCCAGTGTCGAGGTCACATCAGACAGGTCTCTTACCGTCGTCAGCTGCTGCTGGACCTTGCTCTTGTAGTCATTTTCAGTCGATATATTGAAGAACTCATCAGCTGCTTTAATCATGTCGTTCTCCTCCTCACTAAGTTGACTGTCCAGACTATCCTCCAGCTTGTAAGCATTGTCTACTTCTGGCGGCGAGAATTCCTGTTGCTCTGGCATCGCAGCCGCTGGCAGGGAGAATGTCCCAATGTACGGCCATATGATATCTGTCGACGGTGACTCGATGCCGCTCTCAGGAATAGAGCCGTTTATGTCGTCAGGAATACTAGGGAATGCAGAGCTACCGGAGGCCGCCGGCAGTTGGGCTGACAAGAAGATTGGCCTTGTTGTAGCCGACACGGCTCGTCTGTCTTCTGGTGTAGAGGGGAGACTCTGCAGGGGCCTCTCGGCTGGTTTTGTTGGATGTGCTGCGGTCAGGAATGGCCAGACGCGTTCCTTACGATGGAGAATAGGTACTTCTTCCATGTTGCTTCCTTTCAGAGTGTATAAGGTTTAGTTGCTTTCATTCTGTAAGAGAAATTATTCTTCAACAGACTCCTGGCACCCTCTTCGCACCTATATCCATTATGCCCGGAACCCCACAAGCCGGACATGGAAGGATCAAATGACAAGAAAACTCAATGATCGTGACATCATGTTCTGCTACTCTAATACGCTGCGAGATCGCCCTCTCCAGAACAACCCAGAACAAACCCTCAACCGAGGTTTGGCTAGTTATTTAAAGTTTCTGGAACGAAGATTGCAGTGATGACTAAAAGTTGAGCATAAAAGGTGGGGTGACAGTAAGGCTGAATTCAGGCCCGCGGGCTTTTAGTCCGAACTCGCGTGTCGTCCTGCGATAACGACGGATTCAGGCTGAGTGATGATCCGTTGCGGCGTACACCATCGGAAATCGTGGGTGTTGTTTCGCCTGCAAATAACCATGAATTGGCCAGGATGGCCGGTGGCCTGTAAGGGCGCTTGTTCAGTTCTCTAGGCTACAGAGACTCCCTCGTACGAAATGGCTAGCACACGGCGCCCACGAGGAAGAGGAGACAGAGCAGAAGGATCTGCCCCTCGATTTAATGTGTTTCGCTCAGTAAATGATGTCCGCCAAGGCCGTGGTGGTGAGGCTGGGTAAGAGTCTCTCAGTGTGTGCTGGTCGAGGCAATGTCGAGAATCACTGTATCGGCCACGTCCGATTTTTTGTCACAATGTCATCGAATGGCGTGAAGCTCAGCGTTTGTGATGAACTCGGTCTAGAGCTCTGTCTCTCTCTCTCTCTCTACTCTCTCTCCAGCTGTACGGAGTATAAAGGAGAGGAACATCGAACAGGTGCCCAAATTGACGACCGAATGCATGCGACAAAGTATCCGAGAGCAAGATAGAAGCCCATTCGACCACCCGACTCCTATGCCTATGCCTACCAGTAGTTGTTCTATTCGGCCTGGGGGTGACGGTCGGAACCGCGAGTTCCCCTCAGCGCCGGAGACAAAAAGTGGTAATCTGAGGCGAGCCGAGACCGCGCCATCCACGATTTTGATTATGAGCCACTGCACTCCCGGGCAAGAAGGCCGACGCTCGGTGCGAACATGTGGGGGGTTGCGCGGCACAGGATTTCGTTTCCGCCATTCAGGTGCATAGATCAAGACAGAATGATCTGCAGGGCGGAAGTGGTGGCGGCGGCTTTGGCGCTGCATCATTGTTTCCCGATGCCAACCACGCCTGGTGGACTGAACGGGTTGTCTGCGGAGGGCTTTTTTTGTCGACGCTAGCCGCCTCCAGGCTTCCTCGACATCGCTCACCCTGTCACACCACCGATATCCGTCGCATCTAGTGCCCAGAATCAATTCAATCTTCGGCGTTTCCGGTCACCACAATTTATGAGAGCCAGGCGAGGCGATGAGCGTGACTTCATATTCTGGTACCCCCGAGGGGTCACCGGGTCACCCGCAAGTTGCCCGACCACTACAATATAAATGAGAGACAATTTCGCCTCCGCGTCTCATCGATCAGTCCGCACATAGGTAGCTTCCGTGCTCATCCACCAAGTTCCCCCACAAGATGTTTAGCTTGGGAGAACTTCTTGCGGGAAGAGATCTCCTGAACAAGAAGATCGAGGAACATGCCCTCCTCGTTGCGAACCGGGAGCCGCTTTCTCCGGCCGAGCAAGCAGAAAGCGATGCGGCGAGGGAGGAGGTCAGTTCTTGAATATCCTTACCCTGCTAGCATATTCGAAGAACTGACGTGAGTTTTCCAGGTACTCTCGTCCCTGGAACGGAACATCGAAGTCTTAAAGGGCGCACTCCACCGTTCGGAGCAAGAAGGCCAACAAATAAACGACGGGCTGCTCGGGTCCCACCATGCGGCCATCAATGAGGAGCAGATCGCGGCCAAGCCAATGGACCCTGTGACAAGCTTGGTTGCGGGATTCTTCGGTGCTCAGGACTCGAGACTCAAGGCTCAGGCGATCATGGTGGGCAACATGGCTGATAGCATTGATGAGTCCATCTCTCGCTTCCGAGCAATACAGGTGCGTCCTTTCCGATCTCCTCCTTCTCCTTAGTCGTTGATTTACTAACCATTGGTGAATTCTCAGGACAACCCCCGTTTGAAGTGCTACAATGCAACCTTAAACAAAGTCGCTGTCGTGGGAATTAGAGAAAATAATATTTGGTATATTAAGACCTCTACTAATGCTTCTAATTCAAGCTCCAGTGATGCCTCGAGCGTAATCCAGACCGTGGATGAGTGGGCAATTTTCGGTCCCATGCCTGAGGAGACGCAATTGGCCGGCAGCAAGGCCACTCACCTCTTCCCCTACTGCGGAGACCTCTGTCTGGCGGTGGGGACTGGGATTTGGCGGAAGAGGCATCGAGATGCGAATGATTCGAGAATCACGGAAGCTATGAACAACTGGCCAGTGTTGTACGAGGATGGTTGGGAAAAAGTGGGAGACCGGTGCCTTCCCGATGCCAACCTCTCCAGCATCATTCCCTACGCCACGCTCGCAGCCACTGGTAACAAGATCAATTTCCACCTGGTCACCCTTTCTAGGGACAACACTATTAGCTTCCTGAGCGGGGATTGGCTTACCGACAATATGCATTTTCAACCGATGAAGAACGAGAGTCTAGACGGTGAAGGGCAAGCAGTCCGCTGGAAAAAGATTGCCTACTGGAATGATCGCGTGGTCGGACTGGATATGGACAATCATACGTGGAATCTCACGATGAATTTTGACCGGGGAGTCTTCCAGGCGGCAGAAAAGTTCAAAATAGATGGATTTTCCGAGCTCACTGCCACGGATATCGGCCCAGTGGGAATAGGGGCCGATGGATATTTGTATAGACGGGTGTTTGACCTGGTCGGAAACCAACAGGAAACCAAAAAGAGCACGACCAGATGGTCGCGGTGGATCGAGCAGAAGGGAGTCATGAACATTGGCGTCGCCTCTCCAGGCGTCATGCTTGATCTTTATCATCTCTCGGAGTCATTGCGCACTCGCTACTTTGAGACCCTAGAGCACCTTTACCCCAGTGTTGAAAAGCTTGGAGTATTTACCATCACCCATAACGTCTTCATCCACCAACTACGCGAGGCAGCCCGTGAGTACAACAGTGTCTATAGTGACTCTGGGAAGACAGACATATCAGTCAAGGAAGCCAAGAAGTTCATAAAGCACGCCCGAATTTGGGCACAGATCCTCAAAGTCCACGCGAATCACTTCCGCGAGTCAATTCTCCATACGCAGAAATACAGCGCCAGCGTCCAGAGAGACTTGGCAGCACAGATAACTGTCCTGCTTAATCAACTTACTTCCGTCAAATGCCAACTTGAGTCCTTACGCACAGACTTCAACAAGATTAATCGCCAATTTTGGAGTGCTTTCGCGGCGGCCGTCGTCGGTATGTCTGAAATTTCCCCTCGTCGTCCTCCTTTGCTAAGAATACGGGACTAAACTATGATCTAGGACCAGGACTGACCATCGTGCTTGGATGTACGGATGTTGATCTTGCCGCCTGCAATGCGACTGGGGCTCTGTTCATAGGAGGATTGGCGAGTGCGTGCACCATCGGAGCCGAGCCAGAAAAGATACATGATAGCGTGCAGGCAGCCATTGCGGAAAGTCAGCAGCTTCAAACTGCTATCGATGGGATATCCTTTGCAGTCGAGAGCATTCAGCAAATCGAAGTTCTTGCCAGCGCCATGAACACATTCTGGAGCAGTATGCTGGACAACGTATCGCCCCTGCGCGTCATGGACAATGCGACTGCTAAAATGCTTGGTGAACAGGCTCTCGACGAAGCTAATATTGAAAATGCTTCTCAAACCATCGAGCAGCTCAACAAAAGCTATCGGCGATGTCAAAACGTCTTAGACCGGTGTGGAGTCCGGCCTCCTGGAGATTTTGACGAAGATTCAAGTTAGATCGCGTATGAAATACGGTATACAGCCGCCAGGGACTAGGCGTCCAGTGTTCAGACGATTGAGATGCATTAATTACATTTGCACTGGTGGCATGAATATAGTCCAAGAGAAGAGCAGAAGAGCCTTGATGAAATTAACCCATGCGCAAAGGGATTCTGCTAAGTATCTGTATTTTATCGTTTTGAAGGCAATAATTTTCTCTTGTAGTCGGTGCCCCTCGACCAAGCTGGGTGAATCCCTTTTGGCTATCAGTGACGATTGTACTATAATAGCTATGCTAAGCTGTTACCACGTGACGATATCGTCACCCTTAGCTTATCACTCATCTTGACAACTCCCAATAACCCAGCTTCCTGTTAATATAAGTGCATGCACAGATGTGCTACGAACTCTGGAGCCGCCATGCCTTGACCCACACGTATACACCTATATCCCCAATTTCTGCTCGGAAAGCCTGACTGGACCCTATATTTTAATCTTTCGCACCCATAGGAGAGCAGAGGCGACACTCTAATCCCAGATCGAATCACCCCAGACATCAACATTTCCCGGGGAAGCTAAAATGTGGAGTAACACGAATGGATAAGACCTACCCCCTTGAGCAACCTTCTCTTCTCCCAAAACCTATCAAAGTTTCATCTTCTCTCCTGGCCTAGCCCTTTATTTCATGCATACCGCTATGCGTTCATTTCTTGGAAGCACCAGGAGCGCATTCTGAAGGCGTATACTGGACAACGCATCGACCCTGCGTGTGATGGACAATGCAACTGCTAAAATACTTGGCGAACAGGCTATCGAAAAATGCTCCCTGGCCATTGCCAGGTGCGTTAAGAGCTTCGCGAACATACGTGCCCAAAACGCTGCAATAACGTTTGGGTCACGGTCCCAGATGATCCTTCGCGGTAGGCCGCATCGGTACCGAAAGGTAGTTCAGCAGCCCGTCTGCCCAGTTTTTAGCAGTCATGACTTTGGTGTCGGCGATAGTTCTGATGCGCTTCGAGAATTTGCATGTCAGGATTAGGGCGGTATCGGCGCCACTGATTGCTGGTGGTAATCGAACGACGAAGTCGATCTATATAGTATGAAACGGTACAGCCGGTGCAAGGGTTGATATTGAATCGCTGAAGGGCTTATGGCGTTTCGTTCGATGGATGGCATAGGTAGGGCAACGCCGGATATATGCGCGTAACTTCGCGGTCATGCTTTTGAAATAAAAATTCTGAAAGAGGCTTTTCGTGGAAGGTTGGGAAGTTCCGTATGAAATATTTCTTCTCTGGTTTGCCTACTCCCTTTGGATTCGCCTCTTCGACGATCGTTTTGGCGGTCCAAATGGGCTGAGCGATCCTGCGAGATTCCTGTAGCTTTTTTTCCGCGTCGCCGAAATCGCCATCGCGGCTTCTGATCATGCCGAATCTCGGTTGATCGCGGTCTTTGCTCCCTGGCTTCTTTGAGGAGCCAGAGTGGTCAAGTGAAGTGGTCGAATCGTCAGCGGCCTTTCGCTTCGGTGTGATGATGACTGATAAGCTGGTTGCGAGATGAGGAAAGGTTAGAGAAAAAGGGTCGTGTCGGTTGGCTCAGGTGAGAGATGAGACAACGAACGGTACGGGTGAGGGAAAAGTGAGAAATGCAGGTATGACAAGCGAAGAATGCGGATATGGGAATTGACAGATGTGATTTGAGAAGAGAATGCGAATGGAAGGTTTGTGGTTACGCCCTGTGAAAGCCAGCTTGCGCCCGCAGGTCGTGATAATCTTCGAAGATTTGGTCACCTTCATCGCTGGGATGCAAAGACGTTCTAGGCCTGTTTCATTGGCATATTTAGAGTAGACCGTCCTTCTGGAAGAAAAGTTTGAGTGATTTCCCGTCGGCGATGCTCTTCCATATTCAATCTCGGATCGAGACGGGTGCCCTGACCTTACTCAAGGCCACAGTTGGACTTGCCTTGAAGCGCTTTTTGAGGGTCGGAAGCCAGTCGAGGTTCAGGGTACGGACGCTCACATTGTTTTGCTCTTCGCACAAAGTTCTGTGTTATACCATTGCGCCCCCGACGCAGAGTTCTCAACCCATCGAGCAGCTCATCAAAGGCACTCGTCCCGTCTTCTGACGGTCGAGATGCATGACTTCAATTTGCACTCGTCATCAGGAAGGCTTTAGACTTAGGAGATCCCATTGTATCCCCCCGACACAGCTGCCTTCCAAAGTAGACAGGCACCTCCAAGCCCATCTAGAAGCAATCTCTCTTGGCAACCCTCACGAAGACCGAAAAGAGTGTCTAAGCCATAGACTGCTTGAGAATAAGCAGCTAACTCCTGTCCCCGTTGTCCCGACCACCCAGATGATTGACCGGCTCCTTGAGGAAGCCCAGAAAGGTTCCTAACTGGCCAAGAGAAAAAAAAAACTCATGCATGCTCCTTCTGCTCTTTTGCCACGGACTTCCCAATTTCGACCTTCTGCTCGATAATAGACGGCAAGCTAAACGCCTCTCGACAACTCCTCTGAGAGGTGTACCTGGGTTTGGGGCAAGAGTTACTCTGGTGACCACCGCTTGTTATTCTGGCGGCTGGGCTGTGAGCCCAGATTTCAACTACACAGTCATGGCTGCGACTTCAGATGCTGGTAGATTTACCGGCTTGTCAAACGCCTGGAGTGAGTCTTAGAGCATTGGCCGAAATTGCGGGTCTGTTTTTGCAACCACTCTCATACAAAGCTTGTCAAGCGCAGCAAGTCCCCTCCTGTATTCAGAGTAGAGAACTCCTCTGTCTAGCTCCCTAGGGGCGGAGTCATCATTGCAGCCAAACCATCCTGACCAAGTCCAAACCATGACCTACAACGAATTCTGCCACTCAATATGGAACATTTGTGAGCAGAATGTGACTCGTTTGTGGAATCATCAGTCTTTCAATTTTTTCTGCCCAGGATGATGCTGAGAATATTCATGGGTCGGGAGAACCGGAGTTCCGTCAACATACTTCGAATCAAGATAGAATACACTCGTGACCTACCCTTAGCAGGGTCCTGCCAACATTCGGGCTAACAGAAATATCGACCCACACAATCCGGCTTTCATTGAGTGTGACGCTGCGAAAAACCGGTATTGTTGAAGCTTTTGTTGATGAAATGACCTCCAGTATAGCACATGAGCGACTAATGCAATGGCCAAGCTATTCCATCAAACATGTCCTGGAGATTGGGACCGTGGCCATATGCAATCCCTTGGTGAAAGAGTGCGTGATAACTATGAATTCGATGATTTCAAAGAGGATGCTCCGGAGCTTGCTGCAACCATTCGGTTCCGCTGGGAGATGGGGCTTCTTGCCGACTTCCTCGTTACGAAGTATAATTTTCCTATTCCAGATAACAAGATGTGTCTATGTGGTGCCATTGGGGATGGGATCAGAGGAATAATATCGGAGGATAAGATTCGGTCAGTGAGCTTCGCCAGCGATATGAAAAGATCTATCAGGCCCTTGCCTACTGCCTTGAGCCTCCCCATCGCGATGGTCAAGGACCAAAGTTTTATTACCCGAGCGAATACTTTGCCGCGGCTCTGTATAAATCCTCAGATGAGACCATGAAGATAATTTGGGACGTGCATCGATTCATGGAATCAGTCGTGGGGTTTCACCAGTAGAATGTGGTAAAAGATACCCAGATTCGGCGCTGGGGAAAAGATTGGATTAAGTCATTGGGCAGAAAAGCCCGCCGTTCATTTCACCATAAAAGTCTCGTGAATCGGGTTGAGGACCTATACGGTGCTTTGTTTCTCAATTTCCTTCAATTTTGGACTTTCAATGATTGCTTATCTTTGTTAGCCAATAGGATCAATCTTGGTGCACATGAAATTTTGATAGTATCCGTGTAGCATAACCGGAGTAGAAAAAATATAGACAATGTAAATACGCCGCTAATGTCCTTTTGATGATTGTCTTGCATTTACTTCCTTTTTGCTCTAGAATATTTATTCTTCTCGTAGGAGATGGGTTAGCTCATGATTAAAAGGCATAAGGATATGCAAGAAAAGGTATCCTTTAGAATTGAAGGAGATATCCGCAGACTGTCGTAACTAATAGTAAGATTAGGGAGCAAGGGGATAAGGTAGTCTTAAATTTGAGAAGTGAGAGAAAGAAAATAGAAGTTTATAGATTACGCATCTATTTACTGACCTAAAACCTCTTACTCTCCTCTTCTCTCACTTTCTTTCCCTCTTATATGGTGGGCTGCTCAATATGATCCTTGGCTGAGCAGGTGTCGTCGCGACTACGCTCAACAACGCTGAAACCGTTGCGAGTGAAGGATTCTAGCCTGGTAAGTTGCTCTGTGATGAAGCAGGACAGGCTCATAAGGCGAACACAATAATCAACGTGGGTCGCACGGACGAAAAAAAAATTGGAATGGCCGACCATTCCCAAGGGAATACTATAGTGCGCGCCTTTTCAAGTTTTTCTCTGTACTACTCACGATATCTCAGTGAATAGTCCGGACATTTGGTGAGAAAGGTAATATTGGTGGTATTTATAGATATAGCATATTCAATGGAGCGTATATACCGTAGTCTAGTGTTACTTAATATATGGAGTGGTGTTTAATATGGGTATTGTTTTCGAGACTTGCTTTGCTATGCAAGGTGGTATAGGAAAGGCGAAGGAGCAAAGAACCACGCTTTAGATATTGAGAGACTAGACAGAAGAGCAGAAGTTGAATTGAAATGAAACGAAAGAAATATCGACAGACCCGGGAAGGCACTACAGAACGCTCAACAGTACAGAGAACGGAGTCCTAATCCTTCATCCTCATCGCAGGTCTCTCATCTCTCCTCGTGCTAGCTTCCGTAAATTCATTGGCAAGATAGCGACATTGATCAGAGCGGCTTCTATGCATATTGCCGTCTAGGATCTTGAGCATTCTGATTCCTATTATTGCCTGCGCGGAGGCATGTTTGACATTCGCCGGCGGGTATCACTGTGATGACTGCTGTAGTCACTACGATTGCCCAAATTCAAATTGTCCAACCTTTCTGCTATATCTCGGCCTTGTATTTGATGCCCCTGTCGTGAGGACCCCGATGGCGGTGGATTAGCTCTGGTATCCGGGACATCTTGCGAGCTATAGGTTGTTGTTCGTCTCTGCCCGTGGCCTCTATGCGAACTGTGATCCCGCGCCCGCCTATCAGAACTATCAGAGCTGTGATCCCGCGCCCGCCTATCAGAACTATCAGAGCTGTGATCCCGCGTCGCCCGCCTATGCTTTGCATTTGCCTGTAGGTCTACATGACCTCGGAGTTCCTTGGCATAATCTTGCAGTTGTTGAGCATGTTGACGAGCGTGCTGTCGCTGGGAACTTCCTGGAGGATAACGATCTGCTGCTTCCGTCGCACGGGCAGCTTTAGCCTCAAATTTCCTAGCTTTGTATCTTGGGGCTAGGCTCGGTAGATTGTCACTAAACTCCTCATCGGGATCATCGTATGGGTCAACAAAATACTTGTCAGGTCTCTGGTAATACCCCTCATCTGTGTCACTGCCTAAATCTTGAGAGCCCCTGCTCGGCGGTGCTCGGCGGTGTACCCTAGCCATCGTTCGTTCAACTTGAGCAATATTAGCAGAGAACCCTGTGTGGGTATACCCTTGTGCTAGAATTTGAAGGATACAGTTTTTATGGGAGAAAAACAATTGAGAATTCTCGAGATTTAAATAGTTCTCGAAATCCTATGAATTATGTTATAATTAAATCAGGATGTAGTGTTCTTTGCGGTATATAGTAGACGAACAAATATTATAGGCGGTTCACCCGTAACCATTATTAGTGCCTTACACCGCCCCCTAACCCTTCCGGGTTGTGGGTGCGCCACCCAACATTTCCAAACCACCTAAGAATTTCCAATTTTGCTATTTCTCCTATCTATCGCTGTATCCTACTAGTATCTATAAAGAAACCCTGCCCGTTCTGACGTGCTTCCTCTGCTCTATCTAATAATGCCTGGGATTCCTGTTTAGGATCTGGCGGTGGTGATGTTCTATACGCTTTCTTCCACTGCTTCCTTATGTTACAGACCTACCCCTAGGATGCTAATTATGGACTCGCCTGAACTAATCAGTTTAGCAACAAGGCGGTTAGATAGATTCTGCTAGATAATCTATCGAGATGCTTAGGCTATAACACCTAAGCATAGGATCACGTAACGATCTGTTCTGTTGAACGGAACGGACCTGACCGTTGACAGGAAAGGTCCTGTCGAAGGAACGGAAGGACTGGATATATAAGGACGCTTATTCACCTATATATATTTAGTTCCTCGCGTTAATTTATCTATTGTTACTTATAGTTACTACGAGCTACATTTATTACTTATAATTAGACTTAGCTTTCGACTATCTTTAAGAGACGTAATACCCTCACGGTATAATATAAGGATATACTCTAACTAGGAGGAACGCTTAAGTAGTTATTATATAACTACTTAGTCGACTAACTAGGCGCCCTTTAACTATATACGTCTTCGGTCTACTCTATAGATCCGAGTCCGTGTTAGACATCGCCAAAGCCCACGGTTGGGCCTAGGGACCGGGCCCACGGCCTAACCCGCATGGGCTTTGGGCCCGACCCCCGGGCCCGAGCCTAACCCAAAGCCCACTATGGGCCCGGGCTCCGGGCCCACGAAAGCCCACAAAAGCCTATTTTTGCATAAAATCAAGGTCTTGGCGTTCATAAAATAGCTTATTCATTAGAATTAAATACTATTTTTTACATCTGTTCTAGTTATACCTTCACGAATACTATTAGAACCTGCTAGGGCTTAGGTAAATTTAGGAAATTGTTTTGAAATCTGATTTAGAATCGCTCCTTCTCTATTAATTACCAAGATAGAGATCTATATTCTATAATTTTAAGTGTTACTTGTTAGTAAGTAGGTAAGTTGAATCGAATGTAGTAGAGATATATATAATATATATCTCTATATTACCCTATAATCCTTAGTAGTACTTAGTATCTAAGCTCTCTTTCTAATATAACTTGATAATTATATTGATCTTTAGCCTAGTTTTCTAACCGCGGTCAGAATTCAAGGGTTAATAATAGAGATAAATATATAAGTGATTTATAATTACTAATATTTTGACCGTGGTCAGAAAGTTAGTGTACTACGACTATAGGGGTAGGGATAGACCCTAGTATAAATATCTAATCTACACCTCCTTTTTAACTATAGTTAGAAAAGTGCGCTGCTACGAGTAGGGATAGGAATAGAAAGTGTTATCTACGTAGTTAAGGCCTTAGACTAAGACTATAAGCTCGTAGTCGAAGCTTTTTCAAGGCTACTCTAGCTGAATAGGCCGGGAATAGGCTGGGAATAGGCTAGGAATAGGCTAGGAATAGGCTTTCGTAGGCTTTTGTGGGCTTTATGCAGGCTTTCGTGGGCTTTCTGCGGGTTTTCGTGGGCTTTCGTAGGCTTTCTACAGGCTTTCGTGGGCTTTCTGCGGGTTTTCGTAGGCTTTCGTAGGCTTTCTACGGGTTTTCGTAGGCTTTCTGCGGGTTTTCGTGGGCTTTCTGCGGGTTTTCGTAGGCTTTCGTAGGCTACCCCTCCTAGTTACCTAAGTATTAACTAATTATATAGTATTAATCAAGCTGAGTAAGTCTTATCTTATAATCTATCAATTTTTAAATAGTTATTCTCTTATATATCTATAGACAACTAGTATGCTAATAGTACTAGGTATCTACTACTTCCTTATTCCTTATTTCCCCTTACCTTCTCTCTACCCTTGAGTTATATCTTAGAGCTAGAACTCTAAGGCTTTCTCCTCTGTCTATAAGAGTGATATTGATAATATTGCTTACTTATCTCCTAATTATCTATAGTTATTTATCCCTGATTCCTCTGATTCGCAGCAACTACTCGATTCTTTTAACACCGACTTTCTTCGACCTACTCCTCCTCCTATAATACCTTCGTCTATTACCCTTGTTAGTCCTAGTCGCAAGAAACTATTTGCTCTTTATAATATTAAGATATATACTAAGTAGGTAAATTAGTAGCTC